AGGCCAAGGAATGTATTAATATAAGTAGGAAAAAGTGAGTCCTAATCTCCGGAAAGACGTCACGACATCCATGAGCTAGCATTGAAAGGTGTCATCTACCGCTCGGTCGGAAGGAAATTCTCACAATTTCACTTTTTCGGAGGGCGTCTGGACACGTAGGACTCCCTGGGCATAAACTGGTCAGACTTTCAGGCGTGAACAGCACAAGCAAACTTTGGCAGCCGAGAGGGGAGGAGAAGGAAGAAGTCATGAATACCTCCTGGACACATGTGGCCAGCAAGATCCCCTCAGAGGACCAAATCCTCTGAATCACCAGCGCACGATCGTTCCCGGCCCACGGGCTCTCTCTTTCGGAGCACATCCACTCGTCTGCCCGCACCGCGTCGGGGTGGTGGAAGTAAATCGTATGATTCAAACTAGCTGCCATGGCCATTTTGGTCCCGAAAGTCTGACCGGGCGCGTCATATATCTGTACTGCAGCGCCAATGAAATATGCGTCGGACATGTATGACAGCGCCGCAAGTTGGACCCGAGAACCCGTTTGTTGTATGGGTTCTTTAGCTCGCATCCAGTATCGGATCTGAGTGTTGACCAGGTCGTGGGACCTTTCTGTTGATCCGTATTAGATGTAAACAGGAGTAAAGAGTAAGCAAGCTCCAAGCACGGCTCGGCCCAGGGAAAGACCCACGGTTCAGGACTTCTCCCCAGCGCGTCTCAAACGGCCCATCTACCCCCTTCCCGTCCATCTCAGCTTGATCGGGTAGCGTCAACCCCTCGGGCATTTTTCGCCCGTGTCCGAGCCTTCCTGCCTCGTCACTGTCGCTGCTCTTACTATATGTTCCCGCCCGCACGAAGTTGACGATGGCTGTTGAGATCACTTTGGCCTCCTGGGTGGCGTGGACGGTCCTTGTGAGGAAGCTTTTCCCATCGCGGGTTCGCTCAACCCGATATTGGATCGGTTGTTTTGGATTGGCGGGGCTTATGAAGCTGCAGTGGAGAGAATGGGCGACACAGTCGCTTGGGATGGTCTTTTGAGCGGCCACAAGACAGTGGGCGACAGTCGATCCGCCGTAGACTCCATAACCGCCCACAAAGCTCCATAGTGGTTGAGCGTTGGTATAGGTGTCCTGAAGACAAAATTCAGCATTTTGGACAGAGAGATGACCAGGTAACAAGCAAGAGAAATCATTGGAGAGAGGCATACCAATTGCGAAGATACTGTTGTCAGGTCGACAGCCTTTTCTATGGGGATGGTATAGCTGTCCATTGGTTCTGATTCGATAAATGTGCTAATCGGATGGTGCCGAGTGGTTTAGCGAAGATTAAAGGCTGCGGGGATGAACAAGCAGTCTTTATACCTTGGAACACTGTCAGTGGACAAGGTGAACAAGGGTGAAATGACACTGCTTACATCCTCTGGGAACTCCTGTGATTGGTAGTTGATGCCCCTCTCCCCTGGCAAGATATATAATCTACCTTTACCTATCAAACTTATGGTTGTAATGCATGTCAATATGTAAAATATAATAATAGGTACCTGCCTACGGAGTACCTATCCACTTTCCGGACATGTACTACTAGGTAGTTAAATAGCGCACTCCCCGACCAGTTTTTCTAGATCCCTCCCTCCTTCTGTCATCGTCTGTTTATCTCCAACCGTTTCACAAACTCGTCCGTAGTCGCCCAGTTGCATATTGTTCTTCAAACTTGATGAGCACATAGGAACGTAGGGTGTGGAACGCAGCAATCTCCGTCTTCTCGGCCGCTCTTGACCCAGACGCCGGCCAATAAGTAGTTAGATGGGTGACCACCAGCGAATCCCAGCTCTTGTATGTCTTTTTATTTTGCTCCTGGCTGGACTCGCCTAGGGCTCGAAGGAGACATGGACAGATAGAAAATGTTCAAATGGTCAGGTTGCGGCGAGTGGAAGGTGAATCCTGATACCTCGGCACCACTTGAAATAAACAGGTCAAAGGTCATAGTATAATCAATAGCAGCTTGTCTGTTGCAGTGTCAACAGAGTGCCTCACGCATATTCTACCTGGTTGAGGAAGCGCTACGAGACTGGATGGGTGTAGCCTACGGTCCTCGTTCACAATCAACAACCAACAGTCCCGATACGTTCGAGTAGTTGCTGAATCTGGACGACTCCCTCGGGCAGACTGTCCCCAAAGCCGTGACGATCAAGCAGGTACAATAAAAATGCATAAAGGACAAATTCCATAACCTGAAATTCCTAAATTATCGTGGCTGGCACGCATCCTACTTCCCAGCTAGCCTCAGTGCCCCACCCCAGCTGGAACAAAAAGCTGACCTTTGCCTAACAAATTCACATGCCATTGCGCAGGTTATCGTATTGCGACAGCGGGTAGCTTAATTCATTCTGAGTCTGTTCAAAGGCTCCAGCGCCTCCGAGTGCATTTACTACCTGACAGGATATTAGAAATGGACCAGCAAATAGATCAGCTTTGTACTTGCCGTGGTAACCAGACTCCCGCTTCCGGTCTTATCGCTGCTGCTGTCCCACCACATGGCGCCTCCCAATCCTAAGGATTGAATATAGCCAGACTTCATAGTCGCCACTTGAGGATTGTCATAGCTGATCAAAAATTTGTTCGTCGCGTCGTAACTGTAGCTCGCCATGATATTTGGAATGACATATTCCGTAGCGCCAGCTTGAGGGAGTGCCTTGTAGTCCCACACTCCATTCTCCCAGCTGCCCTGGCCAACTCCGTTATATGGCTTGCCAAGTCCGTCGGTACTGGCGAAGGAGCGACCGTAGAGGGGCATGCCCAGTACGATTTTGTTTGCGGGGACTCCACCGGCACGGTACAGATCGATTGCGGTCTGGGTGTTGAACTCCGTAGAGATTGGGTTGGAGGTGTCGTTGTAGACGTTGGCCTGATGCCCGGCGACAGAGGACCAGCTTCCCGCGTAGTCGTAGGCCATGAGGTTCCAGAAGTCCAGTTGCTGATCCATGTCTTTGAGGTGAAGGACCTTGATCTTATCAGGACCTATTTAAATCAGATGGGTTCAAGGGGTAGTATCAGGGCATTGTCTACTAACCAGCTGGAGAAGCTACAGTGAGAAGGAAGTGCTGTCCACCCGCATTCGTAGCACTGTAACTGTCAAGTGCCTGGTAGGATTAGTGACATATCCGTCAAGAGTCACGTTCAAAAGCACATACGGCTCTCACTTCCTTGAGCAACTGCACAAAGTCGCTCGCCTGCTGGTCATTTTCCGGATACTAAGCTAGTTAGCGAGCGCCAAGGTTGGATCCCGGCATCACCTCACCTCCCAATCAATATCCAGACCATCAAATCCCAAGTCCTGCAGCAGCTTCACAGCGGTCGTTGCAAAATTCTTCCGCCCAGCATCGGTACTCGCCGCCGGAGCAAAATTGGGAGAATATGTCCACCCTCCAATAGACAAGAGAACCTTGAGGTTACGGTTCTGCTTCTTCAAGAGATATAGCTGCTTGATACAGCCGTAGACATTGTTGCCAGAATCATTCCAGGAGTCAGTCGGATAATGCTTCTCAATGTCTGCCCAAGAGTCTGTCATGTAGACTTCGCCGGTTTCAGGACGCACGTTGGCAAAGGCGTAGAGGACGTGCGTCAGCTGCTGGACAGGCAAGTCCTGAGGGTTATGGTTGCGCCCATAAATCGCCTAGATAGTTAGTGCCAATCGAGTACCGAGTAGGATGGAAACATATATAATACTAACCCAGTTCACAAAGTAAATGACGGACCTATATCCGGAGGTAGCGCGCGCCTCGATATCAGTAGTGCCAGCATTGCGATTCCACATCACTGCTGCATCGACACAGAGACCGCCGAGCAGGAGGGCGAACTTAACGATGGTGGAAGATGCAAAGCGCATAGTTGTTGTTCAGTCGAGCTTATAGATGTGTGGGCTTGTCGAATGCAGTCGTGTTGTTGCCCGGAAATACCGCGAGATACACTTCCTATTTATCTCTGAAGCTCATCATCAGGCACGTCTTCATCGCTACTTTCATCCAGGACATCTACAACTCTCCATCGTCACAGTGTCGCTTTCTTCTCAAGTCACATCACCGCGTTGTAGAGATAGGTACGCCAGGATCCCATCAAGGGTAACCCTGATGGCAGTGTGTCACAAGGTCAAGGATCCCAGATCGGATAGAAGATAAGGATAATCTAGTGAAGAATCAATGTTCCGGTGATCCGGCGGCCACAGACCTTGCAGTATCCTCGAGTCACAGGCCAAGTTTCATGTACCTGACCATCCTGCATGCGACATGAGTAGTTGCATGTGGACGGGGCTTATCTGCCCAATGGGAGAATCACTTTGTGCACAAAGGCAATGTGACTCCCCGCGTGGAGGGCTGCCAAGGCGCTTAGTTGCATGAGGGTGTCCTGAATCTCCTGGCCGATGTAACTACAGGAAGACGTGTATATTGAATCGTGCACTCTTCCTGTTTATCAATTCGTTGTTTGCTTAGTTGGAGGCGGTCTTCAGCATCTGAAAAGGATGCATACTTCTATACGATGTAGCTGTGGCAGCCGATCCCAAAGAGATGCCACTCTCACTTTGAATTTCGTGCAACTGCGCAGCTGGACATGCGACATCAACAATTATATCTCATCAAGTCTTTACTATTGTAATATGTGCGATGCCCTCAAAATGTAGCAGGCTTTTTTTGCAGATAGGCTAGTATTGGACTCGTGATTTCCCCTCACCCAAACACAATCCAGGGTCATACCCCTCATATCGCTCTTAGTGCAGTCGTTCGATGCCTACTTTTGCTGTTGCAATCAGAAAGGTAATACCATATAGCTTTATTTAACGTATCTTTTCTGTATAGGAAGAGCCAATAATGTCTCTAGTGGTGCTATATGAAGATTTTATAGTGGTATGCACTTGCCGAGTCCTTCAAGCTTTGACACATCTCTCTAATGGTCCACGGTGGTACCATGTAGGTCATTAATACACAGAGAATACGTCTCACACGCCCTGGATCGGCGCAGAGTTACTAGCAAGTACTTCTCAGCATTACATGATAATTCGAGAATACTCTCCTTGGCTGAGAGAACGTGTTAACCTAAGGCCCCTTCATTCCATACAAATAGCTTTCGAACCCTCGTTGGTAGCCTTAGGAATGACGGAAAACCCGAGGGTAGACGTACTAATTCTAACAATGTTGCCTATCTAGAGCCAAACCTTAGTGCTGAAGCTAGCCGTTGAAGCAGGTCTCAACCAAAAGGTAGCGAACAAGCGTTTTTATAATGTCAGGGCCCCCTCTGGTAGACCGAGATCGAACAAAGCACTGAATAACATTTTCTCGATAGGTCAGTATCTTGATAGTGCACATAGGGACGCTGTTGATGACGCTATGTCTGAATATCCATAGGTCTCTTTGACTGCTGAATGATGAGTCAGGCCGTCGTCGAGCGTCGCATTATCTACATATCCGGCCAAATCCGGTGGCATAGTGGGGGAACCGCTTGCTCTCTGAACTTCTCTGTGGATAAGACACCCAGACTGTGGCTAACTTGGATTTGCCTAGGCATGCAAAACCGCTTGTGTAGATACTTCCTAGGGTAAATAACTCTTTCCCTACATATTTGACCATTTTACTTGATTATTTCTATTCAATATTTATATTACTCATACACGATCCATTTCATCGGCTTTTCTATTTATGTTGGGCTTTGTACCGCATATTGTTCTTTTGTCAGTAAAATTTCTATGCCTAAAGACATAGTCAGGTATCACAAACTGCAGCACTTACTTCTATGTCACCTAGCCTACTCACTGCGGACTTCTAGGCAACTATTATTTAGTAAAGACCACAGCATACATTAGGCCTGTCTGTGCCGTCTTTGACGACATCCCAGGCTAACCTTGACTACTTTAACTAGTTTCAAAAAAAAAAAAAAAAAAAAAAAAAAGGAGAAAGGAGAAAGAAGAAGAAAAGGCAACACCTCTTGCTCAATTATCCGATCAAACTGTGGTGAATTATTATGGAAGATTAACCACTCCTAGCGTCAGATATATTGTCCGGCGAAGAGATAACCCGCACACCTTCACTTGCGCGGCACACTCAGAGAATTAAGATTTGACAATTTATGCTGCTGTGCTTTTCGCTCGCTCTCTACGAAAGTATTCGTCTCGGGACAAGGACGTAGGGTCACAGTAGAGTTTGCCAGTGAGACTGGTAACTCGTAGCGCCAATCGTTCCCGATTATTAAGATCGCTAGGCTGGATATTAGAATGTCGTCTATTCTTTTTCAGCCAGGGATACCAAACATACTAGGTGCCAGCGTGGAGGACAGTCCGACTATATTAGAGTCTGTTAGCACTGTGATGAAGAATAACATCTAATGTACGGGAGACGGCATACTTATCCCAAATGACAACATCATCAGTCTCCCACCGATGGCGGTACTGTAAATCATGATTGTCTGTGATAAGCTTCAAGACTAACCGGTTATCAGCATAAGGACTCAATATGACGATTTAGGTAAGGCCCCTTGGGAAGGGCTTTTCACGTACAGTATGCCTTCATCAGCTCATGTTCATAGTCGGTAACTTCATTGATCTTTCCGTTGGCGCGCATCGAAATTGGACTAAAACCCCATAGTGCTTTCCATCCAGTAACTGGATTTGTGACAACTAATGGGCTGCGCATTTTCAGACTTGCCCATTTATTAAAGAAGGGGTTGGGGCGGTGGCTTACTGTCTTGCTTCAAAGTGGCCACCTACGTTGTCGGGATGGCCGCGGGGTCCCAACCAAAGCTTGATCCCTTTATCTGCAAGGGGCATAATATCCGGCTCATGATGCGTAGCTTCATTGCGTTGCGAGTTAGCTTTAACTCTCAATATGCGTGGGCAGGCATACAAGATAAGGAATCAGCCATTCTCTGCCACGGCTCTGACAATCGGTCATACGCTCCATAACAGGAGCCAAAAAGGGTATCACCTCCGGTTCTTGGAGTCTTCACCATTTTCATTGCAATATAGTCCGATGGGATATTCTCGTATGAAGTACTTTTCCAGGTTTAGTCTAAGAATGCAGGAGGAAGAACGCGCGGAACTTACTCCGCATGCCAACCCCGGCTGGCAAACTGCTTCTGCTTTGTGTTCAGATAGTCGTCGAATTTGTCGCGATTATGCTAGATGCGTGAAATGTTAATATGTAACACTGTTAATGACCTATACACTGCGACATACTTCAGAGGACACGACGTAAACTTCAGGGTCAGAGAAGACTGGGTCGTCGCCCAGACACAAATTGACGTCCGGGTGTATCGGGGTAACATGCAGCTTCCCTTCTTTAGGCTTTCCTGTCAATTCTCCCATTCGTTGTATAAGGTATTTGAGTTGGTGTACTTCAATGTCCTGGCGACGCAGGACGACCACACCGCGCTCGGAGGCTGAATTCCTTATTAGTGCCGGTTCTTTTCACGTAGTCCCTAGCTGACTTTGTCTGCTCACCTGTAATCGCCAAATCTTTAATCTTGCTGTCAACAGCAATTATGTCTGACAACTGAATATCAGGGTACTCTCTCCCAAGAGCATTCGTCGCATCGATGTAAGAGTATGTATCCAACGCACCACTGGTGCGCATGCGGGGATGCACCATTATTATGTGTTTGTTGGCCTGGGCTATTCTGTTTGTTATCGGCCCAGAACATATCAAGTAGCGCTCACTTTGGATAGCAGGCTATTTGCTCTTATATCTTTTCCTGTGAGAAAATTTCCAGATGGTACTCTGGAAGCCTGCCTAAGGCAACAATCTACATGTGGAAGTTGTTGTTCTGGTTGTCGATCTGGAACATGCTACTACTACCTACGTGTCAAGCCACATCTACAGCCATATACTACACCTTACATACCACTCAGTAGGTAGGTTGGCCATTTTTGGTAGTGTAATGGTCATTTAGGTTGGCAGTAGGTAAGGTACGGTAGTATCGAGCCACCGCCGGATTTCTTGGCTCAGGCGATCGTCTACCGCATAACTCCTTATCCGCGAACGGTATCCCCATGCCACGCATTCCCAAGCCCGACATTTATCAAACTCAAGCACCAGGTCTGTCGACAGAATCATTTCCCAAGACCTTGGTTTCAGAAACTCACGGTCCATGGCTCAGGCAACTGTGGTTATATCAACCCCTGTGTCATACCTTGCAATACCCACGGGCGATCATCGATGATATTTTGTCACGTCAGCTGTCCGGAGGCCAGGAGGGTTTGAGGTGCATTTAACTCCTTTAAATTTCCTTAAGGCCATGCTTATCCTATAGTTACACCATCGTAGGCATTACTAAACAGACAGAGCTTGCTAGCGCCGATAAGATACACCGATCTGCTACGACAAGATTCTAGATCCAAACATAGCTTCTATGATATCCTGATATCCTTCATCGATGTGATCATTATCGTCGCCTGTATGTAGTATGACTGGCCCAACGTTTCAGCCTGTAAATGGCTTTTGAAAGACAATTGCGAAGAAGAGGACACCCTGAACGACACGGCTTATCGGAATGCCATGAAGACCATCATCTGAAAAATAGAGCTTAAGGAACTGTTCGCAACTGAATTTCCACTGAGTATTATCGTCGATTTAACGAGGATCGAATCCTCAATGTAAGCAGTGCACAGGCCCATGAACTAAGGTTAATCATCCAGTGTCAAGACAGGTTTCAGCTGCGCAATGGTCATTGACCAAGGCAAACTAATGAGGATACTGAATTGCGCTTTTCCCTCTTCGGCGCTTGCTTGTCACCTAGTTATTAGTGCTGAATCATTTCTTCATTGAACTAGACAAGTCTGCATGTATGCCGAGAAAATCCAGTTCTGGATGATCAGATAAGCTTGCCGCTATTGAGAAACCCCAGGAATTCGCCAAGGCTAGTTCATATTCTCATAAACGATGTAATTTAGCTATACAGTTTGTATATAAGTGCTGTAGAGTATGGCCTCCTGGCGGCTTTCTTTTGTAGGCGGGTCGCTGTACCGCCACAATCAGGGTTGCCCATCGCGTACCATTCACAGGCTGGGAGCTGCGCCTATTAGACTTGCTTGTTCTGTTTAACCTGCTGCAGTCGACGGGCCGCGGCAAGTGATGCCGTGGCACTATATCTTTTATGCCTCTGTTGTCTTCCTTCCCTAGTGCTTGGTAGCCCTCGGTGTGGGATCGCTATAGTCTTCCGGCTCTATCCATCGTCGGGCGGGAATGGGGTTAGGACTCCATTGTTGGCCTCGTTGGCTGCCTTGCTAGGGAGGGGCAGCGGCTATCATGATCTCTCTCTTTGTTTACCCCCTCTGCTCGGGCGCTATATAGCTCTACGAGGAAGGGGGTGGAGGCGTTGTTCAGAGTAGAGAATTCTTAGGTTGCCAATTTAGGCCGGTGATACAATTTAGGGGCCCAAAAGAGAAACAAAACCAGCACACAAAAAGAGAAGAACAGTCTCCCACACCTTCTTATTATATCATCAATGGCAGAGTATAAGATTACTCGGTCTGCGGGCAGGCTGCAGAACCATATTCACGCCGTGACTTAGTATGGGCGCATCTGAGACACTGTACAAGGGGTCATCTTGTATATCTAATTTCCTTCCTTCATTTCATGTCCCCTGGCATACCGGACGGAAGTTACAGAAAACAAGAGGTTTCCCGCCGCAGCCTCGACCATCGCGTGGGCATACCGCAGCTGAGGGCGTGTCAGTCCTGCCTCCGTTTCCAATCGGCGAAGGGAATCCTCCATCCTGGCCTCCCAGTCCAGAATTAAGAGCATGGTGATCTCTTTCGCCAGTGAGGAACCCGAGCTTAATACAGTGTCAAGGTAATGCACCGCATTCAAGATACAGGCATTCTCCTCCACCATCGCATGCTTCTCTTTTTCATAAGAGTAGAAATCATTCACAAAAATCATATGGTCGTTCGCCTTGTTGATAATCTCTTTCAGGGGATGAATTTCCTCTGCAGTGAGGCAAAGTCCATTGCCAAACCGGATACCAGTGGAGATAAAGCTATAATTGGAATAAAACTTCGTCAGCAGTAAGATCACTAAACCTCTTGGTAGTGGGGCGTTTACTCTAGCGCAATGTCTTGTCCACGATAGTCCAAAAAGTCCTGCAACCCCTTGAACTCGCTCCGGTTCTGCTCCCGGGTGAAGGAGATGAACGAGGCAAATTCCTCGACAAGTATGCATGCAGCTCCATTATTGTCATTGAGTATCTCGGTATTCAGACCAAACGTCGCATATATTCCCTGCTTCGGGATTGGTATCTCGCGGCGGACAATCTGCACCAAGGTGTCTGTGATCTCGTCAACCACTGTTATGCCCTGGTTGGAGGATCAGCACAAACAACGCCTTGTTGATAGCACTCATGGCTACTGTTTTGGCGCACGTACAGCACGTGTAGGATGATATTCAACGACGTCTAATAGAATAAGTAGGTTAGATGACTAAGTAGAGACAGCGGCATAGCAAGGTATCCTTACCATCCTGAACCCATAGCAACATATACAGCTGAGAAATCAACCGAGAGCGTGCTGGCGATGCGTTTGGTGTCATATAAGCAGCAGCGTTGACGGCTGAGTCAACAATGAGCTGCTCTTTGGGAGTCAGAGCAGGGGAATCATCGACCCGTGTGGTCAGCATGAATCCATCGGGCACAACCTTGCTTTTTTCGGCTTGTAGCCGGCGGATGTTGATTATAAGCTCGATACATGAAGCCTGGGCCTCTTTCCAGTGGCGGCACTGCCTTGCTGCTGGGAATGATGACGGCCATGGAAGCCGAAACGTCGTGGGTTGAATAGAAATAGAGTCAGATAGTTCGTGATGCCCTTCTTCCCTCCCAGTCCCGAGAAAGTGGAAGGCTGGACTGGGGGCGATAGCAGGCATACGAGGGCCTGGGAAATATGCGGATCGAACTGGTATAGCCATGGCAAGAGAATGTAGGGCAACGTTCCCATTACGCGTGTCTACTCTGAAGCTACCAGTCAGATAATTTATAGGCACAGATCAATGGGGGTGGCTCTGCCATGGCAAAACACCCTCCACTAGAGTTAGTGTATGACGAATAATTCAACCAACACCCATGGCCGTACTCAACAAAAAAGAACTACCAGTAAGAAGTCTCGGACGCCTTTTGTACTTTCCTGCTCGTGGAGTCAATTACTCGTTATTGGGTTGGCGAACAGAAAGGGAAATACTGAATTTGAATGTTGCAGAGGATTATGATGCATAACTCCCGATGTAGACATATATCGTCGCCATCAGGAAATTATAGAGCGGCGAAAGAAAGGCTCACGTGCACCATTAGAAATAAAGAGTCTCGGAGTTTAGTTGGATTTTGATAAATCGATACTTAAGGTCTCAATAATAATGCTGTTACAGCCACCATTCAGATTTTGATATGATGAGCACAAGTGGCATTCCTAGGAGCACAATATGGATATCTCTTCTATTCTAGGATGTTGACGTTGCAACAATGCATCTTATCTTACCTAGCAGTCTAGCAGCTGCAGGGCATCGGCAGTACACCTTTTACATCACTCATTTTCCGTATTGGAGTTTAAATGCAGGCTGGCAACGCGAAAGCACCGTTTAGGAATGATCGCGAATGGCGTGAAATTATAAAGTTAATAACAATAATTTTTTGATCGGTAGCGTTGCCAAACTCTGTGCTATGGCACCGGCATACACATCTGGGGCACCAAAAAATATCTTACGGTATTTCATAGGTTGATGATCAGCCGTTACCTGACATATATGCCGATTCTGGAATAATGCACGAGCAGGGTGACGTATGCAGTTTCACTCCGTACTTAAAATTTTCCGGGTCGGGTTGGGTTGGGTTCGGGTCGGATCTCCCGGGTAGTTGCTACGCCACCCGATAGATTAGGTTTATAAAGGATTGGTGTTTTTTGCTAAAACGATAGGAAAAGAAGAATAAAGGTCAGCCCTTAAGAGGTTGGTTCATTAGGTACGCCGTGGTGTGATGAAGCGCAAAACGCCTGCCTATTGCCCGACGAGGATTCTTTTGGAACAATGAACAATGCCGTCGCACTTCCTTGTTCTCCAAAGACACCAATAGGATGCGAACGGCAGTACTTCGGGGATTTTGCCCCGGTTGTGTACCCCGTATAGCTCTAGGTGCGTGCGAGACTTTCCTCGCACGGTTCTGGGGGAGGCTAGATCCGTCCCTTGACAGTCTTTCCGGGAATAACAGGCGTGCACTCGGTGCGGTTGGGTCGGGCAGGTATAAAATAGGACCCGCGCTGGTTGCGGGTTTTTTAATATATAATCTCTACCGGCACCGCAGACACGTGTCTCTAACAGACCGCTGGGCGGGTCACAAAATCTTATAAAGACGCATAACTTTCATAGTATTATGGATATATATATATATTTTAAATGAATTCTACGTATTTGTATAGATTTTATGGATTTTTTAACCTGCGTTGTGGCCCCTAAACCCGCACGGGTCTTACTATCAGGACCGTCTTCTCTACACCGCTGCGGTCCGGATTGAGAACCCTGCCCGGGATTCGGGAAGTAGGAAGGGTTGTACTCCGGAGTGTGGGGCAAGCAACCCCCCGGGGGTCGGCTTCTCGGGCACCGGGGGGTGGGGAAGGTCGAACGCACACCGGAGCATCTTCGGCATTAATCGTCTTTCTCCCCAGGCCATCTCACGGGCCGCAGGCGGTTCCCATCGGGCTTGATCCAGAAGTAGACTGTGGCCGGCATTGTCATCGGCGTTGGAGACCGTTGCCCGAATGACATATGCACCTCCGGCAAGGTTCGCAGGAAGCGATGCCGTTGTCGGGTCTCGTGTGATTTCCGTTCCGTTGATGGAGACGGGGCTTGTAAATACCTGTATGGCATCATACCCCGCAACCGGAAGGCTGGCTAATGTGGGAGTCCCATTGATTGTCTGATGTTTGACCTCTGGCTCCAGACTCTGTTGTCCCTCGAAGTCTCCATAGTAAGGCAGCCATGATAAGACTAGCAGAGAGTGAACCGGAAGTCTCTTCGGTGTAAAGGTGAGAGAACTCGGCAGTGCCATAGAATACGTAAGACGAGTGTTTAAAAAAACACCCGGCCTCCATAGGATTATTAAAACAACGAATTTCTTAGAAGATTGGGTTGAGTTTCGCACTGGTCTATATACCATCAGGCGTGATGTAATATTACCTCGCGGTTTCGTAGAACTCTTGACGATCAACGTTTCGCTGCGTCTACAGCCATGAAGACGGGCTCCTGTAGTACGGTTGACACGCCTGGATAGGAAGGTTTAGAGGGTCAAGAGAACTATTTTTCCTTTAGGTGTGTTCCTTAATTTTTACATATATTTTGCCCGGCGAATCGGGGTGAATCGAATCCAATGACATAAATGCCTCACCGCCGATCTTTGCGGGAATATAAGGGAAACAAGAGCGCCGTCACAGATAGTCCATTTTCCAGTACAATAGAATCGGTTGTCTGTCTGATGGGGTTATGTATAATGGGGCAAAGAGGACGAGGAAAGGAACATCGAAATCTCTTAACGACCCCGAGTGGAGAGGACGACGACTTTCTGGGGAGGGGGTGAAGGTGTAACTGCGTCATGTCTTGTACCTGCTCCGTACTCTGTACTTCGGGCTCCACTTGCTACCCAGGGAGGTTTCTGGAAAGCCAGCTGAGTTCTCGGCTGACCGTGCTGCGTGGGGAGACGCCGATATTTCCCCGGGAGCCAGCCATTGAGGCCTCGAACTCGCCGTGTGCGTTGTGAGAGCCCTGCAGGTAACTACTCCGTATGCCGGTAGAAGGCTCCACACTTTGGGACCGAAGGTCTGCTGCAGTGCGTCATTCAACACCCCACGCCAGGCTTACTCCGTAGATTGATTGCGTCTTGGGTAATACGGTAACTCCATCAAGTCTTACTCCGTAGCACATTTGGATTGTGGGTAGCACAGCCCGCCCCTTAAGTACTTAGGACTGTGATCCCTCTCCCCCTTCCTTGTTTGACAATTTTGAATTCGATACCTCATTAAACAACGGCTATGTTATTCAAACGCCCCCCCAATGAAAAGGGAGCCGCATGGCCAGCCATCTTGGTGGGTTTGTTCGCCTCCTTTGGCGGCATTCTCTATGGATATGATACCGGGACCATTTCGGGTATCCAGACTATGCCCTACTGGCTTGATGAATTCGATCATCCTAGCGAAGGCCGCATCTCCCTGATTGTTTCCATTTTGTCCGTTGGAACGTTCGTTGGCGCCCTCGCGGCGGGAATCATCGCAGACATTACCGGCAGAAGATGGGGAATCATCCTCTCAGTCATGCTGCCTTTCAATCTCGGTGTAGCTCTTCAAACTGCTGCTACGGCGCAACCTATGTTTATTGCTGGTCGCTTTTTCGCCGGTCTCGGAGTCGGTTTAGTTTCCACCCAAGGTGTGTTAGGTCGGCGAAAACAGCTCAAGTATCCATTGCTGATCGCCCATAGTTCCCATGTACCAATCCGAAACCCTACCTAAATGGATCAGAGGCGCAGTTGTGGGATGCTACCAGCTCTGCATCACAATCGGCCTCTTCTTGGCCGCTATTGTGAGCTGGGCAACCCAGCACCGGAACGACAGCGGTATTTGCCCATGCATGTTCGGACCGCTAAATTATGAAAGAGACCTAACGCGATCGCAGGAAGCTATCGCATCCCACTTGCCATTCAATTCGCATGGGCAATAATTCTGGTGAGTTTTTCCACCTGGTAAACTGCCACCCGCATGAATCCATAACTGACTTGGGAAAAGGCTGGAGGCCTTCTCTGTCTCCCAGAGACCCCTCGTTTTCTGATCAAAAAAGGCAACGAAGCCCAAGCCCTGAAATCGCTGGTGTTCCTTCGTCGCTTGGATCCTGAGGATCCGCATATTATCGCCGAGCTGGCAGAGTTAAAGAGCAACTGGGAGTATGAACAGTCCCTTGGTTCTGCTTCGTACATTGAATGCTTCAAGGGTACCATCGGCAAACGCACCATTACTGGAATTACACTCCAATCACTTCAGCAACTCGTCGGCATCAACTTCATCATCTATTATGGCACGAGTTACTTCGCCAAGAATGTTGAAGGCCTGCCAGACTCTTTCATCTTGCAGGTGATCGTGAACTCTGTCAATGTAGCCATGACGCTTCCAGGCCTTTGGGCAGTTGATCGCTTCGGACGCCGCCCAGTTCTTCTGATCGGGGCTCTTGGGATGGGTGTCTCCCAATACATCGTTGCGGCCTGCGGTGCCGCAACCCCGACCACGAATTTCACGTCGCAATGCGCCCAATTTGCTTTTATCTGCATATACGTGTCGTTTTTCGGTAAAGTTAACACGATAACCCTCTAGAGTGCCTTTGCTAACATCCACAAAGCATCCACATTTGGCCCCTGCGCTTGGGTCGTCACGGGAGAGATTTTCACGCTGCAGACGCGTGCCAAATGTCTTTCTATGACCACTGCTGCGAACTGGTTCTTCAATTGGCTTCTTTCTTTTATCACTCCATACCTCACAGGAGCACTCAACCCAACCCAATCCAACGTGTTCTGGATCTGGGGTAGCTTCTGCTGGATCGCATTCGTGTTCGTCTACACAATGATATATGAGACTAAGGGGCTGGCCCTTGAGCAGGTTAATGAGCTCTACGAAAATGAACCAAGGGCATGGAGGAGCCTTGGTTACCGCTCCGAACTCCGAACGCTCTCTTTTGCTGAAGCACACGACAAGAGTTTGGCTAATGAAGATACGAAGCCTTCAGAGTTGGCTCTCGAGGATGTTGAAAAGGCCTGATCAGCCACACGGTCGCTATAATGGAACTCTTTGGAGACCGTCGCAATCACGGGAACTATAACTCTTTTCTATGGAAATATATGATATTGAATCTGTTTCTCCTAACGAAGGTCCCGGAACTTTTGCCAGTGTGATTAGAGTGTTTTTCAACGTCGTATTGAGGGGTTACCGATAGAAACTAAAGGGAAGGGTGATGACACCGCTTTCGATGGCTGGTTGCCCGTGGATGTAGATGGGGAGGCAGAGAATGATCTGGTAGAGGGCGGCGTAAGAGCTAGAATGTGGCGGCAGAGACGAATTTATACTATTTTATGCATAGTAGACTATTAGTTAGGATAAGCCTCGTGTTAATACTAAGTAAGGGCGCAGTCCATATATAAGCATTGAAGGATAGGCTTCAATTACCTGCGGAGATTATGTATAGAAACGATTTAGCTTAGCCTATACTAATTCCTAAAATCGGTGAACAGGTGCCGGAATATATTGACCTGTTCATACGCAGTACCGGTGCGGACGTTCGGAATGGGGAGATTTGGACTGGAAACATCAATGGCAGGTTGTTAGAGGTGTCCCATGTTCTCCTTCCAGAAGTAATGCCAGAGGCTCAGGCATGTCAGCGCCGCAACATCGGGATCGAAGCCCTATGGATCGGATGCCAAGGACGCCACGCCGCTGTAGGTGTGGTACATTGTGTTGCTAGTCTGGATCGATATACAATAGAAGTTGAATCTTCGGGATGCGTCATGCCAGCCATGATCACCACCTCCCATTCATTAAGCATCCATTACCACCCCGCCTGATAATCTCATTTTGTGCTCACTGCCCATCCCCCCGCCGTGCCGCTCCAAGTTCTGGAACGTGTAGAAGATTGGTGAAGGTGAGTCGCGACTGGAGGATGGGGCCCAACCGAGAGTCCCTGCCGGGCAATCTCCTGGAGCCGTAGTTCCAGTTTCCACAAGCTGCTGCTAAACAGTGACAGTACGACTCTACGAATCAACCATGTTCACGGTATTCAGAAATATTGTATTACTTTCTCTCCGATGGGTTAGGAGCATCTGAACCTATTCGAACAACCAAACTCTTAGTATTGAAATTGTCCAAATACCAATTAACCTTATATAAGTTATCTGTGATGGCCTGTAGATGGTAATCATAAAGCCTGTTATCTTCTGACATTCCTTATTGCATCGCCTGCCACGCCTTAATATAGATGGGCAGGTTTAACAAGAACTCAGTCCTCTTCGGCAACCATCCCAACAGTGTTCTTGCCCGCGAAGCATCTAACTTGCTCACAGAGCTCATTGCTGCTAGAAATGGGTCTCCAGATGGTCCCACGTACTCGATTGATCCACCAACCCCAAGCACCTCCTTGGAACACTCCATAATTTCAGTGATGGACACCGTCTCCGCCAGCAGATCGAAAACAGGCCACGAACCCAATTGACCGCCTAAGCGGTCTATGGCTGCATGTACCCCAGAGGCTACATCGTCTATGTGGATTGTAGCAATTCGGGCTGAGATCTCAACTGGTACTTGTATGGGCCTACTAAGACCAGAATGTAGTGCATCCTGCAAAGGCATCCACAACGAGCCGAATCCCGACGAACTACGGCCGTATATGTCACCCGGCCGAAGAATAGCGACGTGAAGTATATGTCGTGTCGCCAGGATCGCTTGTTCATGGGATGGTCTCCATGCAGCCACCTCGGCAGGCTTTCCCTTAGATTGGCGACTGCCGACTGGAGACAAATCACTAACCCGACACGAGGGCGATCCGTGAACCCAGGTTCCTGAAATGTAGACTAAGCCCAGTCTAGGGCCCACCATCCCCTCGTCAGAAAGTGCCTGTCGTTTGGCCTTTGCGGCATGCAACACGCCTGCGAGGATGTTGCCTGCTTGGTCATATGCGGAGCTAGCATCCACTACAACATCAATCGTGTTGGCAGTGATGATGCCACTCAGACTCTTTGAGTCTATGGCCGTAATCTCCACCGGGATGATTTCATGCTGCATTAACAACCTGGCTTTCTCTGCTGTACGCGCTGTGCCCCAGACAGTGTAAGTACCATCCCGCAGGAGAGACTGTGCGAGTGCGAGACCGATGTAGCCTGTTGCACCGAGAATGAGGATGTTTGGCATGGTTTTTGGCTGTTCAGGCTGGCTGGTTTCAGGCGTTCTTATAAGTGAGCGGAGGTCACTCAATTTAAAGTACTCGATGGCTGACAAATTATACTTTAAAGACCGTTCTAGCCATTGGGTGACACGGGGAGTTGCGGGGAAGGTCGAACACTGTAAATTCTTGTTAGGGTACAATATCAAGGGGGATATTGGGGACAATTGGCCCGGTCTCATTTTATTTCCACGTCTAGAAGTATTGCAGATTGCTTTTGGTCTGATACTGTATGAACCACCGCAATATTGTAAATGTTTTGAAAGCAGCTTTGTTGTATCCAACTAGTCTTCCACCTCCATTCTCATAATACTGTGAGGAGTATACCCTATCTCGTGAACATCCAAGGCAGTCAAGGCATAACATGATATTCGTACCTAGACATATATGTTCACAGCACAAATCTTGCTCCTACTTATCATCATCTAATCAGTTGTGCTACGGTATACTCCCCCGCCAATCTCTACAGATAAATCATGATTTTCGTTACCGAATACATGGAGATCATTATATATAGCTCAGCCTCAGGAGTTTGAGACACAGTATAGCTTTCCTCCGGTGAATATAGGAACAGCCTGTCCTGTCAGATTTGAAGATGTTGTCTGGTGGTGAGTAACCCAGGTGTTGAGAGGATATCTGGGACAGAAAGGTCGAGCAAGTGAAGGGAGTAAGGTGATTGGGCAATACAGAACAGCAAAATGAGGGCCGGCCTAGGTTCAGGTCCACTACCTAGGTATTTTATCTCAGTTTTCGAATATACTTAGATCATATGCTAGCCTAATTTGGGGTGTGACCGAATCTCTCTCTTGGCGTTAGGACTGGGGAATAAGCTCCGCTGATGGTGAATGAGGTTTCGAATCCGATGGCCACATGCAGAGGCCACCGCCAAAGAATAAAGATTTTCATGTCAGAATTGCCAGCGAGAATTGTTGAAGGCTAGCTTGATCCTGTTGTCCCGCCTCTGCGATGCACAACCCACCCCGCGATTCAGTCTCAGGTTGACATGACTAGCGTGAGGACTTTTGGTGGCTCACATGTCTGCTCCTTGTACCGACTGCCGTGCCGGTGCCGTTTATGCTCGCTATGGATCCTTCTTCCGTCAAGCTGTCGCGCTGACACCCCCTCGGACTATAGGTGGCCAATGTGAGAGTAATACCATATTTCGTATGATCTCGCTGAATGGATATCGTGCATATGTATTGCAACTTTCTTGTCCCAAAATCTATATAAACCCTACGAGGTTCAGGCCTACTTATATCCCGACTGGCCCATTCCCCTGGTGACTTGCTTTTCCACGTTCTCCCAAAGAAGACGAATCTATTCTTTTAGTGTTCCAGTACTGCTTGTTTGGTATAGCGGTGGCCAAGAGACAATGTGGGTTCATTTGCCGACTCCTCTGCGGGACATGTCCGAGTCGTTGACCTGCAGAAATCGAATTCCCTTACAGAGGTTATAGAGCGATAGGAGGGCCGTGAACGCCCTTGGGATGTGCCAGACCTACTTATCTTTTATATTGATGGTCGGGCCCTTTAAAAGAATTGACGATTCGTATTGACCCAAGAATGGGTAGATTTCTAATGTCTTGATCACTGCCAGACGGGCAAAACTACAGTGGGGAACGAGTGTGTAGGTACACACCCCAGCCAAGCCCAGGAATGATATCCGCCCACACGCTAAACTAGAGACAATCCTGGCGGGAGAGTCAGACAGGGGCCGCTTGGCGCCATGCAGCAGGATTGTGGTCTGATTGTATTGGTAAATTTTCAGTACTTACGCTGGATTGGGAGGCCAACCTGTTGGGGTTCCTTTGTATACAGTGTCAACTTTATCATGAAGAAGGTTTTATAAGGCCGATCACCCAGCAAACATTCTGCTAGATCATTTTTGCTCCGAGGGTCGAAGGCCCAGATTTGCCCCAGCGAATCCCATTCTCCACTGGCGCTAGTCGCACTGGGTAGTCTCACTGGCTGTTGAGGAGTTGGTGGATTTTGGATGTCGGCTAGCGGTTCCACGGCAATTCCCCTGCAATAATAATAACTCCTCACAAGTCATCCAGATCATAAGACTATCCCCTGCTGATCGTCTTGTGAATCTCTTTTCTTTTCCATTGAATGTTATGATAAATACATATGCACGTTGCTTTCTAGAGTGATGCGAGACAGGGTCTTCTGTACCGTCGTCTCTCATGCCCGGGTCCATGAACGCTTCTCTCTGTTTCATTCTTGATGTTTGATCCATTGCCTACATGGTAACGCTCGTGCTTTATTCCACTGAGTTCTTCTCCTAGTTCCCTAGGATTTATTTAACAAACTGCGGCAGACTTGGGCTTTTTCTTCAATCTCGACACAAGTCGGGTGTCATTTAAGACTACTGCAGGTCAGGTCATGTACTGATATCTGACTACGTGAGATGTCGAGGCTTGTCATTGGAGAGCCCCCAACGGGCGTTGATCTCTCTGAAAATAGGATTGCACAGAATGATGGTACCGTAGCGGCCGTTATGGCGATTGCTACTGCGTTTGTCGCTTTGCGATTCTGGGCTCGGACGACAAAAGGAAGTTCCAACTTGGCGTACGACGACTGGTTTCTTCTGGCGGCATTGGTACGTCAGTTAAATTAAATCCTCTACCGCACGACCAAAAAATTTTCAGATTGACAAAGCTTGCTGCATAGGGTTTCGCGTATGGAACCGGTATATGCTGCATATTAGGTACATCTTAAGACGGTCAGCCTGCATCTCTAACAGTGCTCAGTGCTGACAGAAGTCTTTCCAGGTGGTGCATACGGTATTGGCAAACATATATGGGTGGTAGCTGACGATGATGTCCTTATGAGCATGAAAGTATGCAGAGTGTTCCCATGCGGATGACAGTATTAAACACCACACTAGGAAATGGCTAATTCCATGACAGATCATCTTTGCCTACGTTATCCTCTATGCGACCACTGTTCCTATGGTGAAATTGTCGGTCCTGCTACTGTATCGCCGCATCTTTCGCCTGACATGGACGCTATACTTCTGTGCATTCCTTTCGATCAGTTACGCTATCGCGGTTTCGACCACCGTCTCCCTTGCCTGTGTACCAACTTCTTTCTTCTGGACACAATGGGTGAATCCGTTGGGCGGAGGTCACTGTCGCGTCAATCTCTATCAGTTCTATCTCTGGAACGCCGTAGGGAATCTGTTCACCGATGTCATTATTCTCTGTCTACCTATGCCAATCGTCTGGGGCCTTCAGATGCCTAGGGCACAGAAGTGGGCTATCAGCGGTATCTTCTTGCTTGGAGGATTGTAAGCGCCCAATGCCCACTCATACATGATACAGCACGAAGGAACGCAGGAGCTAATGAGAACTGCAGCGTCTGCGTGGCGACCATCATCCGAATCTGGGCCATCACCAAAATGAAAGTGTCCGTCGATATCACCTGGGCCATTGGTGATGCGATGATCTGGTCCAACGTCGAGCCCTGCATCGGCATTGTTAGCGCATGTCTACCCACCCTCCGCCCGCTTCTTCGTCAAATCCCACAGCTCAAGCTCTGGGGCTTCTTCGATAGTAGCTCTAGGGGCTGGGGCAGCGCAGGAGTGAGTAGCAAGATCCCTGACAGCGCAGACCCGAGCAGTAGTATCGCAGCATCAGCAAACCGATCAGCATATCGCTCCCCAACGGGGAAACGCAACCAGTTTCGCCCCGAGGAGGATGAAATCTACCTCACAACCGATGTTGAGCATACCCATACCCTTCGTCGCGATGGAAATGGTGCTCCATCTATTGGTTCAGTCGATAACACCAAATCAATCCCCATGGGTATAACGGTGAACCACAACTTCCACTGGCGTGAGGAGCACAAATAAAGGGTTTTTCATGGATGTCGTTTTGGGACGGAGTCACACTAAAAGAATGGTTGGATGTTTGTGTATAGAGCATGTCTAATCCTTTCACTATTTCATATGTAAAATACTATTGGAGATTCTCTTATCTTCATACAATTTTCCATCCTCCTGGAAGCCAACCAATTAAACCCAGCTGTCAGAGCCGGATTATATTTCTCCGATGCGCACCGGAGTCACAATTCTACGCAGAACCTCGTGATGCTGGAATGGCAGAGATAACCCGGTTTGGCATTACGGAGTGAGGAGGGTTGCCGTATAGCTGGTAGTAGTAGGCGTGTGATAGTGACGATCGACCGACCATGAGCGCGTTCTTTGGGTCCCTGCCTGTGTCGTCGTGAGAATATTGCGGCTTTCGGCTACGTATTTGTCTATTAGACCACATATTATTCAACGGAAGTTTCGCAGTGATCATCTGCTTAGGCCGTCGGGATGGCCGGATCAGACCAACGCGAAACTCGGCAGTTCCAACTCCAACTCGCCAGGATAGACCTATTGTTTGTTTTTTTATTGGTGTAACCACACGGTTGAACCCACTCGTATATTCTTGGCCATATCTTTTCTGACATAAGCTTACAATAAGCTTTGTTGTTATTTTTAAGAATTTCTAGGCCCAGCTTCTGATAGTTATGTATAGACCTGAGTGATAGTGGTGGAATGGACTCCCAGTAAGCAGCCCCACCTTCGGGGGCCTGAGGGGGCCAGAGCGTTTAAGGTGCGGTAGCGCGGCTTACTACTGCTTACTAGAGACTGCTACATAAGAGTGCTTGATTCCATGAAGAGCAATTTGCTTACACCAAAAAGTCCACATAATCTACACTACATACTACAAAGTTCTGCCGACAACCATGTCCAACACATTGAAGAAGCCTCCGGTTCTCCAGCCCGGGGAAGGACTCCTAGTCACTGGTGCCAACGGCTACGTTGCTTCACATATCATTGACCTTCTTCTGTCCCTAGGGTACCACGTACGAGGCACGGTTCGTGCAGAAAAACCCTGGCTAGATGAGTACTTTACAACAAAGTATGGCACGGGCATGTTTGAGAGCGTTGTCATTCCTGATCTGGCTCAGAAAGAGTCCTTGATCAATGTGTTAGGTGGGATCAGTGGAGTTCTTCACGTGGTATGGAATAATCCCAGTTGAGCCAGAATACCCTTTTTTCGTACAGTGTCCATGCATAGATTTGTGTCATGGCTTTCTAGCTGCATACGTTAATCAATCCTTCCATCCAGGCTACGGACATGTCTCATAGCGCAGACGCCGAAAGTGTTATCAATAATGTTCTCAGGATGACTCAATCTGTCCTAGAAGCAGCCGCTGAGGTGAAGTCTGTCAAAAGGGTCATTCTAACTTCATCTGCTACTGCTGTTCCTCTTGCGAAACCTGGAGTGGAGGGCGTGATCATTGACGAGAGTAAGTCTCAAATGTTTTCTTTTTCTACAGGACTCTTAGACCGTACCCTTGATTGATATATGATAACTAATCATTAATGATGATGATTATTTAGATTCATGGAATGACAAAGCTGTCCAGCTCGCTTGGAATGGCTCTGACTCTTCCGACCCCTCTAATTTTGTCACCGTCTACAGCGCCTCCAAAACAGAGGGTGAACGGTTTGCCTTTACATGGGTAAAGGAACACAACCCTCATTTCGTTTTCAACAGCATTCTTCCAAACTTTGTCGTAAGAAATGACCTGTCGTCATATTTTATCCTCTATCCCTTCTAACTCGAAATAGTTGGGACCTCTCCTTTCTCCTGACTTCAACGGCTCATCCGGGAAAGTCGTGCTTGATCTACTTCATGGCAATAGCTGGATCATTCCGATTATTCCACCAGGTCTCAATTGCCCCGTTCCCCAGAGCCTCGGGCCGCATACCATGAACAATAATTGTACTGACAATTTCTAGAATTCTATATCAATGCTCAAGACGTGGCGCGGATACATGCTATAGGTCTTCTTGACCCAGATATTGTGTCACAGAGACTATTTGCATTTGCCGGTACTTTCAACTGGACTGAGATTATCAGTATCCTACACAAATTGCGGCCTGATAATAACAGACTGCCGACTCCTCCAGAAAATGAGGGTCGGAATTTGAGCGTGATCAAACCTGCAAAACGAGCAGAGGACTTACTGAAGTCATGGTTTGACCGACCTGGCTGGGTTTCTTTGGAGGAAACTCTCAAAGATGCACTTATGAGTGTTGACCTTTAAAATTGAACAGGAATCTCTCTACCTCCCGTACACCACATACACACACCCACACAGGAATAACATTTTTTGTTGCTTTCATGGTATTTTGTTGGGATTTTCCGGTTTGATGGAATGCGCGGACTTTATACGTGACCTCAATTGTATTTCACTGCTTTGATAGCTTTTATTATTATTATTATTATTATTATTATTATTATTATGCGGTTAACCTTGTTATTTTTACCAATGCATTGCTGTTACAGCAATATGAGGACGGTAACATACTTATTGTCAAACCAAGGCGTTTTCCTTGGGAGTTGTGATTACTCTCTAATCCTATCAGCAGCTGAGCAGCGTTGTGGCTAAAAGCTCCAGGTAAAATTCACCACCATAATCGAAATACGTAGAATTGGACCTATCGGTCTGGGGAAGATACTGAGTATAAAACTTATTATCTTCGCCCCATGCTCATCGTTGTGCCCATTGTTGTCCCCGTCTAAATCATGCCTGCCGTCTTCGTCTCCGCTCCCAGTCCGCTTTACTTCCATTCTCATAGTTACTCCTTAACCTTGCCATTTTCCTGTTCTAGGCACTGGATAGCAGAGCTATTCTTCTGGGAAAGCGCCGTTCTTTAGGGAACATTGGATGTCGCGATGGTGGACCAGTTGGTGTTATAACTGCACCTGTCAGATCTCTCTCAACCGAAGGGCTTTGTCGGACAGATTGCCTTGCTGCCGATAGGAGCGCTATTCTGTCGACTTGAACAAACATCCTCGCTAAGCCCTCTGAAGCACTGCTCTTTCCTTACATCCGTTGACATTGGTGATGACAACGCGCCAGTTCTGGCCTACCAGGTAATTTGCTAACGCCGCTCCAGTGTTAAGAGCGACACCCGTTCCGCCGCATTAGACTGTTACAAAATACCAGACCAGGAAGCAGTGGTACCTAGAAATAGTTCTATGGCCTCACTTCATTATCTATCCCTCCCGGTACAACTACATCAATCGTTCCCAGTGTGAAGCAGCTCTTTCCTCTCCTATTCCACATGAAAGGTGGGCACAGAGCATTATTGTGCTTATATTCCCGGAATAGCATTCTCTCTACGCCGAGGTGCCCTCTAATTACTTGTTTCCGGGAGAAGAATGTATGCTAAATTCACAAATATTTGATCATGGTCAATTTGCCACCATCGAATCTATCAATGCCAGAATGGAAGAATGAACTGTTCGATTTCTTCAATGTCCACTTCCAGAACTGCCGCAACCTGACGATCACCTGGACTGAGGAAACAATGAACATCCAGTTTACTTCAGCTCATTGAACAGTGACAAGTCTAACGGGATCATTGTTACTTCATGCGCTCCTAAGGAAGAAATCAACGATGGTTGGAATGTCATGCACCTCTCAGTGTTGAAATACGGCATCTGAAGAGAGCGGTCGGAACTCCATTATTAGCTTCTGCTAGGAGTTGCGATGCGCTAAAGCCTTCAAGGCCAGTGGTAGAATGGAACAAAGAGCAGAGCCAGATTATGCAGGCTTGCTGAAATTTGCCAATAACTGGTACGTGCCAACAACATAGTAGAGTCACAAACATTACTGAGGTTTCGTTGAGTCCCCGCTGAGTAGAGGGCGTTAAGCTTATCCTTGATAGTTGACGGAGGGCTGTGCAATGCACGGTGCAGTGTTGCAAGTCACCATGACGCACTCTCGTGGCACGTTATCAAATCGAGCAATCACAGATGGAATAACTTTCTATCGCGGTATACGCGTCAGACATGGGGACTTGTTGCTGGATGTAAAGTGTGCAACCATTTTCTGTCGATCCCGGTACCATCTAACTGGCTGCAAAATGCCCGAACAGCAAGTTTAGAACACGGAAGTCCGTGATGATGTGGCTATGGACAGACCGCTACTTCAGGATGAAGTTCATTAGCAACATGGTTTATATCAAGACAAGGATGCTGTAGATAATACAAATGAATACAGGGTCTCCAGCAATAAAGCAATCATGATTCCGTTGTTGTCGATCTTAGTTGCATTGGCTAGTCTGAACTTTTGCCTGTTCCGCAGGCGTCGACATCGAACCGTCGAAGACGAAGAGTGTGCAAAGATTTTCGAACAGGAACCTACATATTATTGGCATGAAGAAAAGAATGATAGTCAACCTGTACAGATACAAAGAGTTGAAACGGTCCGTTGTGGTTGTATCATCGGAGCTGACGGCGCCGGTAAGCAGCCATCGAGGACACTTCAGGCATGGGAGTATTTCTAAAGCTGCTCAGGTGCATTGACTGCCATTGTACTTGCCAATAAAAACCCAGGCGTTCAGTTTTATGTTGTGGATAGCGACCCGCGAATCATCGATGCATGGAATTCCGACCATCTTCCTATCTCCGAACCCCAGCTAGAGGAGCTGCTCTTCGAGGTAAACAGCGGTTTGCCGGAATTGGAACATAGGGAATTCCTTGGAGAGCCAGAACATACGACCGGTGACCTGGACCTAGACCTGGAGGCGCAGTTGCCGAGTGTGCGAAGATTGTCCAACATCACCTTCTCCACAGATGTCCATAGTGGCATTCGCGCAGCAGATGCTATCTTTTTATGCACTGAGCCTTCTCATGGGCAGCATGTAAGTAGCTAGACAATCGAGATGTACTCTGCTAACATCTACAGATCGCCGAAGAAACGTCTGGTGTGGACATGTCGATGATGGATGGGATGATTCAGGCCATTGCTCAAGTGTCCACTGGCCACAAGATCATTGTTCACAAAGGCAGCGCACCATATGGGACTGCAAAGAGAATCCAGAGCCTGGTTTGTCATAAATCCCTGACTTCAAGTTACCGGGCCTAATCTAGTCAGCTGGAAGAAAGCGCCTCACCAACCGCCTCCTTCGATGTCTTTTCCAACCCCGATTTTCTGCTCCCCGGTTCGGAGCTGGAAGGCCTGCTCTATCCTCAACGCGTGATTATCGGCCATGCTCCAAAGACGGTATTCCCCGAGTCGGTGATCGCGTTAAAGAGACTGTATATGTCATGGATCCCGGAACAACGGATAATCACCATGGACGCATGGTCATCGGAACTGGGGAAGATTGCGGCCAATGTTCTGTTGACTCAACAGGTGACCAGTCTCTGTTCACTGAGTATTATCTGTCAACATACCGACGCCCAGCTTGATCATGTTACGGGGTCCCTTGGTATCGACAGTCCGACTGGGATAGGGGACTGGGACGGACGATTGTACAGCGATGTTCAATGCCTGGTGTATTTGGCCAAGGAACTTGGTTTGCATGAAGTCGCAGAGTATTGGAAGAGTGTGCTTCAAATAAGAGACTTCTATATCCGCCATATAGCGAATCGACTTGTCCAGAAACTACCGGAATTTGGGACGAGACGTGTCGCACTTATTGGATCGGGCCGTCCAGGTATGATAAACACAGTTCAACAGGTGGCACAGGACTTATCCCAACGCGGGATAGGAGTAAATATCTTCGGGGCTGCGGACTCGTCTGTCCAACTCACGGGAAATTCCCCTTCGGAAGATACGGCTCCAGGGAAAATCGCGTTCACAGAGACCCTGGAAGAGGCATGCAGGGGCTGCAGTATCGTGTGTCAACTGAGCGGCAGTGCTACTTATAAACTGCATGAAGAATGGCAGCACATTGAGCCAACCATGGAGCCGCCTAGGCTGTTTATGAACCAGAGCTGTACTGTCGAGCAGAAGAGGATGCGTCGAAACGGATTTCAAGTGAGTGGTTTGAAGGAAGATAGTGTAGTCCGTGCGTGCAACGGCTTAAGCCCCCAAGAGCGAGGATGCACAGCACTATCTGGGGTAAGAGGGTATTAACTGGAGAACCCAGGCGCTCCCTGCAGTCATGGGCATGTGGTTAAATGATGTACTTTGTTTTAGCCGAGACTTGTCCCGCCAGGGCCACATAATATCCATCAAGACCCACAATGAATGAGATGATGTAACTGCATTCTATGATTCGGGCATATGACGGTCAGAGATGGGCCAGAAGGACGTCTAAATAGGGCAAATTCGCGTGAAGCAACAACAGACGTAGTATGAGAGGGACTCCAGGCAAACCGGATCTTGCATTGAACAGTGTGTTCCATAGAACATCCCACCTCGTCATTCTTTTGAGCTTCGTCCTCCTGGCTCTCTGTGACATACATGACTGGTAGCTACTCGGTTGAATAACTTGAATGTCAAACTGACTGGTAGGTCACATTGCTGCGGAAGAAGTCAATTACTCGGGTTGTGGCACGCTCACAATTGTGAAGCAATTCGCAGGTGTATTACGAGGATCTGAGCATGTCCTTGGCGATTAAAATATGGTAGATCTACAGCCTAGAGATGAAGCCTTACGGTAGCTATGTATTTAACCGACGAATGAGCTGACACCTACATACGTCGACTATGAGCCAAGTTTTGTGATTTTAACAATCGGCAACCTACATAGCTCGAACAGCTTTCTATTGACTAGATATGGCGTCTTGTATATATTATCCACTATACGAAGTGAGCCAAACGAATATGATGGTGATTCCGTCACGATATATATCTCACGGTGTCTGGATGTAGAATAGAATTGATGGTGATATAGCTTCTTGAAGTCTACAGACCAAGTATCTGAACCAGGCCAGTTGACGGCTTGACAGAAATATTCAAGAAATATTCAAGAAATTACAAAATCATGGCGACATATAGACTTGTGGTGGTCGAATATTCTAGTAGTACACGGCGCCGAGCCTTGAAGAGCGGATAGACCGAAAACTGAAGCGGCAGTGGCGATCATGTTTCAAGGATGGGCATCGGCCGCATTCCACCACTCTGATCAGCACAGGCAGGCCTGTTGTTTCTATACAGCTACGATCTTTACGCCAGACAGACGAGATGATCACTTTCACAGTGATAGTCTGATGCGTGGCACTCTGAGTCGGAGATGTGAGAGGGAATTAGTCGTAGGTAAGGTACGTTCCACAGGAAAAGGCCGAGGGTTCCCGGGTTCCCGATCCTTTTGCTGCAGCGAGTGATCCCAGTTCCAGCGAATTTCGGCATTAAACAAGTCTAGACTGTCCGCTCATTCGTTTCGGAAGAATGGCTCATCCACAAGCGAATTGAACCGACTGGACCGTGGAAGACCGGGTATCAGCAAACGTGGCTGCCGCTAGATCATGACCACTTTACTTCGGACGGGTTGACTACTCCAGACTAAGCGAGAATGGACCTTATCGTGTGGTGGTGGCGGCAGGATCCGAGCGAAGGAGGCGGGATTAGGGTTACCGCGGCGGTCACCGTAGCGCTCGGGAGGAGCAAGCCACCGTTTGAAGGATACAAGGATTGTATAGATGCTATGGAAGAGCTTCAGGTGAAGGTCCTTTGTACACCAGGACACCATGCGAAGTGCAGCTACAGCAGGTATCGCTTTCTCGTGGGTCGAGATAGTCTCCTATCTTCTTACTCGGTTAATTACCTACCCATTCAGCCGACGACCCTCTCTGCCTACTGAAAGGGGAAAATCTCCGTCTGAGAATGAACCGACTGGATCCCGCCCCTGAAGCCTCTCCACTCATGACGTACGAGTTGCCGTGGTCTATCCCCGGATCCAGTGCCTTTCATTTGTCCTGGACGAGTCTCTCCCCCATGTTCTATACGGGCCTGCCCCCGGACCTCCACATTCATCCTTAGCCGGCACCTTCTCCACCGGCCGGACACCATGACCGTCTTGCACCATCCCCGGACTTCGGCTGAGAACCACGGCGCGCCTTGCGTTCCCCAACCCAGCCCATGACGCCGATGATAAACTAGTCAGCGTCGGCCAGTATATAAACCTCCGGGCCCATTCTCCAGCTGGCCAGATCTTCTCGACTCGCAGCTACCCCGCGCTGGAGGACTTGACTTGCTGGCCAAGATGTATACAATTACAAATATTTACGGTAAGTCGTCGGCCAGATGTCTCTCCCCACGACTTCAGCCATGTTGACTGACTGTTGGTGCAGTCCTCGCCGGTTTTGGCACCATTGGCGGTGCCCTGTTTGGTTTCGATGTTAGGTATGAGCGACTCCTGGGGGTGGAAAAATTGTCACTCTGTGCTCACCATCGTTTAGTTCTATGAGTGCCTGGATCGGTACCCACCAATACCTAGATTATTTCAATTCTCCCGACTCGAATCTGCAAGGAGGCGTATGTTGTCTCACATGCCGACAGGCCGGAATTTCCTCTAACTCCTGCCTTAGATCACGGCATCCATGTCCGCTGGCTCGTTCGCAGGTGCCCTCGCTGCAGGTTTCGTTTCGGACCATTTTGGCCGTCGAGGGGCGTTAATCATCGCCTCGGTTATCTGGATCATCGGTGCCGTCCTTCAACTCAGTGCCCAGAATGTCGCCCATCTCGTGGCCGGCCGTGTGGTGAGCGGTCTTTGCGGTATGTTTGAAGCTTCGGCAGTCCGTGCCGAAATTCATGACTGACGATGGCCTAGTTGGCATCACCTCCTCGCAGGTGTGCGTCTACCTTGCCGAACTGGCTCCCGCTCGCATCCGTGGTCGTATTGTCGGTATCCAACAGTGGGCTATTGAGTGGGGTATCTTGATCATGTACTTGATTTCCTACGGCTGCTCTGAGGGGGTAGACGGACCGGCCGCGTTCCGGATTGCCTGGGGCGTCCAAGCGATTCCTGCGCTGATCCTGCTGGCCGCCCTTCCTTTCTTCCCCGAATCCCCTCGGTGGCTGGCTGGAAAGGAGCGGTGGGAAGAGAGTCTAGACACGTTGGCCCTGCTCCATGCCAAGGGCGACCGCAACGACCCTGTCGTGCAGGTGGAATGGGAGGAAGTGCAGGAGGCGGTTCGCTTGGCCCAGGAGTCCAAGGATATCTCCTTCCTGTCGTTGTTCGGTCCCAAAATCTGGAAGCGCACGCTTTGCGGCGTTAGTGCCCAGGTCTGGCAGCAACTTCTGGGAGGTAATGTCGCCATGTACTACGTCGTCTACATCTTCCAGATGGCTGGAATGGTAAGTTGCAGCAGCACCCCGATTGCGACTGGCACAGGACGTACTGACCTTTACGTATAGGGCTCTGCGACTCTCTACTCAGCCATCATCCAATACGTCATCTTCCTCGTCACGACCGGTGTCATCCTACCATTTATCGATCGCATGGGCCGTCGGCCTTTGCTGCTGGGCGGTGCGGTGACCTGCATGGTCCTCCATTACGCCATTGCTGGTGTCATGGCCACATACGGTCGCCCGGTGGACGAGATCGATGGCAACAAGAACCTGCGCTGGGAGATCGGGGGTGCGCCCGGAAAGGCTGTTATCTCGCTGTCCTACATTTTCGTCGGCGTCTACGGTTTCACCTGGGTACGTATCATTGATTGCCGAGCTCAGAAGTCATCGACTAATGACATGCACAGGCCCCCGCCGCATGGATCTATGCCTCCGAGGTCTTCCCGTTGAAGTATCGTGCTAAGGGTGTCGGTCTCTCTGCGGCTGGAAACTGGATCTTCAACTTTGCGCTGGCTTACTTCGTCGCCCCGTCCTTTACCAACATCAAGTGGAAGACGTACATCATCTTTGGCGTCTTCTGCACGGTCATGACGTTCCACGTGTTCTTCACCTACCCCGAGACGGCCGAGCGTAGTCTGGAAGAGATCGATCTGATGTTCGATTCGAACGTGAAGGCATGGCAGTCGAACAAGGTGCACGACAAATTCCAAGAGGAGGTCGAGAAGCACCGTCGGGAGAGTGTGGCGGAAAAGGCTGTCGATTCTAGCCATCAGGAGGTTGTCTGAGTCATTGTGTATATATAGTGTACCTGTCAAGTATGATATCACCTGGTATTCTATCCTGCTATTTTATAGACAACTGAAAGTAGGAGTTGGATGAATCCCCCGAAGGTGCGCATTACCGAAGTAGGTAATATTCCATGGAGAAACAACCTTATGAATGTCAGAGGAGCGCACCATGTCATCCGGTCGTCTATCTATCGACACTCGAAAATACATTCATGCTTCAACCCGTTCAAGGATAATACTATCCCACATAAAGCCATGCCACCGAGAGGATTTGGTCACATGAAAGTCCACTGTGTTCCATCCTGCCTGTAATCTGCCTTGGGGAATGTCGAATTCGAAAAGCCTCCATTCCCCGGCAGTTGTAGCAGACCGATACAAGCATGGGTCATTGGGGAGGGTGGTCAGGTTTCCAATGGGGCTGCTCCGGTCTCCGTTGACTAGAATCTCCGATCTTGTGCCAGACGAGTAGCCCGCAAGCGACACTGTAAGGCGACTGCCCGACTGGCTCGCTTGCTTGTCAGCTAAGAACTTAATAGACCAGGTCCCTGCGGCCGATTGTCCAAAACACCAGTCGGATGTCTTGCTCTTGCCCACGGTGTAGGTCAGATTTGCCGGACAATTCGCCACTAGAGCGTGTTGGTATGGAGCTCCGCCGTACTTGAAACCAAGAGATTTGCGATCGAATTCTCCGACTTGGAAGATCTTCTTTGACGAGGAGACCGTCCACTTCAGCTTCCCTAACCGCGTCTGCTTTCCTTGTTTGATTGTCACGTCGTTCTGCAGGAACGTTGTGGACACATCGGCGAGCGACCCGCCGTTTGACCAGGCCTGTAGACCATAATCACCCGTACGGACATTCTGGAAGGTGAATCGGCCTTGGCTGTCCGCTTGGCCGGTGTAGTAGTAGAGAGTTCCCATGTCGAGAGCTGTCTTGTTGGGATTGTTGTCACCTAGGAACACAGATGCCCCGGCGGCTGGTCGGCCGTCGGAGAGGACTAGTCGACCAGACACCGACCCGCGGGCGTGATATTCCTCATTTTCAAACCATTTGTATGGCCAGCTGCTAAATTCCTTCTTGGCCCGATCGGCCGCATCATCCTTTGACCCGTCATTCTGATACATCTGTTAGAGCTGCTCAAGAGCGGACAGGAGGAATGCACATACCAGATACCACAACCACGGGCCCCATATCTTCCCGTCCGGGAAAACATCGTTGGAAGACGCCTGGAAGTGCGTGCCATGAATCATGTTTAGTTGCACTGCATCGCCCGTGGCACTCTCGCGGTGCACCATCAACTCCTGCTTCAGGTGGTTTCCGTTGTAGTAGTCTTTGCCGGGGTTGATATACCACGACCCAAACTCGTCGCCGTACACGCCATAGTAATCTTGGTCCCTGATCCACGCAGTAAAGTCGTACTTGGTGATGTAGGTCCCGTCGGCACGCTGCCACGTCTCGTCTTGCACCTTCGTCGAGCTGACAATCTCAGACAGCGGCGGGAGCGGCTCATCCTTAATGTTTGTTCGTCCGTTCGGGAAAGACGTGTTGTCGAGTCGCCACAGGGTGCGAAACTCGCCCAGAGTGGGCAATGCGTGATTGACGAAGTACTGGTAGGCACCGACGAGGTCGTCGAATATCACCCAGTGGAAATCACCTTCTTTGGCGGTAAATTTGACATCGAGGTAGTCCGCTGTCTGACGCTCGATCGAGACAGATGTCCAATTCAAGTCGGATGCCGCGCCGTCTGCTTTGATCAGGGAAACGCCTCCAAATGGTCTGGGAGTCACGGATATGAACATACTGTAACTCACATAGTGGCCCCACGCATCGCCGACCAGATCCTGTCCTTTGTAAAACAGCTTGACACCGTACTGCTGCCCAATGGTCACATTCCACAGGTTGTTTCCAATGACATGGTTGCTATCATCGATCTTCTGGAGAAAGGGACCCTTGGCGTAGGCGCCAGCGGCGAGGGCGGCCACAATTCCAGCAGCGGCAGAGGCAAGCATGATAACCAAATATTTCCGAGGCCCATTTTTTTGTCTAATCGTCCGATGACAGAGTATTTATGTTGAAAACCGTCAACATGGGACTCGGTATAAAGTTGTCACGAGATGCGGGGTGCGGAGAGCCCGGGGTTGGTCGCCAGTGGTGGAATAAATCCAGTAAATTCCCAGACAGCACGCTACGGTATATTGCGTAGTCAGAGAGTACTCCGAGTAGATGGCGACGAACTGCTGGTGAAATTGCCGATCCGTTGCGACTATGCTCGCTTTGCACGGTGCAAAGGAAGATGATTGACCACAAGCGAACAGAGATGATCCGCTTCTTTCGCGTTTCCTGAGCGGCCGGAAATTCTCCCAGGACTGAATCGCCATTATGATTGAGGGCCTGTTGTTCTACTGTCGAATTCCATAATGATTGAAGAACACGGTCGAGCTCCCATGACTGCCTTATTAAATATATTGATGACGCAGGTCGGTAATATCTGATCGATATACAGTGCAGAGGTACCCTCCAGTGGATGGAGGTGAGTAAATCTGATATGCGCCAAGCTTCAGTAACTCCCTGTGTCCATATCCAACAGATTGAAGCGAGAAAGTACCACTTTTGCTTCGTTTGGGAGGCTCTAATCCGTTATGCGCTTCGAGTCCCGAGACTGCGATTGTGGCTGACCTGTCTATGCCGGTCCATACTGCGCATTATGGGGGTTGCTTTGTTGTCGTTCCTCATGACTTGCAAGGTCAACTAAGCCTTCTTCCAAGCGCCTGGAGCATTGAAAACAGGCTGTATTTAGCATCGCAGGGTCTCGGCTGATTCGTCGGCCTTTGGTAAGCTACCTGGTGTCCTGTAGAGTGGACATCATTTCAGCTGACGACGTCTATGGGGTAGAGAAACCGAGGGATAAGCAGTTGGATGGTATGAGCAGGGAGAAAGGAGACATTCCCATCACCTTGAAAATAAGCAGTGGCGAGGACGGCTGAAAGCACATGGGCCATCGGTGGGCCCAAGTCGCCATCCCTTGCGCTTAAACGTGTACTAGAAGCGAGGGATGTAACCTTGCCTCTCTATCTGTCTAGTGCCGTCGCAGCTAAGCCTGGCCAAGCTCACAGAGATAAGTCAGGCTGAGTGACAGTCAGGAAATGAAAACGTGGCGTAGATATGCCAGGCGGGTGTTATCAAACGATTGGATGCTTCGAAGGACCGCTCATAACCGTCGGTATGCGGGATTTGACACTATCAGAGTCCTTGATAGCTGGGTGCGGTACACCTAAAGCACCTTCCAGGGACTAAGACTCGTCTAGATACCTACATAGCAACTCAGCCATTGAACAGAGGCTTTGTTTTTGTTCCTTGGGGGAAGCTGGGGTGCGTGTTCCATGACCTGTTCCATGCATTGCCGATCTCGGAATGCTTTGTTTCCAATAATAACACTGCCCCGGGGGCCTTGAGAATGAAGAAGGCTGTTACACCGTAAATTGTTCGTGCTGATGCCTAAAGCAAGGTAGCCAGTAAGCAGGGCTTTATCTTTACACAGCGTCGAAGCTTGTTACACTGGTGGCAAACATCTAGAATACCCCAGAATAGCTCGGGGCGAAGTCGCCTGGGGCCGTCTCCTCTTTACCTCGTGGAGAGATCCAATTGCCTGGCCAGCAGCGTCGACTACGGATTACACTGCAAGGGAGAAGGACAGCATGTCGTTATTGGTATCTGAACGAGTTGACATGGCCCGCAGGGGCAGTACTGCTTATTGTCCCAGCACACCCAGCGCACCCACCCATGCCAACCCATTCTACTTCGGAGCAATAGAATTCCCCATCTTAATTAAACCTACTTTTTTGACTTTTTTCCCGTTGCAATGCGATGGCATCTGATCCCCCCTTTTTGTCGTAATTCGCTATCTCGGTCAGGGGGTCACTGATAACGACATATACGGGTGTATTATTGGCAGATGTCGGACCGGTTATCAGCACCACAGAGCAAGTCCGACCACCAGATGGTCTGACCACTAGAATCTGTTGCGTTCCAAGGTTCGCTGCCGTACGGGTCGATGCTACCATATCCGGGGTTTTATCTCTGGGCGTCCAAGGCTGAGACGCTAAGCCGACGGGATCACGATGTAAGAGGTGCACAAGAAGTCTTATCGGCGCAACAAGCCTCCCAAGAAATATGCCGAGCTGATTGGCAGACGCAAGGAGTCTGTGGATGTTCTCGAATAACTCAGTAGTATAATAACATGCAATCCCTGACCCCTCGTGGTCAGTCTTTGATCTCGCTACCCCCTTTCTAGTCCATCCTCACCTGTGACGTCCTGCCACCTACCTCTTCACTTCCGGCACCATGAGTGTCCCGGCATATGAAACATCCAGCAACAAAAGTCCCCGTGACGGGGACAAGTCCATCGAGCACACCACGGGATGGGCCACAGACGTCGACCATGGCGCCGAGACCGACCTCCATCGCTCGCTGTCGACCCGCCATCTGACCATGATTGCGCTGGGGTCCTCGATTGGTATGGGACTATGGCTGGGGAGTGGTACATCGCTTCATAGCGGCGGTCCGGCCTCCATCTTCATTGGATACTTGCTGAGTGGTACAATGATCTGGGCTGTGGCACATTCCATCGGTGAAATGGCCGTCATGTATCCTCTCCCCTCGGCATTCATCCAGTGGACATCGATCTTTGTTGATCCTGCAGCGGGGTTTGCGTTGGGATGGGCGTACTGGTTCTCGTTCTGGATCACCATTGCGAACGAGCTGCAGGTATGGATGCGCATCCGTTCGCCATCGCATGCTAACAGACCCAGGGTGTGGTTACGGTGTTGGGCTTCTGGACAGACAAGGTGCCCACCGCAGCATGGATCAGTATCTTCTGGGTGGTCATTATCTTCATCAACGTCTGGGCGGTCAAATTCTTCGGCGAGGTCGAAGTCGTTTCTTCCACAATAAAGTTCTCCTGGATCTTTGTCGTCATCATCTCCTTGATCGGTCAGTCTTCCTCCGACACATCCGATCCATGTCAGCTAACATCCAGCAGTGATCTCTGCAGGTGGCGCGCCCAACCATGAAGCCGTTGGTTTCCGGTACTGGAACTCAGAACCCTTCATCAACGGCTTCAAGGGCTTCCTCTCCGTGATGCCGACGTGTATTTTTGCCATGTCCGGGTCTGAGAACTCGGCCCTTGTCGCCGCGGAGACTTCGAACCCCCGCAAATCCGTCCCCAGAGCGGTTGGATCGATGTGGATTCGCCTGTCGCTGTTTTATGTCCTTGGTTCGCTGATGATCACCATCACGGTGGACCCGAACAACCCGGATCTGTTCGGAGGAGAGGGGGTCAACGCCTCGCCCTTCGTCATTGCGTATCGGAATTCTGGTCTGGCTCCTATGGCCCATATTATGAACGCTGTCATCTTCATCTCCGTCGTCTCTACGGGCAGTATCTCCGCGTATGCTGGTTCGCGGTCGCTGATGGGGTTGGCCCATCTGAAGATGGCACCCAAGGTAAGTCATATCAATCTCTGCTCTGCATAACCTGGAAGCTCATGGGGTATAGTGGTTCGGAACGGCAGACAAGGTCGGACGGCCAGTGGCTGGCCTGTTCATCACTCTCCTTATTGGAGGCGGTCTCGCATACCTGAACGTTAGTAACAGCGGTGCGACGGTCTTCGGCTGGTTCTCGAATATCACCTCTCTGTTTACCCTCTTCGGCTGGGGAATGATCTGTCTGTCGCATCTCCGTATGCGCTATGCCTGGAAGATCCAGGGTCGGTCGGTCGAAGACCTGCCATGGAAATCCTGGACCTTCCCCTATGCCGCGTACTGGGGTCTGCTCTGGTGCATCTTGCTGATTATTGCCGAGTTCTACCTGTCGCTCTGGCCGCTGGGAGGGAGCCCGGATGCTGAGACCTTCTTTGCGAACTATGTCAGCGTCGTTGCGATCGTGGTCATCTATATCGGCGCCAAGATCTACTACCGCGGACGCATGTGGGTGGATGCCAGCACCATCGACTTGGATGCGCATCGTCGGTTCTATAATGACCATTTGGATGAAGAAGCCAAGGTCGAGAAGACTGGCGTCAGCAAATACGTCTCCAAGATGGTCGGAGTGATCACAAACTGATTGTGTTGAGGTGGGTTGGCGTTGTGGCATGTGTATCCGCTCGTGTAAATACCTACAATCTCCATCATGCGTAGTTGATTGAGCGATGAATGTATACTGTTCATGAAATGTTTCATTTGGCTCTGTAAGACATCGACAACTATGCAACAAACGTACAATCGACAGCCGAGATCGTCGAGCCGACTCCGAGGCCGAGGCAGGATTGCGGGGTTTGCGGAGACGGCGACGCTAAGCGCTGTATAAGGGCAGGCCATGTCGTGATGCCCAAGATAAGGTATGCATCGAGACCGTATACTGCGTATAGTTCGCCAGAGGCCAGAATGAATTTCGATCTACCCCCCGATTTGGTGTCCTACATCGACTCCCTCGACAAGTTTATCAACTCCACTATCCTTCCCCTGCAGCACACCAACGACAATGATCGGTTCTTTGACCACCGTCGCGAGTTTGCTCGCACCGACTGGGCCAAAGGAGGCATTCCCATACAGGAGTGGGAGGAACTGCTAGGTATCAATGACTCAATGACCAGTTCGGCCATATGTCGCATTTCTAACCTGTCGGGGTCTAGGCCAGGCACGCCGACTCGCTGATTCGGCTGGCTTCTATCGATTTGCCTTGCCCAAGATGTACGGCGGCCAGGGACACCCGGAGACCAATGTCTGGATGTCGGCCATCCGCTTCCATCTCTCATCGCATCCGGTTTACGGCGGCGGACTTGGCCTTGCAAACGATCTGCAGAACGAGCACAGCGTGGTGGGCAACTTTCCAGACGTCCTGATGATCCATCATTTTGGGACTGAAGAGCAGAAACGCACGCTCATCCCCAAGCGTCTGCGAGGTGAGTTCCGCGCGACCTTCGGACTGACCGAACCGGACCATGGGAGCGATGCGACGTTCATGTCGACCGTGGCGAAACGCGTGGGTGACGGATTCGAAATCACCGGGCGCAAGAAATGGCAGACGGGCGCGCATCACTGCACACATATGATTATCTTTGCGCGCACATCAAACAAGTCCGGATCAGCCAAGGGGATCACCGCATTCCTCGTGCCCCGCGAGACCCCCGGCATCCGAGTGTCCAGTTTCGAATGGACGTTCAACATGCCGACAGATCATGCCACCGTCGAGCTGGACAAGGTGTGGGTGCCTGCTTCAGCGGTCTTGGGGCAAGTCGACTTTGGACTCGCAATCGCACAGACCTTTGTCCATGAAAATCGCATCCGACAGGCGGCAAGCTCCTGTGGTGCTGCCAAGTACTGTCTCGATCGCAGCATCGAACGGGCCCGCAGCCGGAAGATCTGGGGCGAGGGCCGGTCGTTGGCGGACCACCAGGCGATCCAGTTTCCTGTTGTGGAGCTGATGACCCAGGTCGAGATGCTGCGTCTGTTGATTCTGAAGACGAGCTGGGATATGGACCGCATTGTCGCCTCGTCCACGACTACCCCGTGGATTCGGATCGAGAAGGAGTTGAGCGACAAGGTGGCCATGTGCAACTTCTGGGCTAACCGGCTCTGTTGCGAGGCCGCCGATCGAGCGATTCAGGTGAGAATTTATCACTAGGTTTGGTTTGTAGCTATTCGTATTGCGATACTAACTGCAACAGATCCATGGCGGTGATGGCTACTCGCGCCATTACCCATTTGAGCATATTTACCGCCATTTCCGCAGATACCGCATCACCGAAGGAGCCGAGGAGATCCAGATGAGAAAGATTGCTGCGTATTTGTTCAGTTTTGGCGGCAAAGAAGCCCGTGGAAAGACAAGATTGTAGGACTGATTGTAAGGTCTGGCAATGAAGACGATGTATACATGCAGGCGGGATTTCCAAAACACCTCACCATATATATGTAGGACTCCATGTAATATATCGATGATTAACGCTTCTTGTGTAGCAGAGCTTCTTCATTATGTTCTGAGTTCAGAGGGAGTATTGTTGCAGAGTGTACTGACTGTCGCGCCTCTATCGAAATTCATCTCTCGATCCATGCCTGAATCAACATGCTAACATTGTTACCAGCCTGATGGGCCAAGTGTTGCTTCAGAATAAGACGAGACATCTACGATGCAGAAGACTCATGAGCGACAAGTGTCTCTTCTGCTGCCTACCTCATCTCAGGCGGCTTGTTCAATTCTTCCCATCTTTCACCTTTAATTATTCACCTTGGCAAAGACCTGAAGCGAGCCCGATGCCAACAACCCCGATGGCTCTTTTCGCCCGAGACTCGCGATCTTGTCTGACGTCACTGGCGGAGCAAACGGGTCTGCGCACTGGCACGTATGTGCACACAGGTGTTTTCATCGGCGATCGGGATATTCGATATACCAGGGCTTCCGATATGGGAGGCTGGGCGTTGACGCGGAACGACATACTCTTCCTAACTTAAGGTGCAGAACGTTGCAGCGAGATATGCACAAACTGTTCGTGTTACATTGAAGCGCCCAATCAGATCATCAACTGTGGCTGGTTCCTGCTATTGTCTTGAGCCTGATGGGCCAGGAAGTGATCGCCCAACGGCACAATGCAAGCTAGGTAGCATACTATAGTAAGGTCAAGGCAGTGCCTGACGCCACGCAGATCAGCAGTTGAGCTATCATCGACACGATACGTGCCGCACTGCTGGACAGGAGTCCGCGTGGTAGAATTAGAAGCCACGCTTATGTTTCAGGACAGCATCACGCCGCATCGGGATGAGGGCATCACTGAAACACCGCCTGGCAGCTCGACAGCTTTACACGAATTTTCCTTCATGTGATGCTAACCTCGCGATGATCCACATACGATCCACATGGTTCATGGCATGGCACGCACACGATCCGCTTAGGCCGAGCAGCCCGTCGTCTCCCAAGTAGCGGTGAATCGCTTCACTACTGATCTGTCGCTCGGTCATAGGCCTATGTGCTCCGTTTTGCCTCGGAATCACTGCTGTCTGTCGCCTGCTGGCGAGCGCCTTGAAATCTTTGCGACCAGAAAGGAAAAAATCTCCTCATGGATTGGCTATCCTCGTGGAGCGATCGGGGGTTTTCCCTGTGCTTTGTGGTGACCGCATCGACTCGGGTCGTGTCCGTTAAAAAGATGTCTGGTGGCCCTCAGAGATAGCGCAAAGCTCGGTCCCTACCGGTCTATGGTGCAAAATTTTTTTTCATTGCTAGTGTTAAATAGCCAGGGACTGTGTCCGCCGTTCCCTGGTCCTTTCCTTCATGCTCTCAACCGTTGTGTCGATTTTGTCGCAGTTGTGTCCATGTCGCAGAATGGACTGCTCGTCCTCCCGTCATCCATCCGCCCGATTCCCCTTCATCTTGACCGGCCTCTGGGACCGTCACCGACCAGGACCAGACCAAGCAGCGTCGACGCCGCCACCGACCCCATCACCGGTTCCGTCGCAGGTTGATGTCGCCCCGTCAGTTCACTCGGCGGAGCGCCTGCAGTTGAGTCGCGAGGCAGCACACAGGGAGGTGACCGAGGAGTTGGAGAGTCTTGTTGGACTTGAGAATGTCAAACGACAGCTGAACGGCGTACAGAGCTGGGTTCAGATCTGTCGCCGCCATGGACGGGATCCTCGCGATGAGTGGTATAACATTGCTTTCCAAGGGAATCCGGGGACAGGTAGGCAAGCCCTCACCACAGGAGATATACACTGCTGACGTTGTGTAGGAAAAAGCACTGTCGCACGCCTCTATGCCAAAATGCTATTCTCCATGGGCATATCCGACTCTGATGCCATCCACGAGACCTCGGGCAAGGAATTGCTCACCAAGGGCCCCGATGGTGTCAGGGATTTGATCTGTACCATGATGCGCGCCGATCTACCCGAGATGTCGACAGCTGGTGTCCTCGTCATCGATGATCCGCACCATATTTCCGAGTCGTCGGAGAGTGAGCGGGTGCAACAGACCCTTGGCTGCATTCTGGAAGCGATGGAGCGGAAAAGCGGGCGTATCATCGTCGTCTTCATCGGTCAACGTTCCCTGATGGAGAAGTTCCTGTGTGGCAGCCCCCAGCTCCGCGAGAGAATCTGCAGCACCCTTCATTTCGGGGACTTCGACCGACGCGAGTTGCTGCAGCTCTTATGGCGGCGGATCAATCAAGGATACCGCGGTCGCATGCAAGTGGAAGGCGGTCCGGAGAGCCCATACATGCAAGTCGTGGCTCGTCGCCTTGCTCGTGGCCGGGGAAAGGACGGGTTCACGAATGCCCACACTGTCCGCGAGCTCGTTGCCACTGTTGCTAGACGCCAGGCAGAATACTTGATGCAGCAACAAGACAGCGGCAGAGACGATGTTGACTATTTCTTCTTCTCGAGACAGGATCTCTTGGGACCGGGGCCTGCCGATATCCGAGTGCAGAGTGAAGCGTGGCTGGCTTTGCAGCAGCTTGTAGGCCAGGAATCCGTGAAAGCCTCGGTTCGTGAGATTTTTGACCTGGCCGAGGAGAACTACCAAAGGGAAATCAACAATCAGCGACGCCTTGCTATACGGACGAACCGAGTCTTTGTCGGTCCCCCTGGCACGGGCAAAACAACCGCTGCCAGACTCTACGCGCAAGTCCTCGCTGACTTGGGATTGGTCGGCAATGGAGAAGGTATGTTATCGAAGACAACGTGATGGCATAGAGGCTAATCGTTATTCTAGTCACTGTCAAGTCCTTGTCCGCTATGGCCAGGCAAGGTGAATCCCAAGGGTCGACCGGCGCGAAAACGCTGATCATTTGCGTCGATGATGCCGAGATGTCGGCCGACGGAGACTCCAGTGCATTGGGACACGCGCTGGATACATTGACCCAGGAGTTGTCCGACCGTCAAGAGGGTCGTTGCGTGATTGCTGTTGGATCTTCGTCTTCGATGGGACCAATCCTTCCCACGCTGAGAAAGCAGGCGAACGTCCTAGATCATCAGGTCATCACATTTGAAAGATTCGGCCGAGAGCAGCTTAAACAGCTTCTCCAGACAAGGCTTCAAGAGCACGAGATCGCCATGACCCATGAAGCTTTCTTGAAGGCCCTCGATATTCTGGACAGCATTCGCATGCGGAAGGATTTCGATAATGCGAGTGCAGTCGATCGCCTTCTCGATGCTGCGAATCAGGCCTTCGAAGAAAGGAGATACAAGGCTCAGGAGCCTCCGACGAAGGCCGAACGGATTCTCCAGGTGGAGGATCTTACCTCTGGACATCTGGGAGCTGGTTCAATCATCTGCTCCCGCAACGACATGTTGCGTTCCCTCGTCCCAGATGAGATCATCGGCCTTCTCGAGAGATACAACAACGAGATGAGAGCTTCCTGGATCCAAGGACGCGACCCAGCACTTCGTGCTCCTCGTACCTTCGTTCTGAAGGGTGCATGCGGTAAGCTCTTTTCTAGCAAAAATGACCAACAGACGGATAACTGACTACCACAGGAACCGGTAAAAGGGCCGTTGCACACCATCTAGGAACACTTTACTACGATATGGGAATTCTCGATACGAATGCTCTGGTGGAATACTCAGTACTCGATTTTGTCCCCTCCAACTCCGCCCAGACATCTTTCCGCACACGAGGCCTGTTGGACAGCGCTCGTGGGAAAGCATTGTTTATCACGGATGCGCATCGGCTGGGGGACAGCGACACCACTGCACAGGTCCTGGACGAGTTTACCAACCTCCTACCTAAGTACCTGCATCAGATCGTCGTGATGCTGGCTGGACCACCCCATGAAATGGACTGCCTGCTCGGGAACCGTCCCCGACTGGCGAGTCTATTCCAAGAGGAAATCACCTTCCGCACCCCAACGTCTCACGAGTCTCTTCGGTTCTTAGACCGACTTCTCCAGGAGGAGAGTATCGGTGGAGAACGCCCGTTCCTTACGGACCCTCAAAGCCCGAGTTGTCGCGAGTTCTCCCGTGCGATTCATGTGTTGTCCATGTTCCCCTGCTGGGATAACATCCGCGACATCGACACGTTGAGGCGATGGATGGTATCTGCGTGCATGCAGAACGTGCCGCTGGACGGCACTTCCATCCCTCAGCTTCAACTTGGCGAGGAGCAAGCCATGGAGTGCATGGTCAAGCTATACAATCTCAAGCGGGACCGACTTCGCTTCAATCACGATCCCAAGGCGCGGGCCCTTCCCCGTACCCTTTCGCAGCCTCGCAGCGTAGACCGGACTTCTGTGCGGTTTCCTGTCTAGTTGCACGATGGCTGATATGACTTTTCAACGACTATTATGACAATATGTATGATATGCATGATGTGTTATGGTCCATGTGCACGATCTTTACGGTTTATGTTTACGTTCCTTATCATTCTTTCTACATTGCATGTTACATTTGGATTTGCATTCTGTTAGCAGTGGTATCCAACATGAGAGACGAGATTGTATGTATTGTATATGACTTATTGCTAAGATGAATGAACAACTATCTACTTCATTCCCCCGGTGATCTCAACGATACCCCCGTCCATGTAGCCGGACTGTGGACTGAACAGAAATACCAGGATTAGTTATACCCCTTAAAAGTAATGGAGGGACATAACCTATTCCACTAGCAGCTTCAGTAATTACAATGATTTCGCCTTTCTGATGGCTGGGTATGGCGGGGTATTTCGAAGTTGTCTGTCACACGAGTCCGAATTTGAAGGAGAATGAATGGTGGTGAAAAGGACTTGGTACTAATAATGTAACAGATATGCTTCTCTGGTAACATGGAAGACAGCTATGTATGTTGATTTCGTTCATTCGAGGTCTTAAACATCCCTTGATTGATCTCTCATTGTGACTGCTATGTTTGCCTTAGTGTCTGCATAACGAATTCATAATTTCTCTGTATACGCGGCTGACAAATCTTGTTTATTGATTGTGCCCAAAAAGGAAATAGCACAGCTCTCCAAATGGATTTCTGTATCAACACAGCAGTGTGTCACACACTGCTTGTAGCAATGTACATCGCGATTATCCGGCTAGTTTCTTTATTCCATGTTTTGGTTATGGTCGCGATGCTATGAAAGATGTTTCTCTGTCCGATCTATCACCATGCGAAGACATATATTTCCTGCTCTTGACCAATGTCCATTATGGTGATTCACACGATGAAGTAACCTAATAGAGTCAAGATAGATGACACCATCTGTACTCCTTATAGCCTGGCACTTACAAGCCTTTCCCCTCCGTCGACGATGCTGCCCCAGTTCATATTGACCTAAACACGTCAGTTCCAGCCCCACAACCACAGTTACAATCAGACTCACATCGGCAATATGATCATATCCCAACAGTTTGGGAGCCAGGCCTGGATCTCGCCACGCCAGCGCCTCTCCCTCAGGAGTAGGAACCATCTGCATCTTGCGGTCGCGTTCCTCCTGTTCGGGGCCATCGTGCAGGTGGTATAGATATTGCTGTAGGTTTCCCCGTTCCACCACCATCTGGGTGCGTTGCTTCCGGCATTTCTGAAACACGTTTAATGCATGGCGTTTCAACTGGAGAAACTCGGCGGACTTCTTCGAGATGTCTCTATGATTGGGTAATCGCGATAGGCATTCACCGAGCACAGCACCGTCTTCAAAGGCCATTCCTGCTCTTTACCTCAGTATATCAGTTACCTGTCTCCCTCCGAATACATGAAAACGACATACCCAGACGCAAGATATGGTAATGTCGCATGGACGGCGTCTCCTAACATTACCCATGAGCCGGAGGGGTGTGTCCAGTCGTATTCGCCAAACCGAATGCAGAGACGCCATTTATGCACAGACTGACAGAGCTTAAGGAGTTTTTGGATTCTAGTCTGTTAGCAGGATCCATAGATGACGTGCAATTCCCTTACCGAGGATCCCAGCCTTCGAAAAGGGCACACATTTCCTGCACGTTGCCTTCTACCGTAGTAGCAAGGGACTCCTCGGGAATGTCGTCCGGGACGAGCAGAACCATATTGAATAGATCACCTCCACGAAGAACGTAGTTCACTGCAGCCTGTTAGACCCATTCTTGCCACTGACTATATACCCTACCTACCTGCATGTGCATCCGGACCCAGCCAGTAATTGACCTGGGGATCAGACACGAATGGTTCCAATTCAGGATCCTTGCGCATCTCCTCCGTCGACAGGAGTAATCGATAGGCCAGGTCGCCCGTCTTGATCGGCGGATCTGATCGACCGAGCAGCACTTCCGTCAGCTTCCCAAATACCCCATCAGCCCCAACCACCAAGTCCCCGGTCCATTGTCTGCCGTCGGCTGCGATGGCGGTCGCCTCCGTTCCATCGGGGCTCACAGCAACATCCACGATGCGGGCGTCGCAGGTCATCCGTGTGCCCAGTTCCAATGCGCGCTCGACCAGACATCGCTGGAGGTCTGCGCGGTGAAAGTCTCTGTACCACGTGCCGGGGTATTGTTTCTCGGATGCGTGAAAGTCTAGCGAGGAGATCAGGTTGCCTTTCCATCCGATAAAGTTGCACACCCGCGGTCGCGTCATATGAGCCTTTAGCTGCTCGTCGAGACCCCAGTGCTGGAGAACACGCGAGCTGTTTGGTAAGATCTGGATACCTGCGCCGACTTCGCGGATCTCTTGTGCCGCCTCGAGGATATGCACATCGTGTCCGGCGAGTGAACAGCTGATGGCCGTGCCGAGGCCTGCGAGACCGGCTCCTACTACGAGGATCTGTAGATGAGTTCCTAGTTAGCAGTGGTGTAAATTGGTATGATTGCGGCGCGACAGACCTGCAGTTTGCACGATTCCTCGCGAACCTGTTTCGACTTGACGTGGAGCGGAGGTGCCATTGCGTGAGGATGATTCTGTATGTCGGGGCTGCACGAGAGGGGTAGAGCTCTTGTCCCCAAGTAATTTATTGGATAGCTACACAGCTGTTTCTGCGATAAGATTGGGTACATGGCCAAGGATGGGGGTTAACTGTCACAAGCGGGGGGATCAGGACAGGCTTATCGTATCGTGGGGGTCAGTATGTCGGGATGTTCAATGCAGGATAAATTGAACAGTGGAGGGTCGTGATCATACAGCCATACACGCAAGAGCAGCTCGGGGTTCAATTACGATGTCTAGAGTAGGTACATGGCACCGCTGTTGGAGTACTGCTAACTCGCCAGTTCTCTCTCCAAGGTCGGACTGCGTTAGTCACCGGTGGTGCTCGAGGCTGCGGTCTTGCATTTGCTCGTGGACTCGCTGAAGCCGGTGCTAATGTGGCTATATTCGACGTAATCGATCCGGAGGAGGGTTTCTACGTTATACAGAAAGAATGCGCTGTGCGGACAGCGTTCTACAGGTACGCAGTTTTCACCATCATCTGATAATTATCTGAGTGTACTGTATTGTAGGGTCGATGTGGCCTCCAAAGAATCCCTCGCCAATGGCTTCCAACAATTCCAAGCTGATTTCGACAATGCACTCGACATCTGCGTTCCCTGCGCGGGCATCAACCGCCACCTTCCCTTCCTCGAGTTCACCTACGAAGAGCACCAGAACCTATTGTCGGTCAACGTGATGGGTCTATACTTTACCGCTCAACTAGCCGCAAAACAGATGATTGCCAATGGGACGAAACATGGTAGCATCGTGTTGGTGGCCAGCATGGCCAGCCATATCGCCGTTCGCGATCAGCTGTGCAGCGCATATTGCGGGTCGAAAGGAGCTGTCCGCGCCATGTGCCCAGCCATCGCGAAGGAGCTTACACCATATGTAGGTGTATACCTATGGAGTGAAGGAATAGACACTGAGAACATTATCAGGGCATCCGAGTGAATACGATTTCGCCGGGATATGTCCGCACGGAGATGACTGCAGCGGTATGTTTCGATCATTTGAGAGCAGATCCACACACTGACAAATATCAGTTCCCCCATCTGTTGGAAAAGTGGAAAAGCGAGGCGATCAGTGGGCGAGTGGGTGAGCCGGAGGATATCATGGGGGCTTGTGTGTTCCTGGCCAGCGACGCCAGCGCCTTCATGACGGGACAGGATGTGGTCGTGGATGGGGGTGTGACGCGATGGTGATCGTGTTGATCGCTACTTCTTATTTCTCCAATTTCATGCATGAGCTGCTGGTATCTTCTCCATCTTTGGTCTCAAGAGTGGGGGTTGTTGCGTCGCCGCATCGTATGAGGGGGAGCTACTTACGGTTCGTGGCACTTGGCCCAATCAATATATCTAGTGACATCTGGAGTACACTCGCACAACATGAAGCGCACGTTATCAGAGGCTAGACTGGAGCGTAGCACAATGGCTCCTAGTGCAGACCACGAAGGATTCAGCGATAGCCCTGTCGAGGCTACGACAACGGTCGTGGTTGTGGGCGCCGGGCCATCTGGATTGATGCTTGCGTGAGTATTCCTTGGATAATTGAACTGTTAATTCAATTTCTTTGGGAAATAACAGGAAATAGCTGCAATCTAGTCCGGTATGGAATCGATGTGGTTATTCTCGACGATCGTCCTGACAAGACATCCACCGGCAAGGCAGACGGCATGCAGCCCAAGACGATCGAAACCTTCAAACAGCTTCGCCTAGCCGACCCATTGTTGAAAAATGCCGCCCGCGTGTACGACATCGCCTTCTGGGAGTCCACGGCAGACACACCGATGCACCGCACTGGTCGTCAGATCCACTACCCAGCACATCTTGTCGGCGCCTCCGACCCCTATATTCTTCTTGCGCACCAAGGCATGCTTGAGGACATTCTAATTCAGGACATCGAAGCCCGAGGCGTGTCAATCCAACGCAATAGCCCGTTCGTGTCGTGTTCGAGACTACCAGACAGTAGTCAACTGCACGTCTCCTATCTAGACCTGACGACCAAGACCGTCAAGAGCATCCGCACAGACTATCTTGTTGGTTGCGATGGCGCCCGGTCCAAAGTGCGCAACTTCATACCCAATGCACCCCTCGAAGGGGAAATGACCAATGCATCATGGGGCGTATTGGACGGCGTAATCGAGACCGACTTTCCCGACCTCTGGAGCAAAGTCGCCGTGCGCTCACACTCAGCCGGCTCGATCCTCTGGATCCCGCGGGAACGAAACATGACGCGCCTGTATGTTGAGCTGAGTTCGACCGACGGCGAGCGGGTCGACAAGTCTATGGCGACGCCGGAATACGTGATGCGACGGGCGAAGGAGGCCATGCACCCGTTCCAGCTGGAATGGAAGTCTATCGAGTGGTTTGGGAACTACGTCGTCGGCCAGCGAGTCGCAAGGCATTTTTGCGATCCTTATCTGCAGATATTTATTGCTGGTGATGTATGTGTCGTCCTGGTCGTCTGTTGATACTACGGATGCTAATGAAACAGGCGGGCCATTGTCACTCCGCCCTCGCAGCTCAAGGTGCCAACACGAGTATGCACGATAGCTTCAATCTCGCGTGGAAGCTGAACCTCGTCTCCCGTGGACTGGCGCAGAAGTCTCTCCTTGCAACGTATGAGGACGAGCGTCGCAAGATTGCCTACGATCTGATCAATTTCGATGCTGAACATTGCAAGGCATTTGCGCAGGGAGAGGCCGCGCTGGCGAAGAACTTCGACGATAACATCCGTTTCATCTCTGGGGTTGGAGCGGAGTACTCCAAGGGCGTCCTCACTCGTATTGCCCCCGAGAAGAACTATCCTCTTCCTGCACGCCCTGGAGCGTTGATGATCCCGTCGAAAGTCACACGGTATATCGATGCCAACCCTGTCGATATCCAATTGGATATTCCTATGCTGGGCCAGTTCCGAATCTACCTGTTCGCACCTGATGTCGTCACTTCTATGCCGTTCCTAGAGGATATTTGTGTAGGATTAAGTAAGGGGGACTTTCTGAACCCGGTGTCGTCCAAAGCTGCCCAGTCTTACAAGGAGCAGCAACGGAAACAGGCAGAGGCAGATGCATACATCACACCCGAACGCTATACTGCTGTCTCTGACATCTTCACGTACGCTTTGGTGACACAGTCTCCCAAGGAGGCGTTTGAGATTGCCTGCCTGCCGTCTGACCTGCAGAAGAGTCGATGGACTCTGTATCTGGACGATGTTGAAGGAGAAACATGTACAGCCAAATGGATGGGACCATTGGCAAAGACGCACACAGGCATTGTCGTCGTACGACCAGACGGGTATGTCGGAGCGATGGAAACCTGGACAACTGATCAGGGCCGTCTGGCAGTGCAGTGGATCGAAGAATACTTTAGAGGCTTTCTTTGATACTTTTTGTGAATAGAAAATTATCATTGACAGCATATACAACCGTTCTCGTAGATACATCATGAGATTTCTAAGCGACTGTTACAAAGAAATTCGTTTCGCCATCCCTTGGGATCACTTCGGCTTTCTGCAGTAACTTATCACCCACGGACAGCCTGAGCCGCTCAGCTGTAGCCGGACTATCCAGCACTAAAGGCTCAGTTGCTTTGTTATCCTGACGGGCACTCCGGAGAGCATCACGCAAGGCGAAGAGCACGGTTGACCCCAGGAATAAGGGAGGCTCACCAATGCCCTTGCTTGTCTGGATCGAACGGAGATTCTTCCATGACACCCCCTGGAGGAAACTGACGTTGAACTCCTGGGGGATATCGCTGAACCCTGGAATCTTGTAGTTGCCGGGTCCACGCGTTGCCAGCTGGCCCTCTTTGGTCCAGAGACTTTCCTCCATGGTGAAGAGGCCCTGGCCTTGGACAAAGGCTCCTTCGATCTGACCGTAGTCGATTGCAGGATTGATGGATCGCCCGACATCCATTTTTATGTCTGTTCGGAGGACGGTATGATCTCCAGTCAAAAGATCGAGTTCAACTTCGGTGCAAGCAGCGCCCTACTTTTATTAGTGATGTTTACTGAGGAACGAGGAATAGCTTACCTGAGTGAAGTAGAAGTACATAGGTTTGACTGTGTCTGGGTCATAGTTGCCCCATTGATAGCCAATCGTGGGCATCTTCCAGAAACCAGTCGCAGATAGGTTTACTCGATCACGATAGGCGGCATGGGCCAGAGTAGACATGGGGGCATCTGCGCCGAACTTCTCGCGATAGGGTTGCAGTCGCTCATTGAGCTGATCACAAGCATTCTTTATTGCCATTCCGTTGAGATCACTGCCGGAGGACGCAGCTGTTGGGGAGGCGTTTGCTGATTGATAGGACGATGTGTCTTGCGTGTAGATACTCTCAAATGAAACTCCCAGCTCCTGCGCAGCGACTTGCACCATTTTAGTGTATAGTCCTTGGCCCATCTCTGTGCCTCCGTGGTTGAGAAGGACGGATCCGTCCGTGTAGATTCGAACAGATGCCGTGGCCTGATTCAGATGCAAGGCTGTCGCGAAAGAGATTCCAAACTTGGTAGGGATTAGAGAGATTCCACGTTTGCGCCACCGATGCTGTGCGTTGAACTCCTGGATCGCCTTTCGGCGCTCATCATACTTTGCCTCCTCACGGACTTGCTGAAGAAGCAATGGGACATGCCAGTCTTCATCAATGCGTTGGAGGAACGGGGTCCGCTGGCCTTCTTTGTACAAATTGCGGCGGCGCAGTTCGTCGACTGGAATATTCAGCCCCTCCGCAACTGCATTCATGTAGCTTTCTGCAATGAACATGGCCTGTGGACCGCCGAACCCACGGAAAGCAGTGTTGCTGTGGGTGTTTGTCTTGCAGACCCAGGCGCGGATGTGCACATTGGGGATATGATAACAGTTATCAAGATGAGTGCAGCAGCGGTCCATCACCGCCGAGCTCATGTCTACCGAATATCCGGCGTTATTATAGCAGTCTGCGTCCAAAGCCACGAGGGTCCCGTCGTTCATCACGCCTATCTTCCAGCGACACTGGATGGGATGGCGCTGCCCAGTGGTCATCATGTCCTCGTCGCGGTTCAGCATTGCGCGCATCGGTCGCTTCTCTTTCTTGGCTGCGACTGCAAGAATGGCGGCCAATTGAACACTACGAGACTCCTTCCCTCCGAAAGCTCCTCCCATGCGTTTCACTCGAGCGTTGATGCGGTTTGCAGGAACGCCAGTTACATGACTGACAAAGTCTTGCGTCTCCAGTCTGTTGGGAGTTAGGCCTGCATGTCTCCAGGGCATTGGGTTTACATACGTATTCTGCGTGGATGACCAGACATCCATCGAGCCGTCCTCCGGATGAGGAATGACCATAGCGGCGTTTGTTTCCAGATAGAAGTGCTCCTGTCCGCCGATACGAGTAGTCCCCGTAAATATACGGTCACAAGTAGCAAACACCTCCGCCATTCTTTCAGGCGGTGCACCTTTGCGCAACTCCTTGCCGTGGTTGAAGAAGCTTTCTGCCTTGATTGCCTCATCGATGGTTAGGACAGCCGGTAGATCTTCATAGACGACTTTGACGGCGCGAGCGGCAGCCTGAGCCTGAAGAGCTGTCTCCGCGTACACAAGACCAATAGGCTGGCCGTGGGAATACACCTTGTCCTCTGCAAAGAAGGGCTCATCGTGCACTACCGACCCCCATCGGTTCATCTCTGGAGGTATGCTATGCCGATCCACATATCCCACCGCCAAACCCGGGCCCAAAGCGGGAGTCCAGTCGACGGAGACAATCTTTGCATGCGCTTTTTGCGATAGGACCATGGCACCGAATAGCTCTCGATGCTGTGGAGGCATGTCGTCCACATACTCGGCCTCGCCGGTTGTATGCTTCAACCCGGATAGATGGGGGAGTTGCTTTCCGACCACCCGTTGTTCATATGGATTGTTGTTGTCTCGAGCGCCATGAGAGATCTTCCGGTGTATTCCGTCAGTGATGTCTCGGTCCACTGTAGGGCCCAGAGAAAACTCGGAGATGACTTCATTCCAGAAACGGAAGAACAGCGACAATGTGAGCGTTCGTCGGTATGTCGCCATCCCGCCGGGGACGCCAAATGGCAGGTCGAAGTCAGCAAGTAGAGCATCCAGGACTTCATCTAAGACGCTCCCATCGCCCCATGTCTTCCCGACAAGAAGCTCAGTGGCACGTTTCGCTATCACGGTAGTGGGCGCCATTCCGCCGTAAGCCAGAGCCGCCTCTGTCACTTTCGCAGTATCATCCAGGCGGACGCGGAATGCAGCGGTCACGATGGCAATATCGTCGTCCTTGCGTTTAGCCTGCTTGTATGATTTCGTGATCTCTCTCACGTTTGGCGGAGGCAAAGGAATGCGGATCTGGGTGATGATGCTCCCCTCTGGTAACGCTGTCTTCCGATATCCCAAGAACAGTGAGTCCATGGACAAAGCCGTCTTCATGGCGGCAGTCTCAGTGAGCACTGTAGCGTTGACCGCCAGCAGCAATGGGTTCATGTCGGAGATTGGCGAAGCCGTGGCAATGTTGCCCGCCAGCGAGGCTGCATTCCGGATCTGTCGTCCAGCAAAGTATCGTAACGCCTTAGCTGTTGCACCTAGGACTGATCCTCGTCTTCCAAGGATGGGAAGTAGTCGATGGCATTCCGCCTCAATGTCGCTTAGCGAAGCGTTACCCCCAATTACTAGCTCGCAGGCGGTCGATTCATCTGGAACAATGGATATTTCAGCCAGCTCTTTGATATCTCCAATGAAAACTGATACGGGGAATTCTACGCCCTTGAACCGGATGTCAACTTGCACTTCGCTAGCTCCGCCAACGAGCCTCGCTGATGGATATGCCGCTAATATTTCCAGTGCCTCGTTCAACGTGGCCGGGCGCAACCACAACTTCCCCTCGTCCCCATAACAGAGGGTTCTCATGGTGTGCTTGGCCAGACCAGGGGGGTATATGAGCTCTGTGTTCGGGGTATAAGGAATGAAGTCGAACTGCGGATCGGATGACTTGAGAGCAACGGGTGATCCGTCACTTGTAGGGTTGGTCGAGGGACTACTTGCTTGAGAGCTGGAGGAGCATCGTGAGCCACCGGTCTCGCGACAACAGCCGCCTGGCCGTCCACAGGATGAAGTGCTTGAAGGGTTAGACGCTGAGACAGTTGGCACGTCTGGCATTTCTGTATCAAGCGACAGAGGGTCTATGTGTAGTCTACCCTTCAGATCGTGTTGCACAAATGTTTTCGCTGCTTGGAGAATTGGCTTGTAACCGGTGCAGCGACATAGATTGCCATCCAGATGGCCTTTCATCTCGATCTCGTCTTCCGTGAGATTGAAGACTCCGGTTTCGGGATCGTAGGCGTTTCGGATCATGGCATAAAGTGACATCACGATGCCCGGCGTGCAGAAACCGCATCTATCCCATTAGCATGCGCGGTAACTTGGAAACGTCATCAACATACTGTGAGCCGTGCAGTTTTCCCAGCCGCTCTTGTAGAGGATGAGGGTGTTCCACGGACCCCAGCCCTTCAACAGTAATTACATGCTTCCCAACAACTGGAGTAATTAGATTTGTGGATATTGACGCCAAAGGGGCATTACATACCTCCCACTAACGGGTACAGGCAGGCATTCACTGCCAAATGTCGGATGCGACGAGATTGGCGTTGATCCCGAGTCTGTAGAACCACAGTGCATGCACCGCAGCCCCCTTCGCCACATCCTAGCTTTGTACCCTTCAGCCCATGCTGTGAGCGGATAAAGTCGAGCAGGGTCCAACGAGGGTTAGGGTTGTGCAGGTCGATCTTTGTGCCGTTGAGGTAGAAGGATAGCGTTGACGATGCATCATATTTCGCCACGAAGGCTTGCAGCTCAGACGGGACCATATTGTGGCCTATTTTATCGAATGCTTTGCGACAGCTCTGCGTGAGAGAATGATCATGGCATTCAATACTCCAGTCTGAAGGTCCAAAGAAGCGGACACTGTTGTAGTGATCTACTGCAGTGTTGCACAAGTGCTACTGGCCAAATTGGAAAATGGCCCCATTTGATAGTCCTGAACTCTTGGGGTTGATTATCTCGCGTCATAATCACCCCCTCACCAGCGGCCTATGTGGAGGTTATCCTAATCCGGCCAAGAGTGGGGGGACAAGAATGGAGGATCGGACGGTCCGGCATCGATACGTTGGAGCATGTTCATGCCTGCTCTGCTATGTTTTGGAAGAATGTTGGAGTAGACACGTTTGACAAGTTGCTGTAGTATGCATGTTCCTGTATCCCACTCTAGGGCTACGTGATCTTCATGCAAATATATGCCCTATTTATACAATCGGACTCAGCTCCCATCGATTTCCATCACATACTCACACAACATACAATTGCACAATGGGCTCTATATCCCCTCTCGACTCCCTTTTCCAACCCTTGCGCCTCGGTGCTGTGACGCTGCAGCATCGGGTCGTCCAGGCGCCGTGCACGCGTATGCGCTCCACGAAAGAATCTGACGGTGTCTTTGTGCCCAACGACTTGAATGTCGAGTACTATGGCCAAAGGGCTTCTGCTGGGGGGCTGATGCTGACAGAGGCAACTCCCATCAGTCGATATGTAAGGTTCCGCTATGTTGACCACGCAGCACTGTCCGAGCCGATATACTGACCTGACAATAATGGAATAGGCGGCGGGCTACCCTGGAGTCCCCGGTATATTCACCCAGTCGCAGATCGCCGGCTGGAAGAAGGTGACAGATGCGGTGCATGCCAAAGGTGCTTTCATCTTTTGTCAGCTTTGGCACGTAGGTCGCGCCACTGTCCCTTCGTTCCTAGATGGCAAGCAGCCGGTCAGTTCCAGCAGCATCCCCATCAGTGGGAAGGCATTGGATGGGACCGAGTATGCTGCGTCTCCACCAAAGCCTTTGACTGCAGCGGAGATCGAGGAGGTCGTCCAGGAATACGCCGCTGCAGCGAAGCGCGCCATGGAGGCAGGTTTCGACGGCGTGGAGATCCATGGTGAGTTTCCCAGCGCGCGCCTTTTACATCCCGAATCGCGGTGCATGTAGCTAAGAGACAGGCGCAAATGGATACCTCCTGGATCAATTCCTCCACGACAACGTCAATACGCGCACCGACGAGTACGGTGGATCCATAGAGAACCGATCTCGTATCGTTCTTGACGTGATCAAGGCTGTTACAGCAGCCATCGGCGCCGACCGCGTTGGCATCCGCCTTTCGCCATACAACTACTTCCAGGACACTCGAGACTCTGACCCGCAGGCACATTGGCTGGTCTTGTGCTCCTTGATCGCTGCTCTTCCCGTCGACTCGCGACCGTCTTACGTGCATATGGTCGAGCCGCGCTTCGACGAGGTGCTGGATGAACAGGCAAAGATGAGCTCCCTGCCGGAAGGGACTGCAGCCTCGAAGCCTTCGCTAGATCCATTCCGTCCAGTCTTGAAGAAGGGTGGGATTGCTTTCCTGGCAGCTGGAAACTTCAATGGAGGTAATGCAGGGCCCAAACTGGTTGAGGATGGCGCAGATGCGATTGTCTTTGGCAGGCTGTTCATCTCCAACCCGGACTTGCCGCGCCGGTTGCAGGAGAAGCTTCCTCTGAATGAATACGATCGGGCGACTTTCTATGGGGCTGACCCGCCGGAGAAAGGATACACTGATTATCCTTTTTATGGCAAGTAGATTGAGATATGGACATGTGCATTCACAAAGGACTATACACATAACTACACATAGATGCATGGGAAATTTAACACAGCAAATACATACCAAAACCAAGTCATTCATAGATACCAGAACTACTTGGACAGATTCAACAGCACCTTCATAGCATCATGAACCACTGCCCATCGCACGGTCGCCAGCTGCTGCGCCATCACCATCAACAGTCCCCTTGTGTCGTATTTCCCTCCCAGAGCAGCCAACTCCGGCATGCTCGGACATGTCGTCATCGCCACGATCAATGAAGAGATGTCAGTCCCAATTCGTTCCTGTGAAAGATGATCGTCCATGCCTCGATGAAAAGCCCAGCATGTCAGTGCCGCCAGATAGAGACACCACGGGAAATGGAAGGCGTCCGTTTGCTCCCAATCATGCAAACTCAAGACGGCATCATGTAGGAGGCACGCCGCATGGCGCGCAGCTACAAGTGAAGCACCCGATTCCCCATGGAGCCACCTGGGAAGATGTCGCCGTGAACGTTCTCGGTCGTCATCGGTCACTGTGCGGCCAAGAATCTGTGTAGCTCCAGCTGCGATCTGCAAATCCAAAACTTCCACGTTGAGCGCTAGATGAGCTGCTCGATAGAGGGCATGCGTGGCTGTCTTGACTCCCGTGAAGCGACGGGGATCCGCGGTTTGGCCGAGCTTCATTGCCAGACAGTCGGCATCAAAGTCGACTTTCCACAAGTCGTAAGACCGGCCCATTCGAGGCGTCCATGCACCCACTTTCTCCGGTGTCTCCGACCGCAGGGTCGTCTGGTCTCGCCTTTTCAAATCAGCCGAGACAGACATCAGTCCATGTAGCACGACAATGCGTGCAAGGGAGTTGAGGTCCCGTGGGCGGGACACGGCTCCTGGGGTAATGTAACCCTTCAGGACATTGAGGAAGACATGATCCTGTTCACGAGATGCATGACGAGCCCAGTCGTCTGCCGTGTTCGCTTCCCAGGCGGCCGCACTACAGGGTAGAGACGATCGTATCTCAAACGCCGACATGCACAAGGACTGCGAGAACAAAACCGCGTGCTGTGTGTCCCACATGAAACAATGCATCGCCAGTCGCTTGCGCTGCTCCTGTTCCATCGCCTGTCGCCAAGCGAAATCCAGGTCATTCGGTCGGTTCGACAAGCCCTGGGTTCGGATGGTACAGCAATTACTGCGCCGAATGAGTTTTATCAGCACGCAGTGGAAAAGCTGCGCACGTTCGCGCTGCTTGGGGCCAGCCCGCATCTTCCCGAAGCAGTCGATAAGCAGCATCGCCTGCAACACCCAGAGGTCGGGCTGGGGAGAGAAGTCTGCATGGCAAAAGAGCTGGTTTCGCAGAGCGTCATGGATGCCCACCGCCAGCTGATGCGCCTCGCGGCTGCTGTAGGTGGCGCCCATCGACAGGATAGCCGCGAGAAAGACCGGCTCAATTGCATTGGGATTGAAAGTCGCCTGGTGGATGAGAGGATATGTAATGTTGAATCTAGTGAAAAACAGATCACAGTAGCTTTGCAGAGATTGCATAGAAAGTAAAGGTGAGTCAAGAGCTGTGGCACTGCCATCAATTCCAACCGGTGATGTTTGGGCCACAAGTGTGAGAATGCCACGCCGGGCTTCTTCATTCAGACGAGGGAGATGGGGAGGCGTACTCGTCTCGAAGACAGAAGACCCTGTCATCCACTCCATATCGACCACATCAGGCATGCCAATGGGTTGCGCGGTTTCTACGAGAGTCCCTCGCTCAACGTACGAGGCTGCCTGTAGCAGGACTGATGAGCCATCCTGATCGAACAAAGCTCTCATCTCAGGAAACTCAAGCGCAGTGTTGTTTCGATAGGGATCGACAGGGTCGGCAAACGTCATCATATCAGAACCGAGAGGCACGTCGAACTGATCAAATGCATCGTCGAGCGATGAGACGTCGAACAGCCAGTTGTAGTTATGGGTTGCAGCAAAGGGCATATTGAAATCGGTGGCTAGCTGGTCAGCTCAGTCCCACGAACAGCAGCAACAGAGAAGTATATCCAACGTACCCGTATCAATGTTGAAAAAGTCGGCTGTTGTGTCTAGCCCCAGGCTGAATGAACCATCTGCTGCATCGAACTGACCCGGGATGGGTTCGACATAGGGCTCAAATGGGCCCCCGGGCATCATCGGTGCCAGCAGGGCATCCGTATCATCCAAAGACAGCGATGGCGGATCGCTGGCAGATCCAGGAGGCGATACAGGTGCCCCATGCGGCGTATGGGCATCTAATTCACCGTAATTTTGGTCTCGCGAGCTCGCTATAGAGATGGATGATGAGGTAGTGGACTGTGAGTGTGCAGGGCGAGACTGCCGTTTTGGAGGCCGAGTGATAATCGTCCCATCACCCGCACGACGAGTGCGTTTACGGGTCTCCAGCACTCCCAAGCCCGGTCCTCCTGCCTCTTCGTCGCGTTTGGCATGTCGCATCATGTGTCTTGCTACAGAAAGGTCAGTGGTAAGGACAGTCTACTGGGACACCCAAGACGTCTATACCTAGGAGATCAGGTCGGTTGAAATGCACGGAACATCGCTCACAAGTATAGCCATTTTGCGCCTGTTCATGATTCAACGCGTGGCGGCGCAAGTGCTCCGCGCGTGTAAAGCTCTTTCCACAGCTAGGCCACTGGCAGACGTGGTTCTTCATCTTTGCTGGGCCATGACGAGGTCCGGAAGCACAAAGAAAGAGCGGCAGCTCCGACAACGTCTCTGTGGGGGGTAGGAGGCATGGGCTAGACTTATACGTGACTAGCTGCACGCCGGTGTGAAATCCGAGCGGTTGATAAGACTATCTGCGAATTGGAGAAGCCCTTGGCGGATTTCCAGTGCGGAGAACCCAATGGATTCGTGTATGCACGATTAGATAGACGGATTGATAGCCCGTCCGAATTGAAACTATCGTATCAAACATGCCACCACCGCGATCAGGTCTAGCGAATTATCTACAGGAAATAACGCCATTCAGGAGACTCTTCTCCATCCACCAGGTCGCTAGTAGGAACGGCCCCTGCCCGCAGCTTGACCCCCTGCTCCCTGTCCCGTCGTCTGTTCTCAAAGCGCATCCACAGTCCTAGAGCCGTTGCAAAGACGATACACACTCCGTTGCAACAGCAGGTAGCTACCAGCCTGGGTATATACCTTACAAGCATCAGCAAACGCAAGGACCAGCAGCAGAATGAGGGGCATGCATACTTCGGAGCATATTCAGTACGAAACGTGGCGGCACTCAGAACCCCCGCAATATTCCCAAGTCCCACAAAGAACCCCGTGTTGGCGGCTCGTGAGTTCTCATGAACATTGTTGTTGTTGTGCCACGCGTGGACTAGGCATGATGGGATGTATGCCCCAGCAGCCATGAGGAAGCATGCAAAATATGAGACGCCTTTGTTTTCCAGGACGTCAATGGTGGACAGCACCAACATGCCCACCAGTGAGAGTGTCAATGAGAAGACTATATGGAACGTACGTTCGCGGAAATAATCTGATGACTTTGCAACACACAGCAGTACGACTGCGCCGACGAGATTGGGCGCCACCGTCCATAGATTTGTCTTGATGACGGAGTATCCCAGGCGCTGTACGATCAGCGGGAAGAAGTTCATCGCTGTGGCGTAGGCCACCGGGTATGTGAACGTGATGATACACCAAATGGGGAACTTCCAGTCTTTCCATGTCCGAAAACACGACTTCAGATCGAGTTCAGTTTCTACCTCGGATGAAGTGTCACGCAATAGTCGGGCTGTCGCAGCAGCTCGTTCTCGGTCGTTCAGGAACCAGGCCGTTTGAGCGTTGTCCGGCAGCCACCAAAAGCTGACGATTCCGGTGATGAGGGTCATTGCCCCTTCAATGATGAACAGCCACTGCCAACCGTGGACTGCGGGATAGCCGATCTGGAATACGCCAAAGGAGATCAGTCCGCTGAATGCAGAAGCTAGCACAGCAAAGGACTGCATGATGGCCAAGCGGAAGCCCATTTCACCACGGGTGTAGAATAAAGTGAAATAGAACGTCGCTCCACAGAAGAAGCCGGCTTCGAACACTCTAGAGTGTGTTAGTATTTTTTAATTCCATGCGCCATCGAAGCCTCACCCGAGAATGATGCGGATGGCCAACATGCCGCCAAAGTCCTTGGCCGCGCATTGACACATCGCACATATGCCCCAGACCACAGTCACTATCGACAATTCAGTCGACCCTTCTCGTATGAAGGACTGGGGAATGACATACTCAAAGAGAGCATCAACCGGCCAGAGAACCGCTTGATGAGCAGGTTCCACGGGAGGTCAAACAACCCGAATGGGATATAGAACAACAAAACGAGCAAGGAGTAGTCATTTCCTTCGAGATGAATGTCTTTATCCAGACCATCTGTCTTCGCATTGGCAAGATTGCTCTGCTAGTGTTAGTTGCAAGTGTCTACAAGCAGCCAACGAGGGATATACCCGGTCCATGCAATCGAAGAAATACATCTGTCTGATCCATTAGCAGTCCCATATTTGCTATCCAAGCCGGCCTACGTACCAGACATAACAAAGGCAATACGAAGAAGTCGACTTTCCGCACTGGTACACCATGAGTATTCGCTTGTCGAGAATGTCAGGCTTTGGTACCGTAAGACCTCTCGGCATCTTCATCGACAAGTACATTCGACTGCCCTGATTTGGCCTCTGGATCTAGCGACATGCGGTCTCCCGTGATTTCTCGTTTCTCCATAGTAATCATGATTACGTTCGTCCCGACCGATATGTCAGAAGGGGTCTACACGCCCACTTCTTGGAAACTGCTCCGGATATATATTTGGTCTTGGTACGTCTTTATCCCTTGCGTTTCGACTATCTGCACTCCATGACATCCCATGCATATTCCTGGAATGGAGGGATGTAGCTGATAGCTCCCATGCCTCCAGAACCATACAGACCACCACCAGAAGCCAATAGTAGATTGCTTTTAGATAACGACTGTCAGACTTGACGCTAGAGACGTTCCCCGCTGATCAGCGTGTCTATCTGCCGGGGATAAGCAAACCCCCATTCTTCTCACCCCCATCTTTGTGCTGACATCCTCGTCCGTCTCCAAGCTTGCCTCCATGCCTCCATGTTTGGACATTGTAATCATGGGTGACTCGGTCTTCTGTCCGATGACTTTTGGAGCTTACTGCTCGTTGAGGGCGTGGTTGGGGTCGTGATGGTTATATTCAAACTTGACAAGTCTTCTGAATGGCGACAGCATCTGTATGATACAGACAGACAGACAGAGCAACATCAGAGGTAAACCGTCGTCTTCCAGAATGTCCCAACCCTGCGCACCACCTATTCTCGATTTCTCCCCCTTCTACGGAGAGGACAGCGATGCGAAAGCCAAATTGGTCGACGAGGTCCGCAAGTCGTGTCTCTACAATGGCTTCTTCCAGATCACCGGCCATAGGGTGCCTTTGGATCTCCAGCGACGCGTCATGAGCTGTGCAAAGAGATTCTTCGACATGCCTTTGGAAGAGAAGATGAAAGTTGACAAAAGTACGCCGGTCTCTCCATCTGCAGGATGCCACTGACCAGCGTAGACAACAATTCATTCAATCGAGGGTACGAACTCCTACGGTCGCAAATGCTCGAGGTTGGAACTGGTCCGGAGCTGAAGGAGGGCTACTACATCGGTGAAGAGATACCTCAGGACCACCCGTATTTTGTCCAGAAAAAGTTGAACAGTGGCCCCAACCAGTGGCCCGCTACCATCGAAGATCGAGACGAGTTCGAGCGGACGTCTATGGAGTACTATCATGCCGTGTTTGACTTGTCCAAGGATGTCCTCGCCGTTCTGGCCTTGACGCTCGGTGTCGATACCAGCTATTTCGATCCCCTGACAGAGGGCGCCGTCGCGACGATGAGATACCTGCACTATCCAGCGCAGCCCAAAGACGAGGACGAGAAGTTGAACAGGGGAATTGGCGCGCATACTGATTTTGGCTGTGTCACCCTGCTTCTGCAAGATGAAGTGGATGGGCTGCAGGTGCTAGATATGCCCACTGGACAGTGGCTCGATGTGCGTGGCCGTTCAATCCATGGTCTAGCAGTTGCTGACATGGTACAGGTACAACCGGTCCCAGGAGCCTACGTCGTCAACCTAGGCAACCTTTTCATGAGAATGGCGAACGACAAGTACAAATCTAACATTCATCGCGTAATTAACAAGTCAGGGCGCGAACGCTATTCCATCCCGTTCTTCTTCAGTGGGAACCCAGACTATGTGTGTGAATGTCTGCCAAACTGTCGCGAGCCGGGTGAAAAGGCCAAATATCCTCCGATAACGGTGGAAGAGATGGTGACAGCCTCTTACAAGGAAAGCTATGGTCGAGCGGAGAAGTATAAGCAAGAGCTGAAGGCAAAGTTGGAGGCTACACCCACTGCCGCGGCAGTTGGGACATGAGAGGGTGGAATATAGCGTCTTCATCATAGTTATGAGATGAGTAAATCGGCGCGCTGGTTGTAGATCTCAATATGAATTCTGATTTGCATCAAGACTTTGCAGGGCTGTCCACCAACACTTCACACTACAAGTAACTCAAAACATGTAAAGGCCATGAGAAACTCAGAAACGGCCCAACTTGGGAAATGTGAACTGAATCTACCATAAACCTGTCTTTGCCAGACAATCCCACTTCGCTCTGGACAATCTGTTCCCTGGACACACCAGAAGTGGAGGACAGCTACATGTCAGTAGTTCGATATCAGACATCCCCACTCTTGACCTCTCACAAAGTATCGAGCTCTATCAGTGCTTGGCCTTCGCGGAGATTAGCTTGGAGTCTATTTGGATGGTATTTGAGTCTGTGTGGTTTGCCATGGAGCTGGTGAGGTGAGTTTGGAAAGAACAAAGACAAAATGGACGATATTCAACATGCGAAACGATCTCAGCCCGTTGATAACAATAGCTCGGGTGAGGATATGGGCAAGATCGAGCCCATTAATGACCCGACAATCCAGCAGTTCTATGGGTCATCCACGACGGAGGCCTACCGGCTCAAATCCGAACTAGTCGGGAAATGCATGGAGGAGATTGGCATGGGACGGTAACTATCCAACTGCCCCATAGACATCTGCAATCATCCAGCTCACTTCCTAGGTTTCAATGGGAGCTTTTTATAGTGACTGGTTTTGGTTGGATTGTGGATAATGTCTGTCTCCTCATCTGCACCGTTGGTCAGGCACTCACTGACAAGTCGAAATAGTTTGCATCACAAGGAATCGGAAGCGTTCAACCTCCCATTCAATTGGAATTCTCCGATATTTCCCGGGTCAGCTACAGCTCTGTTGCCTATTATGTTGGGCTCATTCTGGGAGCATCGTTCTGGGGCATCTCCAGTGACCTCGTCGGTCGTAAGCCGGCATTCAACATAACCCTGCTGATCGCTGGCGTATTTCTCTGTGGAGCGGCAGGATCCATGAACTTTGTGGGATTTAGTGCTCTGTGGGCTGTCATTGGAACGGCGGCTGGAGGAAACGTTCCTGTGGACTCCATGATCTTTCTGGAATTTGTTCCTGGGAGGTAAGTGGTGCAACCTTCAATAAGATACCCACGCTAATTGTATAGCCATCAATGGCTCCTCACAGCATTGTCGGCCTGGTGGAATCTCGGCCAACTCATCGTCTCACTGCTTGCCTGGGTGTTCCTGGCAAACTATAGCTGTCCAACTGATGCAACACCGGAAACGTGCGTGCGTAGAGAAAACATGGGCTGGTATGTCCGCGTTCCATCAAAAGCATTGGGCCACGCTGACATTCATTTGCAGGCGGTATACATTGATCACCCTCGGGGCATTGTCCCTTGCCTTCACATTCATTCGTATCTTCGTCTTTAGATTGCCTGAGACACCCAGGTATCTTCTGTCGCAGGGCAAAGACCAGGCCGCCGTCGATGCTGTCAACTATGTTGCCCGACAGAATGGAAAGGAAGAGCCACTGACAATCGGAATGCTGCGCGACATTGACTACAGATTGGGAACGGCATCCCCCGAACGCGAAGCCACCGGCCTATCGACGACTGAGATCATCAGGGAAAACTTCAAAGACTTCCGGGGATCTCACTATCAAGCGTTGTTCGCAACACGCCAATTGTCACGCCATACCATACTGGTCTGGGTTGACCATTGGTGCGTGATACCCGAATTCTGATCGAATATCACACTGACTCGACCAGGTATCGCATATCCCCTATACTTCAACTTCCTGCCGTCGTATCTGGCGACGAAGTTTACACAAGACTCGTCATTGTCTCTGACATATCGCAACTACTGCATTCAGTCGGCCGTGGGTATCGTTGGCCCACTGTCGGCGGCCTTTCTCGTAAACACTTTTCTTGGCCGACGTTGGATGATGGGGATCTCGTCCATTGTGACAGGAGTATTCCTGTTTGCGTATGTCGGGGTCGAAACGCCCAAGGCGAGTTTGGCCTTCTCGTGCATAACAGGGCTGCTGGGCAATTTTGGTATGTTCTCGCTTGAAGTTGCGATGGCCCGGACTAATCCTAGCAGAATATGCAGTAATGTATGCATTTACCCCCGAGTCCTTTCCCGGTCCTCATCGCGGTACTGGCACAGGGACGGCGGCATCTCTGCTGCGAGTGGGAGGACTGGCTGCCAGCTTGATTTCGTCCGAGACAGGATTCACTCCAGCACCGATCTATGTCAGTGCCGCACTGTGGGTGGCTGTAGGGGTGATCTGTTTCGGCCTACCGTTCGAAACTCACGGGCATGCAGCTATTTAGTCGACGGAGATGATGTCTCGCGAGTGCCACGGGCCCTCGACACGGGGTTACACGCGTATAAGACGGCTGTCTGTTGTACAAATGTTGGTTCACGAGTCGGAAATTTTCGACTGCACCAGCATCACCTAGATTAGAAACATGAATGCAAGCAATCAACCATAAATTTACGCTATCATTCAAAATTTGAGAACTGAAATGCAATCCAACGATCGAGTCTCCTGTCAATCCCGACTTCTTCTGTCGACAGGTATCCATGTTAGAGCGTTCTCCGACGGGTAAAGGCTCCACGCAGCAAGGTACGAAGCACTGTAGTCTGAGTGGTCTATACAACTGACCCGCCATGGATCTAGATAGTGTGGTAGACACAATGTATCTCTTCAGCACGCTCTCATCCGGGGTTGGATCTCGTCTCCATCGGCGGAATTATATCTCTAGCTGTCTTTCATTCGTAAATAACCATACACGGTAGCTTAGCTACTAGCCTTGCCACTGTCCTGCTTGAGAGAGACGATCCGGTTGAGAACAATATGATCGTCGGTAGAGTCAGAATCCATAGCCTAGTCATGTGTTAGCATGAATGGGACATAATGCTAAGAAATTAGAAGAGCCTACCATATAGGCGACACGCATGGCCTGGAACCGCACACTTTCAGGACCGCTCTTGCCCTTTTCACCGGCAGCCGCCGGCCAAGGGGCACGCCGACGGACCTCGTCGAAGCCAGACTCGATCATAGCATCATTATAAATCGTCTCGCTCTTAGGGTTGATGTCGTTCAAGAAGCCCCCTTCAACCGAAGAGGGATCATCTGATTTGAATAGTTGATCGTGGATGCGAACCTCCACCTTGCGCGACCCCTCCGGCACCCAGTGGATGAAGGTCTTAGGCTTCTTACCGTCGCGGTTCAGCACTGCCCGTACCTCGGTGACGTTGCCATCGGCATCCTTCGAGAAGGAGGTTGCGGTGATAGGATATGGTGTCTTCCACAGGCCGACAGTCTTTCCGGGAGCGAGGCGGAAGAAGTCCTTGCTGTCGACATCGCGGAAGTCGGACCGGTCGATGTAGACGGTCTTCGTAAGCGGCAATTTATGCGAGCCCATCGAAGGATCCTTGGGGGAGAAGGGCATGTCCACGTTCACCTCATCGGCAGTGAGCGTGTCGAAGTCTTCAATGACGACAGGGAGAGGAGACAAGACAACCATGAGTCGTGGGGTGCGTGTCTCGAGATAAGAGCGAATGGACTGTTCAAGGCGGGCGATGGTAATAAGGGTCTTGGAAGTAGTAACACCGAGCTCATTGACGAAGGAGAGGAGCGCCTCGGGCGGGACACCGCGCCGACGGAGGGCAATGACGGTATACAGACGCGGGTCGTCCCAACCGCGCACGTACTTGGCATCCACGAGTTTTTTCAACGAACGCTTGCTCATAACGGTGCCGCTGATGTTCAGACGACCTGCAACAACCAGTCAGTAGCGGACTTCTCGAAAGAACTGGGCGGACCTCACCGAATTCGCGCTGCATCGGCTCATACACGCCGAGGGTCTTATTGAGCCACTCGTAACTCTCACGGGCGAGAATGAACTCGGTCGTACAAAGGGAGTGGGTGATGCCTTCGAAGCTATCACACAGACAATGCGCGAAATCATAAGTAGGGTAGATAACCCACTGATCGCCGGTCCGGTGGTGAGGCTTCTTCAGCACGCGGTAAGCAGCGATATCCCACATGGAAGGGTTGTTGTTTCCATCCGCCAGCCCCTGTCTCATACGGAGAAAAGCCGTCTGGGGTTCATATTTGCCGTCGCGCATGTCGCGGAATTTCTGGAGGTTCGTTTCGATATCCGCATTGGCATGTTCACAGCAGAATCTCGGGCCGTTTTTCTCCCCACCACGCTGCAACTTGAGGTCTGTATCACTGCAATGGCAGACATAGGCCTTTCCAAGGGTGATCAGCTTCTCCGCCAGCTCGTACAGCTTCCCAAAGTTATCGCTGGAATACGTGACGGCATGAGGGGTGAATCCAAGCCACTGCACGATATCCTCGATCGCGTGGAAATATTTCTCTTCCTCGGCCTCGGGGTTGGTGTCGTCGAATCTAACAATTAGTACATAGGCTCGCTGCGTTATTTGTAGAGGCGAGGTGAGTCGACATACCTAAGGATCTACAGCTCTGTCAGTCTGTGTGTTCTCTTACGGCATGGAAGGAGATGGGAGGCATACCGTATGACCGCCATGATACCGCGCAAACCCGAAGTTGATCGCAATACTCTTAACGTGACCCAGATGCAGGTATCCATTGGGCTCAGGGGGGAACCGAGTGACCACTGGCTTCACAGGTCTCTCCTTGTACACTGAGGCTAAGAAACCCTGTTTGAACATCGCATCCGGATCCAGCTCCTCCTCCGGCTCCTTGGGCTTGGGGGCCTGTTGAGCAGCCGGTTTGGGAGGAGGCGCATCAGCCTTGGCCTTGGCCTTTGCTGCAGCTTTGGCACGTTTCTGCATGCGCTTCTTCAGTTCGCCCTTGGACACCATCTCGCCGGTGACTTCATCCAGCTGAAGCTTGGCGGTGGCTTCTGTCACAGCGTCCGCCATGATGAATGGAATTTGTGCTGTGTGATAGATCCGGTTTCAAGCTAGAGAAGGAGACTCCTGGAATCAGGAGGCGTGGTAGCGATTGAGTGAGGGGAGGCTGAGGAAGAAGACGAAGGAGGGGCGTTATCAGCGATGACTCAAAAATAATTTTGGGTGTTGATAGCGATTGCCGCTTTGGGATATCCGCGGGGGCTTATTCAGCGATCATGTGATCGTTTCTTTGTAGCTATCTCATCTTGCGCCAAGCATTCGCAACTACCGCCATCCTTCACGACTCTTATCTCTCTTCTACTTATTTCTCCCGACGGAATAATATACATCGCCTCGCTCTTTGCGATTGACCCTCGATCTCAGGCACAGACGTTCAATAATGCCACGGTCGGGTCATGGTCGGAGGCCTGTTCCTCATACGCGACCCAGGTGTTGACGTGAATGTGCTCGATCTGCGCCTCCGTCGTCAACGCATCACTCACATACATATGGTCAAGCTGTTGACAGTTCGCGTCATATAGATACGTGTATCTTTCCGTTTTCGAGACGCCCGCCACATCGTCCAGGTCCTGTAACCCTGACACAGCCGAGAACACCTCCAATGGACGCGCAAATGCAAACTCGTTGAAATCCCCCGCCGTAATAATCTTCGCACTCGAGTCCTCCGATAAGATTTCCGAGATGAAATTCTGTCACTGTTAGTCAGCGCAACCAGAACGAAACTGCAGGGGATCTATCTGGTCGGGGAAAGGCAACTTACGCCGACTACTTTGGCTTGGGCGCTGCGTTGGTCGATTCCACCATTGACCGGGGGCCGAGCGTCGCCTTCAATAGATGACCCACCGCCTTTGCTGGTGAAGTGCACATTGACAGTGAAAAACCGGGCCTGTCCTTCCAGGGTCTCCCACGCAGCGGCCAACGGCTTGCGACTATCCGCCCACGCACTGTTGCTCGGGTCGATCAACCCGGGGTTGTATTTGAGCTCCGCTCCGGACAATACCTCGTTAGCGTCGGTGCTGGACCCCGGGTTGGCATTGCGCAGTCGGACTACCGACGGATCATACAGATATGCTACCCGGATGTTGCCCCCAGGCTCTCCGCCGTCTCGTCCGTCCACTGGGTCAATGTTCACAAAGTCGTACTTGATACCCCCTTGCTTTTGGATCTCACGGATAAGGGTGGACAATGTCCGATTCGCCGACACGACTTCGTGCACACGTCAGTATGAAAATCTCGGCTTAAGACACGGCAATGCACGCAGCTTACCTCCGTCATTGGTGGCCCCGTTGTTATCCTGAATCTCTTGGAGGAACATAACAGTCGGGCACTTCAGATACTCCACGATATGTCCTGCGATTTTCGATAGGTGCGTTGAGTTAGGAGTCAGATTTTCCACGTTATAGCTGCCAAACGCCATTGCACTACAGCTCCCGTTTGAGGTTAGAGTGGTGGGCATGGCTGCAGTCTCGTTCGACCCAGTTACCGTCAAGGCCGTCAACGGAAGCAGCCTGTAGTACCCATAAGCCTGGGTTATGACTCCCGTGATGTCGTCAATTGTGTCTCCTATTTTGGTGTTTGTGGGATTACTGCTTCCGTCCAATGGTGAACCGATGATAATCGCCTCGGGGTTTGCGTCTAGCATCTCCGTGTTAGTTAGCAGTCAGGCTGAATCGACGTTGGGCATATTACCGTTTGGGGTCATCGTCAACCCGCCTCGCTCATTCCCTCCCGTGGAATCCCAATCCCCCAGTACCCAGGTATCACCATATTGATTCGGCTTGGTAAGGGCGTGGACTCCCTTCAGCTGAACTAACTCCCCACTGAGACTCTCCCAAAAATCCATTCCATATCTGGATGGCTTCACTGTCGGATTCTCGTGGGAAATCTGGCTGACATTGTTCGGGACCCCGAACACGTTCTTGTGATCTAGACCTGAGAATTCCTCCGTTGGCGGTGCCAACCCATTCTGTCCGATCACCAGTGGGGTGACTTCGTTATCGTGCGACGCTACCTCGATGTTTGTTGGACTGATGATCTCCGTCAGGTAGACATAGGACTGTGATGAGCGATATTCGGACACTTTCCCGTCTAGGGAGATTATGTCCCCGACGGAGACCTGAGACACAGCCGACTTCCCATAGACGTAGATGGAGTCTGAAGCCGGACTGTCGGCGTTGGGCCTCATTGAGCGTAGGTAGAAGCCACTGCTGCCTTTGGCGGTGACTAGTCCTTTGATATCGGAGACATTTTTGTCTTGGTATGGTGAGAGGTAATGTTTGCCATTAACTTCGCCGATGGTCAACGCCAGCACGTGCGAAAACAGAGAGCTTGAAGCCCAGAGTCCGGGAAGAATTCTCATGGTGAAACGCATATCGTGGTACAGACCGTCAACTCACTTGCAGGCAGGGTCCTGCAACGAGGCCATCGATTCCTTTTGAACCCCGTTCTTTAGCAAAGAGCCGAAGTGCATCACATCGCTATCTCTTGTCAACAAGGCCTTGGGGCCAGTGATAAGGGATCGCCCATCCACGTTTGGCACTAAAGACATCGCCAAGAAGACCGGGCGCCACAGGTTGAACACGATGTCACCTCGTTCCTGGTGATATGTCTGACGAAGGCAGCTTGATGTATCTGGTTCGTTGACGCACCCTTCCTTTTCTCATGGACCCCGATCTATTTTCCGGCTTGGCTGACGACCACAGTAGCCTGAGATTGGTCTATCATGTCTTTGGCACCTGAAGATGTGCATCAGTCTTACACAAATATGCGGGCATTCATCGATCTCCGTTCAATTCCTCTTCCCCTGGTTCGGAATACGCCTCTCTCCGTTCCTCCAATTTCACCAAGCGCCTTCGTAGGTCTTCAATGTCGCGGTCTAACTCGGCTACCGAAGAAACTCGGTATCTAAGCCTTAAGATCACTGCTGAGAGAAGAAGGAGTCCAATGGATACCAGATACGACCACTGTCCAACCTGTTGAGGGTTCTCTTGGGCTGGACCGTCGTTGTAAATGTACCATTCGATCCAGACCACAAAGGCAATGGCCGTGAGGGGGCTGATGATTATACTCAGCAATATGGCGGCTAGGAGAATAACGTCGACCCAGATGCTTGCCCACTGTTTGATGACCTTTGGGCTTAGATGGCTCCGGAGACGGCGCCACACCGTACGCTGGTGGCATGGATTTTCATTATCCCCTCGATCCATTTTTCTGGCTGTCTCGAACCCGCTTTTCAGCTTGTTCCAAATATCTTTCCGTTGCTTCCAGATGATCGCCACCTTCATTGCTGGAATACGGGATCGGAATGGTAACAAACGGAAACAGAGAAGAAGACAATTGAGAATCACCGACACCGCGATGAGGCTGTAGATATAGCTCGACGAGTATGCGAGCTTTGCCCAGAATGAATGCGGATGTGGATCGTCATCATCGCGCGGATAAACCATTGCCGTTAATGAAGTTTGCTGTCGCAACACCTGGCTACTGTTGAAGCACGGGTTAAAGCATATATCGCCAAGTTGATTCCATAGTATTGGACTCGAGAAGATGTCCCAGACACTGTTGTTCCATGTCGTATTTCGCCATTCGCTATGCCACCCGTCATTTTTTGTTTGTTCAAAGGGCGGATAGTCCGGATAGCAAAACATATACTGAGTAGGTACTTTGCTCAGTAATGTGGAATAGACCAGTCCGCAGATTGACCCTGCCAGCATGAGGAGGTTCCAGAGGGAAAACAAGATCACCCGGACTCTCTCTTTGGACAACACGCGGGACCAACATTGCAAGGGCAGGAACACCAGGTACCCTGTGACGACGACAGCGAGAACGGCATCGCCGTCGAGCTCGAACGCACCAGGTTGGACCACTACCCGGTCGGTGTCCGTCACCAGCTGAGGAAATGCGTCCCCGATGCTGGTGTTTGTCGGTAGGTAGGGAACGGTGACCAGTTCGGCACTTTTGGGGTTGGACACGCTGGCGACTAGTATAAACGCCTGGATGGCAGCAACACCAGCATAGGTTGCCGCGGTGCCCAAGAAGACATCAGTCAGCCATCCAGTCCATCTTGTGAGGCAGCTTGCAAGAAGCAGGGCATAGAAGAGATATCGCGGACAGTAATTATATATCGTGCTAATAGGGTAGAAGCAGATAGCCTCTTGCGCAATGAAGAGTGGGCTATCCTGGGACGACATGACAAGGTACTGGAGCGAATGGATGATTGTGGTCCATGACAGATCTGCAAGATATGTTGCCTTTCATCACAATTCAATTCGGTGGTTGCCTTGAGGCGGTTGTGCTGTGGATTCCGAAGTAGTTGAGGCGAGTGACGTAATCGATCCCATATTCGCATCAACCCTACATTCAGTATCAGCGAACCATCTAGCTACGCAAGGATTTAATACGTTCAATGCATTGCCTATCGGGAACTGTTGTTATGATGCCACGCGAAGCTGGACGTGTTATCAACCCAGAGCTCAAGGTATGTAGCACCGCGAATATACGTGTGCTTGCTGTTACGGAGACGGCAGCGGATACCATCAAGCAGAGCCTGGAATGAGAACGGGGTATGAAGTCTGACAGGGTTCTATTTAGCCTTGCAATAGCGGAATTTATGATGACAGGATACTTCTTTCCTTTACTCATCTCGTTCCATTTCTGGCGAACAATGCTATGATTTGGTCATGTCAATCTACAGCATGTGTGGCAAGCAAGGAATTTATTATAGCAAGACAACAACCCCGTTCACAGCTATCTAACCCCGTACCAAAGTCCCAGTTACCAAATACTGTACTTAAAGTACCGCAGCAGCCGCTACTAAAGCATCACATGCCGCGCTCTGGGTTGATGCATTCGCTGGAGAGTATGGACCAGCAAACGCCGACCCGAATGTGTAACCAGATCCCCTGTCATTTGCCCAGATGCTGTCTGCATTTCTTTTTAAGAACCTTCGGATCTCATGACTGGCGGATTCCTGTTCTAGACGCTGTAGGTTTCTCATAAAAGTGCCCTTGAAGTGAGTTGCGTCTCCTGTGCAGTTCGGATCACAGGATTCGCGAAGGATGCCGGTTTCATCGCTGAGTGCCTTGATAGCAGCAGAGGCAATCCGATGCGCCGTCGATAATAACGATTTATCGCCAGATATCTTGAAGAGTTCGACCAGTCCCCCGAGAATGACGCCTTGGTTGTATGACCACACTGTCTTCTTGTTGTTTTTGCAGGTCTTCAGGTCCAGTCCATCATTGATGGTATTCTGGCTGTTGATGAGACCGCTCGATTTGAACCATTTCCACTCTTTCAGCGCCCAGTCCTTATAATGGCTTTTTTGTTCTGGTAGGCGTCGTGCCAGGTGTGCGGCAACACTGAGGAATATCTCATTCGCAATGGCGGCATTCTGCGTGTGAGCTTTATCCCACCAGATACCACCGCAAGTAGCGTTCCATCCTGTCGTCATGTCGTCGAAGATATCGGCGGCCGCAGTGATATACCGCGCGTCGTGCGTCACATCATAGGCCTGGATGAAACCCAGCGCCCACCATCCTTCATCATCGTAGAAGCCGTTGATAAAGTTATCGGAAGCTCCTTCGTTGGCGCTGTGCATAAGATCCTGGGCCCGCACTGTCGATATCGCGGTGCGTAAATTATGATCCGACTTGAAGGACGGTGCATGGCTCAGTGTGTTATGAAAGATCGCCTTGCTGGAATTCAGCATGGATGGGTCGAGCTCTGTCATGTCACCAAGCACGGTCAGGCAGTTTGCGCTTACCCACCAGCTCGCAGTGTTCCATAGTCCTGTAGTCTGGTTGTACCATTTTTGAAGGGAGTCTACCCCAGCCCGCGCGTGTTCGTGGTATGAACCAGTGTGGGGGTTCGCCAAGGTCTGTTGAACAACGATGCCAACCACAGTGCTGGAAATGCCAGCAAAGGTGAGGTGTGAACTGAGCATTTTCGCAGTATGTTTCCGAACCGATTTGAGTATCTCGTTGCATTGTTGCCAGAAGAGAGCACATTATGCCGTCGTCTCAAGCTGATGCGTCCATTGACACAAGGGGATTCACATTCCAGAGGCTGTAAACAGGAGATGTTGGGATGGATCTGCATTCCACGCATGTACGTCACACAAACCAGACGACAGGAAGGGTGTGTAATGTTAGTGAGGCGCAACAAAAGGAACCTTCATGCTTCTTATCACCAGCTGGTTCTAGTACAACTAGAACAGCCAGAACGGTGGAGCTTACATTCTGGCACTTTCCATATCTTGCGTAGGATCGCTGCTCACAATTAGCCAAAGGGGGAATTGTATGACTTAGTGACCATAGTTGCCTGTGTGAACCAAGGGGCAGGCATGCAAATCCCCCTGGCTGATGTCATGTCAAGTGAGCAACCACCGTGCCGTGTCTCTCGAGAAAGCGCTACTGTGTGATATGTCGGCTAAAAGGAGCCACCACACATGCGGACGTCCTTACATGACCACAGTGGTGGTTATATTGCTTGGAAGGTCGAAAAGCAGGGGATTGTCCGTATATGTTATTGCCTTACTCGGTAGTGAATGAGACTGTTTATGATTATGGGCTTTTATGACTATTTTTAAGGCAAGTATAGCCACAAACCAGCCACAGACGGTTGCATGTTATAGAGTAAAAAACGACCAGGGCCATGGTTTGAAAAGCCGAGGGTTGTGGTCTCAGAGCAGATAGGAAGGTGTAATGGGATGTGATTTGAAAGATGCTAGTGTTGACTCATATGGGGCAGATATTGGCAGGATCTGAGGCTACCCACGATAGTGACTCCCAGGGATGGAATCTATTATGCCCAGATCTCATATAACCAACTCGCCGTGGGGAAATTACCCGAGAAGGATGATATTCGAACTATACCGGCGGATGTCTAAGCTGTATCAACTAGTGGATAACTATGCGAACGACGGTTGCCCGAGGACGCGGTATACTCGCTTGTGCTGCTCCAGGAGTACCAAGGTGGCAATGGTCTGCGGTCCTAATCGTACAAAGCTAGGAGTCCAGCCCCGAAAAATCCATTTTGGTCCTTCGTTCCTGGTGAGCTCCTTAACGATGCCGAGGGTTGTGCTCTTGCCGGATGATTCCATCAGGTGTGTCTTGACCACATCCATCGGGCTGCATACAGTCGTAGCCACCAAGCTAGCCAGTAACGACGCCGAGACATGGATTGCCGGATGGTCCCCGCTGGTATTCGCAACTCTCATCAATATGTTTTTGAAAGTGTCGTATGATGCAAGTTGGGAACTTGTCATGAATCCGCAACGGAAGCAGTTCGGCCAGATCCCTTGGGTAAACGCGCGCCATCCTTCGCGTCTCTTCATCTGTACCCACGCATCCACAACATGCCTATAATTCCGCCGCGCAGCTGGAGGCAACGACCGGTCATTCTGCATACGGATGTTGGCAATATCGGATGGCGTGCCGAAGATGGCGCCTATGAATCCCGTCATGGCTGCTGTCAAAGCAAGTACTGGCGGGGACATTGAGATATTGTTTGCTTTGGCATGTTCTTTGATGGTCTCATACAATCCTATCCGCACCGATCCATATGTCACTGTAGGAGAGTTAGTACATGAGTGGTAGTACGAGTAGCACCGAATTCTTAGAGACCTACATTGGCGTGTGAGCCCTGCTGATAGCTAGGATCGTCAGCATCGTTGACCGATGAGGCCTTCTGATTTGAGATCATACTCCGCTGTAGAGACCCCGTAGTCCTTCAGACTGCACCACTCGTATAGCCGTTTTGACGGTTCCTTGTCGGGCTCCGCCACCCATCTGCATCCTCACCTTGACTACAAAACAGTGTCAGCAATTAAAATCCCGGCAGAAGGTGCGTCACTTACTCAAATCGAGCGGGTGCGAGACCACCACCGCCATACAAGAAGCGGAGCCTCCAAACCATTTGGGATACTCGACGCTCCGAGCAACACGGGGAATACCTGCTGCATGGGGGCTGCCAATATGACGGACTTCTGTCATGATGTGTGTAAATGAAAATCATTCTATGATCCTCAGCTCTTTGTCACTCAGGAGCTGTCCCGAATTTATACCATGACTATCTTTTGTCACAATGACCGAGAGGCCCAGTCAGAGTGACCCATATACCCTCATATAGCCTTTTCGGTTATAACCAAACAAAACGCCGCCAAGACAAGACCTCGGTGGTTCAACGGATAGATATCGGTTAACCGTACCTAATTTCTCTTGAGACAGATTTATTCGTTTCATGATCGAGTGATCGGAGTCCGACACTGGATAAGAAAGACAGACAATATCAGTGTTCACAGACCAGGATTCAATACTCGATTGCCAGGATAGCTGTGACATATCCTCCAAAGCACATGCAGACAGATGCAGCCAATGATCAAGAACACCAAATTAAACAAAATGAAACAGTCCGACAACAGAATCTCACCTTCTATGCTAATATGGCGAGCAAATGTAACGCTGACCAATTGAAGCCACATGTTAGTTATACGAGGCGGGGCACAGTGTGGCTAGGGGATTTTGCTATAAAAGGAGTCAGCTCACCGTCATATTGGAGATCGTCTAGCACACGTGTCCATAACTAATCCATCACACAAAGGTTAGACGAAATGCCACCCTCAGACGGTATCACCCAGCATATACCCTATGATCCCCTTGCCATTCAGTGGGTTGCTACACGACCAGAGAGACCCCTCGAAATAGTCGAGTACAATCCGGAGTGGAAACCCCGGTTTCAGGACATCTCGCAGAAGATTCAGGACGCTCTAGGTCGTCATGTTTTGTCAGTCGCCCATGTTGGGTCTACCAGCGTCCCCGGCCTGCCTGCAAAGGATGTGATCGATGTCGACGTCGTGGTCGCCGATCCAACGGCCGAGGAGACGTATGTTCCTGCCCTTGAAGCAGCGGGTTTCCAATTCCTTCTGCGGGAACCCAGATGGCACGAACACCGCTTATTTATTCTCGCGGATCCTCATGCCAATATCCACGTCTTTGGCCCCGATAGCCCTGAGCTGGTTCGGCACCGACTCTTCCGCGATTGGTTGTTGACCCATGAAGACGATCGAAACTTGTATGTGGATGCGAAACGCCGGGCAGCAGCGGAGAGTCACCGGGAGGGCGAGGGTGTTCAGCAATATAACGACCGCAAGGAACCGGTAATTCGAGAGATCCTGCGCCGGGTGTATCTGGCTCATGGACTTCTATTGGAAGAGCTCAACTGAGGCTATCACAACCGCCGCAACACAGTGGCCAGGGGGGCCCGCAGATGGATTATGGGATGAGAAGTTACGTCAGCCTGGCAGTTTGCTTCAAGGGTCGATACAGCTGATCTTTATGGTTCCTGTAAATGCCAGATATGACTATGGATCATGCTTTGCTGCTGTTCTCGCGAGTGTTGGGAGAGAGCGCCTAAATATGTCCTTTCCTGAACATTGTCTACTATTCGAGATAGATCAGAGCCATGCGTGTTTACTTGCCTAGCACCCTGTGTCGTCCCGTGCTTTCCGGGTCTGTGTGTCTCAATAGGACCTATGGGTGTAAGTGTCCTTGGCAGTTAATCCCTTCAAATCTCAGAGGCTTGGTATGAAACCCTTCGTCGGGAGTATATTACAGCCTAGCTTGGACTCAATTTCCTGTCTTGGTTATCCTCCACCAGAGGCGGTTCAATCCCTGGCCACTCTCCCAATGCCGAAATCGTGTGGAGGGAAAATTTATCCCCTGGCTGACTCTACTGTTCCTTCCCTTCCACCTGTCGCAGGACCCTGAGGCTGTTCAAGAGCCGAAACCAGTCTGCGCAGCATCACGAGGACAGGCTATCCTTCGGGCGCCACTTCTTGGCTGAGCGCGGAGCACATCAGATCCAGCGTAGTGCCATACCAAACACCGGAGCCAAGAAGTTCTTGATTCTCCGCTGCTGGCATGATTGGGGGACAACACTGGAGATTCCCGTTTCTAAATTATACAGGCTGACATTCCTGCTGCGGAAACTCTTGTGTGAAGAAGCCAAGAAAGCCATTGTGCTCCTTGAAGAAATTGAGCAGGTAGTAATCGTCCACCAATAGCGATGCAAGACTGTGCCAGATATGGCCGCCCTTAACAGGGTTATATAAGGTCAGTGGTTCTCCCATGTGGTGATCGGCATGAACATCTTCTAGCCCACCTCATACTTCGACTCGGTTGTTTCAAGAACCATGCGATCGACCGCGGCTGTTCTGTCGATCCTTCTTCCCGGGGCTCTGGCATGTCTGGGGTATGAAGGAGGTGTCCCCAAACCAACCGCGCACTACTCCAACAGCAAGGTGATTGAAATTGCTGCTGGACAGGTGTTTGACGCCGGTTGGGCCAAATATGATCGAGGGTCGGGGGCCTGCAGTGGAGATTCTGAGGGATCCTGGCAGGATGCTGTCTTCTATCTCCACTCTGGTGCCACGCTGAAGAACGTGATCATCGGCAAAGATCAGGCTGAGGGTGTCCACTGCGATGGACCGTGCAACCTGGAGTTTGTTTGGTTCGAGGACGTGTGCGAGGACGCCATTACTATCGTGAGTGCCGCAGTGGTGGTCTTTGTGAATGGAAGAGAAGCTCACTTCTGATCAGAAAAACGACAAAGCCGGCCAGGAAACCTGGATCGTCGGTGGTGGCGCTTACCATGCATCGGACAAGATTGTTCAGCACAACGGCTGCGGGACAGTCAATGTGAGCAACCATGCTAGGTTTCCTATCTCTTCCCAACAAAAGCTGATCTTATCCGCAGATCATCAATTTCTACGCCGAGGACTATGGTAAAGTGTATCGTTCGTGTGGAAATTGCAGCAGCCAGTGCAAGCGCAATGTCTATGTCGAAGGCGTTACTGCCCGCGACGGGGGCGAGGTTGTCGGCATCAACAGTAACTACGGTGATACTGCCACGTTGAAGAATGTCTGCACTGACGCAAGCCACCCGTGTGTTCTCTACAAGGGATGTGCTGGTGGGTGTGAGCCTTCAAAGGTCGGTTACTGTTCCGGGTAGTGGACATATTTGGATCAAGTGTATCTCCTGTCAGAATGCAACGGGCCTCATGCAATATAGATGCGGCGTCAGATGCAGCTATTTTGGTGAAGGGGGAAATCAATGCACAAATCATCATAGGATGAAACTTCTGAAGTTATGTACATCTTATGATCATGTAGTTATCATCCATCGGGACTCAGATTAAACTCTGCATGCTCAACATGATTGTTGGAGGACATGTAAATACTTCCACGGTTTGACAGAGTCTTGTAGAAGAGATATTCAGACCCTTCAGCCTCCCTCTCCCTCACATCTCACTGCAGTCATGCCTTGCGTATAGTTCCGTTGGTATTTGTTACGTGGGACTCTTTGCCTGTGATATGACTTGAGTGAGGTTTCCTTTGCCTGGAAGCTATGCATGCAGATTTATCTGGAGCTAAGCTTCAACGCAGGCGAACTACCTAGGTAACCAGGGGCTTCTTTTCTCCTGTTTCGTCTTGCGATGTGTTCAAGAGCGCCGGGATCAGCACCACCATCGCCTCTCCTCCGGTGTAGTATCAAATATCGCTATCGCAGCGGACCGCGGATCATACATAGTGTTCATCACAGTTGGAAGCCTCTTGGGTTCATCGATTGGGCCGGGAATAGAGGCGACGGCTCCTCTGCTGTTGATCGTTACCTGTCTGGGCCTAGGATAGCGCGAAGAGCGCTTGGCCGAACAGGGGATGAACAGGAAGGAGAACGGGGCCGAAAGTATCGGAGTACGGAGTAGATCAAACTAGATAGATAGTTGTTTGAAAGGATAGGGTTGTGATTGTCGATCAGAGCTATTTATCGTAGCAGTCCCCGAGTTTCTATATGAAATCCGCCTTGTGGAATCACGTGTCGCTCGGTTGAACTTGTATGTAACCTTGGACTGCCTGCACAGTGCACGGCGGTGTAGAAACAACCGTATCATTTTAATGATATGGTAGAATACTGTGGTGTGGCTCAATAATTCGACGTTGATATTTCATAAGGCCTCCCAAGTTCGACCTGTCCAAGATATATACCTCCATCACAGCCCCATACATGCACCACACTACCCGACCCCTGAAAAAAGCGAGAAAAGGAGAAAACCAGACAAAGACAACCAAGACATCCCCACCACGAAGAAGTACTCCTGATAATTATACTGGACAGATGGCCGAAATAGTTGCATCCATCCCGAATGAAAATTCCACTCCCAAGCCCTATGGGTTACCGCATTGGGCCACTCTAGCCCTAACAGGGCATAGTCGCTTCTTGGCTGAGACCCTGAATTATTTGATATTTTTACAGTCGAATTGACTGTCCTGACAAAGCAAGAATGTACCGAGTAGATTCTGTCAATTCAGTAGTAATATGAGAGATACATCATACAGCTCTATCCATCTTCTAACTAACTCCCAGCGGTATACTATAGTGTCGGACTCCTGCGGTCTCCTTTACTCTACTCCTACGGTAGCCGGCGGGTCCGCCGGAACGAACGTATCAAGGGCCACCGGATGGGACCGAGCCAGCGCCTTATGGGCAGCACGGGGGATGGTGGATGATCGCGTCATTGACGGGCTTGGTGACGCCTCTTAGATAATAGTAACCGGGGCTCAGGTGCCTGGTTCCTAGCCATTTGCCCCGTGGTTACTTATCATGCTTTGCCTTTTTTTTAAAACAATAACAACTTGACAACCCCAGCAGTCCGGGGTCAGAGACATCCTCCACGCTATTATCTAGATTCCCCGCCATTCACCCATCCATCATGCGGATAGCACCGTTGCTGGCTACAGTGCTCGGCTGCCTATTGCCAGTCTCGGCCACCATCCTCCAGAATGGCCAGGTCAGGGAGGATCCGTACCCGGGCCAGGCAGCCAACATTACTCTCGACGCTTCCTGGCGCACCTACGACGCCAGTGCCGACGAAATTGCATACAAAGGCCGCTGGGACAGCAAGCATATTTCCTGTACGACCCTCCCCGTCATCACTTATCTCACGGCTAACTGATCGGTCTTAGGGTGGTCGTTCGTCTCCCTCTCCTGTCCATCGTACCCTCCGTCCTGCACGACAACGCTAATTCATCCAGAGCGCCGGGTATCAAAGTCGGGTTCTCAGGGAATCAAGTACGTTCTTGACTGTGTGCTGGGTGAAGGATACTAATAAAACCTAGCTCGCAGTCACCTTTGGCGAACATACTTCCGACGGGGTTCTAGTCGCCTATCGGTAACTCTCCCCGCGATGCTCCCCGATGCACATCGTTGACTACAACTCGTATAGCGTCGGCTCCCTCGACTGGCAATTTTCCAATGTCACCGCGGACACCACCTACCAGTTCGTCACTCCGGATACGTTGGAGGGGATTGATGCGGGAGACACCAATGTGTTCGAACTACGCGGTGCGTGCGGATCGAAGAGTTCTTGCATGTTATCTTAACGCTAATATCATTCTAGTGACCAACTGGGGCTTGGGATAAGTACCCCCATTCTCCTCGCATTTCGCCGCTCACCTTCCACACAGTCCAAATCGCCGGCGTCGCAGTCCCACAGAATGCTAGCCTCAGCAAACCTCCCCGGTTCGACAAGAGGGTGGAGATCATTGGCGGCTCGTAAGACTTATGTTCTCCTGCACGTGTTGCCATCACTGACAATACAGGCTGGCATCGGGCCAATTCGCTACGTATGAAGCGCTATCCGGATGGGCCTATCTATTTGCCGAAGGCTTAGGAAATGCCGAATACACAATCACGGTCAGTGCCGTCGTTCACGTACCATAATACACTAGTTGACTCGTCATGTGCAGGCCTACCCCGGTGTCTGCCTCGCAGATATGAAATGCTACGGCGGCGGCGTGCACGGCATGGTGAGTACCGGAACTACTCCGCCAGAGACTACTGCTAACCAGCACAGCCCTGGTTCTGGCACCGCGCGTCCGACCCCGGCGTGCGGGCGCAAGCGATGTACGGGAAAGACCCGGAGAAATTCGACGTCAAGGGCGACCAACCGGCGGACCTGGTGATCATCCAGATGGGCGGAAACGACCACCGCAAACCGAACGAGATCTCGGGCGACGATTACTTTCACGACTACGTCCGTCTAGTGGACGACATCCACCACACGTGGCCGAAGGCTACGATCGTGCTTATGGTGGGTTGCACCCGCGCGCTCTTATTGCGTACTGCGCTAATCACCATTAACAGTCCCAATGGGGTGAATGGACCCTCGAAGGAACGCAGTACGTCCCGAGCACGCTATACTACGACGAGACGAAGCGCGTCCACGACCAGTTCAAGGAACATGCGTATGTGCGCTACTTCGAGACGAGGGGGATCCTCCAGCACAATGATATCGACCCTAAGAACCACCCAACCGACGTGGGGCATGTCAAGATCGCGAGCCATCTGTTGCAATGGACGCGGATCATGATGAGATGGGATCTCGAGCCGACGGGCGAGGTGGGCCATGGGATGCTCTACTGGAACGATCAGCAGGAGTATTGATGTGGGGAGTTCTTGTACATTATTCGTTCGTATCTATAGACCACGCGACGTGCATGTCGCATATACAAATTGAAGTGCCACCGGTGGGTGAGCTAGATCCAACCAAACCAGAATCGTCTTTGCTGCTTGTCTCTATTCCGCTTTCGCAATAGATATGGCCCGTGGACATGTCATTCCAACTCATGCCGAGCTGGCTGCGCCGGCATCTCCGCTGCCATCGGCCTGGAATCCAGTTCATACCACTGATCCTTTCCATCAACCTCTGCATATCTGGACCCCGACAGCCCTCCCAGGGCTTTGGCGTCTGCACCACGGGTCGCTGCCTTCTTTTTCCGCAGGCGATACACGACTCCAGCGGCAACGATCAAACCCACACCCACCACACCCCCAACCACACCACCTACTATTGCTCCGACAGGCGTAGCTGAGCCTTGCTCCTCAGACGCATCAGTAGGAGCCGCCGTTCCCGCCGACGTGGCCGACGTTCCAGTAGTGGACACTGCCGAAGTGACAGCCGCGATGGCCTTCAGCACCGAATCGTCAACCCAGGACATGGACAGCGTTTCGACGGTCTGGTCCTGGCTATCAGTGACATCCGTCAATGACCCGACGGTCTGGATCCGTTCGACCGCCGGCGAGCTGGCGTAGGTACAGGCGTAGTCGGTCATGTCGAGATCCGGCCACGTCCAGGTATGGCAATACGCATTGTCGCTTTCCGTGCACAGGGTGACGAAGGGGTCAGTTGCCTGGCTGCGCAGCGACGCGGTGGCCGAGACCTGCGCGCTGTCATAGCAAGTCGTCAGGAATTGACACTGGGTGGTCGAAGAGACCGGGCAGCAGCCCACGAGGGCGGGATAGGCCGCGTTACTAGCATGGAAGACGCAGTTCCAGCCGTAACCACAGTCGAGGCGCGAATCTGAGGGGGTTAGACATGCCCATATGCTGTAATAATCGAAAGGCTTACTCTTATCGCCATTAAAGTAGCCACAGACGCTGGCTTCGGCCGAGGACGTCGTCGCCCGTCGCATGAGCGCACGAGCGCCATGACTGTCCCAGGGGAACGGGGTCGGCTCCGGCGACACCCCCGAGGATTCCGCTGCTGTTGTTGCATGCGGACAGGAAAGCAGACGGCGTGATCCTGCTAGAGGTGGTGGCGATGCATCCACTTGAGCCGAGGCAATTGAGCCCCCTATCCACAACCACAACAAGATCATGGTGCTGGAATTGACTCTTCACGAGTGGTAATTATCTGCGGAAGAATATTGCGCTCCATTTCCCTTTAATCGGCCGCTAGAAAAGACATCCTACTAGTCTAGTGGCGGGCATTCCGATCCCCGGACCAGCTCGCTTCGCATCTTCCTTCGCGCTTGTTTTTTCTCTCTTGGATCTAGCGAGGATTCTCCATTGGGCCGTCGGGGGTTGTCCGCGCCCTGCCAAGAGCAGCCAAAATATCTGCGATGAAGTTGGAATCTGTTCTGATTATACCAGAGATTAACGAAACTAGCTATTGATGTATGTCTATGGTCTGCCTTTCTATTCCCGAGAATACTTCATCGTCGGCCCGTTCCACTTGCGCCGTCCGCGCACCACCCAGTCCACACACGCAAAGATCATGACAAATCCCAGCACCGGCCCGGCATAGTTCATGTTCTCGCCGGTCACGGGCAACGTCGACGGGAAGGGCAGGAAGATGGCAAAGTACGTCGCGAACAGAATCGCCACCAGGTTGACCGGAAGACCCCATTTTCCCAGCGAGAACGCCCCCCGCGGAATATCCTGTGGGCTGGTGAACCGCTTGATGACGAGGAAGATCAACGGCAGCAGGTACGAGATGTACAATCCGAGGGTGCTGAGGGAGAGAATGGCGTTAAAGGCAGCCGTGGATCCGATCTGAATGAACGACAGCGCGATCACGACCGACGCGACGAGGAACAGCGCGCGGATCGGGATCTTGTACCGCGGCGACACCTTGACGAAAAAGTCCGAGAAGGGCAGGCCGTTGTCGCGCGCAAAGGCCCACGTCAGCCGCGTCACCGACGCCAGGCCGTTGAACAGGGCCACCCAGCCCGGGAGCATGCCCATGGCCATGACGATGTAGGTGGCGGTCTTGGAGCCGGTGGCCTGGTAGGCGATCTGGATGATGGGGTAGCCCGTGGGGCTCATGAGGGCCTCTTCGTAGTTGCCCATGCAGTAGAGCACGGCGACGATGTATCCAAAGGCCATGACGGAGTTGATGATCGTGCCCCAGATCATGGAGCGGGGGACTACTTTCTTTGGTTTTTTGACCTCTTCGGCCATGTGGATGATTCCGTCGACACCTGCGGATGTTAGAATGATGCAGCAGATTGGGACAGTCGATATACGCACCGCTCAACGGGGTGATGACACCCAGAAGACCGATGGAGAAGACGACACCGGGGTTCTGCCACCCGCTGAGACCACTGACAAAGGTGTCCCATACAAAAGCGTTGGGGTTTCGTGGGGCGAGGATCACAAACACGGCGATTGTGACCGGCAGGAAGATGACATGCATGATGCCAGCCGCCACCTCGATGACACCCAGCACGCGACGGGCAAAGATGTTGATGATGATCGGGACCAAGACCACCGCCCACATAAGCAGCGTCCCATGCCATCTCTGAGCGACATACTCGGGATTGGAGAGAACCACCATGCCCTCAATTTGTGTTCCGATGAAGAAAGGGGCGATGCAGACTAGCGCAGCCCATGAGAAGACCTGCACGTATATGCGTCAGTGTATGCTGTTGATTCATGGGCTAAAAGCCTTACGGTAACCCATCCTAAAATGGAGATTAGTTACTGATTCACAATAGCTACGGGCCATGGACGTACCTTGGAAGAAACTAAGGAATCGAGGTGAGAATGGAGCAAGTACATAGCTCCAGTGATACTGCGCTCCAGCGACGGGGTGTCTGTAAAATCAAGTCAATAAAGCACATCCAATGCGCCTGAGGTGCTCTTACACTGAAGCCAGCTCCGCCAGTGAGCATGCGATGGCCAAATTGCCGACACCACTGACAATAATGCCGTACACAAGAACAGCAGGTCCACCATTGTACAGGCCTGCTTGGATACTGCCACCAGTAGACTCCCAAGAGGCGAGTAAGCAGGCCGAGAATGCCAGCGATGAGAAGAAGTTCAAATATCTCTATACCATTTCTGTTAGTTGCAAACATCTAGACGTAGGATCATCCGCACCTCGAGTTGCTGTCTTTGGCGATACTCGACGCTTCCACTCCCTGGCGCAGGGCCATTCGACCCCATCACCCGAGTGTGGACGGCGCTACCACTCTTCATCTCGACATCTTCGTTGTACATGATGACTGAGACCGGCGACTGGCGACTCGTGTCAATCTATCGAGAAACCGAGAGCAAAGTCCGGGCGACTGACATGGAAAAGAAGGAGCAAGCCAGATTCAGGGATAATATTCTCTCCATCTCCCACGACATCCTGGAAGCGAGTTTAATATATCTTCTTATCCCCTAACGCGACAGATATTTTCTCGGTAGCGTTTAATCTGTGGCGAGCCCGCTCCGCACTACTGACCGATCCATGTCGGAACGTGTAACGTGTTGTTATGGGCAAATGAGTTCTCCAATGGGGGACAGCTCTAACACAGCTAGTCAAGGATGAGGACGCATCCCACGATAAGCGATGAAAGCGCCGACGCTGGGACGGGGAAATTGGGCAGTCTTAGTGTGCGTACTAGCAGGGTTCATCTGGCCGCTTCGGAATGCGAAGGCGACGCGATGTTCCAAGATCGATCGAGGCCTCGCTAGAACACATGCATCTGCAACCTGGCCATCAATCTAAATGTCAGCGAGCTAAGCGAAGGCAGTGTCTGATGCAACGTGGGCTAGTCTACAATGTGGCTGGACGAAAGGATCGTGTTCTCTCGCATGCTCGAAATGCCTCGGCCATGTAATTACCACCTCAACTTCCGGACAGGGGTTCAGTCCATGTCAAATTAGTTCTCACGCCATAGTATCACCGATCCAATCGAGTGAGATGATGTTGCTGCGAGGAGGAGCGGCTTGGTTCAAGGTGCTGAGTGGTGGCAATGCACGAACCGTCATTTCGTAGGAACAGGGGTAGGGAATTTCGAGCCGAGTAGTATCCACGAAGTCGTGAAACTCTGAGGTATAAGCGCTGAGTGAGAGTGCGAGAGAAAACTCTGAATGGCGTTCAGTTTTATATCCTCAGCCCCTCTCCTGGAATTGTGCGACGTTCAACGATGGTACTATCGCACCGCGATCATGTCTGCACCAGCATCGCCATTCCAGGTGCTATCGGACGACAACCGTGGGCCACTAATTACCCTGGTGTCGGTGTCCTTCCTGATCGCCGCGATTATCTTTGTGGCCGCGAAAGTGGGATCGGTCATCTACTTTAAGCAGCAACAGGCTGCGGTCAACACTCCAATATGGGTTGCTCTGGTGAGCCACCATTGATAAATTCCGCCGTACCCGACAGACATTTGACGATTTCTGTTCCCAGGTTCTATCTATAGTTGAAGTGGTGGTGATGCAAAAGGCGGTCGATCATGGTGTGGGCAGACACGCAGACACGCTCACGACAGCGGCCATTTCCACGGCGAACAAGGTACGCTACACCAGAGACCGGGCGGGTGATATACGAGGCTCATCCTAGATATTTTAATAGTTTACATACGTCGCTCAACTCCTCTCCATAATTGTCCTGGCCTTATCAAAGTTGTCGACCACGCTCCTGGTCTGGAAGCTGACCCCCAAGCGGGCGATTCGCACGGCGTGCAAGGTCACTATCGGCCTCACAACGGCATGGGCTGTGTTTGGTCTGTTCGCGATTGCCTTTCAGTGTCAGATGCCCGAGCCATGGGTCTACACACCTGAGAAATGTGTCGGAGAGGTACGCGACCAGGTAGAGTGGCGAGACGAGGACTAACCAAGCATTTAGGGTGTGCTGTTATATCCTGTCTATGCACTCCACGTCATCACCGAGGTCATTGTCGTTGCGATCCCATTCTTCATGATGCGCCATGTCCAGCTTGCATGGAAGAAGAGGGTTAAGATTCTCGCTTCTTTTTCTGCTCGTATCTGGTGCGTACTGATCCCACTGATCTATGTCTTCGAATGGTCTAACAGGTTTGATAGTGTCGTCGGCATGGGAATCGCCCATCTATCACTCCTTCCGCCAGCATTACGCTCATCAGATACTGCCTGTACGCAAAAAGGACCCCGATACCATCGTGCCGTTCTAACCAATATACAGGGGATATCGTCCACCCCGCGATGATCAACCAGGCCATGATGAGCACGACAGTCGCGATTGCTTGTATGCCGACACTATACCACATATTCGCCGGTCTACACTCAGGCCTGATCACCACGCGACTGCCAGACGAGGTGGAGCTCAGCCACCCGAAGAGCAGCGGGTACATCAACCAATCGACCATCATGGGCAGCAAGACCGGAGAGGTGGTGCGGGAGAAGAAACGGAACAGCTTTTACGCCGATATCTCTCGCTTCGGAAATGTCGGGTCGTCCGTGGTGACGGATATCACGACTTCGCGGCACAAAACTGCCATCTCCCGGAGGTCTAGTGGAAGCGAGAGCACGGGGAGCAGGAGACATCTTACACAGGAGACTACGCAAGATGGGGTCCTGAAGACGGTGAATATCAAGGTGGAGGTAGAACGAGATTCTCACCCGTCGTGGCTGCAGTCACGATGAGATTCATTAATGCCAATATCAACTAATTAAACGCGGTTGGAACTGGAGTCGGATTTCTGCTTAGACGAGATGGGTAATTTAGGGGATTTGACGTGCCACGATGTAATCCTTGCAGGTGGGGAGAGCGACATCGGGAATAATATATTATGGGCAATCCTGCGACTCTATTCTCGATCAGGGGACGGAGAACGTTCCGTTCCGACTCTCATCACCACGATGTTGTAATGGAAATGCATAGTTTTTTTCCGTAGAGACTGCCTCGAATCGATGACAGCCCAGCGCCAATATCTTGGTTTAATCCATTGTATCGGATTGCAGATCGTGATCGACTTAAAGACACGATATGGCGTTGGCGGGACAATGCCACGCCCAGATCCATCGGATCGCTCCGTCTCCTGGAATCAATCGGGTTATCTTTCCTGGTTAATGTCCGACATCCTTCCCGCGGACAATTTCGAATTTCGGAGTAGACAAGGGTCGGATATTTTCACCCGCCTGCTTAGGGTCCGTTCGCGATTTTTCCCACGTTTCCCGATTGAATGATCTGTACGCTTTAGTAGTGGGGAGGTCGGACATGATAGCAGACCAAGGACCCCGTTGCAATCTATATGTGCTGTTGTCTGAGGATTCTGCCTCCGTCCTCTGCCAAAGGTACCTAGTAGCCTCCGAGCCTCCTCTGCGCCCACTCACCCTGTCACACACTCCAACACATTTCACACTCGCCAACATACTAGTCGCCTTGCTTGATATGTGTCGGTTAGCTGGGGCCTAGATCAAATATACCTTACTTTTCAGGATAGTCGATCCTCAGGCTAGAACACAATACTTGGGGATGATCAACATGACCCATGACCGAGTCTGGAAACAAACCCGCCTAGCGGTTGGAATGACACTCGATACAGCATTGCATGTCGGTTGCACTGCTGTCTCTACAATTGTACAACGAATGCAGGATGGAATGGTCTCACAAATGCCTGCGTGCCTGTGCAACCAGGCATTGCCAAAACTCTACACCGACAGTTCTAAAGGCGCTGCATCGGTACGAGTATTTGGAACGGTTGAATTTTGCGTTATACGTACTGAGTGGTTTACCTAGTAGGTAATCAATGACCTTGCAGTTACCTGGTAGGCGGGTTCTACCATTCTTGCAATTTGCACTGCTGCTTGTACCACCACAATTGAAGCAACCTTGCAGATCAAAGGGATACCATAGGACCCTGGAAGCATCAGTACATGTCATATGTGATCGTCTCATTGCTATATAAAGTGACTTTTGTCCCATTTCTCCTCAGATTCATTCCTCCAGATTTGTTTCGGTCACTGTCAAGCAACACGACGCCCGTTTCATCAGGTCTTTACATTGAAAACCATCTACAATGAAGCTCGCCATCCTCTCCGTGATTGCGTTCTGCGCTATGTCCTTTGCACAGTGTCCCTGCGTGTCGAGCTGTGACCAGTGTCCTCAAGGCACACACTGTGAAAATGAGCCAGATATTGTACGTGCAATTATCGTGCTGTAAGATCAATACTAATACAAATGCAGTGTAGGGACGAGGGCGTATGTGACCACCCATAGCATACCGGGAATTAAGCTTGCTAACTAGACAGTGTGTTGAGTGGTGGATTGATCACTTACTGTGTGTCCGGGGGTAACTAGGTTTGTATGTGTCCCGAGGAGCGCTGAAATGGAAGCTACAATCATTAACTGCTGGTAGGATTAGAGTATGGCCATTGTATACCTTAGGATTTTCCCTCTTAGGTTCTCCATATACTGTGATACTAATGTACTGGCCAAATTTCCAAACACTACAACGCAAATCCATCTCTATTTATGTAATTTTGGGTTCGTCTTTCTACGTACTGAACAAGAAGTTTAACGATTTCCTGAGTTGAAAGGGAGGAGGATAATTTATCAATATTATCAGTATTTAAAGACAGAAATTTAATTGAGTACAACAATGTACAACAATAATACTCTAACGAATACACGCTCCTGAATGGCAAATATGGCTTAAGTTGGTCCGAGTCAACACGGCGTTAAAGGATGGGGAGGTATTAAAGGACAGTCAGGTAGGCGAGGAGGCCATCTACGGAGTATAGCATCCCGATGTCAAGCAGCAGTGACGCGCTTTCTCCAATCAGGCACGCCATACTGGATGCAGTAATTCACAGAGTACATGCATGTCCGCTAATGCATCTGCCAAGAGTCTCATCCACATTATGAATAGCATAGAGGAAGGCTGACTGCTCATTGGACCGGGAGCCACTCCTCCGTATGACGTTTTGACGATCAGGTTATCGTCCGCACTGGAGAGGCCAAGATTGTCCCACCGGGGCATGTTGCTTGTTGCCTGACGGTTGACCGAGTGCCATTCCGGTCTGAGAACAAACCTGCATCGCTCTCTACTCGTAGAGAGTACTCTGTTCATACTCGGTGATATCCCGAGATAGATATTCTCGTTGCCTGGATCCTGTCCACCGTTGTCCGACTTCCAGCATACGTTGCAGATACCCCAAAACTATCCTCACAACTGACATAGTACTCGCTGTGCTAGCTGTAGAGTTGCCTGAAATGCCAACTCGGAGACGACTTACTGGAGAGAACAGATATCTGGATATACCAAGACCTCGTCTTCGGAAAACGGAAACAGTGGACCAGCCGGTCACATTCACCACGAGGCCCACTGCTCGCTTATCGGACATCAAATCAAGCTTTCCCTCACCGACGTCATACATCTCCACCCACCCATCGTTGCCCATCGGCTTCATCTGTTCACGCCGTTCTCAGGTGCTCGTCCGGACATGCCGGAGTCCATTGGCCACCCCGCCGGCCGACAGCCCGTCCGACCGCTGGGTCCGCTGCCGAGGCGGCCGATAATGGGTCTCTCCTACTGATTCACTCGGGTACTGGGCCTGAGTGTCGGTGGAATCCGGCTTTAAACATTGGGGCTGTTCGCCATGCTAGCCATGGTGTGGTCCTATTGGCAGATAGCATGGGAAAGATGGACTAGGGCGATCGGAAGCCCTGGCGACGTCATACTCCTGGAGCGTCATGGCTCGGACTGTCCACATCATCAGGAATGGCTGTCCTATGCTCTCGTCGTCTACATGCCCTGCCCACCATCAGGTTCGGATTCGAATGTCATTCGCAGCGGAGGCATGCACATGGCTCTTGTGGTACACTTCCCCAGCTCCTCCGTGGCGATAAATAGTCCTCTTGTTCCCAAGATCGTACATGGTAAATGGGATGTTTTATCATCCACTCGGTTCTCGTACAGTTGTATATTTCCTTAAAATATCTTTCCTTCCCTTAATCTTGATACCCCCAGTCCGATGCTGCAGCCTTGACCTAGCTACAGCACCTCCCAACCTCTACTACAATGGCAGCGGATCCGCAGACGTCGGACGAGACGGTCAATAAGCCGGACAATAACTCCCTATCCAAAGAGACGGGGTCATCTCGTTCTCTCGACAACCCCACCCACTCCCAGGCCGAGCATGCACTGTCGCCAGGGAACAGTAAAGAAGAACCGTCGGGGGAAGTGCGCCGCGGCGGCAAGCGAGAACTCACCGAGGATGACTGCTACGATAAACTAGGATTTTGCTTCCCCTGGTGGAAGAAGTGGACGATCATCTCGGTGATTTTTGCCGTGCAAATGTCGATGAACTTCAACACGGGGGTCTACGCGAATGCCGTTCCGGGCCTGACGGAAGAGTTTGGTATCAGTGAACAAGCCGCCCGCGTGGGCCAGTGTGTGTTCCTCGTTGCATATGCCTTTGGCTGTGAGCTCTGGGCGCCCTGGAGCGAGGAATTCGGCCGGTGGCCCATCATGCAGCTGAGCTTGTTCCTGGTCAACATATGGCAAATTCCGTGCGCCGTCGCCCCGAACTTTGGAACCATCGTGGTCTGCCGCACTCTCGGTGGACTCAGCTCGGCCGGCGGGTCAGTCACCCTGGGAATGACGGCAGATATGTGGGAAGCCCAGGACCAGGGGTTTGCGGTCGCCTTCGTGGTGCTCTCCTCCGTGGGTGGGTCGACCGTCGGTCCCTTCTTTGGCGGCTTTATCGGCCAGTACCTCTCCTGGCATTGGGTGTTCTGGGTGCAGCTGATTGTGGGCGGGTTCACCCAGGCCTTGCATTTCTTCCTGGTCCCCGAAACCAGAGCGACGATCTTGGTAGACCGGGAAGCGCGCCGTCGACGGAAGAACGGGGAGGATGTCTGGGGCCCAGACGAACTGAAAACACCGCGGTTAGATGCAAAAGACGTACTCCGGGTCTGGCGTCGCCCATTCGAGATGTTCCTGCGGGAGCCGATTGTCCTCTTCCTCTCTCTTCTTTCTGGTTTCTCCGATGCCCTGATTTTCGTGTTCACCGAGTCCTTTACTCTTGTCTTTGAGCAATGGAACTTCAGCACCCTGGCAGTAGGCATGGCCTTCGGATCGATCCTGCTAGGGTATGTCATCGCGTATGCGATCTTCTTGCCTGATGTCTGGCGTCAACGGAAGATCCGTCAGGCCCACGGGGACGCCTCCCGTCTCCCAGAGCGCCGTCTCCTCCTGTTACTGTTCATCTGTCCGTTAGAACCCATCGGCCTCCTCGGGTTTGCATGGACGACCATGGGCCCGGCGTACAACCCCTGGATCGCGCCATTAATCTTCGCCTGTCTGATTGCCATTGCAAACTATGCCATCTACATGGCGACGATCGACTATATGGTGGCCGCCTATGGACCGTACTCCGCCTCCGCCACCGGAGGCAATGGCTTCGCGCGAGATTTCCTGGCTGGCATCGCGACCATGTATTCCACCCCGATGTACCAGAATATCGGCGGGCGTCGGCACCTGCAGTGGGCTAGTACCTTGCTGGGCTGTGTGGGCGTGTTGGTCATGATCCCCATTTACGTGTTCTATTGGAAGGGTCCGGCGATTCGCGCAAAGAGCAAATTCGCACAGACGCTCGAGGCCGATCGCCATCGTCATGCCGAGCGACGGGCTAGTCATCTCAGTGCCTCCGAAAAGCCATACCCAGCCTAGATAGACGGGGATTGAATGCCGGCAAGCATTAGACAGATTCTATTCCATTGCTAGCGATAGATGCATAATGAATACCCTTTCATGATATCTGGGCGCTTCTTACCTAGTCTCTCGTTTAGTAGTCTTGGAATGAAAGCGTGTGGTCGTTTGTGTAACTCACCGTGCTGTAGGTATGAGGTCGAGCCAGTGTGGCGCTGACTATTTGTATAGTGCCTGAACCTCCTCCCATTCATACTTCCGCCACATGAATCACACCCAGTTTAATATAATCGAGACTGCTGAAGAATGTCATGTAACCATAGATGTCATTGCGATGTCAGATTATGGCCTTTTATGTTCTGAAGCCAAGGGTATACTGGAGATGGCCAGGCTCTGCAGCCTCACCTTTACGTCACACTGACGACCGGCAGAACTACCCGCACCTGTTAACGACACACTTCTAGATGGATCCAATTCCCATCAACAAGGCCAATTTGGCTACAGACGTAATTGCAATGTCGTGACGTAGATGCTCAATACATCGAGCTATATAATGTCAACACTCTGCCTGTCGCAACAGCTTCTTTCATCGCCATGCCTAGATCCATGTTTCTATCCTTCTTCCGACTTGGCTGCTCCCATCGTCCTCTGCACAAGCACATTTATCAGATTCCGTTTCGCCGATATATTGCGACGACTCCGAGACTGAACGTACCAGCTTCGACCAACAAATACACCATGGAAGCCGCACATGAGAACAAGAAGTTCCAATTGAACAATGTCTTTGACTTGAAGAACCGAGGTACTATCCTATTACACCCCCAATATCGCATAAAGTCAAGCGATGCTAATAGCTCCCAGTCGCCCTGGTGACCGGCGGCGGCTCCGGCATTGGCCTGATGGCCACCCAAGCCCTGGCCGTGAACGGCGCAAAAGTCTACATCACCGGTCGCACCGAGGAAAAGCTCGACCGCGTCGCCGAACTATACTCAAAAGACATCCCGGGCCAAATCATCCCGATCACAGCGGACGTGACCTCCAAGGAGGCGATCGACAAGCTCGTGCAGCACGTCTCAGCGAACGAGCCCGCTCTGCACATCCTGATCAACAACGCTGGAATCTCCTCATCGACGCAAAACACTGACGCGCAGAGCGCAGACCAGCTCCAAAAGGACCTCTTCCAGCACCCGACCGGCTCCTTCAAAGAATGGGATGACGTCTTCCGCACGAACGTGTCGCAGCTGTTCTTCATGACGACGGCGTTCCTGCCCCTGCTGAAAAAGGGCACGGATATCGAGCACGGCTGGTCCAGCACCGTCATCAATGTGTCTTCCATTTCGGGCATTGTCAAAACGGCCCAGCATCATTTTGCCTACAATGCCAGCAAGGCGGCTGCCATCCATCTTACGAAGATGCTCGCGCATGAGGTGGTCAGCTCTGGGATTAAGCTCCGTGTGAACAACATCGCCCCCGGTGTGTTCCCGTCCGAAATGACCACCCAAGACAGCGACGAGAAGCAGAAGAGCGCTATTCCTAAAGAGAAGTATGAAAGCAAGGTTCCTGCTGGACGGCCGGGTAAGGATGAGGATATGGCTGGTGCTGTGCTTTTCACTACTACGAACCAGTATCTGAATGGACAGACTATTGTGGTCGATGGGGGGTATGTTCTGGCTGCTGGTACGGTGTAGGGATCAGGATCAGATGGAAAATAAATTGACTTCTGCTGTACTAAATGAAAATGACATGATAACCCCTTCAAGCTACTCCACATGTACGATCAAGCTCTGAACCCGTCCTGGTCATCGATCTTCATGTGGTGTTCGTAGCTGTAGCGCATTAGCCAGATGTCTACTTGTTTGTATACTCCGTAACTCACCGCTCCTAACCCAACACTCAAACAGAGCATCTCAGCACACCACCGCTGAGGTTGACAGGGTTCGCAACGGCGGGATTTCCATCCAGATCCACATAGGTCTTCTGCGCAGTCAGAGTGGCAATGGTGGCGCCGCCATTCACAATGACACATTTGATGGTTGGGGGGAACGAGGCCAGTTGAGCAGAGGAGGCCAGGACGCTTCCAGTGGCACCAACGGAGGTTCCGCCGAAGAGGGCAGAAATGCTCTTGTCCGTGCCGTCGGGGGAGATGTTGACACTTGCGTATGCGCCAGAGCGGTCGTTCGAAAGAGCCACGGTGACCTGTTGGGTCTGGCGAGCATCAATGGCCGCGCCCCAGCTGGTGCCGGCGAACAGGCAGATAATAGACGTGTAAGAGAGCTTCATATTGGCGGTGTATATTATCAAGGAGATAAGAACGTTCGAATGAAGATGATGTCTGTGGTTGTAGACTCTGGATGGGCATGAAGGAGGAGGGAGATGCCTCGACTTTATACCTTTCGTCCTGTATACAGAGAAATTCTAGACTTTGATATACCTCACTACGTTCATACTCAGCTTACAACATCAACTGAGACATCATGTCTAGCGAAGGCACGTGTGCCAGTGACAGATTTCGCGAAAAGGTAGAGAGTCTCGTATTGATGCTGGGCATCGCGCCACGTGGTTCAACAACGCGGGGATCGGACATTCGATGTATAAGGCTTCCCTCGAGACGAACTGTCTTGACTCGCTGGCTGGGATGATGTCATCATCATGTCGAATAGAAGGATACCGTGGCTAAAACATAGCAAATGTAAGAGCATCACCTCATGGAAGCCTCTCATGATGGCTGCTGTTCCAGAGTCTTAGGCCCCCTCGCATCGAATATATCGTATAGAGTGCTGCTGTACGTTCGGTGGTCTCACGTCATGGAAAGACGAGAATAGTATACAACCATGCGTGGGAGCTCCGCCTCGATAAGGCTTCCAGTTCGATGTAAGACATGGCCTCGTATCAGCGTCATCGATGGCACCATCATGCGTACTCTATGCTCTGCGGCCTGATCTTGGATGGGTCTGGTTCCGATAAGGAGAAAGGAAATCGTAGAATGCATCAGGAATACGTTGTTTTACTGTGAAGTCGCCACAACCGCTAGGATGTGTCTAGGTTGTTGATATAACCTGACAATGCTTGCTCTGTCTACCATCACCAGCGAACAACTGACACTCAGATAATATGCTGATGTATTGTCATGTCAGTGAGGCATGATCAGTCAGAACATAATGATATTGACAGTGGCGAAGAAGTCTTCGATGCTAAATCACGTCGTTAATATTCTGGAGTAGTTACAAGGGACGTAGCACTAGCGGATACACTTGTTGTTACTAACAGCGTAACAGGGCTTAACGGGTCCTCGTACAAGCAGCCCCTCTTACGCTTTGTACGCAACCTTACACCCCTCTCAGCTCTTTACGTAGACGCTCTCCAGGAAGTCTTCGCCTGCCACCTAACTCTGCCGATGGCTTCGTCCCCCCAATCCTCGCCTACTCGTGTTCCACAACACATACCGCAAAATATCTCCGACGAGGGACATGACGACCTCAGCGCCTGGCTGCAGGCACTGGGTGCCTTTCTTGTCTACACGGCAACATGGTGAGTCGGTCAGTGCATAAGGAAGTCTCCCATCGTATGTAAGCCGTGTCTCGCATGGCTCATCGTTCCTTAATTCTAGGGGTCTGTTGAGTGCCTATGGCTCCTACGAAAAATACTACGAAACAACTCTGTTGTCTTCCTCCCCGTCGACCACAATCGCATGGGTCGGCACGCTACAAGGGGCCATTCTCATCTGTAAGTTGCTACACTTTTTAAGAAGGCAAAAGGACACACACTACCACGTCGAAGTGAAGAAGATCCGTGCGACTAACCCACGGGGATCCTTGATTTACAGTGGGAGGCGTCGTAACCGGCCCCATCTTCGATCGTGGGTACATCAGAGAACTCTTAGTTATAGGCACAATAATCACCGTATTGGGCGTCATGATGTTGAGCTTGGCCGACCAGTACTATCAGATCCTCCTGGCACAGGGCGTGTGTGTCGGTGTTGGAAGTGCAATCCTATACGTGCCCAGTATCAGTCTTGTTGCGTCGAGGTTTCAGCAACGTCGCCCCTTGGCCATGTTTATCGCTACCTCAGGAACCGCAATTGGTAGGTCCTCCTCCAGCACCTCCTCCCCATATTCTCATCAATATCTTCACTAAGCCACGCACGACAGGTGGTATCATCTACCCTATCATCTTTTCCACTCTCCAGCCGAAGCTCGGCTTCTCGTGGGCAACTCGAGTCCTCGGTTTCGTGACGCTAGGCGAACTAATTATCGCGATGGCAATCATGTTACCCAGGACCAAGAGTAAGGCTCTCCATCATGTCCGCTCCCTTCTTGATCCCACCGCATTCCGCGACCCAGCCTTTATGGCCTTCTGCCTAGCTCTTTTCCTCATGTGGATCGCCTACTGGGTCCCCTTCTTTCTACTCCCGACCTTTGCCCAGTTCAAAGCCGGGGCAAGCTCTAATCTCGCCTTCTATACCCTGGTGATTTGTAATGCGTCGACCATTCCAGGCCGGTACCTAGCGGTGCCAATTTCGACCCGATTCGGGCCAGCGCTCACCATGAGCGGCTTCGCCCTGGCATCCAGTGCCCTCCTCTTCGGTTGGGTTGGTGTTAAATCGATTGCTTCGCTCATCGTCTGGGCAGTACTCATTGCTCTGTTCATGGGTCCGCTAGCAGTCCTATATCCAATTATTGTGCCGCACCTTTCGCCAGATAAGGATCTTGTGGGTACAAGGATTGGTATATCATCAGCTGCAGCGGCTTTGGGGACTTTAGTTGGCTTTCCTGTTACTTCTGCCTTGAATGAAATTGAGGAGGGAATCTTCTGGAGGAGCCAGGTTGTGAATGCTTGTTGCATGTTTGGTGGGGCTGTTCTGATGATATACGTCCATTATAAGATGCCGAGAACGACTTGACAACTGTGGCGCACCGAAGGTTAAGTCTTGACACGGCTAGCACTATATGTGGCGTCACGCTTTTTGGTCTAGTGGTGTAGTTGGATACTTATCTCTGAAGACATTTCTGACGCCTATAGTAAGAGATATTGAATTCACGCGATAAAGCGCGAATATTCGGTTTTTTTCTAACGCGTTTAGCGGCTTCGTAGGCCTTAGAAATGCGATCCTCGATTCCAGAATCGGAATTCGTCAAAAATTGCGCGGAGGTTAGAAAATTGCGTAAAATTGCGTTGAGGGGAGGCAGACCAACGGGGCTGCTTACTAGAGACGGCTACCTGTCTGATGAAAATTCAGCACTTGATTTAGAGACATGAAGATATCGAGAATCCTATCCGGCAAGTCTAATTGGTTTCATGTCAGTGGGGAACTCCATACGCAAATATGTATGGTGGTTACCCTCTGGCCAGAAGGCCATGGCCAGCCCCTAATATGCACCACTTCACGTTAGGCGATCCATCTGGCGAGCTAATTGACATATCGAGCGTAGTCGTTATTCTAGCGTTGTGGACCACTGCTAAGCGGGGGCTGTCAGGACTATTCTCCACTACTTGTTGACACCTACTCTGTACGCATTGTACCCAGACCAGACTCCAGAGGGCTTTGTTCAACCTCATGCAGACGCAAATCTACCTTTCGGCTCACGGGCGGATGCAATGCCCGCATCCAGAAGCCTATGCAGCGGACAGTAAATGATCTGACTGTACTAGCCCACTCAGAAGCAGACCCCTGCCAATATAATGCAGCTAACCATTGGGCACGGCCACATTCCGCGCGGCCCATTCTCGAATACTTGCGACGATCCACGGCAATAGGAGGCATGGCATGTGCTAGCGAGACAGGTGCGGGGAATATGTGCCAGTATCCATCTGTCCGACAGTAAATAAGAGGGCAACGCCCCTACGCGCTCGTGCAGTCAGCGCAGCAGAGCAATCTGTGTTCACACATCACCATGGGTAGGAACCCTGTCTACAATCCCCACCACTATGCGACACCTCAGCTCCTCTCAGGGCCTCCTGCTACTTACTCCGCAGCGCAGCGGCTCCTGAAAGGCTATGACTATGGTATGACCCTCCACTGGGACCACTCCCTCTACGCCCTTGGCTAATGGCGCGCGAACGTAGTCATCGTTGGGGCTGGAGCAGCAGGCTCCGTCCTGGCCAGCAAGCTCTCTGAGGACAAGGATGTCTCGGTCCTAGTCCTCGAGGCTGGCGGGGACAACAATGCTGTCTTCGAGTCCAAAGTGCCCTTATTATTTGCCAAGCTCTTCCATACTGAGCATGATTGGGATTATGACACCGTCGAACAACCTGGCCTAGCCTCTCGCCGCCTATATTGGCCGCGAGGTCGTCTGCTCGGAGGCTGTACCTCGCTCAACGCCATGATGTACCACCACTGCTCCAAGTCGGATTTCGACGAATGGGCCACGGTTCATGGGTGTAAAGGATGGGCTTATGACGATTTGGCACCGTATTTCAGGCGCATGGAGCGGTTCATCCCCAACGCCGCGCGACCTCCTATTGATATGCAGCACAGAGGGACGACTGGTGACTGGGAAGTCGGGTACTCCTGGCTAACCGAAATGGGAGAAAAGGGGTTTCTGCCCGCCTGCAAGGAGGCCGGTATACCCTCCAATCCAGATGTCAATACGCCAAACGGAACACTGGGCGTGACACGGTTCCAGACGTTTATCGACAGCAAAGGACAGCGGTCATCCCTGGCGACAGCGTACCTGGGTCCTGAAGTCCGCAAGCGTCCCAACCTAACGATTGCATGCGGCGCACATGTCACCAGGCTTCTGGTCGATCGTCTAAGCTCCCAGGAACCGCTGGTGTTCGGGGTGGAGTTCCAAACCCGTCGTGGGGGCGAGTTCTTTCAGGTTCATGCTCGCCGCGAAGTGATCCTCTCTGCTGGGGCCGTCAACACCCCGCAGATATTGCTGTTAAGCGGCATTGGGCCGAAGGACGAGCTTTCGAAACACGGGATTCCCATCCTACGTGAGAATAGTGCTGTAGGGAGACACCTCAAAGACCACCTCTGTCCGACGCCAATCATCTGCAAGGCCAAGCCAGGCGCCACCCTGGATTATCTCGGTGATACAATCAAGGCGTTGCCTGCGTTGGCTCAATGGATGCTCTTCGGAAGCGGACCGCTGACCCATAACGCTGGCGAGGCGGCAGCGTTTTTCCGGTCCTGGGAGCATCATCCCTTCCCTGGGTCTTCCAAACGAACGCCCCCCGAGAACCATGCCTCCGGGGGTGTAGGCCCCGACCTGGAGCTGATCGGCGCTCCCCTGTCCTTCGTGCACCACGGGGAGGAGCCTCCTGCTGAGGGAGGCGGTATCTACACCCTCGTGCCCGTAGGTCTCCGTCCTCAGAGCACAGGAACCATCACTCTGAAAAGCAGAGATCCTTTTGACCATCGTGAGTATTCCTTGGTAATAGTCTCATCCGTCGCTAACCCCTGCAACCCCAGCTATTATCGATCCAAAGTACCTATCGGATAAAGGGGACAATGATCGAGCTGTGCTTCTGGCCGGTCTCCGGGTCTGTCTCAAGATCATGCGAAGCCCCAGCTTCGAACAATTTTTCGAGCCTGTCCCTGCAAATGATGATCCGTGGTCCTATTGGTGGCCGTACTCGAGTAGCGATATCGACACTATTTCGGATCAGCAGCTTCTCCGCTGGATGGAGGAAAAGGCCTTCACACTGTACCATCCGGTTGGAACCGCGCGAATGGGCTCGTCGCCCTCTACCAGTGTCGTTGATGAGCGATGCCGCGTCCACGGTGTTCAAAATTTGCGCGTGATGGATGCCAGTGTTTTCCCGGATCAAATTAGTGGACATCCCACCGCGCCGATTGGGGCCATGGCCTTTAAATTCAGCGAGATGTTGCGGAAGGAGTATGCGCAGTCGACTTAGCTGAGGGTCTGGTGTTTTGGGTGCATGGTGTAGTGAGCTTCTTACTGGTAGTTTGGAAACCTGACGTCGAGAATCTGACCCGATTTGCCAATTGGCAGTATTCGGATGGCTTGGACAGTTATTCCGTAACGTTGCGCAAAACGAATAGCTAGTATTGATGAGAATGACACGATGTAATCATTTCAACCTTGATATTAAACCAGACAGCTACAGGCTTCTCCCTAGATCTACATGCACAACGTATTATCTCATTTCTGCGCTTACCGGCATACTGGACGAATGCCATCAACTCATCTCCTCAATTGCGCATGCTACTGTTCATTACGATAAAGAAGAGTTTCAGAAACCGTGTTTCAATTGATAACCTTAACCACGATTGTTGCAAGCGTGGCATAGGATATACGGAAGTTCCAAAACGAGTGTCCTCTTAGCATCGCCCATCCAGAACCATAACCATCAGCCAGACTTCCCAGCTGCATCACCCATTGGCCCACGGCGGGTCTGCGCTTAAAGGCTAACGCAGTTCAGGGCATCGATATTGATGAGAGACAGCTGCATATACGTCAGTCATCACAGCTACACGAGCGACACAGATGGATGAACGCTTACCCCAGAGCTGCCCGAGTCACAGCAGTAAGTGCCACCACCGCAGTTGGTTCCGAGGAGGTTGATAAGGCAGTCCAGACCGACAAGAGAGCTGCAGCAGATTTGCTCCTGGTTGCTGTTGCAGCTCCCTCCGGAGGGCACAGCGAGGGCAGTGGCCGCGAGAGCAAAAGCAACGAGGGTGGTGGGGAGCATCATTTTGGCAGAGTAGGCGAAGAAGGACGGCTGTTGGGTGGATTGTTTTGAACAGAAGAGATATCACTCGAAGATGTTCTTGAGAGGTGTCCGAATGACCCTTCCTACCCAGGGAGTACGCTGGGTCTTTATAGCCGTTGCCAGAATGCGACAGGACTACAACGCGTCGATCTGTGCTGCAGATTCTTGCTGTTCTTGGATCTTGGTGTGCTTGCAGCTGAAGACTGTCTAGACCCCAGGTTCCACAAACGCATGGCGCTGTCGTATGACATACCACGTCCCCAGAAACCAGGAATCAGTGGATGTAGCGGTCAGTTGAGATGCGCCTGAATGGGGTATACGAGCTCTAAAGTCGGATTTACAAACAAACTGAGACATGATCCACGGTCTCGAGAGTCTGATCCACAATTGAACGATATAGGACAGCTTGTTCGAGGTAAGAACATGAGGAATGTCGGAATACTACATCATGCAAGGAGATTTGAAGCTTTTTGGAGGAATGTACCTGCCAACTGGTTCATGGGCCCTGCAAGGAACCATACAATCTTCACACACTCCATTTCACCATCTGAGCAGATCAACATATGAGCCCATGCGTAGGTATACCTGAATCCAATCACTGTCTCCACACAATGTGATTGTGGCGGCATCTCCAAGGTCCCTCTCCAAAGCATACACCGGCTTTTTAGCTAAGCAAATTCAGCCCTTGTGCAACAACAGCTCGTATGCACCAATCTGCGTGAGGGACAAGCACAGCCTTCCCCGCAGCGCCCTGCATAGGTAGCAGTTGCCTCGTGCAGAGTCAGCTTCAGGGGATCTTCCAAGGTTGGGGTATGAGGTTCCTTGCTTTCTGACTGACCAGCTGGTGATCCTCGCCGTGTACATCCACGGTGCTGTCCTTCTCGCCCATCCGATCTGACAGATCGCTCCGATGTGGAGGTCAGAGCAGGGGTATGAAGGCAACGGCTTCCAATGATGCGAAAACTGGGACCGGAACTGATTCCACCCATACAGAATCGGCCAAGGAACAGGGGAAGGCTGCAGGGGAATGTGTTGCCTGACGGGGAGAAAAGTACCCTTACGTGTCAAATTGCTCTCGGTCATGTCCTCCGTTCCATCCCTAAACCTTTGGGTCTGAAAGCGATTGGAAATGAACATCCCTTGTTAACGATCAAAGACAATCCGTTGCCTATCTTACTCAGAAGGCTTACAGCACTCGTTGATGTCAAGGCTCGTGACAGCGAGTACGGTGTGGCTTCATCGCTACTTCCCACCACTTATGCTTCGTTCTGAGCATCGGATTAGCTGGATAGCAAGTTAATATTGCCAAGGGCAAGGGCTAAGGAAACGCCTCAGCATATCTACCACGCACTCTGGCTACTACTGTAATGTTAAACCGCTAAATCCATCTATTCACATCTTCATCATTAATCATCACAAGGCTTGACATCATACTCCACGTCAGATCGAATGATATATTTGGCCCCTTGCCTGACCCCCGTGCCCTCATGCAACAATGCCCCGTTGGATTCCCCGTGTGGAAACAACGCCACGGCGCCCATCACCGGACGCACCGGGTATGCATTCAAGGTTCCCTCCCGCGCGGCTGGCATGAAGAAGGTCGTTTCGCCTCCCTCGAACTCGTCGTTGAGATAAAGAAGGAACGTGTATAGGGAACTCTGCTTCTTGTCTTCAGGGGACGCGTCGTACACATACGTATCGTCAGGGAGGATGCCCGATGGCGGCCACGCGCCGTCGATGTGGCACCGGTACTCCGCGCCTGGGACGTATCTGTACACACGGAACCGCCGGTTGAGCCCTCGGGCTCGGCGGCCGTTGATCGAGGGCGGCACGTAGGGGGAGATCCGTGCCCAGAGCAAGTCGTGGAAGGCCGTGTCGACGACCCAGTAGAAGTTGTGGGCGAGGATGCTCATGTCTCCGTCTTCGCGGAGGGGGGCGTCGGGCAGGAACTCGACCGATTCGCCGGCCGCAATGATTGCCGTACACTCAGCGGGCGAGAGCACATTGAGCGCGACCCCGAGGCCTGGTACATGGGGATGTGGGTGGTATGTTATGGACGGACTGACGGGGGCTAGTGGTACGGCATTGGGGGTAGTCGTGTAGAGGATGGCGGGATGGTGGTTGGGGGGCTTGCGGAGGGGTCCGGGAGTTTGTTCGATGATGCGGAGGGCGGAGGGAGACGTCGGGGCTTGGTCCAATATAGATTTGTCGAGGACTGAAGCGTATACCGGAAGGGGCTCGGTCGAGGGACGGAGGTCCCAGATAGATTGGAAGGCAATAGGAGAGGTTGAGTCGACGGCGTTGGGGTTGGTGTCGATCGGGGTGCTGACACGGAGGATGGCATCAAGAACTCGGAGAAGCTCCATGTCCCTTGCGCTCCGCTTGGTAGAGGCATGCTCGACAGCCCCCGGCTTAGTCGAAAGCCCACTGACGACGTCGAGGTCTCGTACCCAGCGACACAACGCTCCGATTTTGGGCTGTTGCCCCCTGATTCTCATCTCCGCAAGCAGGACCTTGGCGTCAGTATATTTCTCGTCGGCGAGGGCGCCAGTGATTCGCGCTGTAAGGTTTGCGTCTTCTATGGAACAATCAGCCTGTTGTTACCGATGGGAGACGACACAGTAGTGTACCGGCATTATTGACACCTGTAGTGCAGGACTGTCGGAAGTCGTACACGGCGACTCGGAGGTCCTTGCATGCCTTTGACTTGATCAGATTGGGGTATTTGGCGAGAGCTGTGAGCGTCTCGATGGTGATTTCGACATCCTCATCCAGCACGACCGTATTCAGGTGCTTGGGCTCGAGACCGGTGGAATCGGGGGGCGGCGTGACAATCGAAGCGGCGGATTTGGGGAGCTTCTGCGGATGGTCATCCGGCGCATTGCGCTTGCGCTTGGCTGATTTGGATTTGGCCATGGGGTGGCGGGTGGAGGGTGGAGGGTGGTGTGTACGGAGTATTATTGTCTTGACACTATCGTGATGTCTCTGGGGATTTTCTCTCTGAAATGAAATGGAGGAATCGAGGCAAATCGGGCTTATCTAACATTTCGACAGTTGATTGGGCAATTGATGGATGTCAGGGTCCACACTGCCATATCGGGAAATCCGGCACAACAATTGATATCCGGGGGAGACATTGGAGTTGTATAGACTAGGTAGAAGTTCGATAGGTTCCGATACGGTACTGTATGAGCAATGGGTAAAACAAGATAGTCTGGTACTGGCTGTGTCCTGAACTGGTATTGTCTTGTGTATGTTCGAAGCTGTATATATAACGCGATGAGATTGTCCTCTGGAATACCATTCCCGGACTTGGGGTAGCTGAGACCAGCATAGTGGAGGTACCCCTTCACCACATGCATACACTTCAATTTGAAATGAGTTTCAGTTCTCTAGACTCAGAATGGTTCTGAATAGAAAGTCACCGACAGTAAGGAAGATCTAATTACCCTTAAAACAAAAGATCAAGCAAGTGCATAAGAAGATGTAACGGCATAACGTAACAATGTTCTTAGGCCCTTGCATATATGTACAGACCGTTAGTTTGGAGATGATATCCCTGATGCCCTGCATCTACTGACATCGAATAAACTGAGTGTCACTGTAAACTGATGCGCCCCAAGACCGCGCCTACATCCCACGCAATCGTAATGTGTATAAGAGTCTCACATCATTCCTCAAGACCAAAGATAGGACTGAAGAGACTTGCTCTCCGGGAAACGAACAAATTAACATACCACATTTACTGCCCAGACTACAGTACTATTGAATTACGTTGTGATTCCTTTCTTGTCGACCAGAGTGCAAATATCATTGAGATCGACTGGAACCTCCTTCATCGGAGTGACAAATCAACATAAATCTATTTGACGCGAAACGCAAAGACTTTCTTCAAGCCTATACCGGAGAGAAGAGAAGGTTCAAATCAGAAGGCGGGCCAGACGAAAGAAATCCAGTCGGTTCAACCACCCCCGTACCAGCCCGTTGGATATGGAAAGCCTCGACTAAGCGAGCTGTAACTCGTCTGATCTCGGCCAGCGCCAAAGATCGTCCAACACAGCTTCTGGGTCCATATAGGAAGGACAGCATGCAGATGGGCGATGAAGAGCCGCCGGTGGAATTTAACTTGGGCTTTTCCGGGTCCGATCGGTCAATCCATCTTTCTGGGATAAATTTCTCGGCATCTGGGCCCCATAAGTGACGGGATCGATTGATGGCTCGTGGGACGATGGCAATGTAGGTGCCAGCAGGGACAAGACGCCCCTTGATATATGTATCGCAGATGGCCTTGCGTAACGTCATTGCGAATGTAGGGTAGAGGCGGGATGCTTCATTGCAGACACCATTGAGCAGTGGCAACGTCTCATAGGACTCCTCGTCCAGCGAGGTTTTGGTTAACTTCGCTTGGGCTATCTCCTGCCGCAGAGCACATTGTATCTCGGGATTGACGGCAAGGCAATATAATGTCCAGGATAATGAGCTTGCTGTACTCTCGTATCTGGATTTGCCTCATCAGTTAGGGAAAGATCAAGGGTCCAAGGAGAACATACCCGGCGGCGAGCGTCGTCACGATTTGGGGCATAATTTCCTCTTGACTAAAAGACCCAGAGCCCGCGATCTGGGTCAGAATGTCCTGGTCCGATAGATCCTTCCCATTGAGGGCAGCAAGTCTTTCAGGAATCAGTTGACCGAGAGTTGCGCGGAGCTGGCGATAGGCCCTCTCCATCTGTCGATCTATCGTGGACGGAAACATAGAAACGAGACAAGGGGGAGCACAGTTATGCCACATAAACTGGCGCTGCTTATTCGCGTCCGTGGCAAACAGTGTCTGAAATACTTCAAATAGTTCCAAGTTGTGGTGCTGCATGCTGTTAAAGTCAATACCCAGTGCAATGATGCCCATCACATCAAAAGACACCAGTTTGGCGAACTCGACCACTTTGATGGCTGCATTTGAGGCCCCTCCGTAGTTCTTTTCGTCCTGTCCAGGTTGTCTAGAGCACAGCCCCAACAGATGTTCGACGACTTGTCCCGCCTTCGCAGATAGCACGGGCTTCAACTTATCCACTTGCCGCTGGTTAAAGACCTGAACAAACGACTTTCTGTTCTTTTTATGCTCATCGCCCTCTTGGATCACAATTCCTCGACCAAAAAACCGTTCAGCGTATCGCCGCAGTCCGCTGGTTTTCTGAAAATGATACGACCGATTGCTGAGAACATCCGACAGGCTTTCGACATCGGTGACTACTAAGTATTCTGCTCCCATCAAGCCATAAAAGTGGAGGAGGCCATTGTTCGGGATTGAATTGACCCAGTTGGTGATTTGGGTTCCCAGTGGCTGATCGAAAATAGCATAGACGTGTTTGGATATGAGATTTCCTCCCTAAATGGCAGAAATTGTGAGTGGACAGCAGGAGAAAACGGTCGAGAGCGCACAGAACGCACCGGAGGCCGGGGCAAATCTCTTAACACACTAAATCGTGGCCGACCGAAGGTCCTCCAGCATAAGAAGAGGAAAATATATGAGCACCACGTGCCCAAGACCCATAGACAGAGAAAGCCGGCGGATCTAGCGTGGAATCCGTAGAACCGTGCACCGAGCCAGGTGGCAGCACTCCAAAGAACCAGGCGTAGTGTGGATGATAACTGAGAGTACATGTCGACGGTAGTCGAAAGTCGTTTGGTATGATGAGCCCTCGCTCACGCTGTAGAACCATGTCTGGACTCTAGGCCTATTTATGGGACCCGGCGAGTATCCATACTTTTTCCATTATTCCTTCTCGTTGCGTGATCTCACATTCTACCGGAACATGTTTTGCTTTGCCTGTGGATACCGACAGAGGTTATTTGATCGAAACACGTCCCATATGTCCCCCTTGAAGCTGCAGAGCTCCCCACTTATCTTCGAGAAGGAATCAAGGGATATGACGAACAGATTGCATTCGGGTCGACCGATTAGCATGTTCTATTCCACCATTGAGGCTGTGTATGACAAGATACTTTCTTGTTTCGTGTGCATCTTGTGCCTATTTGGCTACTAATACTGTTCTATGGGCTGCATTGATCAACGGGTCGCCCCTGCAACCTTGTTAAACGCTCTGATTCCCATTATTATCAGGCCGACAAAACCTATTAATTCCCAGCCACATTCCATACATGCAAGGGCAAGCCTCGTCGAAGAGTTAGCCACGTACAAACGGAGATTATAGTTGAACTAGGAGTCGTGGAAGAAGTATTGCTTGTTCAGTGATGGGCATGGATTCCGTATATGACTGGACACCATTGCCCTGAACTTAGTGGAAACCTCTGCACCAAAAACTTTCGTCAGATCTGCTTATTAAAGGGCATGAACCCACTCTTATCTGTCCACGAGGGGCATTCGATGCTGCAGAGACGGAATGCCCCAAATCATGATACTCCGCTCCATTGTTCCTAGGACATCGCCCGTGTTTATTCTGACTTTGACGTCAACTCCAGTTGGGTCTTATATAATAACACGAGTGAAGTTCACTGTGGTGCAACATATGGAGTGGGTATTGAATCATCTGCTACTTCAATCCGATACATGCTACATTAGGTGCGTTCTGAGCCTCCCACGGCGAGTCCTGATGCCTCTTCCGGAAATATTTTGTGCCACATAAAGCACTCAGGTAATTCTGCATCGATTCTATAATTCGACAGGCCCTCCCATGATCAGCCTAGATCTTACCTACATATGACAACAACATGCATAGTACATGTATTAGCAACTCGCGACACGTACTACGCATGACTTGGATGGGAAATAGGTCTTTATTGTCATCTGGCACTGAACCAAGAAAGAACAAAGTGAGGAACCTTCTTCGGGGCGTGTCTGCGATGATTTTCAAAAGGAATGACAAGTCAGTAGAAGATTGGAGGCGCCTTGCATAATGTGTCCCTTGCAGCGAAAAGTGATACCATAACATTGTTCTCAACGGAACGTTTTGCGGTCTAATGATGCAAGGGTAATCTGTGGCCCGGAGCGCAACCAAGTTGTAGAAGGCACTTACGATGATAGCTTCGTCTTAAATAGTCTGAGGATTGACGGACAGAGAGTCATAGGCACCTTTCTAACTCGATATTAGCATTTGCAGCGGTTTCAAATTACAAAATTGACCCTGATCTTGTTTAAGTGACAAACAGCAGAAAAATGGGTCATGATGTGAGTTTTATGCAGTTCAGTGTACATTGCGTGCATTCTTGCGTAACTTGCTGATGTTGCCTAGGGCCTCCCCGTGATAGCGGTGGCTGTATTTGCCTACCTCATACAAATAACGGTCCCAACTTTCCTCCTAGTCCTGAGGCCAAAGCAATCACCACTGCGCCATCTATGGATGATTTGTTGTGCATGGATTGCATACAAGTGCTTCTCGCTATTAGCAGTAGCCTCGGGTGGTAGTATGATACGCTACACTCAACTTCAGACTATAATACTTGCTGAAGTCTTGAAGACCGCAAATTTGCTGCTCCTCATACCACTTGATAGAAGTGATCTTGTATCCAATGGGGCTATCCAGCAGTCTGATGATTTCTTAGCAGGGTTGTGCGCTAGTGCACGGCTCTTCGTCTCATACCGGGGCCTCAAAACTCCATTCCAACTAAAACAGATACCTCCTCAACCACCCTCTCTTACTCAGACAAGAGAAGGTAGGATTTCACGAACACAATATATCAAGCGACAGCTATGTGTATTGCTGTGGCAGTGTTTGCTTCTGGATTTCATGTACTGTTTGGGGACTCGGCAATCATCAGCCCCCAAGGCAAAAATGACTGCTGCAGCTGGGCCCAACCAGCCCAGTTGGGGCCACCGGATCTCAATGAGTCTGATAGCTTGGTTTGTGATTGCACGCGCCATCATCGACTCTACCTACCGACTTGCCTCGTTGATTGCTGTTGCGGCTGGAGATTCGCCGGAAAGCTGGCCTCCTTTTTTTGGCAGTATGTGGGACGCTTATACTCTGCGGAACTTCTGGGGGTAAGTCGTCGTATGGGCGTGATAGATAACATACGCATGGAGACTTATAACTAATGGGCTTTTTTGGGACACGACAGGGCCTTCTGGCATCAAACTGTGCGATGGCCGTTCACATCCTTCAGCAGTTTCCTAGTTCGCAACATTTTCCACATGCAACGCAGGACACTTACCAGTCGATACATAAATGTTCTGATAGTTTTTCTACTTTCGGGTTTCATTCACTTGATTACAGACGCAATGCAGGGAATTTCTCCTCGTCAGTCTGGTGCCCTTATATTTTTCCCGACGTTCACTCTCGGGTTCATGGTGGAGGATGCGGCACAGGAAATCTGGCGGCGGATTAGCCGGGGATGGAAGCGTGAGGAATTGCCGTCGTCGTCATCTGGATCAGGTGTGCCATCTTCTCCAGCGCTTTGGAAACGTGCGGTTGGATTCATATGGGTAGTCATATGGCTATCTCTAACATCCCCGACGTTCTTGCTGCCAGCACAGGCGTTGCCGCGAGAAAATCGGCGGTACATACCCGTGAGTCTTGTAGACCACATCGGACTAGGAGCAGCTGCCTATCTACTCGTATCAAATGGAGTGATTGGGGGTTTGGTATTGGGTTGTGTGCCATAAGAAACAATTTACTGCTACGTTTAATGCAACATGGTCGACGGTTGGTGGCTATAGTGCGGCTTGCAAAACCGATGGAGTGTCAAGAATTATTGTATTTATAACCTGATTAGGGTCAAAGTAACAAAAAAATATGCATTTCAGCATATCTTTGATTGTCAGATGCACTCCACCACGTCATAGGGCCGGAATGGCCCCATCCTCTGCCGATGAAGCAAGTAGGTAAGGTACGGATTTCCTGATCGAGTGCCCGCCAATACTTGCACCAACTATAGTGACTCATGCAGGACCTTCCTCTGGTATTTATTGGACGTCTATCCAACATTGTTCCTAGTCTGAGATTTATTTGCCTCCACTCTTCGAATAAAGAGTCCTGGTGGGTCACTATTTTCTGGCTAAGGACTGCAGAGTTGCTCACCAACTGCCGAGAGTGCAGCGATTATATAGGTCCACACTGCTGTGGCTTAATTTACGTTCATAACACAAGTGTCAATACCTTATTACGATCTCTCTGGCTTCCAGAATCAATTCTCCCGACCTCAAGTTACCATGACAAACACCATGATCAAAGTCATCTACGGTGGCTTCTTCTCCAAGCATCGGGGCTATACACCCGAGAAAGTGCGAGAGGTTTTGGACTACCTTGCGGAAGAAGGGATCACAACAATCGACACGGCCGAGGCATATCTTGAGAGCGAAGAGCTGCTGGGGGAGGCGGGTGCAGCAGGTCATTTCACTATTGACACCAAAGTCAGCGGCGGGCTATCACAACTCGAGGCTACAGAACAGAATGTGATCACAAGTGCTGAGGCAAGCCTACAAAAGCTGAAGACCACAAGCGTAAGATGGCCAGGACCTGGCATATTCAACGCGTTGACAAGCAGATAGCTAATAAACACACAGGTCGATATCCTCTATATCCATGCTCCAGACCGCAGGGTCCCGATCAAGGCCACCCTCGCTGGAATCAATGCTTTATATCAGGCGGGAAAATTCAAGAGATTCGGATTGTCCAACTTCCGCGGCGACGAGATCGAAGAGGTGATCAAAGTGGCCCAAGAAAACAACTATGTGCTCCCTTCCGTCTACCAGGGGAATTACAATGCAGTGGCTCGACGTACGGAGACGGAAATCATGCCCATCCTCCGCAAGTGGAATATCTCGTTCTACGCGTACAGCCCGATTGCCGGCGGATTCCTCACAAAGACTCCCGCGCAGCTCATAGCCGGGGGGCAAGGTCGATGGGACCCGTCCCAATACGTTGGAAAGATGTACAATGCACTGTATAACAGCCCTTGCATGCTGAGGGCACTGGAGAAGTTTGTCATCCTGTCTCATGACACTGGGATCTCGCAGGCGGAGCTGGCCTACCGCTGGGTAGCGTACCATTCTCTCCTTCGACCGGAGCTGGGTGACGGTATCATTGTTGGGGCGCGGTTTGGTTCACAGTTGGACGAGACGCTAAAGGGACTGAGAAAGGGGCCATTATGTGCAGATGTGGCAGACAAAATCAGCGCACTTTGGGAAGATATCGATGAGTCCCCGTTGGATAATTTTGAGGGTTATATCTCTGTTTCCCATGGCTGAGGGCCATCCAGGTGTCGAGATAATGGATCTTCACATGTCGAGGATGACGATCAGGTTCAGAGTTCCTCTCTGTGATCATATTATGGTACTATTCACATTAATTCCCCGGAGTCGCACATCCTCACCGCTACCCTCCTTGCATGAAGTGTTTCTCTGGGGCAGCGGCATGCACGTTGGCCTTGGAAATAATCAAAACTTTCATTTCAAGTCCTACAGAGCGGTAAACCAAGCAGATCACTCTTCAAGACATGTCATTTCAATTAGGGCCAAATGTTGTAGGTTCCTAAACTATGGCGTACTCATTGCGTACGGCTTTGAACAAGCGGTGATCATAATCCCAACAGCATTGTGTGATGTATCCGATACGGATATAGGTAGATGATTATCCACATCATCAACGCGTTGTACGTAGACAATGCAGCATTGAAACTACATATTGCGGTATTCTATACCAGCTTCCCTCTACCGCAGTCCCAAATCCTCAAGAGTCGTCGCAATGACCAACATCGACAAGATCAAAGTAGTTGACGATCACCGGGTTCAACGGCAGACAATCCGGGTGAATGATAAGACATATGGTGCAATGATACTTTCTCATCTCACTCACATTGATGAACCACCGCTGACTTATAATCGCACAATAGGCTATCTCATTGCCGAGCCTGCCAGTGGCTTTTCCCATACTGTTTTATTGGTATGGAGCCCGGTGATGCTTCGATACGAGCAGGAACTGACGTCCATAAAGATCCATGGCTTCCCAGACCTCTCAATGGGATGGCGCTATCAAATCCCCTTCTTCCTACAACATGGCTTTCGTGTGGTTTGCCCTGACTGCATTGGGTACGGGCGATCAGTGGGTATATCCTTGTTAAATCATGGCAAGAAATACTCATTTACGCAGGACTCGCCAACTGAATCCCTCTCTCCATACTCTCTGAAGTCTCAATGCCAGGATTTCCGCGACCTTGCAGAGAAACTCGGCTGCAGAAGTATCATCGCTGGAGGCCATGACTGGTAAGCAGGGCATTTACTGTCCAACTTCTAAGAAGGATATGCTGACTCGGGTACAGGGGTGCTATGTTCGCTTACCGGTTCGCACTCTATTTTCCTGAATTCGTAACGCACCTCATCACATTCGTCGTCCCCTACATACCCCCATCGCCGGAATACGTGAGCCCAATTGATCTTGCCAATTCGACGCCCTCCTTCGGATACCAAACACAACTCGGTAGTGAGGAGGGTATAATCGAAGCAAACACACAGGACAAAGACGGGGTTTATCGGTTTTTGAATACACTGTATGGGGGATCAACGAGCGATGGCAAGTACGCCTTCAGCGCGATGGCTGGGGTAGACTTTGCTCTAGCCTCGCAGCTGTCACGCACAAGGTTGCTCGACGCCGAGGAGATGGAGTATTATGTGAATGAATACGCGCGAAACGGGCTTCGGGGCCCGTGTGAGTTTCTCTCCGTCGTTGTCAGGCGACTCTATACGGTATTTACTTCAGGACTAACACAAAGATGCAGGCAACTACTACCGCACACACCACCTAAATTTCCTAGACGAGCTGGGATTCTTTACGAAGCAGCAGACTACACCGAAGATACAAGTCCCAACATTGTTTATACGGGCCACTAGGGACACAGTAATTACATCAACCATGGTCGACGTGATGCTAGGATATTTTCCGCAGCTTACAATTGAGAACGTGGGCTCATCACACTGGATTTTGTGGGAGCGACCAGAAAGGGTGAATGGCATACTGAAAGAATGGTTGCAGCAACAACATCTTATCAAGTAAATAGCATGAACATCAGGTCATCAAGGCCATGTGTTACCGATACCTGATATGGGCTTCTTCCCCAGTGTAGGTCAATCGAAGTCCGCTGTCGTAACTCCCCGAGCTGCATAATGCTATCCGAAGTCCAGCAAATGAACGCGATGTCTAAGTCCATATTCCCCGATGTCACTCATGTTAATGTGTGTTATTCAAGGGCCCTTGCGACGCATACTGCAACATAATATTAAAACTGAGAGTGAATGTATGCTGTTGGGTCTAAACCCTGTATTTGCATGGTCGAGTAGCTATGTACAACGTATGCCACAGAGACGAGTCTATGATGCTCAGAGACGAGAATACCACCCATGGTATAGAAAAAATTAAAGAGGAATCCGATCTGCAACAGCCCGCCAGAACGCACAGCGCAATCCCCGTCCTCCTTCCCAGGTATACGCGTTGGCCAAACGGAAGTGATTCACGACGTCGTCTCCCTCCCTAATGTAGTAGGTCAGGTTTGGCGTGACCACAACCGGACTGACAGTACCTCCAGTGGTGTTGAGGTCCATCTGCCAGGGCGAGATCGGACGGAACTGTGGCCAGTCCAGACTACCAGCTCGTCCGATAGGAACCACGGCCTGGCTGTTGTTGGCCGTCGCATCGGCAAGAGGAATAATCGGGCTGTTGTTAATGATGAAGTTTCCCCACATCTTGTGAAAAGCGTGGTTGAATCCGACACTGGGCCAGGAAGACCCCATGTTGAAGTAAGAGTTGAGATCGGATCCGTGCATTCCCGGCGTCACGGAGTACTGGTACTTCCACGCCTGTCGGAACCCAGCGCCAAAGGCCTCGGCCAGCCACTGCGCCGGACAGTCAAAGGTGGTTTCGCCGTAGATATTGAAGACCGTCTGCTGCAGGCCTGTGGCTATTTCGGACTGGTTGTTCGCAGTCGGACCGCTGGTGCCGGTGGTATCAAATCGGGGACCCCTGTCATTGGGTTGCGACTCTGCCGTGCCATAGAGGAGATTCAGCCGCGCGATGTCCGTTCTTGTCAGTTCGGGGAAAGTTTTCGAGATGTGGTCGTTGAAGGCAGCACGAGTGAGCACGTTGGGGTTGCTGAGAGGGACACCGTCGTTGGCGTTATTCTGTTTATCGGTCAACAGCTCAGTCCGGGAGCAGGCCATATCATGAGAGGAAAGAACATACCCCGACAAGGATACGCCGACCGCTGACATGGCCTGTTAGTAGTTGCACCGAAGGTCGCTCCCGGATCATATCCCCATCTACAACGGGCGCAAAGCCAAACGTGCCGAAAAATCCGGATTCGGAGACAATTCCACTCGCATTTTGCAGTGATTCACTGGGCGCGGCAACCAGGCAGTCAAACGTCGTCTTATACTGCGATCTAGTCGGCGCCAATGGGCCACAGCCGGCGTGTTCTGCAAACTGCTCATAGTACGTGGTAGGAGTGGCGCCATCATACTCATATATGGGAGGTGAGTATGGGCTTGCAGCGATGATCTGAGGACGACGGGTCAGCTCGAATGACCCTTACTGGGGTAGTGAGACTTGCATTCTGGAACAGATTCGATTTCCTTCCTCCATAAGCCAGCGACTGCAGCATTACCGCACCGCCCCCGGCCGATTCACCGCCAATGGTGACTCGGTTAGGGTCGCCGCCAAACTTGCGGATATGCTGCTGCACCCACTCCAGGGCAAATCTCTGATCGAGGAGGCCGGCATTAGGGGTACCGTGTTCGTGAACCTCTGCTGACGACAGGAACCCAAATGCGCCCAGACGGTACTGGATCTCCACCGTGATGAACCCGTTGTTGTTTGTGTTCATAAGCGGGCTGGGGTCATACATAGCGCCATACAGCCCATAGCCCCCGCCATCTATCAATTATTACGATCAGCGGATCAACACGCGGGAGCTTTCACGGGACGAAGCGACTTACGGATCCAAACGAACACGGGGAGATCGGAGGCTCCAGGAGGCGCATAGACATTCAGAAATAGACAGTCCTCGTCCCCAGGGCCTGAGTTGAATCCGTAGACAGCAGGGGTGCCAGCAGCACCCGACTGGGGACACAGGGGAGCCTGGTCAACGGCCGGGATGATCTGGCTGGTATTTTTGGCTGGAGGAGTCGGTGGTTGCCATCGCAGGTGGCCGACAGGAGGCGATGCGTACCGAATGCTGCGGGCCAGATTTAGTCTTTGTTGCGTTGCAGTCAGATGAATGTTACACACCCCTTCCAGATATTCAAGCCGGTGGTGGCCTCATTATATCCCTGGTAGGACGAATAGCCAAGGTCGACGATGGGGCCCGACAACGAGCCACCCAGGATGGGGGCCAAAGTCGCCGCCAACACCAGGCGAAGGGCGGCTTGCATCCGGTTCGTTCCGGTCCAGTTGGGTTGGGAATGTGTTGTTATGTAGAAACAGAGGGGGGTGAGACGGAAATATGTCAGATACCCGGTAGAATAATATAAGTCGGGGTGGAGTACATTGGGTACCCGAATAGGCAGGGGTAGTGTTATTTCTTTGTATGAAGCTCAGCCTCTTCTAGCATTCACTAGGGAGATTCACTAGGTGTCAGGCAGCTTCGATCAAGTCATAATGGTCACGCCCTAGGCTTTCTAATAATACATCTAGTTTTTTGTGGTCAAAGACTGCGGGAATCTCGGGAATCTGGATAGGAGCATAGGGCGCCACTATTCAAGGGGCCATCCTACTACTCCGTATTAGTATTCGTTACCACTACCGTAATCTCAAACTCATCTGGCATCTCGTATTCTCACATTAGCTTACAGGCAGGGACTTGACGGAGCCTGGCTGACTAGACACTGAACGACCGGGAAACCGACAGGGGTCGTACAACGATGGTGCCGAAGAATGCTGACATCCTGTTCATCATTGGCCTAACTCAGCCACGAGATGATCTCCAAATTGCCTGATTATGTGTTGCAGTCCGCGGTTGCATGAACACCCCTTCCAGCTGGGTCTCCTCCGAGTTGATGTAAGGGAGGAAATTCTGGCCCCTACCCACACCATCTTGGATGGGGAAGAAAAGCCTTTATCATGGCCAGATGCGCTTACTGCTCTGTCCTATATCCTTTCTCCTTTCTCCCCCCACAGATTGATTCTCGGGCATGTAAGTCGTGGATGCGATGAAGCTCTCATGGAGGGCCGCCCAGGATGCAGCCTTCCTGGCACAATCACGAGTTAGCCAAGTCACAATCGCCTACTCCGTGCCCATTCCGCTCGAGCTGTTGATGACTGGCCTGCGGCTCTGGGTCAAATTACGGGGCCCTCGTGGACGACTCAGTTTCGATGATTATCTGATGGTGTGGGCCACTGTAAGTACTAGCTACCGCGTCCAAGCATGGTCCGTGTGAGATATCGGAATTTGACAAGCACTTGGCATCGCGACGATCGTAGTTTGTTGGAGTCGCAGTTTGTGTCAGTGGTTTGATCTATGGTATGGCTTTCGGTTACTTTCTGGCCGGGCGAGTGGTCGGATGGCGTTGACCGGTGTGCTATAGGACCCCCTTACGGATTCGGACGGCACAAAGCTGCCCTGTCGGATGAGCAGATCAAAACGTTCATGCTGGTATATCCGCCTCCTCTATTAAATATTACCGCGATTGACATAAATAGGGCAACTACATCTTCAGCCACTTCTACAATGCTGCCATTGCCAGCACCAAACTCGCCGTGTTGGCCCTGTACCATCGCATCTTCGCAACCTTCAAATTTCGCGTCGTAGTCCTCATCACTGCTGTCTTTGTGATCCTGTGGTTAATGACGATGGAAATTGTGTTGGGCCTACAATGTCGCCCTATCTCGCGGTTCTGGGACGCGGATCTGCCAGGTAAATGCTTCAACCTCGTGGCATTCAGCTACTTTACCAACATCACCAACCTGGCCACCGATATGTGGATCTTTGCGCTGCCGTTGCCCGTTATTTTCAAGCTGCACATGTCTCGCCATCGGAAGGTCGCTCTCAGTTTTCTCTTCTCCATCGGACTAGCGTTAGTATTCCACCCATCTTGTCTAGGGTCCAGACTCACGTCGCTCTGGACAGAACGTGTGCCATTAGTGCGGCGCGTCTTTCTGTCGTGGTCTCGCAGGGCTCACCCGACTTTACCTGTATGTCCCATCATCATTCCCCACATGTCTTCGTCCGTTAACAATGTAGGGGCCGGAGTTCCCTTGGGCATCCTCTCCGCGTGGGAGCCACTCGGCGGGATCTTCTGCGCCAATCTGCCCGTCATCTATCGTGCAGTAATCACCATGTTTCGCAACCTCAAGAGTTCGGCCCACGGCCCATCCGCGGACACGGCCAAGCCCAATTCACAGCCCTACCGGGACGCAGGGCCATCTCATCGACCGTGGGTCCAGCTTTACAGTGGGCGCGGCGCGCAGGTGGGAGCCTCTCCCACCAAGGCGCAAGGTGCGGTCACGGAGTTGCGATCAATGGATCGCAATGTCATCGAGGTGGAGCAGTACTTTGAGCAGAGGGTTAACAATGAAGACGAAGAGGCACCGTTGCGTCCATTAACAAAAGGAAGCTCTTAGGTGTTGTATTGCCGGGAGACTTTGCAAGGATCAACAGCATAATATGCGTCATTTTGTGGCTCTATAGCGAGACATCAGCATAATGGTGGGAGCTGTCGGATCATTGGATTTTGACGATTGCCTTGTGACCTGAAAATGGGATCTCGGGAAGGGCGTGCTATAAAGTATATGCTTCTCTTGGGTGCTTGCCCATCTTTTATTTAAACCCCGAGGGTTTTCTCATGTCCTTCCTGTGCGGCCAAATATAGGTACTCTAAATGTCCACGCAGTCCGAATTTACCCACTCACCCGGGTATAAGAGCCTCTAAATCTGTATTCCCTGCCCAGTTAATGATGCGAGACGGGAGGAACTGATAGCATATGAAACTATCTACTGACCCGACACAGGATTTCATTCATGTTTCCTGCGCGGCACTTTCAATATATATATAACGAGGGTGCCTACAAATGCATAAAGACATCACATATGCCTTGAAAACCAAAAACCGAGTGAACTTTGTATGCAAAGAATAATCATTTCTTCCCTTTATCAGGGAAAGATCCCGTTTTTGTCGACAATTGTAGTCCCCAGTCTACCGAGATATCTGTTGGCAAAGCATTAACTGAGAATTAGTTTCTTGTTTTGTAAAGGAATAGCTACGCATCCATCATGTGATACCCCCGATGGTCTAGTTGGATATGGCGTTCGGCTGTAATGGTACACATATAACCGAAAGGTCGCCGGCTCGATTCCGGCTCGGGGGATTACCTTTTTTTCTTTTCTTTTTTTACTTCTTTTCGGTGGGATCACCTTTTTTCACTATTGCACCCATCACAATCAAATTAGTTTATGAGCTTCGTATGGATTGATTCATTCTTATTTATATATATATGCTGTTTAATTTTTATTCGCAGAATTAGACAAGCCAACCCTCCTGATGGGGTAGGTAGGCCAAGCCCTCGATGACAACCTGGAACATTAGACACAACAATTGTGTGATGGGTTGTTATGAGTGTTTAACCATAAACTCAGCTCGCCACTGACCAGACCTCAGTCGCATCCCATTATTCTATATCTGTGACCCTGTCTATCTACCAACTAAGCGATTCCCGCCATTCATCCCACTCCCCATCCATCCCGTTCGATCGTCTCCGGAATTCCACGCGCACCTGCCGAGATTCGTGGTGAATATCCAGTCCCAGGCTATGGATCCTCTTGAACTCAGGGATCGGCTCATCCCCGTCGAGTCCAGACTCCTCTATTTCCTTTGCCCTTTGCGACACTGCCGCCAGGATAGGCGCCTCCCAGACCACATCTGGGTACGGCGCCGACGACAGCAAGTCGATGGCCTCTTCCCGGACTGCGCGGTCTCGGCATTTGGTCGCGACAAAGTACAGCGGGTAAATGACGCCCATCTCGACGGGGACGCCGACCAGCGCCGGTGCCGCGGCACTCACCTGATGGGTGCTGGATGATTTCGCCAGCATGAGGATCCGCGCGAACGCATGCAGGAACTGGTCATATGCCGTCTGCTCGGCATAGACGGATGTCGATGCGGTGATCAGCGCGATGTAATATTGGATGAGCAGGAGAGAAGCCCGCGCAGCCGTCCGCGGACTCCCCTGCGCCTTCTGACAGGAATAGGAGTAGCTGAATGCCGACTTCCAGAGCTCAAGGCGCGCTTGGAGGGTATGTGTGTATGCGATTAGCTCCAGTGGAACGGAACCTGGCTCGTGGTAGCGGTAGAAGCTCGCAACCCTACGTATAAAGTGGACCACTCGGGCGTACTCCTCTACCAGGCATGATTCGGCCTGGCCGAACGAGTCGAAGACGTACGGGATTGGAGACATCTCCCCGGTGACGGTTACGGGGGCGCGCATTCCGATGTACAACGAGGCCTGTATGTCCATCCGCGCGTATGCTCTTAGGATCTCGGAGTCGATGTCGCCCACCCGGCCCGCGTTACGGACAATCTTCAGACACATCTCCAGGTGACTCAACCCGGCCACATAATCCCGCACGAGGATCTCGAACCATATACAGATGATTCCGCAGATCAAGGCCACCTCGACAAGATGTTTGTCACTCCCCATGTCCCTGACGAGCTGCTGCAAGGACGCCAGCGCCTTGCCGTACTTCTTTAGCCCGAAGAGATACCGTCCGCTGCGGGGAGGGGCATCGAAGCCATGGATTTCTAGCGAGCCATGCGCCATTCGTTCCTGCATAACCGCGCTCAGAGCGATCACGCCTCGACGGACGGCGACCTCCTGGTGCATGGCTTGGATCATGAGAGGTCGCCAGTGCGGGAACCCGCCGCCACAGCTGGGTGTGTCCCGGGAGAGGCACTCGATAAAGTATTGCACATAGCGTGTGTCTTGTTCGCTCTCGTTCCATAAAGAGGGAAGCGGGCGCATTCGGATGGTGGATGTCAAGGTCCACGTCTGAGCGAACGAGACTGCGACAGGGTTGGTCTGGGTTACTGACGGGCCGTCGCAGCGACGGCCTGAGGTCGTACAACGCTTGCAGGATGGCCATGTCTCGTCACAGCGTATTCGGCGGATTCTTCAGAGGATGTCAGCAAAGATCCGATCAGATATACATCGCAGGTGTCAGTCATACTTGCATGTTCGGCAACCTGTCCTTGATTTCGTATGGGCCCTGCGCATTGCGACTGCTTGCGTATATCTACTGACACTGGATATGAATAAGTGAGAAGTGTACTGCAATGAGTACAATGGAGAATCCTATATATCGAATACGTATTGGTCCACTTTCGTCGACGTTATACCTGTTCTGGAGCAGCAATACGAGCAGGCCAATAACACCGAACAAACGTTGCTTGGCGTGGGGATGTTTCAGTTGATGATCGAATAAAGCTATGTTGCCTAAAAGGTCATTTTGAAGCTCAAAATAGCAGCATGTTGACCCAGACAGGACAAGGCACTGCTGACTATCTATCCGCTCTAGGTAAAACCCGCCACCTTAAACCTCATGTCTAATCTCTATCTCTCGCTCTCCGCCAACGGAAGTCCGTCGTCCTGTCGGGTCTTCAACGCTAGCGCAGTAGGATTCTTCCAATGCCCTTTGAGACTCAACCCCGGGTGGAAGATACTCAGACAGCCACAGGCGACAACCATACTCGCTCCTTCGAGGATCATAAACGCGATCTCATCATTCGCCAGGTCACTACTGAACCCGCCGTTCAGTTCCGCTGTACGAAAGATCGATCGGATGAAGATGAGGAAAGTCGCGATGCCCAGTCCTGGTTTACTCTCGTTAGAGGCTCTCTAAAAGACAGTTTGTTTGCGGACGGATCACTAACCCCAGAGAAACCCTCTCCATTTCCAGCTCCCCCCCGACGATGCCATACAGGATTGGGATTGTCGCTGTCGCCGGAGCCTCCACAGGTAATCGATAGCAAGCGCCATGAACGTCCCGAGCGATGCAACCTGCGCCGCCAACCCCGCGATCATGATGTTGATTCCAGTGCGCCGGAGGCCATCCTGGCCCTGTCCTGCCGTGGCAGTGACAGCCCCGCCTGCAGCCTGGAGAACCAGACAGAGCAGGTCACAGGTCACGAAGACGATGGCGTATGTTTTTGATTTAATTCTCGAAAAGCCCTCACCGTAGACGATAATCACCCGTCCAAAACACAGGTAGATGGCTGCGGTGACAAAGGCTGGTCCGATGGTGAGACAGATGAGGTATCTAGCTGCATTAGCGTCGCACGATGACCGGTGAAGGATTGTCGCAGGGGTACTGACTGGAGGAAACTCGAGAAATTGAATGGGTTTGAGTGCAGCATGAGACGTCCACCGTAGCCGACGACTTCGAGAAGGAGCCCGCAGGTCATACACGCGAGATAGGACCAAATGCGGGAGCGGAAGCCCTGGTAGATCTGGATGAGGAGCATGATGAGGAAGAGAGCCAGGTATAGAGCATTTCCTGGGAGGCTGGGCCTGTAGCGCACGAGTGCCCAGTCCAGGGGACATGTGTCTAGAGTGCAGGGCGCCGTGATGGTCGGCATTGGTGGAGAGACCTGGCTTGAGGGAGTTGGCATTGTTGCTGTTGTTTCGTCAGAAGTGTACAACCAGAACGAAATGATGAATTGCCCGGAGAGCAGCGACTATGAATTTATAGTCTGGGACATTTGGCCTGGTCCTCGAAGGGCACAGTCAACGCCAGTTTGATATGCCAAGCCTGTATTCGTTCCCGGTGGGTCGAGCGTGTGAGGAAGCATCTCCTTGCGAGTCAATAACTTCTTTAGGCCATGGACTGATCGTATTCTCTTCGAGCAGTCTAGATCTCTTCGCTACTTCCGATATCGACTGTGGTGGGATCGGGTGTCTAGCGGAAACATAGGCTTCTATAATGGATACATCCAAATGTTCATCCTTGAAGATGCTCCTTGCCTGATAGCGCTGACGAACCGTCAAGTTCCAACGTAGCTGTGAATTTGATTTGGATGGGTCTGTGTGGACAGTCGGCCTTCCAAGCCCCTTTATCGAATGGAAGAGCTGGTCTAGAAAGCTCAGAAGCAAAAGGTTTCAGGTTAATAGAACATAACATAGAGCTTATGCGCAGGCTAGTGCGCTGAGCAAGTGACTGATGTTCAAGATTGATAGAGAATAGAATGCGAGAATAGTAGCTGCTATCATCCTCAACGATATGTTCTTTAAGTTGCAGACCAGAATGAGCCTGCCATTGTATTAATGACCTACCATATAGTCAAGTGACGGTAAGCAATGTAAATGGCCTATTTTGTTCTCTCTCGCAGTTGTCCCTATTTACGGACAGCGGTCATACTTGATGACTAGCCCCATGTTTAAGGAGCACAACAATACCTTTGTTGGATAGGACATATGCACAGCAGCAGCTGGTGTCATGGCACTAAGCGTTTGTTTGAGACATTTTTATTATCTCCATTCACCCGTGCCGAGGTGATTGTGCCCTCGCGTCTTACGGCCGAGTGCAATCTGTGGCAGTCTGCTTACCAGGCCATAGGACACAGGAGCACGCGGGAACATCAGAATTAGGCCAACCAGGACGCGAGCAAATCCACCGAGAGAGTAGAAGGGACTGGTCCTTATTAAACTGATTCAAAATCTCCATTGAAATATGCACATGCTCATCCCAGACGGCTCTCGTTTCGTCAACAATACTCCGTAATCCAGCTCTTCAAATCCCCCACTGTAGGGCATTCTAGGAATAGGAATCCTTTGACTTCTAGCTGCAGTTCCATGAGGAACTTCTGAGAGAGCAACAAGGAAAGCAGAGAGTCCACGCCAATGGCAGTAAATTCGGTCTCGTCGCTAAGGTCTGTTACAGGCATGGCATTTTAAGCAGCAATCAGGGCTATAGCACGCTCAACTAGCATGTTACCCCCGGTATCGTCGGACTTTGCCTCCTCGTTCTCATCGCACGTATCGGGAGTGGGAGGGGTCGATGTTGGGGATGAAGATGGGCTATCTCGTGCGGACGTGGTCGTGGTGTCTGTGCCTCTTGTCGAAGTCGATTCTTCAGATTCTTGATGCTGTGGCACAGTCCCCTGGTGACCGCAAGTTTCCGTACTAGTATTGATGGGAGCATGCTTGGTTGTAGTCAGAGTCGGCAGCTTTGCCATGTGAGTGGGGCTCGACGACGCCTTTGCAGGCATCGTCCCTGTGGGAGCGTCTTCTTGTGAACTGCTATAAGCCTGTTTACACAAGTACAGCCAGTTATTGTCTTATTTGGTGTTCATCGCCACGGGATCAAGTTTCAGTGCCCTAGAATTGGTGCACATTATCCGCACGTCTCACATTATCGCCTTGCTGCACATCAGCGTGGAAAGGCGCGTGTATATTTATGACCAGAACGACGGACATTTTAAGAACAATATGGATGCAGTGGACGTGACGAGATTCGGAGAAAGAAATGAATCTTAGATGAGGTAACAGCCCTTTGTCGACCCTGATCAAGGTGGGGGCCTGAGGCTTCGATACTTGTAGATCCCCCTTAAGTAGAGAGAGCCGTGACGATCTCCTTCATTTTCTTAGCTCTTGCAAAATCACGCACAGTTTGACCCTGTTTATTCTGGATGGAAAAGTCCACTTTATGCGTTCCAACGAGCAACTGGACGATGTCCGGTTTTCCGCCCTGTGCAGCATAAAATATAGCCGTCCTACCTTCGGCATCCCGTAGGTTGAGATCAATACCACCATGACTCAGTAGCCTTTCTAATATTGGTCTATGATTCACAGCAATTGCGTACATCATCGGAGTTCGGCCATAGTGATCCTGGGAGTTGATGTTGACGCGCGGGCAGAGAAGCAGGGTATCCAAAAGCAGAGCATTGCGGGTTGTTATGGCGAAAGAAAGGAGGCCTTTCTGATCTCGCGACAATATCGACCTTTTTTTATTCTGCTGCTCCAAGAGCATCAATTGCATTTGGTAGTCCGTAAGGATTTGGGCCTGTTGTGGAGAGAGGGCTTTCTGATCTCGCGACAATATCAACCTTCTTTTATTCTCCTGCTCCAAGAGCATCATTTGCATTTGGTAGTCCGTATGGACTTGGGCCTGTTGTGGTGAAAGACTTGCAGAACTTCGCGGAGATGGTCTGAAAGGGTCTTTTTGCCCCTCACTAGATAGGTCCTTGAAGAATGCATGGGGAATTTGCTCCAGTTCTGGCCTTCGGCTAGTAAAATATGGATCCGGCTCATTGAGATCAACGCTGGGGCTTAAGAGAAGATGGTCGAAGGCTGGACTCGTCCAAATTCCGCAGTGTATAGCGTTCCACAAAGTCTCACAGGCAAATCCGGCGTCGGCCCATTCTTTCATGAGGGATTCATCCGTAGATGCCGCTGGAAGTCCGACCAGTGTGCTTTCTGTTACTTCCTTTGGAGGCACATGGCAGCGTGGATAGAAGAATTGCTGCATAAAAGAGAAATTGCGAGTATAAAGACACTTCAGAATGCTGGGGTTCCAGGTCTTCTTTTCGACCAAGAGTTCAGCAACGCCAGCGAACAGCTCCAGGGCGTCCGGATCTTCATGGCGATCGAAGTATTGGCAGAGCACGACCCACAAAGCTGGTGGTGGATTTGATAAGAAGACTGTATCAGAGTTGAAGATCCACTTCAGACCGTCAGCTTCATTGGCTCTGATCAGAAGTGGGAGTATAAGGGTGCCTGCTGCGCCACGAACAAGATCAATCACTTGCCTCACGAGGCGAGTGTTGCCGAACCGAAGTACATTCTCGAATGCCCTTTCCAAACGGGACCCGCTCTCACCATTGAAAAATTGGTTGGGGGAAGCATCGTAAGACAATCGGCGCGCGACGTTACGACCTCTTTCTGTTGAGATAGAATGAGGGTTTGCCAGGAGGTGGAGAAAAGCGGGCCAGCCATATTTGCCAGCAAGCGTCAAACTCGTGTTTGGATGGTCGATCAACGCAGCGAGGATCTCTAGGTTGCCCTTCTCAGCAGCCGCTGTCAACGGAGTCTCGAATTGCACGTTAATCTTGATCTTGCAGTTCGGGTCCCCCGCAGTTTCCTCAAGCAAGAACTGCATCAATCGAAGGCCGCCATTGCGATCCGCCTTTGCAGCGAGAAGAAGCGCGTAGCCAAGAAAGACAGGGCCTAACTGCAGCTGCTGACCGCGTCTAACGAAGAAAAATCTCTCCCACTGCTGAAAAGCGGCGATGTCGCGCTCAGGGAATCCATCCACCACACTCAATTCAGCTCCAGTGGTTTGGGGATACTGATGTCCAAACTCCCCGGTTCCTATCAAGAAGTCCGCGATTTCATGAAAGCCCAGCGAGATGGCACTTTCTAGAGAGCGATATTCCTTTTCTGCACTGCAGTGCGGCCACAGCAGTGCCACAATCTCCGTATATCCCTCTTGAACAGCCACATCGAGAATGCTACGGCCTTGCGCCTTCAAGGCAGCTCCTTGGGAAATGAGAAATCCGCATGCATCTTCCTGGCCACTCTGTACAGCAAGCCAAAGAGGGGTCTTTCCGGCTTGATCGGGGGCGTTGACATTGCAGCCTTGCTCGACCGCAGCTCTTAGGGCGTCTGTGTTGCCCTGACTCGCAGCTTGGTAGATGTCCATCGTCCTGGTTGGCTTAATTTGCTGCCGTCTGTGGTCTCGCCGAGGGTGTAGCAGGGTATGAAAGACGCCCGTTTCTACGCAGAGAGAAACCTCCACGGGCATGGGGTAAGATCAGAGAACCACAACACTGCTTATGGCAAACCCGGGGTGGGCGCGTAGAGGGATGATGTGGTTGGCCGAAAAAAAAAGTGGGACAAATCAGGTGCTCTTGATCGAGATACGTAGCCTATATCCAAGAGGACACAGCTGCTTTCATTCTTAAAAAGCGCTAAAATGCGATTAAATTGCCTAACTGCCTGATCCTGTATATAGACTTAGATTGTAAAGCGCTGTCCTTGACGCACTAAGCAGGCCGGCCTTGTCACCGCTCCGCGCAGAGCGGATGCGGAGCGGACTGCGAATCTACAGAGCGGATATGACACCCTACTCCTATGTATAAGCCCCTATTTACAGGTTAGGGCTATACTAAGGTTTATTATACTAGGTTTGATAGAAATTATTTACTTAAGGCCAGTTAGGATTTATATTTGATAATAATTAGTTAGGCAAGAAATCTAAAGAACGTAAAAACTAGAAAGCATGTTTTATAGTACCAGGAAGAAGTAGATAACGATACAGGAACTATATAGTAACACACTGAATTCGTCTTGGTTGGTGAAAATGAGTCTTGGAGCGGTAGCCCGGTCGGACCGCTGGTGAAGTACTGGATATTTGTAATTGAGAATGTCTTAACCCGAGAAGAGAGCCTAATTATGGGGGCGACCGACCTGGCGACAGGTTACTAAAGCGGATCTTGAGCTAGGAATGACCTTTGTGCTCGATGTTCGGATAGTTCTACTTTGGTATATGGAAACTAGGTCTTCGGGAAAACTGAGAGATGTTCGCTGCCGACTATGCGTGTAATATGAGTTGCTTCGTTGTGTGTCTTCTCTTCCTTCTTATAACGTGCTAGCTCATCTCGCCTCGCCTACCTTCCCAGTTGCCAGATATTTCGTGACCACTGTCGCCAAGCATGTCTGATCATACATATGGAATGCATTTAGATCTGCTGTCATCCGCGCCTTGGGCTTCGAAGTCGGTCTCGGGCCTTGATGATATGCTACCTATGGACTAAGGTCTGCCAGAGTCCAAATCTTTGCGTGGCCATCACCTGAACCCGTCGCGAACATGTTTCCCGAGGGAGAGCAAGATAAGGAGTATATCAAGTGCTCATGGCCTCTGAGGACCAATTGGACCTCCCTATTTTCTGAATCCTGGATCTTGATGTCCCCTTTCAGCGTACAGTATAGAAGCCACCGCCGGTTATGGCTGTGACAAATACATAAAACGCTCTCCTTATCAACGTGACGGTTAACAGCCTCATCAGTATTCTGCACATCATCGGAGACAACTTCTGGGTCGAACAGTGAGAGTTTCCATTGTGTCATCGCTTTATTGAGGTTGTAGCTGATAAAGGAGAGGCCGTCCAGGGCGAACCTTATAGAGTCCACAGGAATTGAATGGCAATCACCCTCCCCTAGGCGTTTCGCAAGCGCACCTGTGGCCAATTCCCAGATAGATATGATGCCGCCAAGATCGCCAGCCAAGACATATCGATCGTCTGGAGAAATCTCCAACGACGTAACACCTTGGGGGGCTTCGAGTGTGTGTTTCAGTCTCCAACCTGCGGAAACATCCCATAATCGGACAAACCCGTCCTTTCCTCCACTCACCACATGAAGCCCATCGCGTGAGAATATAAGCGCTGTGATTGATTGTGTGTGATTGGAGTGGATTGGTGAGGGGGGTGCTGTAATAGGATCGCAGACCCAAAGATTGTTGGTGTCACCCCCAGCGACAAAGAAGTTGCTGTCAGGGCTGAAGCATGCGGCGCGCAGGTAGCAGGTGTCATCCTCCTCATCATCAATGGTAATACTTCCAACATCCCTTCCTCTCGATAGATCATAGATGCGAGCAAGCCTCAGGCTACACACTGCAAGGTACTTGCCGTCTCCACTGAATGTAACAAATGTAACGCTCGCTGAGACGACAAAGTCATGCATCAGGTCAACATCAATAACTCCTGGCACACTTGGGTTCCACACCGCGTACCAGTCCGGACCAACCTTGTTTCTTCCAGAATTGTCTATCATAGAGCTGTCTACCCTTTGTGATGCAAGTAACATGTGAGCCGTGGCTGCGTCTCCTCTCATAGCAGCCTTGTATATGGCTTGGTCAATAGGAAACTCGCACATCTTCAGTAAATCACGGGCCAAATTGTGATCGCCACGCTTGCCAAGGAAGAGCAGCAATTCTTCGCCAAATCTCGGGTCGAATTCAAACAATGCCGCGGCCTCGGATGAATGACCATGCTCAATGGCAAGCTGCACAGGGCTCCCATCAAAGGTTCCGTCAGGATCCGGGTACATTTTGCCGCTGTCGATCAACAAGCGAATGACCTCAATATGGCCGCGCTCAGCTGCCACATGTAGAGGGGTGCGCCCCCTGATCAGGCCTAATTTCAGATCGGCTAATGAGGTTGTCGTGTTCGACTCTATTATCTCCCGGATTGAACCGGTGTAACCCATCTCCGCGGCGAAAAACAGAGCAGATTGTATCTCCCTCGCATGAAGGCGCTCTCTGGTGTTGTTCAGAACGCTTCTTAGGATTTTCGGATTCCCAGTTTCCGTTGCAGCCTTCAGTACAGAGCCCGGCCATTCCTCCCCAGTGCGTGATCTGCAGGGGACACCTACCACATCGATCAGATAGCGGACAATATCCTCTTTCCGATGTCGAATGGCAGCCAACAGCGTAGCTGTTGGCCTAGTAGGTGGGTAGCTTGCATTGGCGCCGTGCCTTACTAGAATGTCACAGACAGCAAGGTGGCCGTTCATCGCGGCGAGGAAGAGGGGCGTCTGCCCTCTTTTCTTCGGAGAAGTGGAGTGATTGACGTCTGCTCCGTTATCTATAAATTTCTGCACCGCTTTCAAATCGCCTCGTTCTGCTGCATTGCATAATGTATCACGCTTCCGTTCTCGGGGCTGTGGAAAGGTAACCCCCCCAACGTTCAGAGCCGGAGAATGATACTGTCGGACATGTCGGTCTAGACTCGTCTTCGTGTCAAAGCCAAGCTCACGAAGGGGGCAATCGTTGTCAGGGCAGCTAAAAGGGTTCTCATGTCTATTGACGTGACGGTTTCGTTCTGGAAGTGTGTCAAAACCGTGCTGAAAATTCATGCACCAGGCTTTAGGGCATTTGAAGCTTGCTGGCCCGTAAAGAGTATCAAGACTCCGTTTCTCTGTGTCCGGCAGCAGTCCATGGTTGTGGACATCTTCGATTATTGCTCTGATAGCTATTATTCGCTGTTGTATGCTAAGCATCGAGTATCTTATGGCCGGAATCTCCGGCAAGTGACGGATAAACTCGGCCAGGTTGCTGGGACGATCTGTGCCATATATTTTCTTGATTTCACAAGGTATCCCGTATTCGTCGATGAAGTCTCGTATGGCCTGCACTGAATCATTGCGGTTCTCTTCGGAGTTGGTCAGGCACTCGGACGCTCCAATCAAGTGTCCAAGTAGACTTGAACTACTGTAATCCAGTAGTGCGTAATATCCTGAGTGGAAGTATTGCTGGATTTGATCGCGATCTGCCCTCTCCTTGAATGGAGTAGACTGTAGATACTTGCAGCAGAAAAGGGCAATCCGATTATGCTCGGAGCCAAGGTCTATGATTTTGGCGCTGACAAGGTAGCTTGTGGTGATTAGCACCCATTCTGAAACCGTAAGGACAAGGTACTAACTCTCGTGCTGTGCTATGAACTAAAACAACGGTTGCTTCAGTGGGCCCTCTCTTTTTTGCAAAATGCAAATCAACAAATGAGCTACAGAACCGTTTGCAGCTAGCCCTCAGGCTGTCTTCCTCGGGTTGTGCGACGCTTCTTTCTGGGTGAATGAAGAATGTAGCTTGAAGTTCCCGCCACTTCAATGGGCGTGTTGCACACACTACCCAGCGTAAGATCTGCAAGGCAGTGTCTTTCTGCTTTGGGGAAACTTTATGAAGCACTGATGATTCAACACGGCGATATCTTTTCACTGTATGAGCTCCCAAGCGATCAAGTAATGACATTGAGGTAGGCCTTAGAAGGCCCTGTACTTACGCGGCATCTAGTCCGTCCGGAAATACGCCGGGTGCAAGTTCATTCTCCAAGTCTCGGCGCGTGTATTGGACAATCAGATTGTCCATGACTACTTTCGCGTACAGGAACATGCCTGTAAGTGTTTATGTAATTCAGTGGTGGGAAAAGGTGATATAGTGGGGTAGCATACCATTCGCAACTTCGGAAACCTTAGTAATTATTCTTTCCTGTATGTCAGCACTTAGATTCATGTTGTCAGAAATCCTCTGCACCATGTCTCGAATATACAACCTTATGTCATCTTTATGACACTGCTGGTTATCCATGGAGATATCATGTGCGGAAGACAACATTCTCTCCAATAGATCCGTTCGTTGACCAACGCATAGTAGACGTATGTGGCCATCAGTCCCTGGCGAAGTCTTTTTCTGACGTGAGAGAAGCCAGGACAATGTCTTTTCTGTTTCGCAATCATCACATTCATCTAGCCCATCTAGAACCACGTACAAGGTACGTTGGCTACTGAATGCAATATCCGCGGCTTCCTTGATGACACTAGCTGACCCGAACCTTCTTCTATCATAGCCTGTATACTTCTCGCAGAAGAACACAGCAAGGGCTGGGTCCTTGCTAAGCAGCTGAGCTATCAATCCGCGAAGAATATCGATAAAGGTATGCTTGTCCTCTTGGTGATGGCTGCAGTAGAAGAAGAGAACAGGGTTTGATTCCTCTTCACTGAGAGTTTCAACGATTCGGGATGCTAGAGTTGACTTCCCTTTCGTATAATTAGAAATATCATTGCAGATATCATTGCATAAGCTGACGGTGACACACCTGCTCCGGGAATACCATGGATATATAATAGTGGGTTGGATCCTTCAAGCACTTCACGCCACTGCTGAAATATCTTGTCGTTGAATACCCAATTACCGGACTCAGCATTGTGTCGACACTCGGACATGTTATCCTGATCGATATAAGAGTTCGGCGCATCAATTTTGTCAAGCATAGTGTTGAGTCGCAATTCATGGAATCGAGCTGCCTCGTCATCACGCAGCATTTGGATCTCTTGAACCGCCAGCGTGCTCTTTTCGCTTTCAATAAAGTCCTTGTGGCGCTCCAGGCTATCAAGGATCCGTCTGAACTGTGAATTGAATGTCTTCCAGGAAGAATGGAATAATTGCTTCCACTCTTTTGATAGCATCAGCGCAGGTTGGCATCAGGCTGTATGCCACAATTATAGGATCTTACTTGGTCTTGTGAGGAACTTCAAAGCATGAAAATGGAAATCCAGCACGTCACAGTACCACTTTTCTAGAGTGCTTAACATTCCTGGATTTCTCTCAAACACGAGTTGGTACTGTAGGAAGGAAGGGGCTCGCTCGCCGATGTCTTCATACGCGCTGAGCAAAATCTCCAACGAGTCACTCCATGAGCTGGCAACCTGAAGAACAAATTTGATCGGACCCTAAAAGAACAGGATATAAGCCTCTATTAGTGTAGTAGTTCTCAAGACATACCCAGATATAAGCGACAAATGGACTGCAGTTCAGGAAGACTTCGATCACTTTCCCGTACTCATTCATCGCCTCGAGAAATCTCTGAACCCGCCCCATGCTTTGCAGCTGCTTTTTGGAGCCATGCTCTCTCTGGATCCTCTCAATAGCATCTTCGACATGCGCGTACTCAGTGACCGCGAACTCTGCTCGCTGGCTGTCGGACATGCTTTTTAAAAACCTGTCTAGGGCCCTTTGGAACGCGATGCTAGGTTGTCGTTGCGTAACCGAAGACATTATTAGTCCCGTCTCATATCATTCGGAAGGTCCGTATCTCAAGGCAGTTGAAAATTTTGGCCTGGTGAAGTTTTCCAGGCCAAGCCGAGAAAGGCTATGAGTGGAGTTTGTTCGTCTGTCCTGCAAGAGCAGTCAACTTCGTGATCAGAGCCTTGTCCATGCATACCCCAGTTATTATGGGCCAATAATGATGATTATCAGCAGGTGGATGAAGCTCGTGCAGGAGAAATACGAATGAGACTTACATATTGCACTGCCACTTGAATGCCCAATGCCCAAATCTGCCCTGTCGTACTGCCTCGATGAGGCGTTTCCTCGGCACTTCTCCTCGTTGAGGCGCAGGCGATAAATCATCATGCCATCTTTGCCGATACTTCTCCGTTCTCAGTACATGATCCTTTCGACAGCCTTCTGTACAGTTTCGAGCGGCTGGATCACTTTTCTCGTCCCGAATGAACAACCTCAAGCGTCGTTGGGATCCTGGCCAGGATGTAGTAAATGGCCAATTCGCTCCCTGCAGTAAGATACCTAGATTAGAGTACGTATCACTTGGGTTCCGATCAACCGAAGCAGGGTTCGCCATCCGTGCTCGAGCTAATGGTTTCTTGGGAAGACCGCCAGATCTCGCCGATTACCTAGATATTTCCTCAGAAACGAACTATGCTCCCCTGACCCCGGAGAACCGTGTTCAGAATGACGACGTGGTTTGCTATGGCGCGGTAAGATGACATATGGCGAGAGGGAATCATATGGCCACACACTGATGTGATTTCAGTTGTATGAGGGTCGAGTCTCCCACCGCGGGAGAAAGGCATCCTTTCAGAAGTTTTGTAGATCGGCTGGTTCCTTGGAACGCTTCTCGGTCTCACGGAAGCATGAAAGTTGTTTCACAATCAAAGACCAGGCCCAGAATGACTTCGCTGTTCTCGACATGGCGACTGCTACCGCACTCGATGGCTTGGAAGGACTCGAGAATATAACCTTTCAAGCTGTTCCGCAACCACTTATAGGAAATCAACCCAGCCCAAGTCAAATTATTGACGTCTCGATCAACATATACGGCCCCATGCGGCACTATCGGGAAGTTGGGTCTCGGCTTTCAAGACTAAAATACAATCTTCAGCATCCAGATGCGATCGATTCCGGTGTCCGATATGACAACCCTCATTATTTCAAGCGCTCATCTACACATCTAGAGATGCAGCAGTTCATAGGGCCGGTTTATAATGTGGAGCGAACCCTGCAGTCTGTTTACTCCGAAGTGAAAAGACTCCTGGACACGCTTGACGCTGTTGACTCGGCAGGCGATATCCCAGCCACGGAGAAACTTCTGACACCTCTTCTCGCGTAAGTGGCTTACTCTGTCTAGACCAACTTAGCAACCTAATCCAATTAGGCATCAACAAACTGCTGTCAAGTTCATCCGAAGTAGAGAGGATTTCGAGAAAGCAAGGGAATGGTATCAGCTAACAGAAAGCCCAAGGTATGCCCACGTCTCGAAGCCTCACGATCTAATAATCACATTGGCAGTCTCCAAATTCCCTTCGGTGGCTCGCAAAATGACCGGCTAAAACAGTCAACCGGTGGCATTATAGCGGATACTATGGGCCTGGGCAAGACATTCACAATGCTAAGTGCCATTGTGCTTTCATTGGAGGAGGCTGCTGAATTCATGCAGTCCACTGACCGCTGCTTTGAAGGCAACCACTGTGTGATTCCAACTAAGTCTACACTCGTCATTGTACCATCGACACGTATGTTCCCTTCTTATAACGTTCCTATCGCCGTCAATAATCTGAATATGGAAGAACTCTTCGATGTCTGGATATCAGAAATGGAGTGGTAATCGACTATCCCTTGTGAATCACTTCCATGGAAGCTAATGTCTGCTCTAGTCATATTGCCCCTAATTCGATGCGCCTTTTGATATTCCACGGCCCCCAGAAGAAACTCGATGCGAAGGATTATCTAACGTCGGATATTGTGTTGACCACGTACTCGACACTGGCAAGCGATTGTCAGACCATTGGCATTTTGCGTAGACTGAAATGGTTCCGGATAGTATTGGATGAAGGCGAGTCTCCCAATGTACATCCTGGGCCCTGACCCTACATCTAACTATCAAACCAGCTCACTGGATTCGAACGCCCGCTAGCAAGCAGTTCCGTGCGGTCACACAACTGCAAGCGTGTCGCCGATGGTGTCTGACAGGCACGCCAATCCAGAACAAACTCGAGGACCTCGGCGCTCTCGTGGCCTTTCTCAAAACTCCGCCGTTTGATGATAGATCTCAGACGAGATTTAAGCAGCACATTATTGATCCACTATTCTCGGGTATGAAGGATCCAAGTCAGAATTTGCGACTGCTCCTCCAGTCTCTATGTTTGAGGAGAACCAAGCATAGCAGCCAAAACATAACTGTAAACACAGAGTTAATCAAACTCTCATTATCCGCAGCGGAAAGAACTGCGTATGATGAAATTCTGGAAAAAACAAAGCAAGAAATGGATCACCTGGTCAGTTCCAATCTCGGAGCACGCAAGTATACCAAGCTCTTCACGGCCATGCATCTACTACGCGTGTTATGTGTCCAAGGTACTGCTTGTCGAAGCTGGAACTCTCGGTCATCTTCCCCTACTCAGCCGTTTGAAATAAATGGCTCCGAACCGCGCTGCGAAATATGTGACGATGAGTTCACCCAGTCGTTCAAGGCCGAGTGTTCGTTCTGTCCGGGTTGCTCTCGACTCCTATCCGATCCTCCCAGTAGTGGTGGGTATTTTCCCGGACACCTGATGCTGGACTCGACTGGCGCTCACCAAACTCCACTGTCACCGTCGTCGTACTCTTCTTTGTCACCCAGCACGGAACCTACGCTGTCAACAAAGCTGCAAAGCTTGCTGAATAACTTAATACAGCATGCTTCTTTATCGAAGAGGTATAGATATCATATCCCTTCATGAATATCGCCGAGCTGGAGCAGTCACTAACTCGGCAGTATCGTTTTCTCCGCGTGGACAAAAACACTCGACATTTTGTGCATGAAACTGGAAGAGCTGGGGCTCAACCACGTGCGAATCGACGGCGACGTGAGCAGATTAGATCGAACTCGGCGCCTCCACGATTTTCAAACGTCGCCGTCGATCCCAATCCTACTTATGACATACGGCACAGGCGCAGTGGGGTATATATAGCCCAGATTTTTGAACTACCGAGCGACATACGATGCTAACAAGTCTCTTTTCCAGATTGAATCTTACTGCCGCAAACCGGATCCATATCCTTGAACCGCAATGGAACCCTTCGGTTGAAGAGCAGGCTATCGGCAGAGCTGTTCGGCTCGGTCAATCAAGAGAGGTGACGGTGGTGAAATACGTGGCCGAGCGCACTGTAGAAGAGGTGTGACACATCAAAGCCATAGCATAACTTTACAGACGCACGTAACTGACCACTTTCAGAACATCCTCGCAGTGCAAAGAAATAAACAGCAATTAGCTAGCTTAACTCTTGCAGGTGACTCGATTGAGTCTTTGTCGAATCGAACAGAGGTAAGTTCACCACAGTTGCCATTTTCAACCACTAAATTTCATAGGAGTTAAAACGGATCTTGTTTATTTCAAGATGAGGTCCCGGTGGCTGGTGAAAGGGAGATTGATCTTTCTCTATATAATACTGTACAAGTAAAAGAATTGATATTATCGGTAGACATATTCTAGGAGAATAGATACTAACTGTGTCTTCAATCCTTCTATAGACAAACACCACAGAGTGGTTCTAAGATATGACAAGATAGTCTCTAGGGAGGCTACTTGCTAGGGTCCAAGCATGTCGAGAGTATATATTCAGACGAGATCGACCAACTAAAGCCGAACTATCAGGATAGAAAGGGCAATTTTAACAAGTTATCAGAATAATCCTTTCTCACACCTTAATCTCTTGAATATATAGATAGCCCGGAACAAGTTATTCTGTAAACATTGGTTAACATCGTACATGACATTTAAGCTCAGTAATTTTGAGGAAACATTGATTTGAATCTCCTAATCAACCTTTTCATGGCAGATTATACCATACTTCTGGGACTTTTTAAATGAGTTTCAACTTGCTTACCTGCACATAGGAAATCCGTTTCCAAGATTTCCTTAACCCTAACCTACTGGGGCCGCATTATAGAGAGAGTAAAAGAAGTGTGTATTCCGTTATGAGGCCTGCCCTCTAAGAGGCTTGTATACAATCTGATGGCCTAAGGCAACAAAACAACCGCTAGTACTAAAGAGAAAAAGATTATAATCTCCCTGAATCACCCTGCTTCATTAGTGTAATATATATTTTTTTGCTTCTCTGTTTTTGTTCGGTGTCTGAAGCCGGGCGGCTGTTTTATTACAGCAATATTATATATTGTAAGTAGGTAGAACTCTTAGCGCGGAGTGTAGGTTTAGTTATTTTAGAGAAGATGTATATATTCCAGAAGATAGTCACTAGCTTGTACAGCACCACAACATTCTTACTGCTTACATGTATCACAGAACACCAGGATAAGTGAAAGCGGTTTATAACCGGACTATCAGGTAACCAGGAAGCTAAGCAAGTTGGTTTTTTATCGCGCCACAAAACCGTCTTTTTCATCCCGCTCCTTACCGTATGAAACTTCCCATCCTGTCAACAATCCTGCTCCTTGAAACATGGCCGACACACCTGAAGGCATCGTTGAATACGCCTACGACAACATTACAGAATGGTACCTGCAATGGGTGCAGAGCCAGAAGTCGCCGCGACAACGATACACCAAGCTGCTCCTAGACAAGCTGCAACCATCCCCCTCCATTCTCGAGCTTGGCTGCGGGCCCGGCGTTCCGATTGTGCAAATGCTTCTCGATCACGGCGCCCAAGTGGTCGCAAACGACATCTCAACCAAGCAGATTGAGATGGCCAAGGCGCGCTGCCCCGGCGCTAAGCTGGTGGCGGGCGACATGACGGCGCTGACATTCGAGCCCGCGAGCTTCGACGGTGTAATCAGCTTCTATACGCTGTTCCACCTTCCACGGTCCAAGCTCAAGGACATGCTCGCCAAAATCCATGGGTGGTTGAAGCCCGGGGGGATCTTCGTTTTTAATCTGGCGACGATCGATGAAGAGGAAATCCATGGCGAGTTCCTCGGGTATGGAATGTTCTGGAGCAGCTACGGCGTGGACGAGAATCGAGCAATACTATCGGACGTCGGGTTTGATGTATTGCAGGTAGAAGTCTTGCACGCCGGTGATGGGAAGTTGGAGGAGGGCGATCCTGACTTTGATGCCGAGTTTATGTGGGTGATGGTGCGAAAGAGAGAACCTCCGACGTAGGAGCTGCAATCCTGCGGCTGCTTCTCTCGTGGCTGGATAGATGGACGATTTAGATCAAGATCATATCCTGCACCGGACCAGTCCGATGCCCAACGCTCTTTAAGCGAGGAATGAGCCGGAGATCCGAAGATTGCCAGCATAGCCCCATCCCTCCGAGCATCTGGGATGGGATATGGAGACTAGGGATATCTAGGAAGATGCTGAGTGCTTCCTGCTGTCGGAATATGATTGGGACATGGCTGATGTCTAAGACAAGACGCCTAACATTCATTTTGGATTGGTGCTCATCCTCATCCTGTGTGTCCGGGAACTATGTCGGAGATGCAGAACCGAATTGTACACTTCGTCATACACAGCCAGGATTATATACCCTATCTAACAATGCATCTTCTACTTGTACACTATCTGCGTGAGACAACCGAACCCCGCCTGATATGCCGTTCGTTCTCCACCCAGCACACCATGACCGACGATCGTCCTGCTATTGCGTCAGTCTGCGTTCGTGGAGGGGTTTACTGATTCTCCCCATGTTCAGGAAGGTAGATTTCCATCGATTCTACCTGTAAGTACTATAGAATCACAATCGATAAGATGGATCCCAACGACACCAGACAGGACCGGGCCAGGGTGAGTATACCACCTAGTGTACTACACAAGTCTATACACCCAATACTGACTGTATATACAGTCCACCGACGCCTTCAGACATCCTTCACCCAGCTGGCCACCCGAACGCAACACTTCCAGAGACGGCTCTAATACCCGCAGCCGCCGCGACGCCCGCCGTCGCAGCTGGGCCGTCTCGCGACGCAGTGGCAGCGGCCTACCAAGTCTCACCCGGCGCAGCTCGCTCGCCTCCCGACTCAACGGCAAGTTCACGGTCGCCGGCCCAGACGAAACGCCGCAGATGTGTCTGGCGCACGAGCCCTTCGTGCAGCCCGGTTACGCCGACCTGAACCCGTCGTACGAGCAGGCCTCCAACGCCAAACCGGTCTGGAGTCTGGCCAAGCCGCTGCCGCGCGTCGTGCGCTCGGGCATGGTGCCCACGAAAGACGAGCTGCTGCAGGCGCGGGCGAAAGCGCAGAACTCCCGGCGACTGGGGGTGGAGGTGGACCCGACCGACCTGGAGCGAGGGCAGATTAACCCGTCGCTCAACCCGCGCAAGATCGTGGCGCAGGTCGAGGATGCGCGCGTGCAGCGGGAGAGCAATCTCGCGCGGAAGATCCTGAGCAGTGAAGCATCGTCGATGCGGTTGTCGGAGTCGCTGAAGCGCGCGTCTACATGGGGTGCGCCGGGCCAGCTGCCCCGAGTGGAAGAAGGGGAGGCGCTGACGGATAGCGACGCCGGCCAGGACGACGCACTGTCCGAGCAGAGCGACGCTGGTGAAGCTGATCCGCTCCTCGAAGCAGGCGACCCGCTCGACCTCCCTCCCATCGACGAAAAAGCGTGTCCGGACGACCTCGACCCCCTCGTCCAGGATCTGGTGGAGCACGAAGTGCACAACCACCACACGACGTGGTCGGTGATCCGCACGGCGCACCGCGAAGCCCTCGCGGAATGTCTCGCCGTCTTCGTGCAGCTCACCGTCGGCTTCTGCGCCGACCTGGCCGTCACGCTCGCCGACGCAGGGAACCCCAACACGACCGCCTGGGCCTGGGGCCTGGCCACCATGATGGCGATCTACATCTCGGGCGGCGTGTCGGGCGCGCACCTCAACCCGGCCGTCACCGTGATGCTGTGGTTCTACCGCGGGTTCCCCAACCGCAAGATGCCAGGGTACTTCGTGGCGCAATTCGGCGGCGCCTTCTTCGCCGCGCTGGTCGCCTACGGCGTCTACTACCACTCGATCCAGTACCACCGCACGACCAGCCTCGCCGACACGGGCATCATCGACAGCTTCGTGACCAGCCAGCGCGCGCCGTGGGTGACGCCCGCGGCGGCGTTTGTCAACGAGTTCGTCGGCACGGCCATCCTCGCCGTCGCGATCCTGGCGCTGGGCGACGACCAGAACGCGCCGCCGGGCGCCGGCATGAACGCCCTCATTGTCGGCCTCGTCATCACCTGTCTCGGCCTCACCTTTGCCTACCAGACGGGTGGCGCGCTCAATCCCAGCCGCGACTTTGGCCCGCGTCTGGCGCTACTCGTGCTGGGCTATGGCAGCGATCTGTTCCGGAACCCGTACTGGCTATACGGCCCGTGGGCGGCGGCCATCAGCGGCGCGTTCACAGGGGCGTTCCTGTACGACTTTATGATCTTCACGGGGGGCGAGTCGCCGGTCAACTATCCGGTCGAGCGGACCAAGCGGGCGATGAAGAAGAGTCGGCGGAGGTGGGAGCGGGCGTTGCAGAAGGCGTTTTAATGAATACAATAGCAAGACAAGATAAGTGCTTAGATGAGCAGGGAAAAGATATCAGCAGTGCGTAGCAAATCAGCACCAAGTGCTACACTAGCTGCAGTTCATGTGATTCAATCAGCCGCCCCGCGCAAGTGATCAATCTGACTGTCCTTCCTGTCTTCCTGTCTCCCTCCATCATTCATACAACACTCTCCCAATCATGGACACCCTCCCTCGCATCGCCTGCTTCCACGGCGGCGGCTCGACCGCCTCCATCTACGAGATCCAATGTTCGACGCTCGCGCAGCGCCTACAGAACCACTTCGAGCTGGTCTACTTCGAGGGCCCCTTCATCCGCAACGCGGGGCCAGGCGTCCTCCCCGCCTTCGCCGACCACGGCCCCTACAAGTCCTGGTTCACGCACGACGCGGACGGGCACGAGCGCGACGACGGCAGCGGATCCGGGGCGGGCGCGCAGGACGGGGTGGAGCGCGTGTGGCGGCTGATGGAGACGGCCGGGCCCGGCGGCGAGTGGGTGGGTGCGATGGGCTTCAGCCAGGGCAGCCGGGTCGTGGGCGGGCTGCTCCTCGATCAGCAGCGACGGGAGCGGCTGGGGCAGACGGGGACGACGCGCATCCGGCTGCGGTTTGGGGTGTGCTGTATGGGGGCGGGGGCGCCGATGCAGTCGCGCATTGCGCAGGGTATGTGTCTGGGAAGGGGATATAGTATGGGAATGCGCTAACGGGTGCAGAGTTGGATGTGAAGGATAGAGCGAGCGAACGGGTGCGCATCCCGACGCTGCATGTGCATGGGCTGAAGGATATGTTTCTGCCGCTGGGGCGTCAGCAGTACGAGAATTACTATGAGAGGGCGACGGCAACGCTGTACGAGGTCAACTATCACCATGCGATGCCGTGGTATAAACACGAGGTCGAGAAACTGGCGGAGCTGATTCAGAAGATTGATCTGGAGACGCGGGTTGTGTGATAGACGGCATACAGAATAGATATAGAATGAGCAGAGTTGAGTCTCTAGACGAGCTGATTAATGATCGTGGAGCATAGCATGGCCACAGCCAATAAGTATGGCATCTGTCTGAAAACATTGAAAACATGAAAACACTGAAAACATCGTAGGGCCGGCCCTAATTCTGCCCCTATTTCAAGCCGAACACACCGTCGCAGACGATCCAAGTTGCAACTCTCTGGTGTTGCATCTCATGGTCCTAGAAAGGTATGTATCTCTGTTGCTTCTTGTTGTATACTTCATTCTCCTTCTCTGGTGATGACCCCAACCCTTTTTGTTCTCTTAAGATTCACTCATGGTGAAAAACCTTTCCTTTCAAGACGGGTCTCTGATATTGCAACCTCCATCTTGTCTCGTTCTATGCATATTGGAGTGGTGGCTGACAATCTGACATTCCAGTATACAATAGAATCCAACCCTTGACCACGATATCCAATCATACTGGCTGCTGGCACGGTCGGAACATGACACCGACGGAATAGATACCCCGAGATAGACAGCAATGCATATCATGTACCATCGTCGCTTAACCAGACACATGCAGGGGATACGCTCCTGATTCATTTACACGGCTTATATCGTAATGGCGCACTGTTCGCCGATGACGTGTTCGGATAGATACATCCGCCCGAACTCCGTCCATAGAGCCGTACATATACCACAGTGCACCTAGGTACCTAGCTGCTGTACCACACCGTCGTATTCCACACCCAAACAACATGAAAGTCATTCTCACAGGTTGCACAGGCTTCATTGGCAACGAAGTCCTCAATCAATGCCTGCAGAACCCCTCCATCACCGCCGTGGTGGTGCTCTCGCGCCGGGCGCTTGATATCCGCGAGTCCGACCACCCCAAGCTAACCGTGCGCATCATCGACAACTTCCTGAGTTATCCCGAGCCGCTGCTGCAGGATCTCGATGGAGCACAGGCCTGCATCTGGTAATGCCGCCGGCTCTCTGCGTAACATGGCTTACACCGATAGGACCCTCGGGAAAGCGGTGATGACGGACATGGACCTGGCCCGGGAGATCCATGTGGACTATCCGCTCGCCGCAGCCAAGGCATTCGACACGGCATTCGGCGCGAAAATGCCGGCCGGCAAGAAATTCCGGTTCATCTTCTGCAGCGGAGTACTTGCGGAGCGAGACCAAAATAAATCGCTCTGGATGGCGGGCGAGTATCGGCGCATAAGGGTATGTCTCCCGATCGTTGACGGAAGCGACTGACCATGTATGAAGGGCATGGCTGAGAATGAGCTGGTCGCCTATGCGAAGGAGCATAGCGGGACCTTTGAGGCGTACATCGTTCGACCGGGCATGGTCGTGTCGTCGGATGCATATCTCAAATACATGGTCTTTGGTCTGTTCTCTGCGATCAAGGTCGATGCACTGGGTAGCGTGATGATCGAGACTGCACTGAACGGCAGGGAGAAGCAGATTTTCGAGAATTCCGATATGATCAAATAATCTTCACTTTATGTATGTAATAAATAATCTTGCTTTTACACAGTATCTTTCTCACTCAACTCTCGATGTCGATCAATGATGTTCAAATTCCAGCCACTGCCTTCGGCCTTGTTCTCAACTGGACAGCCGTGTTGAATATACCGCGTTGCCTTCTTGACCAGTTCAAACAGTTGAGAACTTCAGGTTGCCTGATAAGTATGATAAATCCTCACATCCTATCTTATGTCTTATTAGGGAGCATCTAGTGCAGTCTTACGGCAGCTCCACCAGGCGTGCACAATCCATGGTGATTTCATCCATTTGCATATAAGGGACCCTGATCTTCTCGAGAAGTAGTTCTTACAGTGCAGTTCCCCGGTGGGCTGGATTCAGACGCAGTGGCCTACTTTCATATTTCGATTGCATACGGATCGATATCGTTCGAGACAATGTTAGATTCATCACAACTGTTGCTGCATTTGACGCCACACATCACTCTAAGGCTTAAGCCAATCCATCCCCCTCTTGCATGCGAACATCCGAGTCTCATATGTACCCTCTGTACCGTCCTAGGAGTATCTTAATCCCTTGTGGGACACAGCCCAAACCCCAACACACCTATTAAACCCCAGTAGGTGACACTAGTCACGCACAAGAAGGCCGAGGCCGTTTGCATCTCGCCTAGGGGAGGTACTATTGAAGCAGCTTGTTTGGATATACTGTTCAAGTGACAGCCAGCTACGCTACACATGGAGCCACATCGGTCCAAACTTCTCTTATGCATTGCTCCTGCTATCCGTTCCGTATGGCTGATCCACCTATCTTCCCATGCTATGAATCCATATCCACGGCAAGCGACTCCACAACTCTCACAAGACTATGAACGTCGCCCACTGCCTCAGCCATCCCCGCCATGTTTACAGACACAATTTCCTTCTCCCCCTCCACCCTCCCATCGAACTACTCACCTCCCCCGCGAGCCCAGCAGATCCCCCCTCGCGATGCAGATATCATCATCGTAGGCGGCGGCGTAGCCGGGTGTTCTGCGGCGGTGGCATTCGGGAAACAAGGCCGGCGGGTGCTTCTGTTTGAAAAGAGCCTGAAAGAGCCGGACAGAGTGTCGGGGGAGCTGCTTCAGCCGGGGGGTGTAAAGGCCCTGAACAGACTGGGGTTGGGCAGTGAGTGCCCCGATTCTCGTGCCTGGACTGCCAGCTAATCGCAGCAGCCTGCCTCGAAGGCATCGACGCCGTGCCCTGCTACGGCTACTGGGTCTCGTACAAGGGTGAATCCGCCCAGATCCCCTATCCCGAGAGGGCGGATAGGCCTGGGACCCGCGAGGAGGGCCGCTCGTTTCGGCACGGCAAGTTCGTGCAGAAGCTGCGGCAGGAGGCGATGAACACGGCGAATGTCACCGTCATCGAAAGCAAAGTCAAGGACGTGATCCGCGACTGGACGGGGGCTAGGGTGCTGGGAGTGATCACAGAGGCAGCGAGCGGAGAGAGAAAGTATCGCCACGTAAGTCTGCGTACATCCTTCATGAGACGACACTGACGAGTGCAGTTTTTCGCCAGCCTGGTCCTGATCTCCGACGGCTACGCGTCGACATTCCGCAAGAGATTCCTCCCGAATAAACCGTCGATTCGATCCAAGTTCTGGGCGCTCAAGCTCGAACGCGCCGAGCTTCCCTGCTCAAACTACGGCCACGTCGTGTTGTCGAACCACCCGCCCATCCTCCTGTACAAGATCGACGACACCACGACCCGCATCTTCATCGACGTGCCGACCGGCCTGCCGTCGGCGAGCCCCAAGGCCGGCGGCATACGGGCACACATGCTGAACGTGGTGCTGCCGGTGCTCCCGCCGCGCTGTCAGCAGAGCTTTCGCGAAGCTGTGGACCGGGGGAAGTTTCTCAGCATGCCGAACTGCTACCTGGCGGACTCGGAGCAGACGACCCCGGCGTTGCTGATTCTGGGCGACGCCATGAACATGCGCCATCCGCTGACCGGGGCGGGCATGACGGTCGCATTGAAGGACGTTCTCCTCATCTCGGAGCTGCTGTCGCCGGAGAATGTGCCCTCGCTCGAGGATACAGACGCCGTGCTGAAGGTGGTTAAGAAGTTCCACTGGGTGCGCAAGTCCAGCGCCAGCGTCATCAACATCCTCGCCATGTCGCTGTATCCGATCTGCGCGGCGAACGACCCGACGCTGAACGTGCTCAAGAACGGCTTGTTCCGGTACTTCCAGCGCGGCGGGCGGGCGGTCGAGGAGTCGTGCGGGATGCTGGCTGGGCTGGTTGATAACCTGGCGGTCTTGGAGAAGCATGTGCTCGCCGTGCTGTTTTATTCCATCTGGCTGCGACTGTGCGAGGTGCCGCTGTGGAAGAAGCCGTGGGTTCTGGGCGTGGAAGCGTTTGTGGTGTTGTGGCAGACGATTGTGCTGCTGGGGCCGTATCTGGACTGGGAGATTCGGGGGTAGCTAGTGTATATTCATAGATCGTTTTCATTTTTCATGTTGTATGTTACCATGTCATCCTCCTGAATCTACCGTCTCATGGTATACCCAGCAATCCCCACGCCCACAACAGCAACAATCCCCGCCCATCGAGCCAGAGCGCGCTGGATATGGTATTTGGCAGTTCGCTCGATAGCCTCAGAGTCATTCATATGTGGGAATGCCACGTCAGGGACATCGCTCCCCAACGCCCTGCACAACGGCCCCCAGCCATCGTTCACATCGTAGAACACCAGACGCTCCACAGGCACAATCTCCTTCAACCACGCAACATGCCTCGCATACGTCTCTTCATTCAGCAAAACACCCCCGGTGGCCTCTGCATTACGGCAGACGATCGCGTCACCGCGCACCTCATCCACATACTGCTCCCCCCACTGATCAGTCAACAACCACAGATAATCAACAAACTTCCTCAACCGCGGCAGCGGCAGCAGCAGCACCTTCAGAAACCACAGGGACGTATACCCGTGCACCTGGTTCATGCTCTTCGCCCATGAGTCAGGGTCGCGCACGGTGCAGATCACCTTGGCGTTGGGGTACAGCTGCATTAATTCTGGAACCAGCTGCGAGCCGGGGGCGTCGGCGATCGCGACGAACCCGTCCAGGCGCTGCTGGATGAGCGGGAGGACCATGGCTCTGTCTTTTGGGTTAGGGGATCGCCGGCAGGTTAGGATCTGCATCCATGCTTCGATGTCGCCGGCGGCACCGAGGGTTGTTTGCGTCCCGCAGTGGTATACCGGGCCGTCGAGGAGGATTTCGAGCGCGGCGCTGAGCGATGCGGTGCCTGTTCGGGGGAGACCGGCGCCGATGACCTGGAGTTTTGCGTGGGGTCTGGGGGTGGAGGCGGTTTGGCCCATTGTGAGTGGGAGATTTGTTGAACCAGGTGATTCTGTAGGGGTGGCTGCTTTATGTCTTGTTGCCAGTGGTAGTGCTTACGGGCGACTTGCGGCACAAGTGATCTGCATTGGCATGTTGAGTTGGCAGTGTTGGAAATCCAACTGGTTAGCTGTCAGGATGGTAGTTTCGCCCCATGCGTTAAGGACAGGCTGTGCATAGCCACAAGCTGGGCATTGATTGCATTATCAGTGAGTAGTAGTGCATTCACCTAGACGGACAAAGCTGCGTTATACTTAAAGCATAGTATATATGACCAAACACACTGTGATATCAACTGCACCTAACTAAACCCCAGCTACACTCCCCACAGCATCAACAACCCCCTCCATCCCAGCCCTAAGCACCTCCTTGGTAACCACCATCCCAACCATCCCCGTAACAACCACCAACTCGACAAACCGCTCCTCACACGGCACCAGCACCTCCAACCTTCTCTCCCCGCCAGCAATACCCCTCACCACCGCAATCACCCTCCCTTCGGAATCCCGCATCTCCAACGAGCTCGCCGTCATCTGATTGAGATGCCACTTGAAACTCCCCCACCGCCCCGTCTCAACAGTAAAACTCCCAGACAGCTTGCTCTGCTTCATGCGCACCGCCTCGCCGCGCAGGGCGACGTCCGTCGTGGACGAGAACGAGTGGAAGCGCGCGTCGCCGATGGGCGGGCTGGTGTGTGGCATGCCGCGGTAGACGAGCACGTTTGGTTTGGTGGTTTTGTTCACTGTGACTGAGAATGCCGGGGGTGTAGTTGTTGGGTAGCCGGCTGGGTGGAGGAGGGTGGTGGCTCGGTCTGTAGGGGAGGTGTGTAGGGCGTAGACCCTTGTGCTTGGGAGGGCTGTTGCTTGGGTCTGGGGGGAGAAGGAGGAGGAGATGGGGAGGAGGCGGGTGAAGAGGTCGGCCATTTCTTATCTTGTCTTGTTCTTTGTAGTGCGTATAGATGAGGATGTTCTGGCTCACACCTGGACCTGGCGTGGGAGTGTGCATTTATAGCATTGCTGGATGCGGTTGATAGACCTGAGCTGAGTGTCTCTTCCTGATTCGGAGGCATGGTGCGCTAGCCAAGACGATAGGCGCATTGATGGGCTTGATCCGAAGGATCTATACAGCCTTCTGTCAATGACAGGATGACATGCCTGCTGGATCCCTGATCTTGGCAGACAGCGCTACATCGCACCAGATCGGGTTAGTCTGTAGATCTATCAGCCAGCATCTGTGGACTATATCCAAATACATCGCCTTGCCCTATATCCGTTCTACATCTGCCTGAACAAGCGCCTTACACATACTACCCAGAATGCGGCCACAAGAACCTCATGACAAAGAAATAACACCCAACCTCCTCTCAAATCCCCCCCGCAACGGCCCCGCCCACGCCTCCATCTTCGCAACCGGATACAGCGGCCGATACTCCGCCAACAGGCGCTGCACCTCGTCCAACTGTCCTTTATCCGTCGCACACAACCACAAACAAAACAGACACGGCGGCACAAAACACGCCCCGACAGGTTTCATCGGCGCCGCTTCCCTCGCAATCCTCATCACAGCATCAAAGATCCCCGTCGCCTGCTCCACCAGCGCCTTATTCCGCGGATTAAACGCACGCAGCACGCGGTTCAGCACGAACGCCATGCTGAGGAGCATGCAGTACGCCGCCTGGAAGCGACTAAACACCCGCACCGAGGACGGGTCCGCTGCGAGGGCGCGCAGACACGCCTCGATGCGGCGAAAGTCGGCGCGCATGCGCTCGTAGGTCGAGAGGATCTCGATGTAGTGATCCTGCGGGTGGGTTACGAAGGCTGGGAGTCGGCTGAGCGAGCGCAGGTTCAGGGTTGAGAAGGGGGCGCCGTCGTCGAGGACGACGCGGTTGGGGGGTTCGAAGCGGGTGGTGAGTGTCTCCAGCCAGGGGGAGAGGCTGATGGTCGGGGTGAAGGTGCTGTGGATGATCTGGGGGGTGTGTTAGAGGGGCGTGGCGGGTTGAGGTAGGGGTAGGGGTAGGGGACGTACGACGGGGATGGCGAGGGTGTACATCAGGTCGCGCTCGAAGGAGCCGATGTTCGGCTGGACGACCATGCTGTTCAACATGTGCATCATGGCTATGCCGTGGCCGACGTGCGGGTCGTCGGGGGTGGAGATCCAGCCCTGGACTGTCAGTACGGCGATAGCGTGCGGATTGATATCCGCACCTCGCAAACCATTATCAGGTAAATGGCACACATCGTCCCGACCGTCCGACTCTCCGTCGGGTCCTGCAGCGTCGCCCGCAGCGTCTTCAACGCATTCCCATACTGCACAAGGGCGTCCCGCGACACCTCCGTCGTATACAGCACCGGGAACACGGCGACCAGCGCGCCGATCGATGCGTCCAGCGCCCGACTCGTGCCGACATATTTGGGGATCTGGCTGAAAAAAAGCCCATAGTACGACAGGTCGTACCGGACATCCTGCACTTTGAGCAGGGCGATCAGTGAGCCGGCCATCTCCAGCGCATCGTTACTGGGGATCCGCTCGGGACTATTCCTGGCCGCGAGCTGTTGCGCAGGAGTGGGCTTGGTCGCCCGCGAGGCGATTCTTTCCTCCTTGAATTTGTATCGACGCTGGCCGGAGCCGACGCACGCCAGCTGGAGACGGATGCACCGACTACATGATGGTTGGAGTTGGTCGCACTGCTGTCTGTCAGGGCTGTCCGCCGCAAGACCGGGAACGGACCTTTTTCTTTGCTCGGCGGCAGGCTTCGCAGCCGCGGCTGGATGGGACTCCGGGCATTGTATGTGGCTATCTCGACAGTGTCTGTCACGATGGGTATCAACATCATGAGGAATGGTAAAGCAGATGAGCTGAGGCTGCCAAGAGCTCGTGTTGCGCTTGGCGCTGACGTCGATCGGATCTGACTGAATCTGAATATCCTACTGGGCAGTCCATGCCATGTACATCAAGTAGATAAATTCCCTCTCAAAGGCTGTGCTGCTGCTATCGTCCGCCAGCAGACGACCACGTCAAATAAATACAATCATGCAAATGTCCAGTACAACTCCTAAATACACATGTGTACGCGAGAATGATCGCGAACCACCACGAAATACACTACGCCGTCTTGATCAGCCATCCCACCGTACCCGGAATCCCCAAAATCAACAGCACGGTCAGAATCCACGCCCCGGCTCGGTCCCCCGTCTGGATCGGCGCCAGCGTATCCGGGCTCTGCCCCTCGTTGGTGTCGATGTGGTGCTCGTCCGCGTTGGGGTTGGTATCAATTGTCTTGATCTGCGCCTCATTCAGCACCATCATGTTGGCGGTGATGCCGCCCAGCGCGGCCATCTGCACCTCCAGCCCCTGGATGCCGTCCCAGGTGTCCTGGTACCAGCGCACGCCGCAGAGGTTGTCGGACTCGCCGGAGCACTGCTTGGACAGGTGCTCCGAGTTGCCCATCAGCAGGGGGGTGATCTTCTCCGCGGTAGACGGCACCAGAATGGCCGTCATGGCCATCCACATGGACAGATAGCCCTTGAAGCCGAGCTGGTTGCGATCGCAGGTCATCGGGCCCTCGCAGCTGACCTCGGACATGACGTTGCCGCCGAATTTCTTGGGGTAGAACTTGCTGATGGTGGAGTCGAGCAGGCCGTTGACGCGCTCGAGCCATTGGTCGTTGCCGTTGGTCTGACCTGTCAGCACCGACCTTACACGAGGAATGGGAAAGACTTACATAATTGTACATAAAGGCAGCCCCCGCCAGATACGTCCCGTAGTTGTAGGTCCACTGCAACTGCCCGGCGTCCTTACAGTTGTTCTCGTTCGACGTCGAGTCGGCAATGTACCAGGTCTTGGTGTTGAGCAGCGGCGTGGACGCCGACCAGTCCCAGATTTTCGTCGCCCACTCGGCGTAGGTCTCGTTCTTGGTGAAGCGGGCCAGCCGGGCAGACAGCTCGAACAGACCACCATTGGAGATGGCGTTCTTCATGGTGTATCCCGCCTGGTAGGGCCAGATCTGCCAGGTGAGACCACCACCGCAGGCCTTGGTATCCCAGCGGTCGACCTGCATCTGGAAGACGGCACGGGCCAGCGACGTCCAGGTGGGCTTGCCGCTGACCTCGGGGAAGCCCGTTTCGGAGGCGGTGATGGCGGCCAGACCCCAGAACATTTGGTCATCATTTCCCTGATGATGTTAGAATGGTCCGGTGAGAGGGGGTGGGGGTGGGGGGCATACCAGCCACTGGGAGTAGTTGGCAGAAAAGTAGTCATAATTCTCACCCGCCTGGAACATCAGGTCATACTGGACCTCGTCGTTGTACTTGGACTCGCCGGACGAGTGCCAGTACTGGATCCAGGTCATCATCATGGAGCCGGCGATGTACCAGGTGTCGGTGAGTTTACCGGGGATGCCCTCGGTCTGGTTCTGTTCATAGAACTTCATCATGGGGTTGGCGATGGTCATGCCCGCACTCCGCAGGGAGTCTGGACATGGTTAGTGAGCGGCGGATGATAGTCCGGGGAGGGGCCATACCGATGCTATCCGGCTGAATGGGAATGTTGGCCAGCACGGGGAGGCCCGACTGCAGGAGCAGGAGGGCGGCCGTGCCGAGGCCTCGTAGGGAGGGCATTGTCAGAGGGTGCAGACTAGGAAGCGAATACACTAGAGCTATGCAGAAGGAACATACGACAACATCGATCAGAGGGAGAGGAGGGAGGACTCAAGAGGCCGACGTCAGGGGAAAGTGAGAGCGGCCAAAAAAAGGCAGCAAAGCCAAGCAGCCAAGAACGCCCCTTGGCCCGATTCAGCCAATGTGCGGAGGCGCCAAGCGATAAATATAGATTTCTCATTTTATATCTCATTTTCTAGTGATGAAGTAGAAGGATTATTAGTGTTATCGATGCTGTTTATATAGATGGATATAGTATTTGGATAGATAGAAAGATAGAGAGAGTGGATTGTGGAGTGCTGATCGTCCTGTTCTGTTGACGTGGTCTGGAGATCAGGGTCCAGAATGTAGAAAGTAGAAGTAGAAGACTGCAGTGATCCTCTATAACTACTAACTAGGTAGTTAGGTAGGAATAGGTGTCCAAGGCTTCTTAGTAGCTCATCAGTGACATCTAGACTGATCTGCTCTACAATCCAGAGTGGGGGTGTAAAGAGTGCAGATTCCGCGTTCTATGAAATTAGGGGTCCAAATTAGGGGTCCAATGTCACGTGGTGACTAGCAGTTATGTTTCTTATGTATCTACATATGCAACATTCATGCACAAATTATGTCATCATCCAAAAACAGCCTGACGGAGTAGGAAACTCAACCTGTTCCTTTTACTACTACAGGATGCTACCTGTACTCCCTATGTTACATGCTCATTCATTACCTCCTTTGATCGTGTAAATCCTCATCGCCGTAAAATTCCCATCCTCCGGAAAGGGAAACTCGTCATACTCCTTCTCTATCATCTCCCGCACCCGCGGCGAATTCGGATCCGTGCTGCGCAGTCAGTACCGTATCCACGTAGACAGAACACCCAAGAAAGACACCTACCTCGCATAATCATCCTCCTTGACCCTGCACCAAACGAGAACCGCCGGCCGCACAATATCCGCCACAATCTCCTTAACACAAATATTCGGCGCACACGAGAACACCACCGTCGCCGCGTCCATGAGCAGAAACCCCTCCGGATCCTCCACCACCTGCATCTCATACTCCCGCAGCACCGCCCGGTCGGCCGCGGTATACGCCGGGTCCTGCACGTAGCACGCGACCTCGTCTTCCGCCATGCCGTCCGCCTGCAGCGCCTTCTTCACCGTCAAAAGAAACGCATGCTGCACCGCGGACCGCGCGTAGCCCTCGGGATCGGACGGGGTGATCGCAAACGTTCCGTTCGCGATCCCGATCACCTTGGTAATCCGACACGGGAGACGCAGCGACCGTAGCGTTGCCCGGATCTCCGCCCAGGCGGCGCTGTCTTCCCACGCGGCGTAGCTCGTCCGGAACAGATCCAGGCTCGCGGCGAAATCGCCGGGCGGGTCCGGCTTGTCCTCGCGGCTCATCCAGTGGCCGATACTCAGACTGCTGTAGGCGCGCGACACGCCCCATTCCAGCTGGTTGTGTAGGCGCTCGATCGAGCTGTAACATATATGTGGTTGGCAGCTGGTTGCTTTAGTTTTCGTCTCTCACCGTGTACCTAGGTGTATTGATGGACGGATGGACGGATGGGTAGACTCACAAGGTGTACTGCACGCGCTCGCAGTTTTCCGGCTCCAACCACCCCTCCTCATCCTGCCTACTATAGTCAGGCAGCCACGACCACCGTCGATTCCCCGTCTGCACGCGGTACTCGTACACCACGTCGTCGAACCCCTTGACGGTGATGAGCTCCCCGTTCTTCGGCGGTTTCGTGATCTGGTCGTGGATGCTCTGCAGCGACTCGCGCGGGAAGAGTAGGCGTCCGGCTTGGTACCATTTCTCCAGGTTGGAGGATACTTCTTCGGGGTCGGCAGGCTTCTTCCATTTATCGGCGTCTTTGCCGTTGAGGAGCGGTCGGTCTAGAAAGGTGTGCATTTTGGATAGTTGAGAAGCAGATGGAGTCCGGGTGTTGGAACTAGGTGAAGATTACGCTGTTGACATGTCACAACAAAAGGTACCCCGCACAAGGCTGATTTCTACATTGTTGATCGTTTACTGTTCCTACACATAACACATTTTGAGAACAATCATTGAACATATATACCTCTAATCTATAATCATAAAGCTTACGCGTTCTCCGCGTGGTACGACTGCGACTCCTTGCGCGCCTCGCGACGCTCCTCCCGGTGCAGGTCGGGCATCTGGAACTTGCTGCTCTCCCAGGGCTTGACCTTGTTGACGTACATCCAGTCGAGCTCCTCCAGCGTGCGGCCCTTGCCCTCAATCACGCAGAAGTACACCACCAGAGCGGCGGCAAACAGACATCCCGCAAACACATACCCATAGGCAAAGTCGATGTCGCCGGTGATGAACGGGGTGAAGAACCCGATCAGAAAGTTCCACAGCCAGTTGCTGGCCGTCGCCAGCGCCATGCCCTTGGCGCGGTACTTGCTGGGGAAGAGCTCGGCGGCAATGGCCCAGATCATCGGGCCCCAGGTCATGGCGTAGGCGGTGATGAAGAAGCAGGCGACCACGATCATGCCCTTGCCGGGGCCGGGCGTGTTCTCGGGGTTCTGCACGTCCAGGAGGAAGTGGCCGATGGAGGCGAAGATCATGAAGCAGACGAACATGAAGCCGGCGCCGAAGATGAGCGACTTGCGACGGCCAAAGTTCTCGACGACGTACAGACCGCCGAACGTGGTGCCGAAGTTGATGGCGCCCAGGATGACCTGGGTGATGAACGAGTTGGAGATACCAGCTCCTTGGAAGATGGTGGTACCCTAGCCAGCGTTAATAACCGTTGATAGGAAGCTCAAAGGAAAAAGGAGACATACGTAGTAGAAGAAGTAGTTGGCGCCGGTCAGCTGCTGCAGCGACTGCAGGACCATACCGAGAACGATCCGGTAGAACATGCGCGGGGCGGTGATGAACTCGTGCCACACCTGCTCCTGGGACTCGGCATCCAGCTGCTGCTGGATCTCCTCGATTTCCTGGATGATGACGCGGTGGTTCTCGGGCACACCGTACAGCTTGGACATGGTGCGGCGGGCACTGTCGACACGACCGTGGCGGTACTCGAAGCGAGGCGACTCGGGGAAGACAGCCATACCACCGCCGAGGACAAGGGCAAAGAGGAAGGTCAGGCCCAGGGTGATGCGCCACTGAGCGGTGCCGTCAAGGGACTCGGTACCCAGGTTGATACAGTAGGACAGGAAGATACCGAGGGTGACGAACAGCTGGTAGCAACTGATCATGGCACCACGGATGTGACGGGGCGCGCTCTCACCCTGGTACATGGGGACGAGGAGAGAGCAGCCACCGACGCCCAGACCGGTGACCCAACGGCCGACCACCATCTGGTACCAGTGGCCGGAGGGGGAGGTGATTTGGACGATGAGGCCGACAACCATGACCATACACCACACGGTGATGGACCACTTGCGGCCCAGCTTGTCGGCGACGGGAGCACCCGCGAGGGCACCAATGAGGGTACCCACGGACAGGAGCGAGACGATCAGACCGGAGCGCACCTTGCTCAAGGAGTAGGAGCCATCGGGCTGCAGCTCACCGTAGCGCTGGAGATAGTCGGACATTTCCTGGAAACCAGAGATCTGACCAGTATCATAACCGAAGAGGAGACCACCCATCGAGACGAAGAGACCCATGATAAAGGCACGGAGGGTCACCCGAGGAATAGGCGTGTCGACACCGACATCTCTGGGCTTCTCATAGGTCACCGACTCCTGGCTGGAGGACTGGGGCTGCTGGACGGCGGGGGTGATGGACTCGCCATGATAGGCTTCGGATTCGACGCCCATGGTGGGAGATGTAGTATGGAGGTGGAGTATAGGTCGTCGGAGTCAGAGGATGTACAGAGGATGTAAGGATAGACCAAAGGAACAAAAAAGAAAGAAGGAAGATTGGGTGGCTCCAAGGGAGTGGTGAAGTATAGCCACCTGGAGAGGGAAGTATAAGGATGGATGAAGACGGAGAGTTGAAAACAAAAGACACCACGAAAACAGTAATGGATCTGGGAGGGCCTCCTTTTATGTCCTGTTCCTACGGCCTACGACGACAGGGAAAAAAAATGAAAAATGAAAAAGAAAAATGAAAATCCACCGGATGGCATCTCCACCGAGAGAAAAACCAGTGTGGAGAGGGCCACCCGGGGCATGGCATCGGCTGGTGAGCATCTCCGTCCGAGACGGCGTCGAGCAGCATCACGGGCGAGTCAGAGAGGCCGGCCGAAAGCGACGGGCCCGGCAGAGCCAGTGAGAAGTGGCCGGCATGCTGGGGAAGGGTCGGGATCCACGGCGAAGGCGAAGGAACGGGCTCGTTGGCCAACGTGTCGGCACCGGCACTGGAGACGGACGGACCAGCGAGGGGAGCGAGAGGAGATGAAGGGGATCCGCGCCACCGAGGCAGGACAGGTACGGCACATGTCAAGACCCGTGGTTCTACGAATGAAGGGATGACGAAAGAGGGAGGGAGGGAGAGATCTGGGAGAACTTCGGAAGGTTGTGTCTGGAGGGATCGAGCCGATAGACTCGGCATGCCTAGGTAGTATGACGAGGAAGCCGTCTTGGCTGAACCTGACGGGATGGGATGAATCCTTCAAGATTCCTTCATGCTGGGAGAGTCATAGTGATAGTCCTAGTAGTACAATATGGAGAGGATGGAGGACCCTTCCCGAAACGGCAATTAGGGCATGGTGAGTCAGCAGGATCCTCCAATCACCGGCTCTAAATCCCCCCGGCTAACCGTTTTCGGGGGTCGGCACCAAACTATGACCAACACGTCGGAAGGATACGGAGCATCTGGAGAGACACTGGAGACTGGAGAGAAGACTGGAGCACCTGGAGCAGCCGGAGTAATGAGGGGAGCCTTCCTCTTCGGTATCCCGGTGAGGCTTCTCCATATTTGCAGGCATGGGGGAATGCGGAGGCCCCTAGTACTTGTACTATAGTTACTATGACTATGAATACAGAGGAGTGATGAATGATACTATTGACTGAGATTGGGATAATCATAGCCCCTGGCCCCTGAAGGAGTCTACCTCGTCAATACACTCTGGACCACTGCCGGTCCGAATCTCGGCATGACGACGCTCTGGCCAGTTTCCCAGCTGCTTAGGCTACCAGACCAGTCTCTGCGCCATCCCGACCGAGCCGAATCTCGTCAGTGGCGTCTTGGTGATTCTGGAACCAACCAGGCGACCAGTCGTAGTGGGTGGATCTGACAAGACAAGAATACCGAGTATGTGTATGTGCCATAGAAGAGGAACAAGATGGTTCTATGCTGTCTCTATAATCACAACGCATTGTCAAAGTGACCTTTATGTAACTGTCTACTATCCTTCATTGCTCTATCCGGATAAACCTTTTCCACCTCCTAGAGAATAATCCGATAATCGCAGGAGAAAACGTGACTAATCGTTTCTGCTTAGGGTTAGGGCTTACATCGGCTAGGCATCTTCCTCCGGAAATGACGTATCCTTCTCTTCTTCTTCTTCCCATCCGAGAAGGTTCTGCGAGCAGCCGAAGATCCTGGATCAATCCTTATCCAGAGTAACTGAGGTACCTATCATTATTCTCTTGGTACCTAGGTACGTAGTTACTTGGGTGGCCAACTGTCACCAGTGTCACATGACTCCATTCACCTGGTCTGAAGAGAATTCTGGTCTTGTCTTGGAATACGATCCAACGGCCGAATGATCGGTCCGCCACTCGCCCCATCTCAGAGGCGACTTCTTCCGTTAATGCCGACGGTCTCGTTGGTTGAGCCGTTGGATTTTGGTTCCGAGTCCACGTGAGACCGGTCGCGATGCTTTGATGTAGCTGGGTAGGAGTGGGCTGGACTGTGGCTTGGTAGAGCAGAAGAATGTGCCCAAGAGTATGGGATGTATGCCTGTTGAGTATCGAAGCGAACCGCCAGATTGGCAACTATAGTAGATCCAGTACAAGATCATTACACTACTAGATACTCGGTAGATATGCGATCATGCATTGCAGAAGTAGCACATTTTATACTATGTTGGAGATATATATTTGCCTGAGGCCAACTAAGATAGTATATACCAGAAACCATACGACCATCTACTATGTAGTATGATCTAGAAAGACGAATAGAACGAACAATCATTCTCAAGACACGTCAATATCTCAATTGCTTGCCTATCACACGAGACGCTTCCCAGCATAACCTAGGTAGTGAGGGCTCTATTCTACTTGGGAGCAACTACCCCATACTCCGCTCGCATGGCGCCGCCACAAGCCACCCACGACATCAACGCGGGGAATATCCATATCATTCTTCATCAAGATGGAACCTGCAGAAACTCCTCCCCCTAGACATGCAGGAACCAGTCCGTACGGTCAATCTCCCAGCCAACTCCACCACTCATAACACATTTCACAACTGAAACGAGCCCCAGTCCCGCTATTCCCCATCCAGCACGGACAACTCGCCTACAAAGCCGAGTTGATCGATTCGGGCAATCTGGCACTGTCGATCATCCTCTAATCCCAAGCAGCATGTGTCGACGCGTGCAACACCCCGTCTCAAGACGGTCTGTCTGGTTGCAGAACGGAGGTGAGTCCGAGTATACTCCCGACATCTATACAGACCGAGCTGTATAAAACGGTCCTCGACTCAAGACCATACCACCGAGTCCAGCCCATCACCCCTTCCCGACAATCATCCAACCTCATCATGAAGCTTTCTCCTTTGATGGCCCTGGCCGGCCTGGCGTCGGCCCAGCTGGCCCTCGCCCTCCCCCAGGCCACCCCGTCCGCCTCGGCGACGCCCTCGCCCACCCCCGGCGACGGCTCCTTCGCCAGCACCAACGGCCTCCAGTTCGTCATCGACGGCGAGACCGGCTACTTCGCCGGCTCCAACTCCTACTGGATCGGCTTCCTGACCAACAACGCCGACGTGGACCTGGTGTTCACGCACATGAAGGAGGCCGGCCTGCGCATCCTGCGCGTCTGGGGCTTCAACGACGTCAACGAGAAGCCCGCCGACGGCACCGTCTGGTTCCAGATGCACGCCGACGGCCAGTCAACCATCAACACCGGCGCCGACGGGCTGCAGCGCCTCGACTACGTGGTGCAGTCGGCCGAGAAGCACGGCATCAAGCTCATCGTCAACTTTGTCAACTACTGGGACGACTACGGCGGCATGAACGCCTACGTCCAGGCCTACGGCGGCTCCGACAACACCGACTTTTACGCCAGCAAGGACATGCAGGCCGCCTACCGCGCGTACATCAAGGCCGTCGTCTCGCGGTATCTCGACTCGCCCGCCATCTTCGCGTGGGAGCTCGCCAATGAGCCGCGCTGCCAGGGCTGCGCGCCCAGCGTGCTGCACGACTGGATCGACAGCACCAGCCAGTACATCAAGTCGCTAGATTCGAAGCATATGACCTGTATAGGAGATGGTAAATCCACCCTACTGTCCAGTCGTATGGCGCTCACTAATGCAATGTAGAGGGCTTTGGCCTGGACATCGGCTCCGACGGCAGCTACCCCTACGGCTACAGCGAAGGCGGCAACTTCACCATGTCGCTCGCCCTGCCCACCATCGACTTTGGGACCTTCCACCTGTACCCGAGCAGCTGTACGTACCACCCGTCCAGGAGACATGAGCGCGCTAACAAGAGTAGGGGGCACCAACAACGACTGGGGCAACGGCTGGGTCGCCTCGCACGGCGCTGCGTGCAAGGCTGCGGGCAAGCCGTGTCTTTTTGAGGAATATGGCGTCACGTCCGACCACTGCGCGGTCGAGAAGCCGTGGCAGATGACTGCGTTGAATACGACGGGCATCGCGGCGGATCTGTACTGGCAGTATGGCGACCAGCTGAGCTCGGGACAGTCGCCAAATGATGGAAACACCATTTACTATGGGACTGATGAGTTTACTTGTCTGGTTACGGATCATATTGCGTCTATTGGTAGTCGTGCGACTCGGAAGTAGGTGAGTGTGGTGGCAGCTGAGGTGTTGTGAAATTGTACTCTACCAATGAAGGCAGAAGCAACTGTCAACAACTAGCATGCGTCGCCTGTTCTAGCGTCTTGTACTGTTTGACATGTAACTAGCATCATAACAGACGAAATCAAGTAAAACCACGGAAGAGCGCAGCCGTTACTCTCCCACTTCGCGATCCTCCTTCCAATGAACAAACAACCTCACCAACGCCCACTCCCACGACCGCCGACGCAGCGCCTTCCCCCAGAAATAAAACCCAAACATACACAGAAACACCGCTCCCGAGATGGCCGCCATCTCGCCAAACGCGCGGATGTAGCCGGAGCCAGAAATCCAGACGTTCGTGTAGAAGCTGAGCAGGAAGCCGAACAGGGCTGGTACCGTCAGCAGAGTCCAGACACGATCTCAAAGCAGACAGGCCACCTACATTTAAAAGCATACTGCGTGACGGTGACCTCGCCCGCAATCGGCCGATAGCAGTCAATCATATACACGACGCAGATATTCCCCGCCTGGACGATGGTGAAGGCGACTGCCGCACGTCAGCTATTATCCTCGCATGGCGCTGGGAAAACCCACTCAGCGCAAGCCCGGTAACAGGACAAATCCAATGTAGACGATACCCAACTCCCACCCCGTACAGAATCAGCGCCAACGGCCCGGCGACGAGACTCAAAACCATGACGGGCAGGCGCATCTCCGGCTCGCGGATCCCGCCGTTGCGGCGCGTCAGTCGGTCCGCCACGATGTCGGATAGAGACCCGCCCATCCACACGGCGATGCTGCCGCCGATGACGATGGAGAGCATGCACAGGCCGACCTGCCATGTTGAGAACCCGTACACGGAGGTGAACGCGCTCGACACGTTGCTCATCATGGCGATTAGGAAGCCGATGGTCACGGCCATGACGAGGGAGGCCCAGAGCGCTGAGGGCAGGATGATGAGGGCGATGGGGCGGAGCATGAGCTTCCAGAAGGGTTCTCTGGTGTAGCGTCTTGTAGGAAAGGTGGTGATGATCTTGAGCATGGGTGGTCGTGTACAAGTCCGACGCTGTAGAGCTGGGTGGTCGTGGATCTCGACACAGCCGCCGTCGTCGGGGTGCATCTTGTCCTCGGAGCTAGACACAACCGTCGAGCTGGTACCTCGTATGTAAGTAGTCTCAGGGAGTGTAAAAAACATCAAGAGCGCAGTAAACCCAGTCAATGCGCAAGACAGCCAGAACATAGCTCGCCAGGATTCATTAATCGTGATCAACCCGGCGAGGACCGACCCGACGCCAGCCCCGGAGCTCAGCATACATGTATAGATCCTAGCGAGCATTAGATCAAACTGATCCCCAATCCAAAGACAAGCACTCACGCCATCACCGTCCCGCGCTCATGCACAAAGAAGATATCAGCGATTATCAGCGGCCCCAGTACGTCCGACATACCAGTCGTAAGCCCCATCATCGCCCGCGCAGCAAGCATGCTACCGTAGCTCTGGGCGCAGGCACACCACGCCGCGGCCGCCGCATACAGAGTATACGCGCATATCGCTCCATACCGCCTCCCGAACTTGACCATCAGGGGAACCCAGAGGAGGGTGCTGAGCCCGGTGACGAGGGTACACACCGTCAGGAAGTATGCGGACTTTGCGATCGCCTGCGGACCGGGGGTTCCGAAGAAGCTATGCGCCATGTCGGTGAGGAGGACGCCCGGGCCTGTGGCGCCAAAGGGGCCTAGCAGGACGGCCCAGGAGGTGAGACTGGCGATGCAGTATTTGTACCATTGTGGCCTGTGTCGTACTCCAGTCAGTAGGTGTTGAGGAGCTCGGATGCAGGCGTTGTTTGTAGGACGCCGGGAGTACGACAAGGGGTGGAGTACCAGTTCAGAGGATCAGAAGGGTCATCAGACGGCTTTGGGATCAATATGATTTCGTTCGTGTGATGATCACGGAGTCGAACTGTGCCCAGGTGGCCCTGTCCTGGGCCTTTGAGTTCACTCGAGGCCATTTCTGCTGAGTCTGAAGTAATGCCGAGCTTCTATATCTCCTACTGCCTTGATACGAGACTAGATAGTAGAACAGCTGAAGACTAGATTCCTGACTACTAGAAAGTGATGGTTCATCCTGAGGAGTCAGAATATGACCTCCCCCTTGCTTTCGTGACTAATTTGTCGTCCTTACATCAGAGCATGGTACTCATCCGAACAGCTCATCATTGTCAGAATCTGAGACAGAGTGGTGTCCCAGCAAGGCGAAAGACATCTACTCAATCACCGGAAGCACGCCAAACACCTCCTGCGGCATCTTGGACCACCGACTGACCTGCACACGGCCTTCCTTGAGCACAGCCAGCAGATGCTTGTCGGGGTCGTCCAAGACGGTGATATCGTCCAGGGGATTCCGATCTAGAACCAACAAGTCGGCGACATATCCCTCCTTAACCTGACCGAGTCGAGACTCCTGCCCCATCATGCGCGCCGCATTGATAGTCGCACTCTGCAAGATCTCCAGTGGCGACAACACCTGCGCACGGATGCTAAACTCCCTCGTCTGCGCCGCTGTCATGGCGCCCAGCAGATCCGTCCCATAGCAGATCGTCACGCCCGCCTCCTTCGCAATCCGCAGCGACTGCAGTCCCTTCGCCAGGACCGTCCCATTCTTGGCCATCAGCTCCGGCGGCAGAAACCCGCGCCACTCGTCCGACGCCATCTCCGCGTACGTGACCAGCGTCGGGGTGAGGAACACGCCGCGGTCGGCCATGAGCCGCGCCGTGTCGGGGTCGATGAGGTTACCGTGCTCGATGCCCCTGACGCCGTTGTCGATCGCGTGCCGGATCGACTGCGGCGTGTACGCATGCGCCGTGACGTAGGTCTCGCGCTGCGCCGCCACGGACGTGATGGCCGCGATCTCCGCCGCCGAGAACTGGAGATGCTCGAGCGCGTCCGTGGGACTCGCCACGCCGCCGCCGGTCATGATCTTGATGAAGTCAGCCCCAAGACGCAGCTCCTCCCGCGCAGCCTTCAGACACGCCTCCGCGCCGTCGACGATCCGGCCCAGGCCCATGATCAGGCCGGCGCAGCAGTCGTCCCCGGCGGGGCGGGTGTCGTTGAACGCGTCGCGCGGGTCGCCGTGCCCGCCTGTCTGGCTGAGCGCGTGGCCGGCGATGAACAGCCGCGGGCCCTGGATGACGCCCTCGGCGAGGGCTTCTTTCAGCGCGAGCCCGGCGCCGCCGCAGTCGCGGATCGTGGTGAAGCCGCGCTGCAGGATCTGCTGGCAGACGAAGGGCTGGCGCAGCTTCGACCGGTCCGGGTGCATCAGGAAGGTCTCGTTGAGGCCTTTGCCGCCGGGCACGGCGGTGACGTGGACGTGGCAGTCTGTCAGGCCGGGGCAGACGTATTTGCCGGTGAGGTCGACGTGGACGGCGTCTGCGGGCGCTGCGGGGGCCGCAGAGTCGGTGATGCTGCGGATCTTGCCGTCGGCGAGATGGAGGGTCGCATTGCGATGGAGGGAGCCGTCGACGGGGGAGATTATGGTGGCGTTATGAAGGAGATACTCCTTCTGGGGAGGTTGCTTCCATGGGACTGCCATGTTGTAGGCTGTATGTATGCAGGATGAAGTGTGAGGATGTACTGCCGAGGGCTTTTAAGCAGAACCCCGCAGTGCGGAGAAGACAGATAACCCATTGCATAATCTTGCAGGCTCGCAGGCTCGCAGATTCCCCGAGATAAGTCGGGCATTGGAGCATGATTAGGGTGGTTGTATTGCTGAGCTGTGTCGGCGAATGCTATACTTGTAGTTGACCCAGCGAGGTCCAACACCACAACAATGGACGACGATGATGCGGTTTCAGTCATGAGCTGAATCTGGTATATAGCTCGAATCGGATCAATCATTTTGATCAATGGAGTCATGAGTTTATCATGGTGATCTCGCCCAGATGCTGGTGTAGCTTGTATAGACATCCAATGGCCTTTCTGTATATGTATAGTTCAGTGAGTAGACGGTGTTGCGTGAAGTATATCGACAGATGAATAGAATACAGACCTTCTCTAAGGATTCGACTTCTGAACTGGTCCATCTGAATCAACCTCCGTTCTATATGTTTCTCCTGGTGGTGTTGTATACAGGGTTGTATACTGAACGCTGACATCATGTGACTGTAGTGACTTCATCTCAACATCTCGACTGCTGTTCACACCCCGTCTTCTACTCTCCTACATGTCTTCCTCTTTTCCTAGCCCAGCTCTATCCATTTCTTGATATCACTCATGGGAAACCCTTCCGACCCCCCTCCCTCTTACGAACAGGCGACCGGCGCTTCATCGTCCACTCCGAGTGCTTCGTCGTTTACTCCCAGTGCTCTCGACGATCTCCACTATCCATCCATCACCTACCATAGCTTCTCCTGGGATACCCGCACCTCCCATGTTGCTACGTTGTCACCGTCCTTGAGCGAGGATGCCTCTGCTCTTCACAGCCTGATCACCCGCCAAGCGCAAGTCCCGCCGCGACTCTGTCTGACGGTCCGTGGAGCCCACACCGAGACACGGTCGCGTCCGAACCGCAAGGAAAATGACACCGAGACGATCATCGATTTCGAATTCCAGATCGACCTGACGCCGTATTTTGTGCCGCCGCCCGACCAACAAGACCAATGGCACGAGCTCCGCGTCGTGTCGGACGACGACGGGATCAAGACCTACCGCGGCGGACGCTGCCGGTCGCGATCGCCCAGACACGGCGCTGACAAGCGGTCGCATTCCTCAGCTATTGACCAAGACGAAGAGACGGCTTTGGTGGGGAATGACCGGTCGGGGCCGGGTCTGATGGGGTGGTGCGAGCGGTTCTGCGAGGAACGGGGGGTGAAATCGTACGTCTACCGAACCTCATTCCTATCTATTCTGCGGTCGGCTTTGAGCATGATAGCTAATCCGTCTTATACAGCTTCACCTACACCCGTCGCGTCGTCGGTCTCGACGTCTCCATCCTCCGTTCGATCCTCACCTCGCACATCCGCTCGCTCAACTACCAGGGCAACATCCGAATCTCCGCGAACCTGACGAACAAGTCCATTGTGGTGTACTCGCCGCACTGGATCAACCGACTGCGCAACCACGGATTTCTCTACTATTTCTGTATCCTGGCGCAGCTATGGATCCTGACCTGGCCCGGTCATCTGGTGGCTGGAACGCCGCTACACCGTAGTCGAGTCGGACTGGTTTGTGTCGCGCCCGACCGGCGCGGGCAGGACCTACGCTGGGGGCCGTGACGAGGCCGCCGTGGCGCAGGATCTTGCCCCCGTGGTGACCCAAGCGGCCTGGGAGCGACGGACGGATGGACGAGTCTTGACGGACAGCGAGGTACGGCTGCTGCGACAGTTGGAGCGAGAAGGTCGGCAGCGTGGCGGTCGGGTGGTCATGGTCGACTGGGACCAGATAAGCGGATGGGGCGCGGACCAAAGTGTATGAATATGTCCATGATATTCATGATGATATGACTTCCATGATTGTCTCCTACATCCAAGCGACCGTTATCTGTCCATCTCTATCTCAACCGGTTGCCCACCGGCATCTCGACGGTGAGTCCAACCGATACGAGAGGTGAAGCCAAACCCAAGCGATCCAAGAGATCCAAGGGACGGAAAGAAAGGCTCAGCGACTTAAGCGACCAGCCCTGAGGTTTAGGCGCAACAGGGATGTCCGGACCGGTGGCCGGACCGGTCAACAGGAAGACGATTGGATCGGAAAGAGATGAGAAGGTTAGCTTAGGAGGAATCAAGTGTGGTTGTTGGATGGAATTGAAGCGAGATGAGGTTGAGATATCAGATTTCCCGATTGGGACATGCTCGACGACGGCGAACATTCCCACCAACCCGCTTTCTTCTGTTCTGTCCCAGTCTTCTTCTTCTTTTCGTTTCCATTCCCATCATGACTGTGCTCAGCATGGGCTCCCCTCGGCTGGATTTCCAGAATTTTGCCTTCGCCCGTGGCCAAGATGTGGCTGATAAGCGTCAGCCGGAAACCCAATAACTGCGAGTAAGATGCCTCCCCGCAATTGTTCTCGGAGGAATCCTTTGCTGCAAAAGGCTTAGCAGCCTCTCTTATCAGCTTTAGCGGCCGCTTAGCTCGTATCTGTACCGCGCCGGCGGCGACGGTGGTCTGCTGGCTGTCTAGGGCTTAAGGGCAGAGAAGCGCTCCCCCTGGACGCCTGCCAAGTGACACCAGAATCCTGCCGACTTATCAGCTGGTGATTCTGGTGATTAGTGCAATTACCTATGAGGATTATTACTGATTTGATACTTCGGCTGCGGGTGCATGGTACGACGTGACGTCTATAATAACCGAGGACCCCCTCTGCTCGTAGTACCACCATTTTCTTCCGTTCATCCTCTCTTCCTATTTCCAGTTTCTCTTCTTCGTCTTATTCCCGCGACCTCGCCATGGTCGCCGACGAAGAAAAGCCCGCCGTGGCTCCCACGGCCTCCATGGACCCTGAGTCCGCCGCCGCCGACTTGAAGCCTCGCGCCCTGCAGGCGATGGTCGAGGCCGATCTCCTCGATGAGCGCTACAAAGTGACCCAGAGAGGGTTGAAGAACCGACACGTCCAGATGATGGCGCTGGGAGGTACCATTGGCACCGGTCTGTTCGTTGGCAGTGGTCAGGCGCTGGCTATCGGAGGTCCTCTGTCGTTGTTGCTGGGCTACATCTTCATCTCCGTGCTGGTCTACTGTCTGGTGACGGGAATCGCCGAGGTGGGCGCCTACATGCCTGTCCATGGCGGGACTATGAGCTACCACGGCTTCCGGTACGTCTCGCGCAGTATGGGCTTCGCCATGGGGTACCTCTACTGGTACTCGCTGGGCATCCTGGTGCCGTACGAGATTGTCGCTGCCTCCATGGTCATTGAATACTGGCACTCGGGGGTACATATCGCCGTCTGGATCACCATCATGCTGGTCGTCATTGTTCTGCTCAACTTCATGCCCGTCCGCGCCTACGGTGAAACCGAATTTTGGTTCGCGGGCATCAAGATCATCACGCTGATCGGCCTCCTGCTGCTCTCCTTCATCCTGTTCTGGGGTGGCGGGCCCAATCGGCAGCGACTAGGGTTTCACTTCTGGAAAGCCGACGGGGCCATGAACACGTACCTGGTCAGCGGCGACGCCGGTCGTTTCGTCGGGCTGCTGCAGTGCATCGTCAAGAGCGCCATTGCGTTTATTTTTGCCCCCGAGCTGGTGGTCATTAGTGGTGGTGAGGTGGAGTCCCCCCGACGCAACGTGCCCACGGCCGCGCGCCGCTACATCTACCGACTGGTCTTCTTCTACCTGCTCGCCGCCCTGGCGATCGGCGTCATCTGTTCGTCCCGCGACAAGCGCATCACGGACGGCAGCGGCACCGACGCATCGTCCTCGCCCTTTGTCGTGGCCATCGCCAACGCCGGCATCCCCGCGCTGGACAGCATCGTGAACGCCGCCATCCTGACCTCCGCCTGGTCCGCCGGCAACTCCTTCCTCTACATGTCGTCGCGGTCGCTGTACTCGCTCGCCGTCTCCGGCAACGCGCCCAGCATCTTCAAGGCCTGCAATCGCTGGGGCGTGCCGTACCTAGCCGTCGGCGTGTCGGCGCTCTTCTCGGTGCTGGGCTACCTCGCCGTCGGCAGCGGCAGCTACACCGTCTTCAACTGGCTGATCAACTTCACCAACACGTCCGGCTTCATCAGCTGGATCTGCTGCAGCATCGTGTACTTCCGCTTCAACAAGGCCTGTCGCGTGCAGGGCATCGAGAAGCCGTACAACTCGCGTCTGCAGCCGTACGGTATGTGGATCGCCTTGGTCGGATGCGTCTTCCTCCTGCTCATCAACGGCTTCACTTGTTTCTTCCCGAGCGAGTGGTCCGCCTCGAACTTCTTCACGGCGTACATCGGCATCCCGGCGTTCGTGGTGCTGTATGCCGGCCACCGCATCGTCTTCTGGAAGGATCCCTGGGCGTGGCGGCCGGAGGATGTCGATATGCACACCGGTCTGGCGGAGATTATTGCGGCCGAGGTGCCTCCGCGGCCGCGGGATACCTGGTGGCGCAAGATGATGGTGCTGGTTGAGTAGTACGATTGATGCCTCGTTATTCGATGTGCAAGTATGTCTCACATCAAGTAGTCATTAGTGTCGATCTATCTATACCCAATGTTACTTTATTTCACTTCAGACCAGCAGCCGTAACAGATTTGCATCTAGAGGCATTCTACCCCAACACCGTCGGCGTGATTAGGGTATCTTTCTGAAGACAAGCAACCATATTCATCGCACTCGTCACCGACCTATAAGATCATCGCCTATAGCACCGACCATGCATGTGTCTGCGGGTGTAGGATCCGGATTGGTGCGATAGATGTAGCACCTCGTATAATCTGTCGCCTGTGCGGCTGACTGTGGACAACACATGCGGCTCAAGAATATAACAAACGGCCTCCCCGCAGAAACAATCAGCAGACAAATACGCGATGGACATCAAGACATCCCTCCAGCCAAAAACCCTTCTCAGACTGAGCTATCCAGCCCTCGCCTCTCATCTTCAGGACTTGGTAAAACAAAATCCCGAGGTCGAGCATGTACACCACCTGGACAGGCTAATATCACAGCTCGTCGAGGTAGAGTCTCTTCCTCCGACGATCTACGCGGTCTGGCTCCCGATTGCCCTGCGATACTCTCCTGGTTTGCTCTCTGTCGCTCTATCAAATACTGCCTCCTATGGGATCCGCGAAGCAGGAATCCGCTCTCTTTCGCGCGCATTCCATTCCAAATCATGGAAATCAACCTGGGACGCGCTGGGCGGCGCAGAAGGCCTGATGCGAATCCTCTCCGAGTCGTCCATCTCGCAGGTCGACGACATCCTCAAAGCCCTCACGAAATGCAGGTACATGGCAGACCGCACTGAGATCGCAAGACACATGGACGAGCTATTTCTACTTGTCGAGAATCACACCTTGCGACCGTTGTCCTTGTATTCCGACAGGCTACTGCCCCTGTGCAGCTCTGAAATGGTCGCCCATACTCTAGCCAAGTTGAACGAGACACAGGAGCCAACGCTGTTGACGCGCTGGCTGGTGCCGTTCCATGCAACACTTCTACGACAGATGGCTGTCGGCAGTGTCGTCGTGCCGCCTCATGTTCGTCGGTGCGTGGTGCGAAACGCAGCCAGAGGTCTTGTATGCTCTTCAGAAAGCTATACACCATTCCATTGCGATGAAGTCCCAGATGATGTTCAAGATCCGAGAGTCGCCTTCTGCCTAGACTTTTTCCATGTCCTCAGGACGGATCGCGACCTTGAGAGGGTGCGGGGAGAAGTCTCGCTCTACGTCAAGACCTTCCTGCAACTTCGAGATGTTCGATTCGACCATATCCTTCTCGTCGTCGATGCTGCGCTTCCACTTGCCATGAAGTTCTTCGTTCCCTCGATGCCCAAATCCAGACTGCCGCCGGCTGCGAGGCAGAAGACGCAGAATCAGGCTCCAGCACAGAAATCCATCCTGACAGTCCCCTTGGCCCGCGAACTTCTTGTCTACTGGTCTGTGGCAGTCTGTGGCGAGACGTCAACCATAGCCGAGTCTGTGGTCAAAACCCGTATCTCGAAGAAGTATGCTCCTCGCCCAAACGCCCAGCATAGACCAGCCCTGGAACGTCTGATCATCCAAATCCTCCGCGACTACCCAGACGAGCAGCTCGACGTGCAAAACCTCCCACGTGAAGACTTCAGCAAGTCTGTCGAAAGCCTCTGTGAAAACGTTGCCCCTGAGGCTCGACTCTCGCTCCTCCAGCTCCTGTGCCAGAACACCAAGTACCTCTCATATGATATCTCTTCACTGGTCCCATCTGAACGTGAAAGGTCATTGCCGCCCGCATGGCCACCCTCAGTCCTCAGACTCCTCCCAGCCGCAGACGCAGAGCGTCTGTTTCGGCGGACCTTGAAGATCTACGGTTGCGCGGAATTCCTCCCAGATATAGATGTCGCTACAACCCATGGGTTTGATTTAGTGTGCCAGCATATGCTGAAGGCAAGATGGGAGGGAGAATCGGGTGTGAAGGAGTTTGTAGTCACTCACAAATGTATGCAGCTATCTTTTATTGTAGGGCGATACTGACACACGCAGGCCTCGATGAGATTATCAAGCGTGCCCAGGAGGAGACAGATGAATCTAGACGACTGAGATGGGTGAAAGGAGCGTTCTGGGTGGCACAGGAAAGCTCATCCATCGAAATCTTTCATGCTATCCTCCGTTGGAGCGGCCGGTTTATACGCAATCCGGTATGGCATTCCCCCCAAACCTGAAATCACACTGACAGATCAAGTCGCTGTTTGCGGGCGTCATGCTTGGTGCAGTCATACAAGGTCAGACAATAGATCTCCTGTCCTGCGTCGAGTCGCCCACAGCACGACTACCAACCTCGCTGTCCGAGCTCTCTGCCGCCGTGCAGGCGGCCAAGACTGTCCTCGACACCCTCCTCGATCTTGTCCTCCAATCAATCAAAGAGCCAGGCATCTCCCCCAAAGTGCTGGAGAACATCCCCTCGCTCATCGGGTCAATCGTCCATAAGCGTATTATTGGGTGTACGAAACCGAAGTACAAACAGCTGGGCAGCGCAGCGCAGCTAGCCGACACGTTACTCGCACCAGTCATCCCTGTCATCATAAGATACGAGACAATCGGCATCGCAGAAGGGCAGGAGAAGATCAAATGGCCGCCCATGGACGGCCTCCTCGGTGGCATGCCCTGTCCCGCGAACCCGTCCGACGAGATGCTCGGGTTCATGGACCAACTAGCTCAACAACGCGACGAGCTAGCCCAAATGCACAGGCAGAAGATAGACCCCGACGTCATCTCGTTGGGCCCCGGCTGGCCTCGCGGCCTGGCGGTCCAGTTCCTGTTTCCCACTCTGGAATGGGCACGCGTGCTGATAAGCCGCCCCCAAGCGGCGCCGTTCATAGCACGCCGCACCAACGAAGTGCTCTTCGCGCCGCGGGACGTTCTTCTGCGCGACGCGCCTATGGGCAGAGCACCGATTGGGATCTTCGTCGACGATCTGCCACCTATCATTGAGGCGTACGTAGGTCGCGGGAGGACTGCAGAGATGCAGTCCCGTGTCGTCAAGATCTGGCAGCACTACGAGCAGCAATTGCACGAGCACCCGGATCATCTGGAGATGTTCCGTATATGGTTTTCGCGTGCGAGCCGTATCAGGAGCCCCAGGATTCGCAAGATGATGCACCGCATCAATCCGTCACCGGTGCCGACGGCGACGTATCTGCATGATTCGTTGATGCCGGATGAGGTCGTCGAGTGGGATCCTCGTCCGGGAGAGGTGTATGAGTACAACATGCCGGTCACGGTGCTGCGCTGTCGGGAGTTTGGCGAGCGGCTCACCTTCGAAAGGCTGATATATGGGAATGAGGCTGCCCGGGACGATATTAGGAACTGGCCTTTTGAGTACTACAGCGTCTATTCGTCGCCTCGTACGCTCTCTCTGGAGACCAAGGAAACGATTGCGCTCTCCGCGCTTCTCATTCTTGAGACGTTCACCAAGCAGCGCATATTGCCAGCGTCGTTTCCTGAAGGAATGCGACGTTTTCCCGCCATGTACATGGACGGACAGTTCGTGAGCAAGATGCACGTTGATTCCGCACATATCCTCCGCCGCGTACCGTGGGTTCTGAAGTCGTTCAGCCGTACTGTCTCCCCGACGTTGCTGAAGGATAGCTGCAATGCTATGATCGACAGTGTCCTCGAAAGGAATGCAAACGATACGATGTACGCGCCCCTCTTGCGCTGCACGGTCGAGTTGATCCGGATCCTCTCGCACAGCGATAAGCCATCCCATGCGGCCGATCTGGTCCTGCGCATTGTGAAGGAGCTCCCGCACGAGTCGTCCTACTACGAGGAGCTGAAGCCGTTGCATTTAGGACGCAGGCTCCATCCAGAGCAAGCGGGCACCCTATTCCGCGAGATCGGCGTCCTCCTCAAAGATAGACTGCTCACTATCAGGACAGACGACGACCAGGCGACCAACGCCGTTGCTATCATAAGCACTGCTAAGAAACTGGCGCAATTCCTCGGCGACGCCGACTTCCTATCCGTCGACACCGCAGTTGAGATCCTCGAGTCCCTCTTCACAAGCACTCCCAACACCGACGTCCGCGTGCAAACCCTCTTGTCCATCTTCACCCTCCTCGGCCGAGACATCGCCCCCGACTCCGTCTACGCCCTCCTCAAACAAGCAGCTCACCTCGCCAGCGGGCCAAGCGAAACCTCGCAAGTCTCTGAGGAAGAATGGCGCGCCGCCGAAACAGGCCACGGCCCTCTCCCGCGCGTCCTCTCCACCCGCCAGAGACCCATCTTCCAGCGTCTCGTGTACGACGCGCACGACTACATCCCAGACAAGCAGATGGAAAACTATCTCCTGACCATCGTGCTCCCTCTCCTCGACGAGTCCACGGCCCAGCATACCCGCTGGATGAAAGCCTTCCTCGCGCGGCTGCATCTCCCGGAGGACATAGACATCACGGACTTCCCGTTCGGCCCGTTCGACCCCCACATTACGCACCGCGTGCTCCTCACGTGGAAGAAGTATCTCCCCGCGTCGTATCTCCAGCACACCCGTGCCGCGGCATTCGCCCATCTGCATTACAAGACGCTCAACGCCGTGAGCGCGGCGCTGAGCGAACGGGATGCCGAGTTCCGCAATACTAGCGAGAGCGAGCACTGGCTCGACTGTCTCGAGTTGTATCGGCGTCCGCCTACTTTCGAGTATCTCGACCTCCTGTTCCGCAGGGGCGAGCAGCCCTGCGTGTTGAACGGCTTGGCGCTGGATGCTGTCGCGGAGGAATACGTGCTGCGCGCGGGGATCCTCGTGCGCAATCCGATCACGTACTCGGTGATTGAGAAGCGGTTCGTCGTGCAGCCGGCGCTGGTCACGGAATTGCTAGGCGGGCTATCGCAGCGGTGGCAGAATGAGTTCGCAGAAGAGGGAAAGGGGACGCAGCAGCTGTTGGCGGGGGAGATGTTGAGGAAGATAGTCGATAATATTGAGTCCCTGCGCACGCCGGAGTGGCTACGCTCGCCGCTGCGGACGCCGCCAACCCTCCCGTCTGCGTTGAGGCTGCACACGCTGCTGCTTCCTTTTCCTCGGGGCAGGTCTGGGGATGAGGATTCGATATCCGCCTTCGTGCGGGAGTTGCTGCGGCTGGTGCGTCGCTGTGCTGAAGACCGTCTGATGCAGCTGGAATTTGGATGGGTGCAGAGGGCCGCTAATCGTGTCGGTGCTGAACACCGGAGAGACTGCGCGCTGCTGGTAGGGGATGTGGACGATGCAGGGTTGTACGAGTGTCTGCGTGTTCAGCTAGCGTATGAGTGGCTGTGTGAAATTAGCGAGGGGGAAGTTCGGCTGGATAAGGAGCTGATGAGGATGTTTGGGAAGTGGAAGATGAGCCCGGTGGAGGTTATTCGTCGTATTGGATGGATTATGGACGGGGGAATGAAGGATTCCGAGGGAGATGCGGTGGGAGATTGTTTTCTGGGTAGATAGTTGGATTGAAGTTGCTCATATTTGGTAGTGTATTCTTCTCTCTGAATGACCATCATATCGTACCAAGCTTGTGGATATATATTCCCCCTATGCCTCGTCGCAGCTGGTGGGTGAGAACATGGTGCATCCAGGAGTGGAGGTGTAGCGTAAATCAGATCATCTGCAGGTCTTAAGACTGACTGGGCTGATACCGAGCCTGGGATGGTGGACGGACAGTTGAGGCCAGAAGCCGTATGGGATCGATATTGGAAAGGCTGAATAATTAGACAATAGATTGTATATGGTTTAAGGAATCCATGCCGCGTCCAGGTCGAGCATATATTGATACATATATTAAAAAGATAATCCAAAAAGTAATATACAAGCAGGAATCGAAGGTTGTATATATAACAGAGGCTACCGCACGATGTAAAAGCCATTGACACTGATCTGGCGGTCTCGCATCTCCGCCGTGGGAGAGCGTACACCCAGCCAATGCAATGGAACATTCTCGACCATCTTCTGACCCCGTGCACGCGCATTGCCCACGGTGTTTTTGGTGCGGTCCTTCCAGCTGAGACTCCGCGATGTCTCACCGGCTGGCATCTCAGGGCCCCACGCCGGATGGTCGAGAATGTTCTGCGTAGCGGTGGCATCGGTGGAATCGGCGAGGGCCGCTGCTTCAGCCGCAGCCTCGCGTGCAGCGGCGAGTTCCTTATCGGTCCGGCCGGACGGGGGAGGAATATCAGGTCGCAGATATCCCATCACTCGGACATGGACCTTGGTTTCCGGGGGGAGGTAGATGTCCTCCAGGAACCGAAGGATTGTGATTTTCCTTGTGGTCTGGGAAAGATTGACTCGTGCATGTTGCGAGGGGTCCAGGTTGCGAACGGACAGGATAGCTTGGTACCACGGACTGGGCGTTTTGACCGTGCCAGAGCCATCTGGTTTGTTGCTGACAAGATCAAACCGCGCCCAACCGAAAAAGAATCCATGTAATTGTTCCAGTATGGTGTCAGGCACTCTTCCCAGGCCCATCCGAGACCCTTGGCTCGGAAGAGTCGCCGTTCGAGCCTTGAAGTCCACCGGGAAGGGTGGCTGCGGACCATAGTCCAATGACTGCGGGCCCTGAAATGAACGCGATTGTCCAGCAGGCGCGTTCTCATCGTCATCGTCGTCTCCCAGCCCGATGCGGTCAGCGACGCCACTCATTGACAACGCCGTTTCAGCGGCAGTTTGTTGAACGAAACCAGGCTGGTATGGCTGAATTTTATTCTGGACAGCCTGGGAGACAGGTGCCAGGACCGCCTGAACGGCATTCTGGGCATACATGCCAACCACCATGGCACCCATCTCCAATGGGAGGGTACTCAAACTGGCGCCACGGACAGAGCTGGGACTTAAAGAGGTAGAGAGCACCCGGAATACAGGACTCACGCCGAGTTTCTTCTTCTTTTCACCCTGACACAGGATGAGCTGAAAATACCCGTCGCCTGCCTCGACAGGGATGCGGGCGACAATGGTCTCGCGAAGCAAATGATCGCGTAGCCGGCCGGAAGCCTTCTTGCGGAACTTGGAGATGTCGCGCTGCCAGGCGCGCTCATCGGCGGGATCCACCTGGTCCGCGCGGAGGGCTATAGAGGGAGTCACATTGAGCCAGTCGTCGGTGAGATGAAGCAGCGCCTTTGCGCGCATGCCCGTCTTGCCGGTCCAACCTTTACTTTGGAGCCACAGAGTGCGGTCAGGGGGGAGAGGGATATCGGAGAAGATTGATATCGTCACAGAAGTGGTGCTGCCACGGTAGAAGACAACCCCATACGAGTGGCGCATGATGGTGAAGTGTCTGTTTGATTCGGTTGGATGGGCGATGAGGCCGCCGAGGAAGTGGCGGGCTTCGCCATATGCTTTTTGAACAGGGGAAGGACCCTCAGGCTGAGCGGACGAGGAGCTCGCGGGCCGATAATCCGTGGCAGCACGCTGTACGGGGGGATTCGGAGGCGTAAGTAAAGGAGAATGGGGGGAGTATGGGGGTGGAAGGGTCTCCGCAGAAGGCATCGGTCTAAGCCTGGGCGCACTGGCGACGCCACGGAGAGTAGGAGTAGGGGAATCTACTGTCAGGGTAGAGGCGACGGGCTTTCGCCTGATACAAGGGTCGGACATGGTGCATGGTGGGAGGAGGAATGGATATAGGAAAGTGAGAAGGAGAGAAAGTGAGAAGGTGAAGCCAAAAAGGGCGATGATGATATGACAGTTGCCATTGCCCAATCAGGAGGCGGCGATGATGTCGATCTGCCGGTATTATGCATACTGCTTAGTCATTTATACCACTTTATGGACAGATGCTTCCCTGTTCATAATCTTCGTGTCTATACTTCCATCGAAGAATTGACCATCACTACATGAGAGAATAAACGCCCACTTGATAAATGGAGTACTGCCTCTCGATTCATCCTTTGAATCCACCCATGTCCTAAGTCAGGGCAAAAATGGATCGTCCCTTACTACCGTCTCGGAGTTAACGGGAATTGCGCCACACCCATGGAATGCACCATGCTGGATGGAACAAAGGAGTTAGGAACTCCGACGGAAATATCGGAGTCCAGAACTACCAATCAATCGAGCATCTCAGATGTCTTACGTGCATCTGTTGGAGAATATAAATACCATGTACTCCGTAGGTCCGGGCTGCCCAGGCCGTCGACTAACATCACCAGCCACCAGCTATCTTCTATCAGCATCAGTACCAACGCCATACCAACACAACGTTCAATCACAATGGCCCCAGAGAACAAAGCTGCCTTCATTACCGGGGTCAACAAACCCCTCGAGATCCGCGAAACCCCCTACACACAGCCAACCGACCATGAACTGGTGATCCGCACACATGCGGCCGCCCTCAACCCCATCGACGTCGCCTTCTACAGCATGGGCCCCTTATTTCCCTGGGTCAGCTACCCGCTCATTGCAGGCTTTGATGTCGCCGGTGAGATCGTCGAGGTTGGCCCCTCTGTCACCCGGTTCAAGCCCGGAGACCGGGTCGTAGGCCTGGCTGGTGGAGCCGCCCGTCAGCCCAACATGTACCTGCCACAGTCTGGGTTCCAGCTATACACTGTGATGAGGGAGGCCGTCACCGCGCCTATCCCAGATAACATCTCCTTCATCGATGCATCGGTCATTCCTCTGGCACTGTCGACCGTGGCGTCCGGGATGTTCGCAAAGGACTATCTCGCCATGAGGCACCCACAGTGCCCGCCTGTCCAAGCAGACGGCGAGAAGGAAGTTCTCCTGATGTGGGGAGGATCAAGCAGCCTGGGATGCAACGCCATTCAGGTGGCTGTCGCAGCGGGATACGAAGTTGTGACGACGTGCTCCCCGCACAACTTCGAGCTGGTCAAGAGTCTTGGAGCCAGCAAGGTGTTCGACTACAAGTCCGAGACGATCGTAAAAGATCTAGTAGCGGCCTTGGATGGACGGAAAACCATCGGAGCCCTGGCTGTCACTAGAGGGTCTGTTCAGCCTTGCGCGGCCGTCATCGCAAAGACGAATAGCAGAAAGTTTGTCGCATCCTGTGTCCCTCTCACGGCTGAGGAGGAAAAGATCGGAGACGTTGAATGCAAATTTATCTGGGGAGGCGCACTCGAAAGCAACGAGGTTGGACCCGCTATCTATGAGCATTATCTTCCTCGCGCCATGGCCGAGGGAGCGTTCGTCCCTGCTCCGCAGGCTAAGGTCGTAGGAAAGGGATTAGAGGCGTTTGAAGAGGCGTTGAAGACTCTACAACAGGGTGTCAGTGCGACCAAGGTTGTTGTTGATTTGAGCGACTAAGTACGCAGCAAGCTTATTCACATTCTAATGAGCATAGAACAATCAAATCGATATTTTGCCCCAAGAAGCAATTGCTAGCACAGATCACTGGTGCAAGAAGCCCATTTCCCTCCATCGTTGCACATACTTCCGAACCACTTGGTGACTGACTGGTCCCACCCGAGCCAGCGTGGGTGAATGCTCCTCTGCATGGCTAGTGCCCAGCAGTAGACCTCCACAAGACATGCGCTCGAAGTTCTTCTCCAGCCAGTCAACCATCACGATGGCTGGGTTGTCTTCCTTCATTCCGGGGAGCGTCCTGACGCGCTGGGCCCACTGTGCAAACGGGATGATATTGGCGGAGGGGATATTAAGTTCATCAGCGAGTACATGTATCATGGCCGACCAGTCCTGTCGGACGGGGTTATCAACATGGTAGACCGGATAAGGAGCCTTGTTTGAAAGGAGCAATTCAACTGCCGTTGCTGCAGCATCATCAACTGGAGTCCATGAAAGAAGACCTTGGAAATTCGGGAACGCCCTGAGAGTTTGAGAAGACTTGATTAGAGCTGGAAGATGCTCGCTTGGGTTCCAACAGCCACTGCTTGAAGAGCCGGCAATCTGCCCAGGACGAACGACCATCGTCGCAAACCGATCTGGATACTTATGCAAGGTCTCATCCAGGATGCGCTCGCAGATATACTTGGCCTCGCTGTATCCGTTAGACAAGGCTGCTTCAATCTCATGTCTCTCCTCAATAACTTCAGGACGACCAGTGATCAGGGGTTGCTGTCCAACCACGCTGATGGAGGATATGAACTGGAAGTGAACCTTGGTGGCCCTTGGTCGTGCGCAGGCGATATCTCGCGCTAGATGCACCAAGTTCTGCATGACCGAGAATTGAGGCTCGAAACTGGATAATGAAGATGCGCCGTTCATAGGCCAGGCATTGTGAATAATATGCGTGACGGAGGAGACGAGCGTTTTGTAGTTGGTTGAATTCAGTCCCAGTTTAATATCCGCCGTACTACTCTCATAGACGGAAAGCTTCTCGAGCTCCTCCGTGGTGAGATCAATTCCACGTGTCTCAAAAGCACGCTTCTGTCTATCTAGTGCATTTCCCTTCGTCATACGTCGATTGAGACAAAATACCGATGTCACGGTCGGCAGCCGAGCGAGATGCGCAGCAATATGGCTACCGAGACTTCCAGTTGTACCGGTTACCAGCACGCATACGTCTTTCACATCTTCTGCAGAAGAAGCAGTAGGCGCCTCAAAAGAGTTCACCGTCCGTTGTATATAGCCGTCTGCAATGCGTTGCCGGCCCGAGTTGTCCATATCGGCGGCTGGCTTAGTGGAGACCATCGGCACTCCAAGCGGCAGTCTCTCACGCTGCGGACCAGAAGCAGTGGCAAAGATGACTCGCTGCACACTCACTTCTGCAGAATGCCCATCCGTCCAATCCACATGGCCATACTCCACAGCGTGAAGATCGGTCTCCCATCGTTCCTCACTGGTGATAGCGTGGTTCCGCCCATCGTTAAACACCCACCATCCGCGGAACAAACCAAACACGATATCAATGGCAAACTGCGGCCTCGTCATTTCCAGCATCAGGAGCACACCGTCCGGCCGAAGCGCGCGGCGCATATGGCGCGTAGACTCCTGGAGATTCGATGTGGCATGCACAGCATTGCTGGCTATGATAATGTGCTGGGTGCCGATGAGGTCGTCTGCGGGCTGTTTCTCTATATCGTGCACCCGGTATTGGACAAAGGGGTATTCGCGGAAACGCCTTCTCGCCTGCGCCAGAAATGCGGGCGAAATATCGCTGAAAGTGAACTCTACCGGTATCCCCAGCTTCGCGAGCTCTGGGAGGAACCATTTCGTCCCTCCCCCAGTGCCCGCTCCCATTTCGAGAATGCGGAGTGGACCAGATGCTCCAGGCTTCTGCAATTTGTGTACTACTCGCTGGATGAAGTCTATCATCTGCTTGTAACCGGCGACATTATGTGGCTCATCACCGTACATCCAAGAGACGAGCTCCTGGCCTTCCTTTGTGCCAAATATCAACTGCAGCCCGTCTTGGTCTCCGCGAAGCACAGCAGCGAGCTTACTCCCAGTGAAATATGCCAGACGACTAGCACCGGAGTATTCGGGGTAGACTCGTGAGATCTCTTCCAATATAGCCGTGCTCGACTTGACAGGAGGCTTGATTGCAGTGCGAACTGCAGTAGTTCCGTCCAGATCCACTAGACGCGCCTCTTCAAGCCTCTTGTACAGATAGTCCACCAGCTCCTGGTGTTGAGGATCAAACGTAATAGGCGCCATGCGTTGACCAGAAGCTGCAGTACGCACCGAGCAACCCAGCTCTTCGAAAGCTTCCAGTGTCAAAGCAACACAGAGTTGAGACTGCAACGGAGCAAAGGCATGTAGACGACCACTGCATTGGTTCTCGGCCAGGAAGCGATCGGTCAGAGCTTTGGTTTCGCCAAAGGCCTCGAGGACGATGTCATGGGGAATATTCAGTTCGGAAGCATATGATGTGACACTGGTTACTGAATCGGACATGGGAGTCGCGAGTAGTTGGTCAGAATTGGACGCATTGCTGGATTCGTCGGGCTCCTCGCTTGTAGTACTCGCATGTTCAGCATCTTCACCCAATGCCGATTCAACCGCCTTTACTAAATCCCGGAATGTATCGGCTTCCATGAGGTCCGTCGGGGCAAGAGTGCAAGAGAGCTTCTCCTCCATTTCCTTGGCAAGCTCCATGGCCATGAGGGAATCAATTCCTGCATCTGCCATGTTACCGTCGTCCTGGATCTCACTGGGGTCCATCGCGCAGAAGTTCGCCACAATAGCCTTCACATGAGACGCCAAGTCCGACTTTCTCTTCTTTGGTACACCAGTCACAGGCGGCTTGGGATGGCCTGGTAGACTCGAGGAAGATGAAGACTTTTCAGCAGCCCTAGCAATTTGGTTCGTGACGGGGACAGCACACCCAGGGGCAAACCTGCTGAGAATCATCGAAAATGTTGTCTTCACCACCTGGGCATACTGCATTCCGAGAAATACTTCGACAAGGTCCCCTGTGCTGGGGTCAAACACAAAGATGTCACTCATGTAATACCCTTCATGACGCTGATGCATCACAAAGACATCCCAACTGTCAGGACGAGGGGTCGCCGTATCTGCATATTTCGGAGTGCGCATCCAGCGCTCCATGCCGTTTGCAAGATAAATGTCCGTAGGCGCGCGATCGGTCATGCAGTTGACCCAGAAACCACTTACCTGGCTAAAACAGTCACACAGATATGGATCTGCCCAGGTCTCGGGGCTGTATTTCTTGACCACTCTTCCCGCGGACTCGGTCCCCTTGCCGACGAGTTTCTGCACGCCGCGGTATTGCTCAGAGTAATCGACAATCTCGGAGAACGAGGGATACATCGCACGACCTTGGATGATATCGTCGACATCGAGGCTATTGAGAAGCTCTTTGCAACGATGGTGCGGTACGAGACGGCGGTATTGGGCCCATTCGTTGGATACCTTGCCATCATCAGGTTGATACAGAATGATCCGAGCCTGGCAATGGACAAGGCTTGATTTCTGGCCTTTAGACGGGTCGTGTGTGATATACTTCATGTCCCATATGCGTCGCTTTGGATCCTGGGTGGTGAGTTCTATCTGAAGCTCCTTGGACGGGTCTAGACACAGCGGCGCATCGCTTGTAACATTGTGAACCTGTGGCACCATTCCTTTACCTTCGGGTATACTGAAGAGGGCTTCCAGAACGGTGTTGAGAATAATCGATGCCGGTGCAACAGGCGCCGTGTGTGCAACAATATGTCCGGTTACTGCACTCTGGTAGCGAGGGTGAGCTGTGTTGATGCGGAATTTCGCTGTCTCCTTGTTTCGTCCCTCGTAACCCATAAAGCAAATCAGATCATCCTCTCTTGCCTGTGCACTTGTTGGATGCGACGTAGTGGATGGTAGCTTTTTATTATCCATCCAATGCCGTGACTTTTCAAACTGATATGGAGGGAGAAGAACAGGGCCGTATTCCGGGGACTGGCAAGCATGGTGACCCCAGAAGCGAACGAACACGCCCTCCCTCCAGAGACTGATAGTCCTGTCGGTGAGATTCTGCAGGCCTGCGTTACTAGTGATATTGACGGCCTGGAAATGATGCTCGCCGGAGGACCCCAATGCCCGCGCCGCCATCAACGTAATGGTGGAGTTTGATCCTGCCTCAAGCCAGACACAAGACTTGTACTTCTCTGCGAGGCGTTCGACAGCTTGGTTGAAGTAAACAGGGCGACGAAGGTGATCGGCAACAAAGGTAGTTGGGATGGTGCAGTTCGACGGATTTTCAGTAGCATGCTCCAGGTGGATAGATGGCTGATTCAATGTCAATCCATCGGTTACGTGTTCGAGCTCAGTGACAAGAGGGTCCACTAGCGAGGAATGGAACGCATTCGTCACAGAGAGACGTTTTGTCCTGATGTGCGAGAACCTGAGGTTCGTCCTGATGACATCCTGGATCTTGTCAATGGAACTGGTAGACCCAGCCAATGTGAAGCTCCGTGGGCCATTATAGCAGGCAATGCTGGCAGGGAAGCCCCCAATAGGACACGAAGTGTTGTGCTCATTGAGTAGCTGCTCTACTTCAACACGGTCTGCCTCGACTGCCATCATCGCCCCCGAGTCGCTTCCCCAGCTGTCTCGGATAATGGCTGCGCGACGAGCCACAAGAGTTAAAGCGTCAGCAAGGGAGAGAGCGCCACATACACACAACGACGTGAGCTCCCCAAAGCTGTGACCAACCACTGCAGCAACAGAGAGGCCTGACTGGATCCAGCTCCGAGCGCATGCGTACTGCAGGGCGAATAGCTTGGTCTGTAATTTCACCTGATCATTGATGGGTGCATGTTCAAAGATGCCAGGATATAGCCCTTCATGGCCCATTTCTTTCAGGGTCGTATCGCAGTCATCAAGGTGCTGACGCAGCAATGGGAATGCATCGTAGACGCCACCGTCTAGCCCGACAAACGTCGAGACCTGGCCACCAAAACAGAGTACCACTGGGCGACTTGATTTTCTCAGCTTAGTGATCTGCGGACCCCTCCCATCGATGATGGCGGTGAGGTTATTGTCCAACTCCTCCGGCGATGCGCATCGGAATGCAATCTGAGCTTCGAGAGCAGGATTGGACTGACGGCACATGTTGTAGGATATATTGGCTAGAGAGGCCGAATTCCCTGCTGAGATCGACTTTTCACGAATGAACTGGCGAACCCGCTGAGCATAGTCACGTAGTCTGTTCTCATCGGAAGCACACATGCGGAATGGGAGGCTATTGCCCGGCGTGTGTATTGACGATTGGCAGTCTTGCAAGGAAGATGCAGGAGACTGTGTAATGACCATAGATGCGTTGGACCCGGAAGCCCCGTAATTATTTATGAGGACCGCACGGTAACCGGCGTCCCACGGCATCAAGCGCGTAGGAATAGTCATATTGTCATCATGCGACGTTGATATGTGCGGGTTGAGCGTCTGGAAGTTGGGCTGTGGCGGTATCTTTCCTTCCTGGAGCATCAGGAGCACCTTGACCAGAGCTATCAGGCCAGAAACCCCTTCGGTGTGACCTACAAGGCCTTTGACAGATCCGAGGAACAACGGTGCTTTTCTCTGAGGTCCTCCGAGGGATTGCCTAACGCTAGCATACTCCGCCGGGTCTCCAGCTTGCGTCCCAGTTCCATGTGCCTCCACAACAGAGATATCACGAGGCAGGATGTGTGCACGGGCGGTCGCTTTCTTGAAGAGACCAGCCAGGGACTGAGTATCTGGAACCACGATGGGAGTGCAGTTTGCATTCTGCTCTACTGCTGTGGCGGCAATAGTCCCGAGTATCGTATCACCGGCTGCTAGAGCGTCTGACATCTTCTTGATAAATATTGCCGCAAAGCCCTCTCCTCGACAGTACCCGTCCGCTTTGGCATCAAATGGCTTGCAAGGCCCAGTGGGGCTCACGAAAGATGCTCCGGCAAGGTTGTCATATGCAAGCGGACTCATTATTGCATTTGCACCGCCCACAATGGCAGCGGTGCAGTCGCCTTTCAGGATGGCCTGGCAGGCTTGGTGTAGGGCAACAGCGGAGCCCGAACAAGCACTGTCAACGCAGAACGCTGGCCCTCTCCATCCGAAGTAGTGGCTTAACTTGCCGGCCAGGAAGCTCCGCAGGAGTCCGGTGGCAGCGTATGCGGATGCTGGGTGGCAGTTCACGTTGTGCTCGTAGTCCACAGTGCAGGAAGCGATGTAACATCCGATATTTTTGTCGATATCATCCTGCTGAAAGTATCCTGCTTGCTCCAAGGCCTGATAGGCCACCTGCAAGACAAGACGCTGCTGCGGATCCTGAGACATCGCCTCTCGGGGAACCTTCCTAAAGAACTTGTGATCGAAAGCGTCGATATCTCGAACAAAGTTCCCAAACCATGGCCGGATGGCGTCGGGCCTCCACGGAGTCTCGAAGTCTTTGTATCGTTCTAGGGGAAGCTCCTGATGCTGCGACTGTCCCGAGCATAGCAACTTCCAGAACTCTTCCAAATCATCTGCACCAGCAACACGACACGCCATTCCAACTACGGCAATGTCTTCATCGTACACGCGGGGTGTCTGGAGGAGTGGCGAGACCCGAGATGAAATATCGATATCCAAATCGGCAAAATGGATAACCCTCCCAGAGAGAGAACGAAGAAAGTTTGGAGGTACACATCTCTCGGGGCCGAATTCCACGATGACTGCATCGGTATCCGAGAGGTGCTTCTTGTGCACTATAGAGAACGTCTGTAGCCATTGACATTGCTCCACGAGGATTGATCGGAGAACGAATTCGTGGGTAGGATACTCAGTCTTGCCCAGCTTTTCTCTCCCTGGAAGCTGCAGTGCTGGATCAGCAGCACATATCTTCATCAACGGAAGTAAGGCGTCCTCGTTCCCAGACCAGTGATACCGTCCGTTGAAATCGACTTGAGTGGCAATGAATCCATCTGCTTGGAGCTTCTGCTGGAGCCGTCTCACATCTCGCCGGGGTGTCATGATTGTCACTCGGTTCTCATCGAAGCAGACAGTAACGTAAGCCTATTCTGTCAGTGTAATCTCCCGGTATGGATGATGGTCAAAATTACCTTGGGGAAGTCCTTCAGACAGCCCGCCAATTTCTTCTCCAACTCAGGGGCTTTCCACACTGTCGCCAGCGACGTGTATGCCTCCTCCATCTCTTGAGCGTCACCAATGGCACCCATCAACATGGACAACCGCAAAGCAACCGACGCACGCTCTTGGAAGGTGTCCACACGTATCGAATTGGACACGATAGAAGCGCTTAATAACCCGATACAAAATCCAACATTCTCCACAATAAGGTCTGACGATGGACGCAGGTGCCCATTTGCTGTACAGTCTGGGTAGACGAGCTTCATGTACTGCAGGTATTGCAGGAAATGCGTTATCATTAACAGTGGAGCCAGCTGGATATAAGGCAATGGGAATCTCTCAGCCGGCACGTTTCCTGTCCTGAACCAGTCATTCAATGCATGGAGCTGTTGTGCCCCGGGGATTGTCTTCAGCTTCGGAAGATAGGTAGATGCGGTCCGATAATAGACAGGAAGCTCCGAGATGACTTCTAACATCCAACCGTATTCGGGAGAGTCCAGGACCGTATCACGGAGCCGGTGGAAGTCATTTTCATTGAAGGAGAGACATTGGCAGCCAAATAGCAAGACCGTCTTTGCCTTCGAGGAAGGGAGGAAATGCGTGGTATCCATTTAGTACGAAACGGAGGTATGATTGAGGGTAGGGACGATTGGAGATGTAGGATGGCAAAGGAATGCCGAGGAAGACCGTCCTCTTGACTAGGCCATCCACGAAGCGTTCGGGGGAAAAGAGCAACTCGGTGCTTAACAATATGGACCACAAAGGCGTTGTCTATCTTCGTTGAGGCAATATGCGCAATCTAAATATTACTTTTTCCGGGCCCATGCTGGGCTCCCGTCGGAGTTTGTCTACGGGCTATCTCTTCGGCAGCCACACTCATCCCAGCCGTGATTGTGTCACGACTACATCTGTTGCTGTCCGTCACCTATGCGGGCCGTGCGTGTCTCCAAGCATGGTCAGAGTTGTGAGTGACGGGGGTATGCGGCTTATCTGCTCGCTGTGTAAGCGACTATATAACTATAATGGCTACAGCTCCGGGAAAATGGCTAGAGTCTTAGAACCACTTCGTATCTAGCTCAAGCATGAATGATAAAACACATTGCGACTCCTATTTAGCCTTCATCTGTTATGTATCCGCCACAGGGCTCCACATTAAGGAGCAAACACAAAACGTCCCAGTCTGAGACACCATTACTCGTCAAATCAGTGGCCTCCTCAAGATGACTGGTTCATGAGGGATGGCCTGGACTCAATACTGGGTTTTTAACTCTGTCGAGGTCTTGCAAACACCCCAGAACCTCCTGAAGCATGAAATCAAATGCTGAATCCAGGTATGCATGAGCCGTGAAGAATTCCACACACATCATCAACGGTATTGATGTTAACGGATGCACCTATAAACGTCAGATGTATGACCATTATAATCGGCTCGTCTGCTAGTACCTTGAAGTAACCCAGCTGTGCTTGCAGCTTGAGCAAGCTGAGCACTTCGTGTGCGGCCAGGATACATAACCGTTCATACTCGATAATCCCTAAGAGATGGTCTCCCGTCTTCCATGTAATCGACTCCAGGACATTGTGCAAAAACAGGACTAGCGTTTGGGCCACAATGCGCGCAAATATGAGCATCGGGTCTACCTGGGCTGATGTTGATAGCACCTGGATGCGGTGATTCAGCACATCGTGCAGCCATCGATGGCGATTCCAAAAGCCATCAAAGATATCCCCGTTGATCTGCTCCACAGCTACCTTTTGGCGATGCGAGAGAGCCTGTCCGCAGATCGTGGCGAGGATTATACATTCACCGAAGGACGAGGTAACGCTCGTTCTTTGGCCATGGACGCCTTTGCTCAACACTTCGGGCAAATAGCTCGAGATGACCGGCTGCCCTGCCTGAAAATCTTCTTCCGGGGCCGGCAGGCGTGTCGAGATCTATCGTTGTGCGTTAGCTCCGCCTTGTTCCAAGGCTCCTAGGGCCATACCAGCTGTTCGTTCAGCGTGAAAGGCAAACTGCTGTGGAAACTGATGAAACGATCCAGCGAATACGCCATCCAGAACGTTCGACGTTGCTCCTCCAATGCTGTCCAGTCTACCAAGCCTTGATCCTGGTCTGGGCTCATTGTGATCGGGCTATTGGGATCATCCAATTCATACAACCGCATACCAAGGACCAAGCGGCAGCACCGCCCGATGCTTATCCAGCCCTGCTGAGGGGATACGTGCATGTATTCGTAGATAGAAACCAAGACCCACGCCTGTGCCTGTTCGATCGTGACCATTTCCATCCGCGAACATCGGAGATCGAGGATGTCCAGCATCCGGCGAGTCTCTTGATGCAAGGCATCCCGGATACCTTGGAACTGCGCAGACATAGAGGCAGCAAGGGTCCACATGGCATATTGTAGACATATCTGACCATCTGACTTTTTTGGTTGCTTTGCCCAGACCTGATACTTCCAGCGCTGAAGAATCGGTGCAAACGAGTGGACTCGGTCGAAATATAGTTGGTCCCTGCCCATGTCAGATCCGGCCTGGTTCATTTTTCCACAGGAAGACTCACAGGTCGGCTCGCATTAGATCAGACACTAGCCCAGTGCTTCGGACTTTTGGGTCTGGAGATGATGTCAGTCGAGCGTCTGGTGGACTTTCATCCCCCAATGGCTCTGCAATGGGCTCAGGCACAGCTCCAATCTCTCGAAACGGATCATCCTCCCCATCGCAGTCCAGTACAGACCCATCAAACAGCCCAGCCATCTGATGGGTGATTTCTGGGTGTTGGTCGGCAAGACACCGCTCAAGTGCCGCTAATGCGTGTTAGTAGTAGCTCATAGCGCCACTTATAGATACACATACCGATGCGAGTCCGCAACGTCCGGAGCTGTCCTTTTCTCGGACCCCTTGGGAGTCTCGTGGTGTTGATCTTGCATTCGATGCCGTTTTCGAAACAGACCTGACATTGAGGACGACGACGATCGCAGCGAACTTTCCGTCGACGACATTCCTCACAGGCGGATCCAGGGCGCTGCCGCGACATGGTGGGAGTCGTGACCATCTTGATGATCTTCATGTAGATGGATAGAGCTACTAGGTGCCCGGATACTACTCATGTATGGTTTATTTCCACGAAGCATGACCTCCTGTTCCAAACCATATATTGTCCCCAGTGGCATCCTAAAAATGAACACTTATACATCCCCCATTGAATAGCCTTCTCCCACGATAGAGTGTTTCAAACCGTTATTGCCTAGCAGATACAATCCGTGTCACTGGCAGGAGGAGCTATTGTGATGTAGCCCAGCTGCAGTCCTCTCATCCAGGCACATTCCAAGTGGACAAACCGTTGTTGTAACGGGTTCCTGCTGGGAAACAGGTCATTTGCTGGTCCAAAGAAGTTTGTTAAGGACGTGGTCGGGCTAGTTGGTGTCCATATGCCATGGTCTTCGCACGCTCCAACCCTCCTACCGTGGCGTTGAAGTGAGTGCCAAGTTTTGGATTTCTATCTCGACCATTTGGACCAGGTCCAAATATCTGGGTATGCACTTGGAGGTCTGGCCTCGTGGTCACACTTTGGCAGGGTCTGGATGTTGCCCTATATGCTTACCCGAACATCTCTACAAGTGCTGGCTCTACTGGTTTCCGACTGACATAAAGCACGACGAATTTAACATTTAGCGAGCCCAATATCAACTTGTACATATCTTCTACTATTCCGATGTTGAGATGCATTATGGGACTGCCCTAACCTGTTTCGGCATTCAGCTTCATAACCATTAGCGGTGCTCAATGGATCTTTCCTCCAACATGATCTAGGTCTTTCACTGTAACGATCCTCTCAGGACTTGTGTGAACCACCACCAGATCCCTATATACACAGCAGAAACGGCCTGGTCAATTGGAACTCTCGTGCGACGCACCCTCGTTCCAACCCCCTAATATCATATCCCCCTCTAGCCTACGTGCTTCAGGAAACCCTCGTACAGGAGGGTGAAAAGCGGCCTTGTACATGATAACCCTGTCGACCTCACATCCACTCCCAATAATATTCGATTTTTTGTTTCACAGCCTTGCATTTACTGTCAACGTCGTGATCTTGTCCCGTCGGATGAGATTCCGGATGTCGTGAACCCAGGCGGCGGCGAAGATGGTCCTGTCTTCCATCGGAGAGGATCGATCTAGATCCTGTTACGATGCAGTTGGGGGCTTCCAACATTGTATGTGTATGCTACAAGAAATACTAACAAGTTAGCTAGCAACATGAGTACAACAGTACCACCATCATGATCTCGTAATTATTAGCTTACCCTTTCCGAAGGATTCTGTGGATTCTTGTAGTCTTGGAATCAGAGCTCGAAGAGCTTCAGGATTCAAGCATCATGTACAGCGATTATTGATATCCAGACCATCCTCACCGACACGGAAATGCAAGCCTGCTGTCTCGTGTCAAGGTATACCCAGATGACATCTGCAGGTGGCTCCATTGCGAGAAGAGAACGACGCAAACATCGCGTTTCAAATCATCCAACAGTCATATGGGTGGTGTATGCAAGTAGGTTCAGTCTTCCTGCCCTACGAGCAAAGATATCGGAGTTTTCGTTGTGCCGGGGATTCATATATCGATTCGATGTTGACTGAATCGTTGGCGAACACACGCCCATTTTCTGATCACCTCATGTGTCTGGTCAATTCTTAAGTCTCCCTCTGTTAGTGCAGTCACAATCATTATCTCTAACACTCAACGTTCTCTCCGGCAAAATGGCAACCTTCGACCATATCGAGGATGTCATCGGCCAGCTACCTATGCTGAAGAGCTACACCCATATCTTGCTGTGCTTTCCCCTCGCTGAGAGCCAACTCAATGAAGCCATCGAGAGCCTTGAATCTGCTGTACGTCAGGTTATAAAAACCTTTTCGTTCTTGGCTGGCAAAGTAGTCAACGAAGGCAAGGGACCCAACAGCTCGGGTACTTTCAGGGTCGCTCCCTGTGAGACGTGGGAGTCCCCAGATCATCAATTTGTGCGAGTCGTTGATCGCTCTTTCATGCTGGCCTCCTACGATGAGATCCGCGGAGCACAGGCACCTGCTTCCATGCTCCCAGGAAGTCAACTCGGGTATCGGGTGGCTTTTCCAGCGCATTATCACGAGACAGAGGACGATCCCGCGCCGGTCCTGGACATTCAGTGCAATTTGATACGGGGCGGACTGCTACTTGACATCGCTGCCCAACACAACATTATCGATGCGAGCGGTATCTTTCAAATTGCCAGCTTGATCGCTCTTTCCATGCGAGGCGAGTCAATTCCTGAGGATGTCATCAAGGAAGGGAACCGTGATCGACGCAATATCATTCCACTACTAGAGGCAGATGAGCCTCTTCTTGATCACAGCGAGCTCAAAGCCAGCAGCGCGGTGCAAAATCCGCCGCCCGTCAACTTCCTCCAGGGGTATAAATGGCAAATCTTCAAGCTCTCTGCCGAGGTGTTAACTCGAATTACCGCTGAAGGACGACGACAGCCACAGGAGTTTGTCCCCTCCGTCACATTTGTCTCGGCAAACGATTGCTTGACAGCCTTTCTGTGGCAACGGGTGATAGCCATGCGCCTGAAGCGGCTCCATACGCCCGAGGCCGTATCCAAACTGAGCCGTGCTGTTGATCTTCGGCGGGCGATGGGCATTACCCCAGCATACATGGGCCATATGATTCGTGTCGCAAATACTAGTCTCACTTTTCAAGAAATTGTGGCATGCTCTTTATCCAGGCTTGCATCTCTGCTCCGCAAGAGCATCATCGATGTCAGCCAGCCGTATGCGATTCGGAGCTACGTGACCTTTATTGCAAATGAGACGGATAAATCAAAGATTGCGTATGCGGGTGCTTTCAATCCTTGCACCGACATGTCGTGCTCGTCCATTGCACACATCACTGCTCCTGAATTCGGTCGTTTGGGAGCGCCTGACTTTATAAGGAGGCCTACCTACGGGCCTCTGCCGTGCTGCACCTATGTCGCTCCCGATAAGAACGATGGGTACGTGATATTGATGTGCTTACACGAGGATGAGTATAGAGCTTTGGATCAAAACCAGGCATGGTCAGACGTTGTGAAGCGCATCGGTTGATATGAGAATAGGACGATAGCTCTAGATTGCTGGATGAGATAGCGTGACGAGGGTTTCTTAGCTTATAGAGATCAGACACTATTATCCATTGCTTCATACTGTCCTATCAATACAACACCATGATCATCTCCCACACACTTGTCAATTACCTGCTTTGCTTCTCTGCATCATCCTCTCTCGTCTCCACCAAGCCTAGGTCAGCAACCAATGCCCGGTTCAAGTCATACTTCTTCACAAATGCACATATAAACGTCGCGACCCCCGATATAGCACACATGGTTGCCCAGATAATCCTCAGACTATCGGTATACGCCACCTTCAGATGCTCCTGGGCCTCAGCCGACGGAATCCCCTTGATGACCGTCACCAGCGACGCCGCGTCTCGACTTAGTGCGACAGCATCGGCGGCAAATTCCGGATACTTAAAGAGATGATGTCGCATCTGGTTCTGAAAGATGACGCCGCCGACGGCTATACCAATTGCCTGGCCGAAAGCGCGGAAGAACACGACCATCGCCACCGCCATGGTGAGATTCTTGTTCGTTGCAGACGCCTGCACAGTACAGACAACAGCAGCAGTGACTATACCCATTCCCAGCCCACACGGGATGTTCAGGAAGATCCATCCGGCTGTGCTAGTATGCAATTTAAGCAGGCAGAGAAGGCCCAGCCCAATGGTGCAGATCGTCCATCCCATCCACAGACCCCATCGGTAGCGGCCGGTCATTGTGATGATGAACCCGCAGATCACAGCTGCAGGCGCCACCGTGAAGGTCTCTGGGAACAGCGCGACGCCGGTGATGATGGGCTTGAACCCGCGAGCGGCTTCATAGTACAGAGGTAAGTAGTATAGGTTGCACCAAAGGATCAAGCCTTGGATACCACTCGCGGCAAACGCAATAGTTGCACTTCGGTTATTGAAGACAGACTGCGGGATCATGGGTTCGGCAGGAACATAACATTCATAGGCGATAAACACGGCTATGCCGACTGCACCAACTGTGAGAGGTACCAATGTGCGCCATGAGTCCCAGTCGTACATCACTCCTCCCCATGATAGGGGGATGAGGAATGACGAGACGCTTCCAACAAACAGAACTGTCCCGATCCAGTCGATGCGCACGAGTTTGGCCTTGAGCGACCCCGGAGGAGTGGCTAAATGGAAGAAAAAGACCGTGAAGAAGGCTGCAATACCAATGAAAGGGAAGTTGATATAGAAAAGCCAGCGCTGGAATACGCCATTAGTACATTGCCAGTGAACAGCTCAAGACATAGCGTACCCATGTAATGTTTTCGGAGAAGCCACCTCCTACGATTGGCCCTAGCACTGAGCCCAAGCTGTACATTGCACTGAGAATCCCATAGTAATTCCCTCTTAGCCTCAGGGGCACCAGGTCGGTCACAAGCACTTCAGAAAGCATTGCAAGCCCTCCTCCGCCCACTCCTTGTATACAGCGACCTACCAACATCTCGGTGAAGTTGTTGGCAAGTCCCGCGACCAAGGCACCGACCAGAAAGAGCACAAGAGATGCATTGATCACAGGCCGGCGGCCGAAGATACTGGACAGCGTGGCCGTTGCTGGCTGGAACACTACTCGCCGGTCAGTATAAATCCGGTCTGTGAAGGCAGAAAACCCACCAGTTGAGCACAAGAGAAAAGATGTCCCTGTCCAGAAGGCTTCCATAGCGGATCCATGAAGCTCACTGGCCATTGCCTATGCGACCGTCAGTAGATCCTTGAGACGATTTGAGGATAGACCTACTGGCAGCGCAACTGAAATAGATGTCCCGTCCAAAGATACCATCAGCGACAAGACTGCCAAAGTGAAGAAAATCAGCCGACCCGTCCAGGACAACTGGAAGTCCTGGTAGTCGGGTACCGGTGTATCTTTCTCTTCTCCATGGACTCGTTCCTTTCCATTAGATGCCTTCAACACGATCTTTTGCTCGTCTTTCTCCGGGTTATCTGCCGGTCCAGCAGTAGTGATCTCAGTGGACGTCATCCTGCAAGGGCTGCCAGAACTCTGCTGTGCAGTGTTGAGAAAGCCGACAATACTGTGAATGCATAGGGTGACAGAGCTCCAGAAGAGGGAAGCATCACGCCTTTTCCAGCTTCCAATGGTCCTGCCAGCGGCTTAGTCTGGATCTGGACGGAGGGTATCACCCACATAAGAGGACTACGACCGAATCTCTTGTTTGCTGTTCCAGACTGCGGTCTCGATTTACTCCGTCAGGGCAGGCTAGATTGATTGTTCATCACTCTACTTCGTATATCATGGGTAACCACTTATCCGCGGGTTCTTGCAGTCGTGTAACCGTGTCAGTGACAAGGAATCGCGTCTAAGTTGAGTGATCTGCGGGATTAAGAGAGAAAGATTCGAGTGGCAGATGCTAAATGCATGGCAGATGAAGCTAGTGGCATTTCCATAGGTCCTTCGCTCTTTGTCTCCCTGGTTTGTGTTACCGTTCCCACTTCCGCAATGTGTATCGAGCCCATAAGAGTACCCTGGACGGCATCGACAAATTGATGTCGTGCAAGGCCCTCTTGCAGGGGAGATTCGGCCAGATATCACACCGAGTCTGACATCATCCAGCTGGACGCATATTGGGCAGATGCATGATATCGGTGGTACGCAGACGTTAAGTCCGTAGTTCTGGATCCGTGCTCTTGGCGAGTAGTCTCTTGTATAGAAGACCTTTGGGGTCATTGTTTAGATTGAAAAGTGTTCTGAGTAAGAGCTAGGTTGATCAAGCATTCAATAATCCAGTCCACAGAATGTTGACGTCCCCAGATACGGAAATTCCCAGAGAAGAGGGCGCAGGAAACGCCCGAGGAATGGAGACGCCCACTGATGACCGACTAGAGATCGTCATCATAGGCTGTGGCATTATCGGCTCCGTTCTCGCCCTTGGCCTCATCCAGAAGAACATCAGAGTGAAGGTATACGAGCAAGCAGGAACTCTACGCGAGATCGGAGCCGGCATCGCCTTCACCGCCAACGCTCGAGAGTGCATGTCGTTGATAGACCCGAGAATCGTCGACTGCGTGAACGCCGTGGCGACGGCAAACGGGGACCCGGAGAATCCCAACAACAACATGCAATTCATCGATGGCTACACCCATACCCCTGGGGAAGACGACATGAAGGGGAAGATCCTCTACAAGCTAGCCGCCGGGCCAAGAGAGTTCGAGGGATGCCATCGGGCACACTTTCTCGAAGAGGTGATGAAGCTGATGGCGGATGGAGTAGTACAGCTCTCCAAGCGCCTGGAGTCAATCGAGGAGCCGTGCGGTGACAAGCTTGTGCTGACATTCAGCGATGGCACATGTGCGATTGCCGATGCGGGTACGTACATTCCATTCCCTCTCCAGGGCCTGGGGAACTATCAACTAACCCAGGTCATCCTCTAGTGATCGGGTGCGACGGTATCAAGTCGCGGGTCCGCGAGATCATCCTGGGCAAGGACAACCCGGCCTCGTACCCGCACTACACACACAAAATCGCTTTCCGCGGACTTGTTCCCATGGACGAAGCCATTGCCAGACTAGGGGACTACCGCGCACGCAATCAGCACATGTACGGGGGTCCCGGGGCGCACGTTCTTCACTTCCCTGTCGCGAAGCAGAAGTTGATGAATGTGGTTGCGTTCGTCGACGATCCCAATGAGTGGCCACTGGATCGCGCCATGTCCCAGCCTGCAACCAAAGGTGAGGTCGCCGCCGCATTCGAGGGCTGGGGACCAACCGTCCGGTCTATCATCGACCTTCTGCCGCCGGAGCTGGAGAAATGGGCGGTGTTCGACTCGTTTGACCACCCTGCGCCGACGTACTCGCGTGGTAGGGTGTGCATCGCAGGTGATGCTGCCCACGCGTCGTCGCCACATCACGGAGCTGGAGCTGGTATCGGGATCGAAGATGCGTTGGCTCTGTCGGTGTTACTGGAGGGTGTCCAGAAGAGCTGTAGAACTTCTGCTGGCAACCGATGGAGGTCATTGGAGAAGGCCTTTTCGCTTTTTACCGATGTCCGTCATGAACGATCCCAGTGGCTTGTTCGTAGTAGTCGAGAGGCGTGTGAGATCTACGAGTGGAATGATTCCAAATGTGGTGCCGATATGACGAAAGGCCATGAGGAGATCACCCGGCGTTCTCACAAGATCTGGTATTTCGATATTCAAGACATGATACGGAAGCTGGAGGAGGGTTATTCCCGTGAAATGGGGTTGGGATAGAACTAACTATTCTTGTTGTCTCTCCGGACTGTTTATCATCATGTTCTGCGTTTTACTATGAAAATGTACTTGTCTATTAGAATAATCATCGTCAAGACTGTCTTTCTTCTCTCTATAAAGCCGTTCTTCTTCCGGTCTGTTACTCTTCATATCCCAGCCACTTTCGGGACTGCACTCTTTCCGCCTTGCTTTGGTTGCCCCAATGGCGGTCAATAGAGGCTGCCCTGACGTGTTCCATAGGAGAACTAGTCCTGGTTATGCAATTAGTCGTGGTGTAAGCGTGTCTGTCCTAATGGTGGTTATCAACTTTTCCTTCTCTCTATGGAGTCTTCCAACGGTAAACGCCCCTCCATCTAGTTCATTCCAGGAGGCTTATTCGAGAAATGCTCGTTCTCCTTCAAGGCCCGTCAGTAGACTTTAATGATGTACGATTTGCCCATCAGACGCGAGTCTGTGTCGGTATTGTGTAGAAACCAGAATCATACTCTGAGTAAGAAGTAGGTAGATTACGACCTGCCATGATTTTAGTCCGATATTAGCGGCCACTATCAGTACTATCGCTAACTGATAAGGTCCGATAAGACGCATTGAATGGGGATAGTCTAATAGTCTCGCTGAATTGTTGGCATCAGATAGCAACAAGCTTTTCAACATCGATATCACCACTTTGATGGTTGAACTACGGGAAGCACAGACTGGATATTTACTTTTCAAACATCTAGTGGTTCTCCCATTAGATCTTCAAGATATCTATATAGAAGTCGGCCATAGTAGTCACGACATCAGGGTTCAATATATATCTCCGCATACTTAGTATGAAGTATATCTAACTTTACGTCTCGCATACATCGTGACTCCCAGCACAATCAGCTCCTAAATCTATGAGGAAGAAATGGCATTAGAATAATCTCAAACTCCCAACATTTCAGCCAGCACTGGACTCCGTGTCAACTCATACGCCTCCCTTATATAGTCGGGGTCCACCGAAAACGGCCTGGCGATCAAGTTGGGGATATATCTGTCAACCAGCTCCTCCACATTCACATTGCCTTCCAGAAAACCAGGCTTCAGAAGACACTGGCGGAACCGATCCACGGTGGAACGGAGGTGACTGGAGTGGAAAGGCACATCGATGCCCTGGAGGGGGATTGTTGCTCTGCCGCGTTGAAGCTCCACCGGACACGGAAGAACGTTGGCACCGCCAAACAAATCGCCGATCATTTTGTGCAGATCTGACGCGTCCGCAATTCCAACGACCAGTTCAGCGCCATCGGGACAGTCCGCGAGGTGGTCCAGGAGCTTTCCCAGGACATACAAGTTGGTTATCTGCATCGTCAGAAGGGAACATCCTTCAGGGCCAGGAAGGAGACTTACAGTGCCAGAACAGACATACTGCTCGCCATCCACATTGAAATTCACAATCTCGAGCAGTTCTCCGCTCTTGGAGGCAATGATGCGGACGACTTGATCGAGAGCTGCCTGGTTGAAGTCTAGTTTGGTCAATCACCCATTCTTCTGAGGGAGTAAGGGCACCCACATCTACCCACGCGTGCTGGGTTTACCGCAATCATGCCAAATGCCCCCTTCCCTTCATTATGGCCAGCCACAGATGCTTGCATCATTAGTCCGCGGTAGAACGCCAACTCTGCCAGCGAGCTTATGGGAATGCCCTGAGACAAGGCTGACAGAGCACCGTATTCACCCAGAGAATGTCCAGCATACACTGCGTTTGGTGATACATACCCGCCAGCACGGAGCTCGGCAAACACCGCTGCCTCAAACGTGAGAATGGCGGGTTGTGCGAATTGCGTTGAATACAGCAGCCCACGAGGATCGGTAAAGGTATACGATGTTGACTCTGGTGTGAGTCCTGCTAGGACTGGTTGCTGGCTGATACTACCATCGGGAGACACCGTCTCCGTCGTGATCGAAAGATAGTTCTGCCTTATTTTGCGACCCCGATGCCCCCCAAAGTGTACAGTGTGGCTCTTGGGGTTATTTTGCACAATGTCAAGAACCGACCAGCCTGCCTATGGTTAGTCCTTGCTGCACGACACGGAAGCAGTACCTATTCTCATACCGTATGTCTCATATAGATTCCGGTCTATTTCGTCCCACACTGCTTTCGCCACCGGGCTTGAGCCATATAGATCCATGCCCATTCCTTTGCTCTGGCTTCCCTGACCAGTAAACAGGTAAGCGGTCGCAGGCTGTTCTATCTCGGCCTGTGCGACAAGGACCGTCTCTGCGTTCTCTTTTCGAGTCACGTCGACAGTGAAGTTCATTCGGCCATCGATCATGCCCGTGTGCTTCAACTGTATCACCAGTTTCTCATTGGGGAACACCATCCCCGTGAAACTCGCCTGGAATTTCCGCAATCTCCCTCGGTCTTCCGGAAAGACAAGATGCTCCAACGCTGCAGCACTAACTGCGGAAGTGAACATCCCATGAGACAAAGTGCCAGGTAGCTGAGCTATCGTGGAGAAGATAGGTGATACATGGATTGGGTTGTAGTCCTTGGATATATCAGCGTACGGCTGGTTGCTGGCGGGCATCTGAACTTCCATGGATGATGGACCGGACCAGCCGGTCACCTTAAAGTCCGTTCGCGTGTCTCCGAGCGTTCCTCTGCGCGCGAGAAAGTCCAGGACCGGATTGCCTATGCAGTCACTGCACCTGAAGTTGACCAAGCCAACTTCGCCCCACTCATGACCATGAACCTGACAGGAGACATTTCCGCTGACATGGAGGCTCATAAGTCCCCCTTGTTTGTAGGTGACATGTGTCTCCAGGTTGAAGACAACCAACCGGCCCGCCAGTGATGGTGCATCTTCGCTTAGCTGGAACCATTCTTGATTGCGGAGCACGGCCTCGTCCAGCTCGGATGACAGCTCGAGTTTCCATACTGATTCCGTGGTATGGCTGAAGGCTGCAGCGCCCTGCTGGAAGGAGCCTCTGAATAGGAAGGAGGAGATGACTTTCAATACAGGTGTTCCTGCACGCAAGATTTGTGCCTCCACCGTGACAGTCTTTCCTGCCTCCCCAACTGTAATGCTCTGAACTTGAGAATGCGAAGTGACTCTGTCACCCACCCTCAGCGGTGTTGCTCCCGAACAGTACTCGAACGTATTTGAGAGGTGGACCAATTTGAGCAGATCTCCCTCAATCCCATGAATGACTAGGGGGCGGGAAATCACTTCCCAGGCTAGAACAATGCCTATGCTTATAGGCAGTGTATCAGTATCTGCAAACATCACGCGATGGTTGGGCAAAGCTGCTCCTGTCACTTCAACAAAGCTCTCGAGAAGTCCAGTGGTGAGTGTCATTTCACGTCCGTAGTACTTGTCATGGACGGTCATCTGAGGGTTGGCATGCTCCCCGAACCACAAGTTGCTATAGAAGGATTTGATGCGCTCATTACGATGTTTCATGACTTCACTCAACCCGAATGGACTGCGGCTCGGATCGAACTGATAAAACAACTGTAATGGGACCGGCGCGCTCTGCGTATGAAGTTCCATCGTTATATCCACTCCGTTATGGGACGTTATGTTTAACGAGGACGTGGCCGCATGTGGTCCCTGATGCAGGATCAAAATTTCAGATCGGTCAGGGTTGAAGTGCACTTTGGCCTCAGGGTAGGACTCGATGAATTGACGAAATGGGTTACTCCGGCGCACTCGATTCTGGATTATGTTCTCGTCGCCCAGAATAGCACGCACCCACACAGGGGCCATACGGCAATTCCCGAGACTGACAACACCGGAGAAGGACGGACTATCATCGTTGGAATCAGAGAGCGTCACCGATGACGGGAGGGACATCTCTTCTGTGAAGACGTCCTTCCCAGCAGCGGAAACACTCGACCAGGAGTCGGGCGTCACCAGGCCACTTTCCGGGGGAGTCGCAAACTCCATTGGCAACAGGTCCTGCTGAATGCGATCAACCAGTGATTGAGTGATAGTGTCCAAGATGTCTTTGGCCGTGTCCTCGCCGGTCTTTGAATATGGAGCCGCCACTGGACCATGGAGTATACACACTCGATCGGCATCCTGGTCGATTACTGCATCGATGTCCTCCGACTGCCACAGCGAGTCTTTCTTGAAATAGAACTCGAAATCTTCATTCAAGACCGGGATAAAATTGACCGGCTTTTGCCCTGGTTGTTTCGTCTGGAGTATAAAAAAAGAAACATCTTCCGGGTTCAAAACTTCATCTGCAGCAGGACAGGCATTTGCAAAGGCGCGTATGAAGGCCTCTGGATCTTCCGACAACGCCGTTTTTGATATTTCGGAAGTGACGCCGCAGTCATTCTGTGACCTCTCCAGGGCACGCAATGCGAACCTCATGGTCAAGTCCACGTAGCTGTGGTCGATCCATCGTCGTTGATGCTGCACATACATCAATTCGACCATGCGTGTAAGGACTTCGAGATAGGTCATATCTGCAAGATCAACCGCGTCCCCATCTCGATTTTTCCCAAACCACGGTTTTGCAAAATCACGGTTGAGGCGATGGATGATTTCTTTACGGTGCTTCGCCAAATAAGGTAGACGCTCCTTTTGCGAAAGACTGAACACGGTCTTGTCCATTTCAGCCCAGAAGCGGATCCCCTTGGTAGCCAGTTTGTGTATGGGTTCGCCCATTTCGGACCGAACAGTGATTATCCCTCCAGAAGCCCTAGTATACGTGTTCTCCCACTCCGAATCTTGGAGGCCTTCTGTTTTGATGATGAGCTCTTTGACTGCAGGGGATGTGTGAGACTCGCGCGCAACCATCATGCGGCTGCCCAGAAGCACGCCGTCGAAGGGCATTGGAGCATATCCCATATTCGTCGACCAAGAGCCTGTCAGGTACGGGTAGATTGAATCGCCGTCACCGAACCCGCTGCCAGCCACAAGATAAATGTTATGGTGCTGTCGGATGAGACCATACGTGCTGAGGATGGGAGAATGGAAGTCCTCGAAAGAGTGATGACCTCCACCCCGGCCACCTGTCCACTGAAGAATAATGGGAAACTGAGGATGTTCCTTAGCGATGGCAATGACCTGGCGTATACCCGATATTGACCCCGGTTTGAAGCTGATGTGACGCAGATTCAAGCTCCTGATGTAGTCAGTCACCACCTCTAGAGAAGGAACACCAGCCCCGATGGTCAACCCATCAATCGGAATGTTATTGTTCGACAGTCGCCGCAGAAGCGGAATCTGCCAACCCATAGCTCGAGGATTTGCATATATGAGGTTACAAGTGATTCCTCGGCCTGGAAGTATTGCTTTGGCGAGTTTGGTGATAGCAGCTTCCATGTCTGGTGCGGCATGATATCCTCCTCCTGCCAGCTCAACATGATATCCTGCATTCATAATCGCGGAGACAAAATCCCAATGGACAGTAGTTGGCGTCATGCCAGCAACCATGATGGGAGGTGTTCCCAAGAGCCGACTGAGGCGTGTTTCTAGCCCACCCGTTGGTCCTGCCACGAGCTTGGGCTGGAATCGCTGACTCCACGTCTGCAGTCTTGTTGCTGTATCCAGCAGACGAGGGGAGAAAAGGTCCTGCATAGTCCCGATCTCTGCCTCGTGGGAGTCCAAATCAGCACCTTGAATTATCCGTATACCCAGGCCCTCTGTCATCTTTTTCACCAAGGATCCAAGGCCTCCCTGATCGAACACCAAGACATGGGATATACCACAGGGTCGGTCACAACACTGTGTCAAATTTTCCAGTGCAATAGTCCAGTCGCAGGTTTCATGCGCGATGGCGTCGATGGCTACATCGAGCAGGTTCACATTGTAACCCAGCTCGCGAAGATCTCGCCCTGTGCTTGTGTGGTAGACAGGGATCATCAATTGGCCTGAAGAGATTCTGCGACCTGCAAATCGTGTCTTTGTCTCCTCCGCCGCTTTCTTAAGATAAGGCGTGTGGAACGGAGTACTTATTGGCAGAAAGACATGGTGGATGGACGGCTTCCTCTGGCTGAAGGGAATCTTGCTTTGGTCATCAGCGCACTTGATGCTCGCCAGATAACTATCAAGATGCACCAACGAGTCGACCGGGCCAGCTACCACGAACTGATCCCGCGAATTGACCAAGGCGACATGTAGCTGTGAGTTGCTCTGGACAGTCTTATTCAGACGAACAAGGATGGTGTCCAATTTTGTGCGTTCAATGCCACGCACACTGAGCATATAGGAAGGACTCGTCTGGTCCTCCGCCTGCGGAGAATCTTGATGATCGATGAATCGAGACGCACTCCTGGGGGCTCGACAGTGCGCCTCCCACCCAAGCCAGAAAAGTGCCTCCACAGCTAATCGGGAGTTGTCATAGAAGGCCTCCCAAGAATCTGACATCGAGATGGCTATTGACACTAGCAATCCCTGGGAATGACCGGTGGTTGCCTCGAATGAAGTCCGCAATTCGCCCGGCGTGAGCTTGAGCACATGGCAAACAATACTGTACCGCGCTAGGCTCAGGATACCTATTAGCGGCATGCTCACGGGCGCCTTAGCAATGAAGTCCACTGGCGGCAGTTGTGTCAAGCCGCTCAACCAGCCCTCCAGGTTGAAGTGCTGTCCCTGATAGAAATGCCTTATTTCCGGGTCCTGAGAGAGCTGGTCCACAAGCGCCCCGAGGACCCGAATCAAGGGCCGTAGCATATGCTGGTAGGTGGAATACAGATCTGATAGTTCTTGCATGCAGGTCAGGCTACCGTCCCCTTGACCACCAAAGATCGCCATCATCCTGAATTGTTTGCTCTGGACATGGCGCAAGAATGCACTCGGGCCTCCTCCAGTCAGGTTGTCATTATGCGTCGAATAGTTGTCTCCACTGGCCTCAACTGCGTGGTAGTATACGCGCAGCCATCGATGTCGGTCCTCGCGAGAGGGCGTTAATTGCACAATGAGACTATGTATGTCGATTTTCCCGAGCAAGAAGTGGCGATCAAACGACTGCACCACTGCTGCAAGGATGGACGGCGAAATCTGCTGCTGGCGGATGAGGTATTCGATGTAGGCCAAAGCCAATTCGACTGGGCTCTGCAGATCGATCGTTTCCGGCGCTGACGATATGGACATCAAAAACGTGTCCTTGAGCGGCTCCAGCACCGACGAGAAGTCGCTCGGTACTGCTAGCCCCAGTCGGATTTGCCGATAGTGGAATACCAAGTCGACGACACATAGCGAAGTAGACGAACAGTTGTTGGCGTTGTTGAACCCATTGACAGCAGCAGGCACAGCCACTCCAGGTGACCCAGACCAACTGCTTTCCTCTGCTCCTTTCATTTTGTTGATGGTCTCACCTCTCTACTGTCCTCTGTTGTTGAAATGCGGGAGGAAATGAAATAAGTTAACGGTTTGCAGTGGTCCTCAGTGGTTCATGTTGCGTATACGAACGTATGTATACGGTGAGGCAAGCCGGAGTTGCGAAGAAGACCGAATGCCAAGTGGGAGATCAGGGTCAAATTGTAATCCATTCAATCTACCATATGGCACCTGCGCGTACTTTTTGATCTGAATGCCGCCTGATCCACATATATAACAGGCGCATGGTCTTTTCCCTGACTCCTCCAAGCAGATTACCCGCGACTTAAGGCAGCCGCCCATGTTAGACCTTCAGGAATGGGTCTAGTCCGTTCTTTTTACCCGAATTCGGCGCCTGTTTGTCCCATCCAATGGTCATATTTGCGCCAGCTGCAGTGAAACAGTCTGACAACTCCAACCCTGCGGCAACCGGAGTTTTGCGGGCGGACTTACACCGAATCCTTTGTCCAACATGGGTCCAGGAGTCTTGATATGGGCATAGAGATATTTTGCTCGCGCAAGTGGGTAGATGAATCCCTATTGCAGTTGTTATATGTCTCCCAGTATCGAGGCTAAACATATCATATGTGGGTGATCACTCAGCCGCGCTGATCAAGTGGTATAAACAGAAGCACCACAGTAACTGAGTACCAGTACCTATCGAATCGTCTGCGCGGATGATCATATCACAAATCCAGCAGCTTTCGAATACTCAACTCGATTGTCCTTTTCACGATAGGAGCACCAACCATGACATGTGCAGTGGTGCCAGAGACACCTGGAGCTGCTGCTACTGCTTCAAGCCGTGAGAGAACAGCCTATAAGCTCTTTGTCGAGTTACTTGCGTGAGTTATCTCCATCATCCCCCATTTCTAGCACTGATTGGTAAGTTATCAACTAGCATCCCCGGTTAGATGGTAAGTGCTCGAGGGCATACGTCGTGGGTGGAACAACAAAAGTATAACCTGTCTAGGATCGAGACTCAAAACCAGCTATTCCATCGGGATCCGCGTATTCGTCGATTCATCGAGATAGGACCAAGGACGACGCTCTCTACCATAGCCAAAAAATCCGCTGCAAAATATCATGCCTCTCATGCTCCATCGCAGTGGTCAGACCTGCAGTTCTTGTCCTATCAAGAACACAAGGACGAGATCATCTACCGGTATTCAGATCCTTCTCAGGATGAAATGCCCTTTAGCAACAAAAAGTCGGAATCCCCGGGACCAGCTCTTCCTGACCCCAACGTGCTACTGCCCGTGACCAGAGCAGCGGAGAAAGACACCAACCGTGGAAAACCAGCGGTGGCAAGAGTAAAGACCGAAAGGGCCCTGATGGCGCGGCATGTTGTTCTTGCGATGACTGCCCAGAAGCTACGACGTCCTTTCTACCAGCTATCCATGAACAAGACAGTCCGTGAGCTGTCTGCAGGTTAGTCGGTGCCCCAATGGTATTGACCTCGAACTAATGGGCCAGGAAAATCCACACTCCAGAATGAACTGACGGGGGATTTGATGACTGAGTTTGGGAAGATCCCGGAGGGCGTCGAAGATATCCCTTTGGCTGTGTTGGCAGATAAGCTCCAGGGGACTTTTGGCGGGCGAGCAGGCGCCCTGATGAATTCCCTGGTATCTCGCCTGATATCTAGCAAGATGCCCGCGGGATTTAACCAGATTGCGATTGAGCGGTACCTGCAGGGTCGCTGGGGTCTTACAAAGTCCCATTCGGTGATCCCCCTTTGCCTGGCGATCACGCTGGAGCCAGCTTCTCGAATCCCCGATCTCGACTCTGCTCAGCGATTCTGGGACGATACGGTGTCCCGATACCTAGAGTTTGACGGAATCTCCCTCGAGGCGGCATCCGACTCCCGTGGCGCTCAAGATACACCTGCCTCCGTTACCGTGGATGCTGCTTCCCTAGAAGTATTGAACAAAGAACAAAAGAGGTTGTATCGTCAGATACGCGACTTGCTTTCCTCTCATCTTCAAGATTCTGAACAGTCATCAACAGAAGGGGAAAAATGCACAGAAGATGCTCTTCATACTCAGCACGTATCAGACATACTTCTTACTGAATTCGATGACCAGTTCGTGCGTTCCATACGGTCTATTTTCAACACTGCCCAAGCCCGTCATTACGACTCATGGTGGAATTGGGAACGGGAGACCCTCGTTTGCTGGGTGGAGGAACTGCTCCAGGGCATGTCAGATGGGACGCCTGTGCGTATGGATGGCCGTCTACGCATGGTTCTCAATCGGTGGAATAGCACCTGCACAGACATTATTACCGCAGCCCTGGACCGACAAATTTGCAATTCATCCGCAATGTTAGAAACGGACATTTGCGCCGCCCTGAATTCAATCCTGGAGCTCGGCTCTTTTGCATTGCAGAGCGATCCGGTCTACGTTTACTCCCACGCCCCGTTACAACCAACAGTCAATGTGTCCAGTTCTGGGGAATTTGAATACCTCGAAAGCCCGCGAGAAGCCCATACTTATGCAGAGGTTGTGCGACAGATACGTAAGACTTCCACAAGAAGGGACGCGGCGCCTTTTACCCATATCAGGACACGACCGATGGGTGGGGACTGGGAATACGACCCGAGAGCGACAGTGTTGCTTCACTCCATACTGGACACCGGCATCTCGAAAGGGCTCAGCTTCGCAGGGAAAACGGCTCTGGTAACCGGTGCTGGCCCTGATTCAATAGGTGCGCAGGTCGTGGAAGGCCTGCTTACTGGCGGTGCGCGTGTGATTGTTACGACGAGCCGCCCGATTTCAGAAAGCTCTGCTTTCTTCCAGCAGATCTACCGTGCCCATGGAGCAAAAGGGTCGTCTCTGACCGTCCTACCCATGAATCAAGCTAGCAAACGAGACTGTCAAGCTTTGGTCGAGTACATATACACCAATCCGTCAGTGACTGGTGGTGACTTGGATTACATCCTACCATTTGCGGCTATCCCACAGACAGGTGAGCTGGAAAGCCTTAACGGCCGCCACGAAGTCGCGCTTAGAGCTATGCTGGTCAATATTTTGCGACTTGTCGGATGCGTCCGGCGCGAAAAGGAAAAACGGCGCATTGACACAAGGCCAACCATGTTTGTGCTCCCCATGTCGTGTAATGAGGGCACATTTGGTGGAGATGGACTGTACGCCGAGTCAAAAATCGCTTTGAAGACACTGTTCAACAGATTTTTCTCTGAAAGCTGGTCCACGTACATCGTTGTCTGTGGTGCGGTGATCGGCTGGACTAGAGGAACAGGTTTAATGCGGTCGACGAATATGATCGCGGAGGAAATGGAAAAGCTGGGCCTACTTACCTTCACACAACAGGAGATGGCGTTTAACATTCTTGCCCTCATGACACCTGCAATCATGGAGCTTGCCGAAACAACACCAGTGTACGCGGACCTCACTGGCGGGTTTGATCACCTGTGGAGAATAAAGGATGAGATAACAAAGGCACGAAAAAGGGTCGCCGACAGACTCCAACTACACAAAGTGCTGGCTGAAGAGGAAGCTCGTCATCATCAAGTACTCTTTGGCGAGAAGAAGGGACAGCAGGAACAAGATCAAGTCAAGCAATGTCGTGCGAGGATGTCCCTCAATATTCCATCTCTCCCCAGACAAAGTGACCTCGTATCAGGGCTTGCGAATATCGAGGGAATGATCGATCTATCAACTACAGTTGTAGTAGTTGGCTTCTCCGAACTTGGTCCCTGGGGTAACGCTCGAACCCGATGGGATATGGAATACCGAGGAGATTTCACCCTCGAGGGGTATATCGAGATGGCCTGGATGATGGGACTGATCAAGCATGTCGATGGGGCTTTTAACGGAGAGCCCTATGTAGGATGGACGGACACAGAAACTCAAACACCCATTCGTGACGACGAGATCCCTAACAAATACCGTGACCGTATCATGGCCAATGCCGGTGTTAGGATTATCCCGCCCGAGGGACTTGATGGTTATCATCCCTCCAGGAAGGAATTCCTCCAGGAAGTGGCCGTGGAGGAGGATTTACCACCTTTTGAAAGCTCCAAGTCGAATGCCGAGGCATTCAAACTGAGGCACGGTCACAATGTCACCATCGAGCAAATTCCTGGTTCGGACAACTACCGTGTATATCTCCGGAAGGGCGCCATTTTGATGATCCCCAAGACGATACCGTTCTCCCAGATCGCAGCTGGGACAATCCCCACTGGATGGGACCCATTGCGATATGGCATCCCAGAGGAAATCGTCCAGCAGGTGGATGTGACTACTTTGTATGCTCTCTGCTGCGTATCGGAGGCATTCTTGTCAGCGGGGATCAAGGATCCATACGAGATCTACGAGCATATCCACGTGTCGGAGCTCGCAAATTGCTTAGGCACAGGTGGTGGCCCGATAAAAGTCATCCAGAGTATGTACCGGGATCGATATCTCGATAGGCAGGTGAGGGGAGACATTATCCTCGAGCACTTTCTCAATACCATGGGCGCGTGGGTGAACATGCTGCTGCTATCAGGCTCGGGGCCACTGAAAACTCCTGTCGGTGCATGTGCCACGGCACTGGAGTCACTGGACATTGGATGCGAAGCCATCCAGACGCGCAAATGTCAGGTCGCTGTTGTCGGCGGGTGTGATGATTATAGGGAAGAACTGGCCTATGAGTTTGCCAATATCAAGGCGACTGCAAACTCCAGCGAGGAACTCGCCACGGGTCGCCTGCCCAAGGAGATCTCTCGACCAACTGCGGCTTCACGAAGTGGCTTTGCTGAATCTTCTGGTTGTGGAGTGCAGATTCTGATGAGTGCGGAATTGGCGTTGAAGATGGGCGTTCCTATATACGGTGTTGTTGCATACAGTCAGATGGCGAGTGACCAAATCGGCCGATCTATCCCTGCCCCAGGAAAGGGAATTCTGACAGCAGCACGGGAGAGCCAGGAAGGAAAGGATTCCCCGCTATTGGATCTGGATTTCAGGCGCAGATGCTTCGATCAGGAAATGGCCCACATAAGAGAACAATGTGTCCAGGAGGGAACTCATGATACACAGTTCTTGGGTCCTTTCACGCACGACCAAGTGCAAACACTACGTGTCAGAGAGACTCAGCAGCGGTGGGCTAATAATATCCGCTCACTGCTCCCCGGTATCGCGCCTATGAAGGCAGCTCTGGCCACATGGGGACTATCCATTGACGATATCGGGGTGGTTTCTATGCATGGTACATCAACCAAGGCCAATGAGGTGAACGAAGGCGATGTCATCAACACCCAGATGGAACATCTTGGGCGACGCCAGGGCAATCCACTGCTCTGTGTATGCCAGAAGTCGCTAACTGGTCACCCCAAGGCGGCGGCTGGTGCATGGCAACTGAATGGGTGCATGCAGATGCTACAAGAAGGCATTGTACCCGGTAATCGGAATGCGGATAACATTGATGGAGAACTTCGACGATATGAACATCTGGTGTATCCGATGGAGTCGATTCGGATACGGAGACTGAAGGCAGCGATGGTGACGTCCTTTGGTTTCGGGCAAAAGGGCGCAGTCTGTATTGTGGTGGCACCTCGCTATCTCTTTGCCGCTATTGCTTCCGGCCAGTATGAAGATTATCGTACTAGGGCGAGGAGTAGACAACGTACCATCAACGCTACGTTTGCTTCTCGCATCCTCAAAGGTTCGATGGTCCAGGTGAAGGATCAATCGCCGTGGAAAGATCCGGCTGCGATGAAAAGGGTTCTGCTTGATCCTGACAGTCGTGTTCTCTCCAAGGGCACTTCGATCACCACGGGGACATCAGTCAAGTCCCTGTCGAGTGCACCTGTGGAGATCAAGTCTACAACCCCAGTGAAGCAACCCGAGAGCATTGGCGCGAGCAAGCTGTCCAACACAGTTCAGGTGATGATTGAAGCGGCTTCGCAGAAAACAGCGGGTGCCTCTTCCACGAGCGTTGGTGTCGATGTGGAGGAGATTGCCAGCGTCAATATCAACAATAAGGTTTTCCTTGAGCGCAACTTCACCCGCGCCGAGAGGGACTATTGTCAGAATGCTGCCAACCCCCACGCTTCCTACGCTGGACGTTGGTGTGCCAAGGAAGCGGTCTTCAAAAGTCTCCAGACAGCATCTGCAGGAGCAGGGGCAGCCATGCACGATATCGAGATTGTGAGCGATGATGGGATTCCGCGAGTGATTGTGAGCATTCTCTTCTTCACTGTAGGGACTCGGCTAATGTTCTAGCTGCATGGCAACGCGAAAGCTGTCGCTGTATCGAAAGGCGTCAGTAAGGTCGAAGTGACTATCACTCACTCTGCAGAGACAGCAATCGCCGTGGCTATGGCCATTGGCGGTGCTCTACCGGGTTCGGGCGCTTGACGAGACAAGATGCTCCTATCATTTGTATCCATGTCCTATTTCTTGTCTTTTATCTGTCTTGCGTACCCTTTCAGTCCTGTTGGCGGGAGCTGCCATTATCCATAGAATTCAAATGGTCGATTTGCGTTACCAATGACGATGAACTTGCTGCTTATATGACCTATAAGCGGTTCTGATAGATGGAGAATACTGGATCCGTCCGTTCTCAGTCATGCTTCCGCATCGGGAAATGCTTGGCTTATGGCATCATCCCGACAGCGAGTTCTTTGATACCAACACCATCTACATTATTGTTGACAGTGTTCTACTATCATGTCTTTACTATGACTAGACCACACCCAATGCGTTGGGCAAGTCATCCAAGGAACCCCTTCAACTGGCCGAGAAGCCGAAAATGGATTCCCATGGCGACCTCGTGCTGGGTGACGTTCATCGTCGGGCTGAATGCCACGTCCATAACGACCGCAGCTGAATTTATCTCGTCAGAATTCCATCTTGCCAATGAAAGATTCGAGTATAATTTTTTTGCGGTGACGGCATGGAATGCCGCCGCTGCCTTTGTGCCTCTAGCGACTCTCCCACTGTTGGAGACATATGGAATGCGCATCGGCTATGTAGTATGTTCAACGGAGGCGTCCATCCAATGCCTATGTATTGACAACAAAGTAGGCAGCTTATATTCTCTTCACAATCTTCCTCATTCCACAAGCCCTGGCCCAGAACTTCGCCACCCTGATTGTATGTCGTGCGATTGCCGGTGCCTTGGGCGGTACTTTGCAAAACTGCGCGGACGGTCTGGCATCAAACTTGTTTCTACATCATCGGGAGCGAGTGCTTCCATTGACGTTATACACATTTACGTTGTTATTTGGGGTGACTATGGGCCCCGTATTGGGCGCCGCGGTGGAACCGTTAGGGTGGCGATGGTGAGTGTTCACTAAGGTCTATTCTTTGCACACGCTGAGAGGCAGGGTATTCTGGATTGAACTGATTATCTACGGGACATGCATCCCCATCGTTGTCTTCTGCATGAAGGAAACTCGGGGTCCCATTCTTCGTGCCAAATACATGCCTGAGAAAGACGCCCAGGGTTCAGGCAACGTCGACGGTTGGAAAACGTTCCAAGAGACAATCGCGCGCGCTGCAATACTTCTCACAACAGAGCCTACTGTCACCTCCTTTACCGTGTGGTCTGCTTTTGCGTTCGGTCTCGTCTTCGTCTCCACGCAGTCAATTCCCATCGTCTTCAGCGGGACATATGGCTGGCCGTCGTACACGGATGGGCTTGTCCAGGCTGCCATTGGCATCGGTCAGATAATTGGCCTCCTTGCCTGTGTTCTTCAAAACAGAATATACATCCGCAGTGCCGCAACCAACCCAGATCACCCAGGGGTCCCAATCCCCGAGTCCATCCTCCATCTGTCTATCCCCAGCACCGCCATTGCCCTCGCCGGGGGCCTGTTCATGTACGGCTGGAGCACCTACCAGACCCATTGGATCGTACCTGCAATCGCGCTAGGGTTGATTGGATACGCGATCATGGTCATCGTCACGGCCGTCAGCATATACGTGACCGATTCGTATGCGGGCTTCGCAGCGAGCGCGATTGCGGCCGTGGCATTTGGTGAGAACTTCTTCGCTGCGTTTTTGCCTTTGGCCGCGAAGCCGATGTATGTCCGGCTGGGGTATCAGTGGGCTAGTAGTCTCCTGGCTTTTATTGCTCTTGCGTTGACGCTGGCGCCGATCATACTCCTATGGAAGGGCCGGACTATACGAGCTAGGAGTAAGGCGATCAAGAAAATGGGTCATTCATAACGCTCCATACAATGAAGACACATATGTAGATACACCAATACACCAACGTCATCTCCCTCGCTATCTACTTTGTATATATAGATACATCCCCGAAATACTCATGCGGATCGTGGATCAAAGCCTGCGCATAATTCATGACCATCCGCCGCACTCTCCTAGAATCAGGATCTGTAGTGAAGGGACTGTACCCATATCAGAGCTGTATCAAAGAAGCTTAGAAGCCACGTACCTGATCCAAGTCTCATCCCCATTCTTCGCGACCTGCTTTGCCCACTGGTTACAGTCGGTCTCCGGCGGCGTGACGGTATTCCAAATCATCGCCGCGGGCCATTGCACATCCACCACAATCTGCTTCACGGGGACATTCGGGCTGACCGAAAAGACCAGCGTATGCTCATCGATCTCCAGAAACCCCTTCGGATCATCGAGCGGCGTGACGCCAATGCGTGCGAGAAGCTCCAAATCCACCGCGTCATAGGCCGGGTCCTGCGCGTAGCACGCGACCCCCGTTCCGCCGTCAGCACCGCGCGCAGCCAGCACAGCGGCTATCGTCTCGATCGCTGCGTGTTGCATATGGGCTCGGGTGCAGTGGAAAAAGCCCAGGTGGCCCATGGTGCCTAGGCCGAAGCAGACGATCTTCTTGATCGGCGTCGAGATCGGCATGGTTGAAAGATGGTGGACCAGGTCCTGGCAGGTCTCGCTGTCCACCCATTGCCGGCGTTTCTGGAGAAACGTCTTGTGCACTTCGTCGATGGTGGCGCCGCTGGCGGGCGATGTGCGCGTGTACCCGATCGACACGGGACAGTGGTCACTGCGCAGGACGATCTCCGGACATACCGGTGTCGGGTAGCAGAGGTCGTGGATGCTGCGGTAGTTGATGCGGTAGGTGTTTCTGTGTCATGAGCGATTGCAGGGAATATAGATGGAATGGGCCTTACGCGAAATCGGCGCACCAGCCTGGCACTTTGAGACTGTACTTGCGAGGGATGTCATCGAAGTCGTTGATCTGCACCGCGTGCGCGTCTTGCTCGATTTGGGTATTGAGGTCTGCTAGCAGTTCGCGCGGGAAGAGTCGCTTTCCGGCCTTGTAGAGGCCGGTCAGATGGAGGATTTTGGTCTGGATCTGGGTGATGGTTTCGCTGTCTAGTGGTACATCGATATAGCTCGCGAGGTCTGTCATGCTGCGGATGTTTTTATAGGAGGAGAAGATGTAAATTGTCAGGACTACACAGGGAAGTGAATTGAAACGGCAATATGATCCATCCCGTCTGACATATATATTCCCCAGCAATCCATCTAGACTCTCAGACCCGATCGGCGTCCTCATCACTCGTATATCCCGTCCTAGACTTCTGCAAACCCTCGCGCATTGGCACTGTTACGATCACAACTACATGTGACGCTCTATGCTCAGCCGAGGGCTGTGCTCCTGGAAACCAACCGGTTGGGAACATCACAGGGCGATGATTGGGTACCAGCCAAACGGCAAGCACTCTGATTACGGTGAGAATGATGCTTTGGGCGCTGATGATCACTGGCGGTCGAGCACTACAAGTGTTGGTATGGCTAACCTAGGGCTGATCGGGCATGTTAGCGTCGCTGATGTCAGTGCATGACCATCCGCCAAGTACGAGCGTTGGTTGGATCTGGGAAAAATCAACCGAAGGATTCAGCCGCTTATTGTTTAGTGAGAGTGCTAGAAATAGTCGAAGTAGCGTGTTCCTGGAGTGAAGCGAACGGCGTGTCAATTGAGGCGTCGAAACCAACATCCAACCTGTCAACACGATGGTCTGGTTCCAGGAATGTTGGCGTGTCATCAATGCGGGGCAGCCATGAAGCAAAACGCAGAACAAGGTCTATGTTTAGGCTCCTGGCGCGCCACCTATGCTTGACAAACAGTGTGATGAGTTGGCAGCCGCTGGCACGGCGCCTATTCCCTCATCCTGCGACAGGTGGGATACTTGGACGTATAACTCCCAAGTGCAGGCACAATCGCATCTTGTTGAACCGGCCCGATTGTAGGGCTACTGGGTGGACATGCTTATGCTAGACGTCAACTTGCGTCTTCCGAGAACGTAACAATGGCCAAGGCCTGGAATCCCCTGAAGACATCAGCTTACATGCATACAGCATGTACGTGACATGGGCTATTCTGCTCCAGACTCCAGGCAACATGTGGCTGGAAGCCAGACCCGGGGAATTGCCTAGTGCATATCACTGCTGCAAAGCATCTCGAGCAGAGAGCCAGCGCCAAAGTACGCACCCATCAACTCCCGACATCTGGCCACCCCCTGCAGGTCTTCCTGCAAACAAGACACCAATTGATCGGGTAGTCGTGTTGTTTCCTGCAGCGCTGCCCTAGGACGGGCACTGGCAGCTGCAGGCACACACGGAGATTGGAAACATACTCTCCGACAGGAGCAGTCGGCCTTGTGTAGGGTTGGATGTGTGATGTAGGTACGACAGTCCGGATGATTGCGGGTGGTGTAGTGTCTTGTATCACTTTCCCTGATTTACCTAGAGACAGGGTCAGACCATATTGTGAACCAGACTGCGTTGTGTTCGAAAGAGCTGGAATAGATTGACGGAATAGAGATCGCATTATCCCTACCAAGATCCGTCGCTAGACCGCAATCTCATACCTCGGCGGATGATGGATAGGTTACAGTAGATATAGCACTTTGAGTTAATACATAATTCATCGCCATAGTCGTCATGCAGTATCTATATCCCAGATCAAGAATACCAGTAACATGAGAAAGACGTTTAATCAGAAATACCAGCCTTCGTCCACCAGAAATCACACTCCCTCCGACTCCATTCATCCTCCACCATCTGCGCCGGGACACCCACATGTCCTCCTCCAGCGCGCTCATCATTCCCCTCCCCGAAAACCATGATCCTCTTTCCTGCCTGCACAGATGCATCGTAGTTCTCCCACAAAGGCCGATGCGGATACCTCCCCCGAACCGCATTCGGATCCCCGGCAACAATAAACGAAGTAAAGTATGCATGCAACGTCCCCGCAATCTCCTCCTGCGTCAGCGAGATCTCACGAACCTCCGGATTAAATGTCTCATACGGCATCTGGTCCCCGTGGTTTGCGCCTGTAAGCACGGTCTTATTCACCGCCCATCTATAGAGAAAGACCGGCGCCTCCTGGCCCTGCGACGCAAACGTCGCGGTCTGTCGCACGGGACACGCATACGCGTAGTGGCCGTACGCCGCCTCGACGCGCTTATACTGCGCTCCGACGGGAATACCGCGTGTCTCGACGTACGGCGATGATGGGTCCGTCGCAGGGTCCGGGTACAGCGCGTCAATGGTGCGGATGTCGCTCTCGGAGTATGCGGGCAGCAGCGTGCGGAAGAAGTCCGTAAACTCCGCTGAGCGGGACATCGCGCGGGGCACGTAGTATGTGCCCTCGTTGGTGTTGAAACCTGTCAGGATGGGGACCTGGTTCCATCGGCCGGACTTCCAGGCGTCGATGGGGCGTTGTTTGATGAGCTCGCCGTCGATGACGGGCTGGAAGGCCCACCGGACGGACGGATTGTACCGGTCAAACACGGTGAAGGAGGCGTTGATGACGGCGTCGGATGGCTGGCTGCGCAGGCAGCGCATCACCTCCGTAGAGGGGCTATCTTTACAGCCGGCGGCTTCGACGAACTCGCGGAATTGGTCCTCGTGGAGACGGCCGTTGTACGGGTGGACGGCACGGGAGGTGGCCGCACCGGATTCGATGATGGCTCGGTGGAAATATGTGTGTCCAAGGTCATTGTTCATGATATGATGGGCGATCTACGCCGTTAGCCATGAAGCAGGATGATAGCTGAGTGACATACAGAATGAGCCCCTGCCGACAGCCCGAATAGGGTCACCTGGGTGGGATCGCCCCCAAACGCTTCAATATTGTCCTGTACCCATTTGAACAGGAGGATCTGGTCGTGGAGGCCCAGGTTGAGGATGTCTTCTTCGGCGGTGATGGTGGACGGCAAAAAGCCGAGCGCGCCAATGCTGTAGATCTCTATCAGCGATGACCCTCCGATAAGACAAAGGATGAAGCCCACCGGTAATTAAAAGTAGCTCCGATGAAGGGCTTGTCGGACCATCCGACCATCGAGGCCGTGTTGTGCATCGCAGCTATGTCCATCAGCCGGATTCTTCTCCACAAGCTAGCGTCGCCTACCTGTGCCGCGATTGTAGGCGCCGCCATGAACATAGATAGCCACGGGGAGTTTTCCTTTGACTCCCTGAGGCCGGAAGACATTGACCGTCAGACAGTCCTCACTGCTGCCGGTGTCGCCCTTGATAGGGATCAGCTGCTTCCCAGGGCATCTACATCATTAGTCATGTCACTCGATAAAGGAATTGTATCCATACCGTGGCCCGAACTGACTCGCATCGATCGTATTTCTGAATCTGGAATAGGCTGCGCGCGCCGAAACCGCCTATCTCCAACCGGTGGTAGCGCATAGGGAATGCCACGAAAGACCTCGACCGGCTGGGGGAGACCATCGCGGAATGTTGTCCCGACCACCGTTCCTTGGCGGACCTTGACTCGCGGGCGATTAAGAAGGACGACATCCTGCAACGATGGGGGCAGCCAGGAGGAGAGAAGGGTTTGGGCCTGGAGGGCATGCCCCAACGGACGATAACCGATCTGCGCGCCAAGTAGCAGGATCACTGGCAGCAGAGCCAGGACCAGCAACCGCGGGACAAACGCCATCTTGATAGAGTGATATATCGATGATGCCCAGCTACCGTCTATCACGTCTAGTCCTGGCTTATGAGGCGTGACGGGTGTCTACTTCTGCTCGCCGACGGAAAACACGAGCACCAGCCGTTCTCCACTTCTCCGCTTTGCTGAGGGGAAAGCATTGTTATCTCGGATGCTGTCCGGCGCCAAGCAGAGTCTAAAGTCGACATGAACCGACAATGGGCGAGGGCTGTTTGCCGCCATTGGGTTGAGATACCGGGGGGTTGATGGTGCTGGATGTCGACTGGTGGACAACTGGGAGCTCTGGCCGTAGATATTGCCGTTATTGGTACTGATATGTCACGGGGTATCGATACGAAGCATGGACGTCTAGAAGAGAGTGGTAGACCGTTATCAATTGACTTTCATGGAGTATAAATTGCCTGTTTGCTGCCCACTGGGGTGATAGGGGAGAGATAGCAACTCCCAGGAGACATCATGTTCGACAAGCTCAAGCTATCCATCTCGGAGAAAGCCAAAGAGGCACCGCCAGAAGCAGTGTCGAAAGACGATGTCGAGACCGGTCAGATCGAATCGCTCGACGAGGCGGAGCTCTTCCTGCAGGAGCATGGCATAACCAACACGCAGCTACAGGAGATGTTGAACGATCCGGAGAAATCAAAAAAGCTGAGACGTCGTGTCGACCGGATCCTGCTTCCTCTTTTATGTGGAACATATTGTTTGCAATATATCGACAAGCAGGTAGTTACTCCAGAGGTGATCGTCGTGGTCAAGCTAATCAAGACAGGCTCTTTCGTATAGCGCAGTCTTCGATCTCTTTTCCGATGCCAACATCAGCAGTGATCAGTACAGCTGGCTCGCTAGTCTGTTCTACTTCGGTATGTCTCCTTGCCGATAGCACGTGTCTGGTCTGATTGTATAGGCTATCTATTCTGGGAATACCCGGCGAGCCATCTCGCACAGCGGCTACCTATAGGAACGGTGATCTCCTGCTTTGTGTATGTTGTTTTCATACTCTGGGTACCATCGAAAATCATGTGCTAATTTTGAAGGATATCATGGGGATCGATCCTGATGATCACCGCCGCATGCAAAGGGTTCGCCGGCCTAGCAACAACAAGATTCTTCCTAGGATGCTTTGAATGTAAGACTTCCAGCGTCGCACCAGAATCCTGCTAACAGTGCAGCTCCAATCACGCCCTGCTTCATGATGATCGTCGGCATGTGGTATTTGCGTCAGGAGCAGCCATTCCGCGCTGGATGTTTCTACGCCTGTAACGGTGTTGGGTCAATGGTAGGCTCCCGCCAGGAATCTATGATACCAGCCGCTAATGATCCAGCTTGGCGGTCTCATCACCTATGGAATCGGCCAAATGGACAGCTTCCCTGTCTGGCGGGGAGTGTTCCTCATCTGCGGTGGTATCACTGTTGTCTGGGGTGTCATCCTGCTCGTCTTCCTGCCCAACAGCATCCTCACAGCAAAGCGCTTCACCGTCGAGGAGAAGATTCTCCTCATCGGGCGAGGAAAGCAGAACCAAACGGTGAGTGTGCCGACCTTGAGTCAAACACCCTCTAACAGCAATAGGGCATTCTCAACCGCAAGATCAAATGGTACCAGATCCGCGAGGCGCTCATCGACCCGCAAATCTGGCTCCTGTTCCTGTTCACCCTGCTGAATGAGACCATCAACGGCGGAGTTGCAAATGTAGGCATTCTCCTACGTCCACGCTATACTCTCCACTGACAACTTAGTTCGGCAAACTCATCATCAAAGGCCTCGTCTCCAGCCCCCTCCTAACCACAGCCCTGGGCATCCCTCAAGGCGCATTCCAGGTCTTCTTCGTCCTGTCCGGCGGCTACCTCTCGTCGCGCTTCAAGAACGCCCGAACCATCATCATGGTGATGTACCTGTGTCCGACGATCATCGGGATATGTCTGCTCTGGCAGCTCCCGCGAAGCAACCGCTACGGCGTGCTGTTCGGCTACTACATTGTAAGCCCACCAAGTTACCTTGCCGTGACGTCGATCTAACAGAACGTAGCTCGGCGCATATGTCTCCTCGCTGGTAATGGCTTTGCAGATGCCTTCGACCAACACAGCCGGCTATACCAAGCGGGTGACATCGACAGCGTTTGTCTTCCTGGCCTACTGCATCGGCAATATCATCGGCCCGCACGCGTTTCTGGCGGAAGAAGCGCCCATCTATCAGACGGGGTGCAAGCTTATCCTGGCGTGCGCGTTGTGTCAGATCGCGTGTACTGTTGCCTTGCGGGTGCTCCTGGTTAGTCGCAACCGTCGCAGGGATAAGATGGGACTGCCGGCTGGGGAGCAGCAGGAAGAGGTGATGGAGGATTTGACGGATTTTGAGGTATGTGTCTGTTCCTGTATGAGGTGTACCTTGCTGACAGTTGTAGAATCCGCGATTCCGATATGTTTTGTAAGGGCTAGCTTAGGGTGCCGTCTGTTCACTTCCACAGATGGATGTACAGCAATTTTCTTCAGTTGTGATCATCACGATAGTAGATGCTGCTGTAGTACGTAGATCAGATTAAAGCTGTAGTCTGGCATAGTGCGTGGCGCAGGTAATATATAATCACAATGTCTACCCTCGACCAAACCACACCTGGAACATGCACGGCCATACAGTGAAAGCGGTATAGGCTCTAGGCCGTGAATATTGATTCGGTGTATGTTATATATCATGAAAGCGAAAACACAAAGAACAGAAGAACATCTATATACAATCATGACTTCTTGTAATGGACCGTGAGCTGCGCATCTCCCTCGACATTCACATCCGTCAACACCTTCCCATTCTGCTTCAGCTTGATGATCGTCGCATCGCTCACACCGAAATGCTCGTTACCGCCGTCCGCGCCCGCCCCAGTGAACGTGACACTGCTAAAATCCGCCAGCGGCACCATGGACGCGCCGGAGGTAAAATCTTCGACGATCCAGTCGGCGTTCTGGCCGGCGAGGGTGGCTGACGCCCGCGGGGCGTTGAGCGTCTTCGTAGCGCTCTGGCCGTTGCTTTTGTTTTCGATGATGGCGACGCCCTGGCTGGGACTCAACGCGTGCACCTTGACGGCGATCGTGTCGCCCGTGGCCACCTCGATGTTTTCAAAGTTGTGCGCCGCCTCCGGGTACCACTCGAACCAGGGCTGGTTGTAAGCCTGGCCGTCGCGCGCGTAGAAGTCGACGCCGGCCTGGAGGATGGCGTTGGAGTATGTGTCGCCGTCGATGCCGACCCACGCAGACCCGGCCTCCTGGTCGCCGGACACGGACGTCGGCTTGGGCACGGTGAAGGTCGCCGACACGGCGGTGTAGATGCCGTTGGGTGGCGGCTGTTCGCGCACGACTCCCGCCCAGTTGTTGCTGTAGGCGACATTGCTGGCGACGCGGGCGTTCGAGTCGCCCCCATCTCCTCCGAGGTTCTCGAGTGGGTTGGTTTGGTGGGTGTGCTCGGAGGACCGGGCAAAGACCCGGTCTGCCAGGCCGAGGCGCGGGGCGGCGAAGGCGCCGGTGACGGCGGCCGAGGTGGCGAACAGGCCGGCGACGTACTTCATACTGCAAGGTCGGGGTAAGGAGGTGTAGAGGAGGGGAGGGCAACGACGTGGTTGACAGGTGTGGCCTCTGAGCCTGTGACAGCGGTCTTATATGCTCTCGGGACACTCCGAATAGGGAAGCGCGGTAGCAGAATCTTCTGATCGAGTTTTGCACGTGTGGATCTCACGTAGGCTCCGGTGGAGAAGACGAGCCTAATATTGCGCTCATCCGGATCATTGGTAACAAGTCTCATGCCCAGGGTGTCTGATAGAGTGGCATGGACCCGCCGCACGCGCACCTAGGTCGAAGTTTAAGACCCGGGAAGTGCACGCTGTCGTTTGGATGTAACGGCCATGGCGGGAGGAGACAAGTCTTTTGTCCGGAATTGAGCAAGATCGACGCTGACGCCGCTACTGGAGCTGAAGCGCGCGCATATAACGAAGGTAGAACCGGGTTGTAGGGTCGGTACTTGGGCTTGGGGGCTGCACGCTGCGCATTCCACAGCTGACAGCTGACTCACGTTGTTGCAGACAAGCGATCGATCCGCTCACTCTGCACCCAGCTAACAATAGCACAGTGTTCCTGTTGTGTTATTGGCGGCAACGACTGACAAGCCGAGGATTGGGGATAGCGTGCATTCCGCAGCGACGCAACATTCCAGCCAACACCCCTGGCCCACACTCTGCAACGAACCGTTGGACGGCTTGTAGGGCCGCGTGGCCGCCGAAAACATCGAAAATATTCTGTCTGTCTGAGAATCGTCGCTACAGTCTCGGCAGTTAGTTTTGAGGGTTGCGGTTGCACCCGTCATTGTGGATAAAGATCACCCTATGCCGAGTAGAGATTAGGCTGTAGGCTGTTTGGGCACGCTGGTCACTTGTACAGAGCTCACGACTGACCTCATAGGACTTTGTACCTGATCAAGTCACGGTGGTGATCTGCGAACGGATGATATTTATGACGTCCGGGGCGACGGAAGGGGTTTGCAGAATCAGGGAAAAGAAATACAAAAGAATGAATAACCAGAGATGGATTGCACACAACAGGGTATATCTAAAACCGACAAAATGAAACCCGATGACGACTGAAGGTCCTGCCGCGCTCTGACGACGTCACATAGGAAGAGTGGGCATCTCCTTCAGAGACCAGTATTTGCGCATGTTCTCTGCCTCCAGAGCACGGACCTCGTCGTCAAGATGCGCCCACAGCACCTCTCCGAACGCATCCATGAGGCGTTTCATTTCTGGGCGTTCTAGATCGACCTCGCCGGAGCGGCATTTAGTCAGGTAGTCCTCGAGCTGGACAAGTCCCTTATGGATCTTGCGATGCTGGCCCAAAAGGGAAAGCTCCCGACGAAACTCCGGCATGCGTTTGGCCAAGACGGGAAAAATGTGCTCCTCCTCGATGGAATGGTGAAAGTCCAACTGGGAGCAGAATCCAAGGCCCATCATAATCAATTGACGCGGAGACAGTCCGCCGGGGCGCTTTCCTGAGGCTTCACAGGCATCCTGCAGCTGATTCCAAGTCAAGCGGAAATGATTGTGCTGGGACGGCAATTAGTCTAGAACGAGTCGGGACGGCACAGGCGTGGATGGGTGCACCCCAGCTTACATACAAACTGTTGCATCTGTTCCGCCATCCGATTGTACACTCGGAAGTCCTTCGGAGAGAGCGGTGGCTGAGGCCCACTGGCAGTCTCATCGTTCTTGTTCAGAGGCATGGTGGTGAAGAGCGGCCGCGATGGGATACGGATCGAAGGGTAGCGGTAGACAACCCGGGGGACCGTGAAGGGTCGTTTCATCAACAGTGAACAGTATGTACAGAGGCAGGCATAGAGAGAGAGATTGTACAAACACGCCGACAGTCGTCAAGAGATTTCACGATGGTGGTGAGCAACCGGCTAATCAGAGACGGTGTATTTCTACGCGGGCTAGTCGGATTAGTCATCTCGCTATAATGCACATAAAACATCTTATGGGGGAATCAATGCATTGACAGTCTACATTCTTGGTGAGATAGGGACGAGATAGTATCATGTTCCAGGTCTTCAATGGATGTTTGCCATCTCAACTCCAACAGAGCCAAAGTTGCAAGACACACATCTAGTACGTCGCTGGGGAGAAATCTCCATTCGATATCAGCACTTCTTCGGCACAACCACAGCCATGAAAAGGCTGGATTGCAATTTGACATCCGTGCTAGGCACTACGAGCTGAACAGACCACAGCATCCAAGGCAAAATCAAAGTGGGAACGGTATTAGATAAGACGTAGCCGCAGACATGGCTCAGAAGAAGGCAGATATACATACACGAGCCATCTGCAAGATTATCTGGTAATACATGGTCAAGTCATAACTCCATCAAGATAGAAGAGGCAATCACAGCTCGTGATCCGCGATGTTCTTGGGCGGCCGGAAATTACCCGACTTGATCTCTTGCCAAGCAAGGTCAAAACGTGCTCCCAAGAACCAAGCCGTACCAATCTACCAAAGTTAGGATATGTGTGGTCCAGTAAATGGGGAAAAAGGGACGTACCATAATGATCGAAACGATGAGAACAATGACTCCCATCAATGCCATCATGAAGAACACATCCTGGCGAGCCTCAGCCTCCTGCTGTGCCTTTTCGCGCTCCTCCTGGGACTGCTCCCCGACGACCTTGCGCTTGGCGTCCTCGGCATTTTGGGATGGGAAGATGGTCTCAATGAATTTTTCAATCTACAGTTGTTAGCCAGGACGCCATCCAGGCGCAATCGGAACGACATACCTTGCCACAGACAATGCTGATCTTCAGGAAGTTGGGGTCCTTGGGCGTGTTCTTCTGGTGGATACGACGGGCATAGCGGCGGAACGTGTCGCACAGCACGCGCAGATTCTGCGTCGACTCGGTCATCAACTGGCACGCGTCACCCTTGGTGATCTTGATGTTTCTCTGGAAGATGGCCGGGTTGCGGAAGCACAGTTCCAAGGTGGCAATGGCCATGCTCTGGGGGATGGCGCAAAAGTTGAAGATACTCTGTTCCCGCAGACCGGCCAGGTAGAACAGACAATCCTCCACGTGCTCCAGCGCGTTCAGGACCATTTCGGAGCTGCAGTTTAGGGCCGCCTCCCGGTGCTCCGGCTTGAAGAGATCGTTAAAATCGCTGACATGCTTGGACCAAATTTCTCTGGGCCAGAAGCGGCGGTTGTCGTCATTGTCCTCGCGGACATCGCGGATGATGTTCGTCTTCTGGAGGAAGAGACCCATCGACTTGTGCAGCTGAGGCCGCTTGAGCAACGCCGGGTTGCCAAACTCCGCTTCCACAAAGAGACGGGTGAGACCCTCTCCGACCAGACCCGCGACGTAGTAGCAGTACAGGTCGTACTCCACAGTGGTCTTGACGCTGGCATCCTCGGTGGCGGCCTTGTGGCAGTAGTCGGCCATACCGTTACCCATCTTGTCGGTGATGTCCTTGACAATGGCGCGGTAGGCGGGCTTCATGTTCTTGTACTCGGTGATGACGTTGTGGAACTGAACCAGCAGTTCACGGTCCTTCTCCTCTGGGCGATTCCCATTGAACGTCCAGCCGTCCTGCTCCATGATATCTTTGAAGCCACGCAGCAAGGGCTCCTTGGTCTCGAGAGGGATGGAGGTGTCATCCTCGATGGTGTCCAGACCGCGGAGGGTCAGGTAGAAGACACAGACAGGCAAGAGCAGTTCGGGGTGGAGCTCTTTGATGACGGCGCTGAAACTCCGGCTGGTCTGATCGAGAAACTTGAAGCAGATCTTCTGTGTTTCGGTCTCATCCTTCTCATTCCGCTCATGGACGGGGTTATGCCAGATCTTCCTATCGGCGAAAGCGAGAACTCCGTAAGCGTTGGCACGTACCATCAATGCAAGGAAGCTGGCGGTGGGGTAGGTACTTACCATTGCACGATACTCCTCAATTGAGAGGGATGAAAGGAGTAGTAGAGAACATTTCCCACCAGACCCATGGTGACTGACAGAGAACCAACTGAATTAGGGGAATTGGATTTGGGGAACTGGAAGGTCTGAAGTTCTATATGTACAGCAGACGGGAAAGGACAGGTAGGGATTAAGGGTATTGAAAGGGTATCGGAGGAGAGTCAGGAGAGAAAGGGGATATGGAGTCGAAAGGTAAAGAGAGAATAGCCGCAGGAGAAGAGCGATAGTAGGGAGGGTGACACAAGGGACGCCGAGAAGGGGTTCGAGAGAGAGATGAAGAGAAGGAAAGAAAAAGGAGAAAAGGATTTTGGGCCGGGGAAATGATCGCGGAGTCGGGGTTTCCCTAATCCGGTAATGAGCTGCCTGGAGGCTGCCTGACCGACGAGGCAGCGACAGACTCCGTACACCGCCTTCCCCGCCATGACGAAAGAGCCGGCAGGCATCACCGGGCAGAAAAAAATACTCCTCCTTTCGATCTCCATCAGCAGCGACAACATCAACATCCTCTCCACGATCGATCTTCTCCCTCGATACCACGCCCCACTGAACTGTATCACCTCGGTTTACGGTACCCTATTTCCATCTCTCTACCCCATCACCTGAGCGGCCACCATGGTCACCCCCGACAGCGGCAAAACCGTCGCTGATACGACCTACTACGACGCGTTGGGCGTCCCACCCACTGCGACTGAACTTGAAATCAAAAAGGCTTATCGCAAGCTCGCCATTGTCACTCACCCTGGTGTGTCTCGTTTCATGGCCTCTCATTCGGTCCCTGCGTCGGTCCCGCCGTCCCACCGCTAACCGCATCCCCGATAGACAAGAACCCCGGTGATGAAACCGCACATGAACGCTTCCAGGCGGTAAGCGCACGTCCCGGTCGATCCATTAGTCCCTTACATCGAAGCCTTACATGACCCGCCCATATCTAACTGGCGTCTGCTCTGCGGTAGATCGGCGAAGCCTATCAGGTTCTGAGCGATGAAGAACTGCGAAAGCGTTATGACAAGTTTGGAAAGGAAGATGCCGTCCCCGGTGGCGGTTTTGGTAAGTCCTGAGCCAGTGATTATCATTTTGCCCATTCTAACCCTCCAAAAGAGGACCCCGCGGAGTTCTTCAGCATGATCTTCGGTGGCAGCGCCTTCGTCGACCTTATCGGTGAAATCTCCCTGATGAAGGACCTCACCACAACCATGGATATCACGATGCAGGAGATGGAGGAGGACGAACTGGCCGCCTCCGCCGAAGAAAAGCTGCACATTCACGACGAAAAGGTCAAGGCTGAGGGCGCCGCTGGTGCCACCGCCGAATCGGCCTCGGCCTCTACCCCAGCCCCGGCTCCCGCCGCCGCCGCCGCCGAGAAACCCGCCCCCAGCTCTGGCACGAGCACCCCCCGTCGCCAACTCGGCCAACAGGCCATCATGGACAAGTCGGAGGAAGAAGCCCGCATGGAGGCAGCTGGTCTGTCTCAGGAGGAGAAGGAGTTGCGGAAGAAGGGGAAGAAGAAGGGTGGGTTGACCCCGGAGCAGCAGGAACGTCTGGCTGCGTATGAGATGGAACGGAAGAAGGCCCGCGACGAGCGGGTGGATACGCTCGCTGCCAAACTGATCGACAAGATCAGTGTCTGGACCGAAACTGACAAGGGTGCGGATGTGACTCGCGCTTTCGAGGAAAAGATTCGTCTCGAGGTCGAGAACCTGAAGATGGAGTCTTTTGGTCTGGAGATTCTGCACGCCATTGGTCAGACGTATACTCAGAAGGCGACCTCGTTCCTGAAGTCGCAGAAGTTCCTGGGCATCTCGGGCTTCTTCTCTCGCCTGAAGGACAAGGGCACGTTGGCCAAGGAGACGTGGACGACCATCTCGACCGCCATCGATGCGCAGATGACCATGGAGGAGATGGCTCGATTGGAGGAACGGGGCGGTGAAGACTGGACGGACGAGAAGAAGGCCGAGTACGAAAAGAAGGTGACCGGAAAGATTCTGGCGGCGGCTTGGCGCGGCAGCAAGTTCGAGATTCAGAGTGTGCTACGCGACGTGTGCGACAAGGTGCTTCACGACAAGCGGGTCAAGTTGGACAAGCGGATAGAGCGTGCACACGCCATGGTCATTGCGGGCAATATTTACTCCAAGGTACGCCCTTACTTGAGTTGGTTGACTGCAGGACGTCTCAGCTGACCGCACCCTCTAGGCTGAACGAGATCCCGAGGAAGAAGGTGACTACATGGCCTTTGAGCAGCTGATGGCGGATGCCATGACGAAGAAGGACAAGGAGGAGAAGAAGAAAAAGAAGAAGGAGTCGAAGCATGAACACCATGCGGAGGAGGTCAAGGCGTAACTGTTAATACCTGATGCCGCGTCCTGGATTGTTTCGGTGGATTTGGATATACATTCAGACGGGCCCTACTTGTAGCGAATGATTCTTTATGGACAGTATGATTAGATGCCATAGTTAATACTAGACTGATCCATTCTTGATGCGAGGAGAGGGAGAGAGCCTCCTGTCTCAGGCAAGGAGTAGATGGATGCATTCGTGTCTTCTTCACTACAAATACCAGCCCTCTCACCCACACACTCCCTAGACATCCTCACTCTTCTTCCTTCCTATCCATCACCATGCTCCCTCTCTTCTACCTCGGTCTCGTTCTCCCCGTGATTACATCCTCTGCAGAACCCTCCCCGTTCGACATCACTCGGTCGTGGTCTGTCCACAGCCCATACAAAGATGCTCCTGGCTTTGGGCTCCCCAAAGGCATCCCTCGAGGATGTGAACTGTCACAAGTACACGTCCTCCACCGACACGCCGAGCGATACCCACGACCAGTCGACTACGAAGGACTGGGTATGGAGCAGTTCTTTGAGAAAATTCAACACTACATGACCACCCACAACACAGACACCGTCGGCACAGGACCCTTGTCTTTCCTGAACTCCTGGCGATATCTTCTCGGCGAGGAGGTGCTGATTCCCCCCGGTTCGGCCACGGAGACTACCTCGGGAGCACACTTCTGGGCGCAGTATGGGCGCTTATTGTATCGAGCTCCGCCCGGGACGACCCGCTGGGACCAGTCGTTCAACGTCCATCCGAATGGGACGGAACGGGCAAAGCCAATCTTCCGGAGTACGGATATGGACCGCATTGTGGAGAGTACCCAGGCGTGGGCGAGTACGTGCGTTGGTCCGTAGATTCGAGAACGATCCACTGATGACTCGCAGGTGGCTTCTTCGGTGATATCCACACAGACTCGTCGAAGGCTCAGTACGATCTGGTCATCACACCTGAAGGTCTTGGGTTCAACAACACCCTCGCAACGAACCCCTCCTGTCAGGGAGTCTCTGCGGGGTATGTGTCACATATCAGACCCCATGCACGGTGTCCCTCACTAACGCCCACAGGGACAAGCTGAAGAAGATCTTCACCAATCGGTCCCTCCGCGGCACACGTTCCCGCCTAGCGCAGTTTCTCCCAGCGAACTTCAATCTCACCATCTCCGACGTGTACACCATGCTCGCCCTGTGTCCCATGGAGACCGAAGCGCTGGGCAGCTCCTCGTTCTGCGGTGTCTTCACAACGCAGGAATGGCGCGACTTCGCCTACAGCATCGACATGCAGATGTACACGGGCTTTGGGTTTGGTTCGTCGTCTGGACGCGCACAGGGCATCGGGTACGTGCTCGAGCTGGCGGCGCGATTGTCGGGGCATGTCATCCACACGAGCGACACGAGCATCAATGCCACCGTCACCGGCGACCCAGGAACGTTCCCCCTGCATCAGCCACTGTACCTGGATATGACGCACGACGATCTGATTGTCACGGTGTTGACGGCGCTGGGGTTGACGCATTTCCAGGCGCCGACAGGGCTGCCAGCGGAGGTCGACCACGCCGTGCCGCGTACCTTCCAGTTAGAACAGATCACGCCGTATGGCGCACATCTAGCTACAGAGGTGTGGAAATGTCCGTCGACGACTACGTTCGATGCGCTCGATGAGACGATGTACGAGAACCCTGACCTGTCGGCGCTACACGACGCTACGACCTACATCCGCTTCATGCTGAACGGGGCCCCGGTGCCACTGGAAGGCAACGACGGCTGTTCGACGGCTACAAATGGATTCTGTCCCCTGGAGGGCTTCCTGCGAGGCGTGCCGGCGCTGAAAGAGAAGGCAGCCTTTTACCAGATGTGTTTTGGCGGGGGGGAAAGGCAGCCTGAGTGACGTCTGTATAGCCCTCTCTGACGTCGCGAATAGCGTCACCATGCCGCGATTTGTCATTCTTTGCCACTCTTCCCTCTCTTCCCCCTCTTCCAGCTTCATCCAACTCATCCATCACAACCACAATCCATACCACAATCTTTACATCCACGTTCGTTACACCCACATTCGTTCTCAAATCCATCCTCAGAACATCATCATCAAAATGAGCTGCGCCAACCCCATCTACATGCGGGGGCCTGTGCGAGAGTGGATCATAAGGGAGCCAGAGTTCCGAGAGAGACTGGCAAGGGAGCAATACGAGCGAGACCAAGCCTTTAGAGAAGAACTCAGAAGACAAGAGGCTATGAGACAGGATGCTATGAGAAAAGAGGCTCAGAGACAAGAGGCCATTCGAGAGGAGGCTGTGAGGGAGCAAATCAAGCGACAGATCATGGAAGCTATGAAGCATCCTATTACGAGAGACCGCATCGTGAAACGAGTACGAGCCTACAAAGAATTCCAAGCCAACCTGCATGTACCGGTGCCTCTGATTCAGGCAGCGATACGCCCCATCGATCACAACAACCGGCCGCACATGGCACCTCAGCTTCCCAAGCCGCTGAAACTGAGTCGGGATCAGCATATTCGGATCTGCGGGATCTTTTCTTACTACGATATTGAGCTGGACGGGAAGGTTCTTTGGATGCGGCCTGTGGAGTTCCGGACCAAGAGCCTGCCCTGGGGATTTGCGACGACGGTGATGCAACCAGTCTTGCTGCGGGCAAGAAGGCCTGTGCACAAGGAGATATGGCGACAGGTGGTGATTCGTGCTGGGCGAGTGATTGCAAAGGAGGCCGAAACGAATGTGCAGGTGAAGAGAGTGGTGGTTGCGGGCCAGGATAGGGCCTCTGCAGCCCAAAAGTCTTGGGGTGATCCTGACAGCTGGGTCACTGAGTGTGTGGTATACATCGGAAGTTCACTTGATTGAGGAAGGGCCGGTTGGGATGAGTGTCTGGCATATATCGGGACTCATTTGACTGGGGGAGGACAGGTTGGAACGGAGTCTTTGGCATACATCGGGAGTTCACTTGACTGAAGGAGGGCCGGTTGGAAACACGTTGCAGAACGTTCAGTTCATCATTTGTATAGAGCTTAGAAGATACCCATCACTAGCATGTCCGTCGACTGCCTTTGTTAACGATATCATCAATACTAATTATTAGACACCGTGATCATTGGCTACAAGATACCTTGCGTCGATCTGTGCTACCTAGAAGACGAAGATCGGCAATGCCTTTTCCTCTTGGCGATGCTTATTCTCGATCTCTGTATAGCCAAGCCGCATCCACTTTCTATAGACCTCACTATCCAGTTAAGTACACGAAGCGTGTGACCACTACTGCTTCTTGTTTCTTCAGATTTGCCTCCATTCTTCTGCTCGGCTTCGTATTGTCGCACAGCAAGAGCGTGTATGACCACGATCTACATACTCGCTGCCACGATGGGTTACAGACGTAGCATTCCGACACAACGGAGACTCATCTGTGCCTGTGCAGTCGGAAATAGGCTTCCTCCAGGCCGTTCTCCGTCCGTCTACACAAACGAAGGGAGTATACGCTTAGTAGGCAAGGCATCAACGAAGACAGGACTGTGCACGAATAAGCCTAGTACGTCTCGTACAGCATGACAACCAGGACAACAGGACAACAGGACAGTCAACTGGATACCCTCATCTTGCGAACACGACATACTAGATATGAAATTCTGGACAGACAGGCCAGCGAGGACATCAATAGCCCCAAAATCTCCCTCTTCAGTCCCATCACCAACAACTACAACAGGCACTCCGTCAAGGTCAATTACTCAACCATCACCCAAACACTTCACCATCAATCTTTCACACCTACAACCCACCACAATGCACTTCTCCGAGATCATCACCTCCACCCTCCTCTTCTCCCTGTCCTCCGTGGCTGTCGCGGCACCCAGCCCCACCCCGCTGGAGGGCCGCATCGCCGAGCTGGAACGCCGCACCGAGAAGATGGTTGCGCGCGCAGGCTGGACATGTGCTTTTGGTGGCAATGAGGCCTGTCAGGTCAATGTGCACGTCGAAGATGTGCCTCGTGGGTTTGACATAGCTGACGATGTCTTTAGTGCGTTGCTGAGGGACATGCTGGTGGATACCGTGCCAGTGATGAGTGAGTCTACTTCTGTCTTTTCGAGTCAATGGCTTGCTGACAGGCACTATTCTAGTGTCTGCACCTGCATCTCCTCCTAACGGACTATTATTGTGTTCCGGGATGTCCTAGGTGCTGATGGGTACCAGTGGATATGGGAGTTGGGAGACAGCGCGGTCCGGACGAAGAAATACAAGGGGGTGTGCTTATTGTGATCTTGTCTTTGCTTCTCTTTTGTTCGTAGTTACGCAGACCGGTTGCAGTCAATAAGAGAATGGGGTTTGTTCTACTTCCCTCTAAAGTGCGATCAGAATCCGTCGGTAATGGGTGATTGTGGACGAAAGCCCGAACCCATGTTGGCAATCAGCCGCTAGCATGCCTTGAAAACATCTCCAGAGCAAGACATGACTATTTTCTAAATGGTTTAGCGCCCCAAGGTTTAGGGATCTGGTTCCTACCACTCATGGTCCTCAGTTTCTTTGCCACACGGGAACTCGTGTGATAGATATGTCCAGGCGCCAGGAGAACGAAGTGCCTAGTCTTGAATCACAAGTTCTTCTGTCTTTTGAGGCGGACAGGCTACGATTAGGAGCGAACGAGGAATGAGCCTGGCAGAAACAGGCTTCTTGAGATACTAGCATCACTAGTATGTTCCTCGCTATCCCCACCCCTCTGCCTCTGGCCTCGGGGGGAAACAGTCTAAGGACCGGTCGTCATAGGACAGGCTAGCATGGGCTAGGCAACTTCACAGTCAATAAATGTGCTTTGAGCTGAACATTTTGGTCTTTTGACGTGGCGTGGCTGGATAAAGCCACTCCGAAGTACTAGTATGCCAGCGTTGGTGGCGTGTCGGAAACAGGTATATCGTAATACTCCCCCAGAAAGAGTAAGTCCATGATTTCATCTGTTTTCTGAATGTGGCTTATTTTTCCCTGCTTATAGGATGGATATACATAGCCAGAGTTGACTAGCATCCCGATCATCTTGCTTTTGTCTGCGAGATACCGAAATAGGAAATCATTGTATAGTATCGACTCTCTCACGTGTCCATCAACCAGATATTGGCCAAGATTCCGTTTTACTCTGACGTCTTTCCTAGGATAAAGAGCGGGTTATAAAAGGGTTGCCATCCGGGGCTAATGGGGTTGACAATCATTTCTTCTGATATAGAATTGTGCGAAAGAATTTGGCTCAAGCCACGAAGACTACGATTGACACACAAGCATTCCTTCTCGACTTCTGAGTTTCTTCTTTATATTTGAATCGCCGCTATGGATATGAAGCAGCTCTTCACCAGCATTGCCGCCAAACAGGCGAATAATGTGGCCGTTGAAGACGAGTCTCGTTCGTTGACATACAATGATGTCTTGAAAAGAGCAGAATCGCTGGCTCGTACCATCAAGGAGCATCCCTTAGAGCCTGAAGAGCCGGTTGGCGTGGTGTTTGGGGTTGGGATCGAACTGGTGATTGCCCAGGTTGCTCTTCTTTTGCTGGGCTTGACTTGCATCCCTCTGGATCCCAGTTTGCCCGGTCTTCGCATCCAGGAGATGCTACACGACGTCCAGGCCCGTTATGTCGTCACAGGCACTGACCTGGACGACCCAGACTTGACGGTTATCCCGTTGTCTCTTGAGACTCCTGTCAACCATCAAATTGGTCAGCCCAATGGTGAAGAGCAGGACTTTAAGGCAAGCGACATGCGTCGCAGCCACATCCTTTATACATCCGGGTCCACCGGAAAGCCGAAACCGGTTCAAATCTCGCCAGCAAGTCTTGCTCATCTTGCAACCAAGAGCCCTGTTACGCCGTTCCAAAAGACTGACCGGGTGGCCTTGATCAACAACCCGGGCTTTGATATCTCGCTCTTTGAGGTCTGGGCCACACTCCTGTCCGGAGCAACCATCGTTGTTGTTCCACGAGAAACCGTGCTCGACCCGTTTGCCTTTCGGGATTTTATCCATGACCGACAATTGAGCGTCGTCTTCCTCACCTCGTCCCTCTTTGCCGCCACAGCTTTGGCTTGTCCCACGGCCTTTCGGAATGTTCTCGAGGTCCTCACTGCGGGCGAAGTGGCTAGTCCGTCGGCCATGCGGACAGTGCTGGAATCTGGCGGGCCTCCCGCGCGCCTTTGGAACACCTATGGCCCCACCGAGACAACGACATTCTCCTCCATGCAGCTCGTGACGCCGGAAGAGGCCAAGCGGCATCGAATCGGAATCGGCAAACCGGTCGGTGATACCTCGATCTTTCTTCTTGACGAGCAACTCCATGCCATTACATCCAGCGGCAGCCCGGGTGAAATCTTTATTGGAGGCCCTGGACTGTCACCAGGCTATCTCGGACGGCCAGAAGAGAATTCACGGCATTTCTTGGAGATTCCTGGTCATGACCTAGGTGTCGAGACACCGGATGTCGTCCGTCTTTATCGAACGGGAGATCGGGCATGTTGGCGAGATCACTCAGCTAGGGAGCTGGACTTCCTTGGGCGGGTAGATCGACAGGTTAAACAAGGTGGGTTCCGTATCGAACTGGAGGAGGTCGAGCAGAAGTTGCTGTCTAGTGACTGGTTCACCTCCGTGGTCGTGACCCAGCTAGCAAACCCAGAACAGGCAGACCCGTTTCTGGTTGCTTTTGTCGTCAGCAAGACGTCCGGCCTCCCCAAGCGGCGAGTGCTGGAGTGGGCTTCAGAGCGGATGCCTCAGTATATGATACCTCGGGACATCCTGTTTGTTCCCGAGTTTCCCTTGACAGCCAACAACAAGGTGGACATCAAACACCTAGAACAGCTCTACTGGGAGCGCCACGAATACAGCAAACGAAAGGCCGACGAAACGACCCAAGACTCCGCACTAACCGCCGTCGTTCGAGAGCTCTGGGCATCGGTCCTTGGTGTCCCGAAAATTGACGACGGAGACGACTTTTTCGCCCTCGGAGGGTCCTCGATACAATCAGCGAAATTGATCAGCAGACTGCGCGGCGAGACAGGCAAGACCATGTCAATGAGAGCGTTTCACGAAAACTCTCGGTTCGAGGACTTTGTGACATACTTGAACGAGTTTGCTGAAGGTGCTGTGGCGACGCACCAGTGCGATAAATGGAAAGCAGACTCTCATCTTGCAGACGAGGTTCCAGTTACACCACAATGGGCTTCCGAAGACGAAGGCCGTGTCTTCATGACTGGAGCGACTGGATTCGTCGGTGTGCATTTCCTATCTCGACTTCTTCGACATCCCATGGTAAAGAAAGTCGTCTGCCTCGTGCGCGGAAGAAACAACATGAGTCCTACTCAACGAGTCGAACACGCAATGGAGCGATACAACCTGTTGGAGGAGACGTCGAAGTGTATACATAAGCTCACGGTGCTTGATGGAGACATCGCCGAGGACAATCTCGGGCTTTCAGATGACGACTTCGCTTGGCTTTCCCAGTGGGCCAGCGCGGTATTCCACCTCGCAGCTCGAGTCAACTTCTGCGAGCCATACGAGGCGCATTACGAGCCCAACGTTGTTGGCACACGAAATGCACTCCGGTTAGCAGCCGCGGGAAGACGGAAGTCCTTCCACTTTTCCTCCAGCATTGATGCCTGGGGGCCCACAGGACTCATTCTCGGTACGCGGAAGTGTCTGGAAGACGACCTTCTCGAGCCACATCTGAAAGGTCTCCCATACGACATCGGGTATGCTGCCAGCAAGTGGACGTCCGAGCAAATGGTGCGGCGTGCTCGAGCCCGTGGCCTCCCAACCATCATATACCGGCCGGGCTTCGTCATTGGCGACTCGCGAACTGGCGCAGGAAATCCCGACGACTTTTTCGCTCGACTGATGGTGGGATCCATCAAGATCGGGGCCTTTCCACATCTCCCTAAACAGCGAATGGAGTACGTGACCGTGGACTATGTATGCGACGCAATTCTCCATATTTCTGCAAACAATGCCAATCTGGGAAGATCATTCAGCCTGCTGGCGCCAGATCCCGCAGACTCAGTCAACCTAGAGAAGACAGTCGAGGTCATCAACGACGCTGGTTTCCCCGTCCAGCGTGTTCCATACTGGGACTGGGTGCAGCGGCTTCAGGATCCCAAGAACAAGGACAATCCGCTGATGCCACTGCTGCCCCTTGTACAAGAAAAGGTTTGCGGCAATCTGACGCGTTTTGAAACAAGTCGTGACACGCCTCACTATGATTCCACCCACACGGTCGAAGCTCTCACGGATGCCCCTAATATCAAGTACATTCCGTTTAGTTCAGACCAGCTCAGGCGGTTCCTCGCATTCTGGAGGTCCAAGGGGTTTTATCACGTCTAGAAGAGGAGGCTATGGGAAATGGGTTGAATTTCAGCCTTCCAGCATCTCTCAGAACCATAAGAGAACAGCGGCAGAGGAGGAAGGAGCATTCTGACGCTGACCGAAGAGATCATGGGTACCTAGGGGCTTACTCGAACTATACTTGAGCATTATTACACCAGGTTTCTAGAATAATTAAGGACAATAGATCAGACATACATTGGGGAAGACGGTGGACTACACAGTCAGAAGATCCCATTCCTTAGGAACGTAGCACGCGTATCAGAACAACAGATGGTGATCTCTACTGGCACAGAGAACAATCCCAAACTGCAGACATCTCCACGTCCCATGGAAATACTATTAATAAAGTAGTTATTTTGGGTCTAGTGGTTTGGCCCGTACGGAAAGATTGAAGATTGCAGAAACAGCTAGTTTACATCAAGGTCTAATATAGTACATGGAGTGGATATACATTCAACCCGTTGCCTCGAGCTCCCGGACAACGTCCTCACATCGTCCACACAACGGCTCCTCCGCTCCCTGAGACTCGGGCACAACATACCGCCAGCACCGGGGACACTTGGTATCCTGCGGAGCATACACATACACCGTTCCCTTCTGTCCGTTGGGAAGCTCGTACTCCTGGCTGTACTGCCATTCAACATCAGCAAGCGCAGACGACTCCTCTCCATGAGCCGCCAGGGTGACCGACGAGACCACGAACAGATCAGGGAGTTCGGCAAGATTCCGGTGAAAGACGGATGCCGCTGCAACACCCTCCGGGAGCACAATATGCACGAAGGACTGGAGGGACGATCCCATCTGCTTTTGGCCGCGGGCTTGTTCCTGGAGGGTCTTGATCGCAGAGTGCACAGCGATGAGATCCTGGTAGTCCGTTTCCAGCGACGGGTTCTGCCATTCGGATACGGGTTCCGAAACAATTCGCTGCAGGGGATGCTCGCAGTGGGTCTTGATGGCTTCTGGGGTATGTTCCCAGGTCTCTTCCACCAGCATCGGGGTGATAGGTGCCAACACCTCCTGCAGGTAATGGTAGATGTGGAAGAGAGTCGTCTGGGCGGCGCGTCGGCTCGTGCTGTTCTCGCTGTACGTGTAGAGTCGGTCTTTGATGGTCTCCATATAGAAAGCGGAGAACTCCAGATTAGCCCAGCGGTTGATCGCGTTCACGGCTTTGTAGAATTCAAAGTTTGCGCAGGCTTTCTGGCAGGTGCGAACCATTTCGGCGAGATGCATTAATGCGATCCGGTCTGACTGCTGCAGCTGCTCGTAGGGCACCTGGGACTCGACGCGGAAGTCGGACAGCGCACCGAGCAGGAGCTTGAATGTCACCCGGTACTTGTGCAGGCTGGTGTTGACGGTTTGGAGGACCTGCTTTCCAATCACAACGTCGCGGGTGTAGTCGCTGCTGGCAACCCACATGCGAAGCGCGTCGGGTCCAAGGGCGTCGTAAACGGGGCCTTTATCTGCCTGCTGTTTCTTGCCTTTTTTCGGCTTCAGGGGCGGCAGAAGAGTTCCGTCCATGATCGTCTGCGGATGTACCACGTTTCCGATTGACTTGCTCATCTTACGCCCTTCCTCGTCGAGAGTAAAGCCATGGGTAACCAGGTGCTTGAACGGCGCACGGGGTGTGCTCTGTCCCGCGGCAAGCTGGTGCGCAATGAAGGTCAGCAGCCCCGACTGGAACCAACCACGGTGCTGATCCGTTCCTTCCAGGTAAACATCGGCCGGATAGCCGTCGGCGTAGGGCGTAGGGACCTCCGTCCAGCTAGTACCGCTATCAAACCACACGTCCATGGTGTCCGTCCCGCGACGGTAGCCAGGTCCGGAAGCATCTCGCAATGTTGGCGGGATCCAAGCGAGATCATCGGCATCGTCCGTCCACCAGGCATCCACCCCGCGCTCATCAATGACAGACATGATATGCGAGACTGTGTCCTTTGTCAGAACAGCCTCCCCAGTGCCCTTATGGTAAAGAGCAGGAATAGGTACACCCCACGCGCGCTGGCGGGAAATACACCATTCACTCCGGTTCTTGACAAAGTTCTCCAGTCGCTGTCTTCCAGAAACGGGGACAAAGTTCACATCCTCCAGCGCTTTGACGGCCGCACCGCGGATATCAGCCACATCGGCGAACCATTGCTCAGTAGCTCGGATAATGATGGGAAGCTTGGACCGCCAGTCATACGGATACTTGTGTTCGTACTGATGTTTCGCGAGCAGATAGCCCTGCGATTCCACGTACTCCAAAGCAGCGTCGTTTCCTTCGCCCAGGACACTCTTTCCACTCAGCCGAGCAGGATCGTCAGGCATCGCTAGGTCGGTGAATCTCCCATGGTCATCGACCGGAGCGAGCGCGGGAATCCCACGAGATACACAAGCGTCGTAGTCATCCATTCCATGGCCTGGGGCACAGTGGACAAGACCAGATCCAGAGTCCGCAGTCACAAAATCCGCAGCGATGATCGGCTGGTCCTCTGCCTTGGACCCCTTAAAAATAGGCCGGTAGGTAGTCTGGTCAGCCAGCTCCGAACCCAGAATAGACGGTACGATAACAGACAGGTCCTCCTTTAGCATGCTCTCGAGATACTCCAACCGAGACTGCGCAATAAGCAGGTGACCATGCTCTTCCGACTGGACGACCGTGTACTGCAGATCCGCATGCACCGCAATGACCGCGTTGGCCGGAAGCGTCCAGGGCGTGGTCGTCCAGATCACCGCGCTCAGCTTCTTGCCCTGCAGCAACGGGTTCTGCGCAAGGTGCGTGGGGATGGACACCAGCGGAAACTTCACCAACGCAGCCGTCGACACATGGTCGTCCTTATACTCGAGCTCGGCCTCCGCCAACGCCGTTCCCGTCGACGGCGACCAATACACCGGCTTGAACCGCCGGTAGATCAGCCCCTTCTCAACCATCTCCCGGAACACCCCCAGCTGTCTCTTCTCAAAGTCCTTGTCCATCGTCTTCCAATGGCTCTCCCAGTCCGCCATGACCGCAAACCCGCGGAACCCCTTCATCTGGTCCTTCACCGTGCGCGCGGCCAGCTTCCGCGCCGCCTTCCGAATCACCGCCGCCGTGACGGGTCCGTCCGCTTCCTTCCCCAGGTCCCTCTGCGCGTCGAGCGCCTTTAGCTCAATCGGCAGCCCATGACAGTCCCAGCCAGGCACGTAGCGCACCCGCTTTCCCAACCCCAGCTGCACACGACAAATGATGTCCTTGAGAATCTTGTTGAGAGCATGTCCGACGTGAAGGTCGCCGTTGGCGTATGGGGGGCCGTCGTGCAGAACGAACGGTCTGTCAGCGGGTCGTTCGCGCCGCTGCCAGGCGTACAGGTCGTCGGTGCATCGTCGCAGGTATTTCGTTTGATCGGCCGGCGTCACGCGTGCGGGAAAGGTCGACTTAGGAAGCTTCAGCGTCGACGACCAGGACCGTGTGAGCGTCCGCGGCAGTTCCGGCATACTACCGCTGAAGCATATCCCGCCTCTCTGTGGGGTCAATGGCGTGGGCGGTGGTGGTTGTGATGGAGATGATGATTGTCGGAGATTCCCATAATGCGGCCGAAGAAGCTGTTGCGGGTAATATTACATCTCCGGCCAATGAAGTGCTGTTATTACAGTAATACGCAAACACATAAATTTCATACTGGACCAATGCAAATGGCTTCAACAAATTGATCTATACCTTATGATGCATGATTCAATACTCATTGTTAGATCGTAACGTAAATTTAACCGCCACATCAATACACTGTTAAACAGCTCACCGCGCCGTTCTTCAACACCTCGAAGAGAAGACCAGGAAACCCGAATAGCTCCGTGTTGCCCAATCCCCCATCATGGCTCTCAGGTCCCATACGTTGTCCTTTCCCAGTGCTTTCTTCCCAGCCTCCGAGGAACTCGACGCTACTCTCTGGGCTGTCCCCCCATCCGCGGTTCAGCACCATAGGACGTTGCAGGGCGCGCTCTTCGGCAGGACTGGAATACGACCCCTTCCAGACATCGCGAAGCCGTTCAGAAATCTCGTCATAACGTGTCTCAGAAGAAACAGTATCACCGGACGGACCCAGGTGGATCTTCCAACGGCTGCGGCGGTGGCGGTTGAAGGGGTACGAGCCTGGTACATTCCCATGAAGGATAATCTTGGTTACCACTAGCTGCGATGAAGGTGACGGAGGCGAAGGGTCGGACATGCTGGACCCAGGGAATGCAGGGCCTGGGGTGGTAGGATGAGAGATGAAAGCATCGAAGCCATGATGGAAGTAGTTAAAGAAACATTCAGTTGGGAGAGAGGCCGGATCCAGATTCGGTTGGGATAGTTCTTCATCCGAGTCATCTGAGACGCTGTTATTCGACGATTGGTCAGTATCGGCCACCTCGATCCCTCGACCGGGAGAGGTGCCCATATGGAAATGCGCCTCACCGCTGCCGCCAGCAGCGCGGTGGATCGAGATTCTCCGGTCGTTCTTACGGTAGATCGCGTCTGGGGGCCCAAATTCCGCTACCAGATCCTGCGGGGTGGTCTCTGAGAGCATGATCGTCGTGGGTGGGCTCGATCGTCGGATCACTTCCAACTGGCCGGCGCCCATGACATGAAATTCCTCCACCTCGTCTGCCACTGACTCTCGGTTCTTGCCCGCCACGGCGGGCGATCGGGGGTATTGTGGCTGTTGCGTGAACAGCTTGGCTCGAACCTCTGGCCAAGAGGAGCCCTGGAAGATAGCCATCGACGTCGCGGGCATGGCTGCGGAGGATGAGAGCAACGCTACAAAATCGCATTGGTCTGACCACGCCGAATGTTGAAGAGGGAAAGAAAAGGCCACGCCGGGGTATGATAACACGTAGGTACCATATGGGGACTGATTTGCGGGAGGGATATATTCTCCTGGATAGGATGGTCCAAAGAGGCGGTTGTAAACATGTCGAAAGCTAGGTCCTTGTGACACGTGCAGTTCACTCGGTTTTACCCCTTTCAGCACTTCCTGGCTCTTATACACTAGGGGCGTCTTGGAGAAGTCGAGGACTTCGATAAGTCGGAGTCTCTGGTCGGGACCGTCAAAGCGCAGACGCAGTCCGTTTGCAGGTAGCTGAATAGTCACTGGTTTCTGGATGGGACTGGTGGAGGAGTAGGCAAGGTTGATTGCGGGGTAGGTTTGAGGGTGCGCTTTGAGGCGACTGAGGACATTGTGAAGAGAAGCCCCCAAGGCTATGACACGATTAGCAATTTGCTCAGCGACCAAGATCCCGAATAAACATGCTTATAAACCCCAGCCCTTTTCCGGGAACGATCTGTGTTTGCGCCGCAGGTCTGGAGGAAGCAGTCATAGTGATAGGCGGCAGCTACTCATAGCGAGCATGGGAGGTGGCAAGGGTGATGGACAGACCGCAGGCCGTATGAAGACGCTCGACGTGTAAGTCACTTGGAGACTAGTGGTAAATGGAAGAGATTTCAGCCAGACTGAGGGTTAGAGAGGAGTCAAAGGAGACAGATCCATCATGGTCATGGCGGTGGTGATAAGCAACAGCGATAACGCTGATCCGTCATCCACTATGACCGCATTGCATCATGTGAATCGCCAGCATGACCCCTGGACACGTGCGGTCACGTGAGTGGTACCTGTTTGGGGGTTCTTTTGTTTACTCCAGGTTCCAGTAGAGGTTCAACATGCAGACGGAGAGGGATGCTTTTAGGCGTAGTTTGATCTATGACTTGGCATCTGGCAGGGTTATTCTGGATGCCACCTTTTCTGCATACTGTGAAGTGGGTGCCTTCTCTATGATATATATTCTAGTATGCCAGACTACGCAATTCATCCTACTATTGAATCTTGCAATGGACGAATATATTCAGCAGGTACTATCACGGATGAGTCGGTTCATCCAAATAAGAGGGCGTTTGCTCATGTACATCTCCCTGGTCTTCCTGAGTCGTGGGGTTCCCCGGGGCACTATCTAGACAAGGCTCTTCCGGATGTGCATGCTGATCCGATGGCTCTTCAGAGGGCCCGGCTGGTTCTCCCGCGTCGATCACCTGTCTTAATTCACATAATCGTTTAGAGAACTGATCCATCATGTCTTCCAAGCGCTGTCCGCCTCTCTCCTTGTCCCGATCCTTCCCGGGCATGACAAAGGGCAGCCCAGCTGTACCTTGGATTTTGAGCATCAACCCACCATTCGCGGATTGTTCCCCCGGTGCGTTATTCTCAAACGTTGGCGCTGAAACCAGTTCGGTGTTGAGTACTTGCCAGGCCGGCGTAAGGCTATGGGCAGAAGTCACCCTGAAACGATGCGGCGGTGCAGGTTGAGTCTCCTGTGTCCCCGGAGACCCTGCGATTCCGCCCTCAGGTTGTCGGTCCAAAGGCGCGGCCGGAGCACCAGCGTCGGTCGGGGGCATCATATCCATATCGAGAATGATGTAATTATCCTTCACACCGGGAACAGGAGGCGGAAGAAGGGGCTCTTTCCTCGGACTCTCCAGCTCGTCTTCATACGGGGCGACCTCTCCACCGCCCAGCGGTGAGTGTTGAGGCTCGCGTGTCGACTTCGTTTTACCCTTCCCGCTGCCCGGGAAGTTATCCTGCTCTGTCTCAAGAGATCGCAGGGCTGCCTCAGTCACAATGTCGGTATCATCGTCGGAAAAGATATAGTGGACTGTGGGATGGTAGTACTCGGAGGTGTTGGAGTCCTCGATGAGAGTGAAAAACGGCTGGAAGGGTGGTCGCGGGATCTCGGTCGACTTTTCGTGCCCATCATGTTCGGGAATCACAGACGAAAAGTGTGTCGCATGTTCATAGCTGTGGTGTTCTTCTGGAAGAGAATGTACGGGCTGAGCGGTGGGCGGTCGGTCAATGCTCCGCGGGCGAGACGGTGGGTTCGAATCTGCGGGTCGGCGAACGGAGTGTCTGGAAGGGGAGGATGACAGGGGAGGAGAGGTGGTGTGCTTTGGAAGAGACATGTCCGATGAGGATGGTTACATATTGAGGGAAGACATGGAGAGGAAGAAAGAGAGCAGGAGTAAGGTTGATGGAGTGTTGTTGAAGCTCAGCAGGAGCGGATCACCTGTTCCTTATCGATATGGTCAGGTGACCGCCCGAGGAAATCCAACGATGTACATGATGTACCGGAGCACACGGACACGAAATAACAACAGCAAGACTGTAAAGATAGGTAGATAAACTCCAAATAAACCAGCCTGGGTATCGTTTGACGCCGGAACCATAAAGAGCAAGCAGTTGTCTGTCCACAGCAAATTCACTCGTCATTTTGCTTCCATTCAAATTCTGTATATTGTTAGTACCCCTCCGCGAACACGGACCAAATATGTTGACGTACTCTGTCGACACATCGGACAGAGCCCTTTGGACGTTTCTTGTTGGATCCAAGTCATCAGACAGTGCTATAGAGTCTCTGAGTCAGTGTATTGAGCCCATGAGGGAATCCATCTCCACAATCGCACCATATGGAAGGAATGGCCGCATTTTCCGAGCACTGTAAGAGATTAGGACCCATTCCGATCGAATACCACAGGTTGAAGATGGAGATGCAAATACTTACGTAGCGAGCAATCATCACCAGGGAATTTGCAAGTCGGACAGGTTCCATCAAACTGAACGCGACAGATACCACAAACATCATCCTCGGGCATATCCCACCGCCAGGTAGCGACTGCGTTCCACTCTTTGATGTTAACCTTCATGATTGGTGAGGGGCGACTGATTTGAGGAGAAGAGAACTAGGCTTCGTGTCGAAAAAAAAAAAAAAAAAGGATGAGACGTGGGTGTTGATGGTGTTGGTTTGGTGGTGGTGGAGCGGGTGATAAGCGGATTGTTTACTGCTTTTCACATGGCGGAGAAGCACCGACCGACTCCGCATTGATTAGCGGAGTGACTCCAACCCACTCACTACGTACTCCCTGCGCCGAACGAACTCTTACCTCTATCGCCCTCCAAGTTGGATGACACCATCGGACGATACACGAGTCCGGCATGTAAATATTGATTACCTCCTTCCAACCCCCCCCCTTTACATATAATCCCCTGAATCACCTCCCGCAACGATGGCTTTTGCCGCCTTCCGGTCCTCTATCCCTTCACCGACCCGACTCGTTCGTCCCACCATGTCGACTCCTCCCCAGCTGCGATCGCACAGCCAGAGCCGCCAGGTCTCCTTCTCATCATACCTGGTATCTCCGAAGGAGCTCCATGAGGCCCTCAAGAAGAACCCGTCCACCAAGATCTCGACGTCTCCGCGTGTCGTCCCTCTCTGCTCGGCCTGGTTTATGCCGAATGACCCCGAGGGTCGCAAAGGCATTGATATCTTCCGCAAACATCGTATCCCGCAAGCGCGCTTCTTCGACCTGGATGCCATCAAGGACCCGGAGTCGCCGTATCCGCATATGCTCCCCACCGCCGAGACCTTTGCCGAAGCGATGAGCGAGCTGGGCATCCGCCGCGACGACGAAGTTGTGGTTTATGACACGGAGGAATTAGGAATCTTCAGCGCTCCTCGTGTTGGCTGGACCCTGAGGGTGTTTGGACATCCCAAAGTTCACATTCTGAACAACTACCGCCTGTGGGTTCGGGAAGGATACCCCACGGAGACGGGCGAGCCCCAAGCGGTGGAAAAGACGAGCTACCCTGTCCCGACTTACGACTCGAAATTGGTGATCCCATACCTGGAGTTGAAGGAGATCGCCAAGGAACACCGTAAGGAGGGTGCAAAGGAGGTGGAGATCTTGGACGCCCGATCCTACGGCCGCTGGGCGGGAACGGATCCAGAGCCGCGTCCAGGACTGTCCTCGGGGCATATCCCCGGCTCCAAGAGTCTCCCATTCCAAGAGTTGTTGGACCCGGAGACGAAGACCTTCCGCCCGGCGTCCGAGCTCCGTGCCCTCTTTGAAGCACGGGAGGTGGATGCTTCCAAGTCGATCATCAGCTCCTGTGGCACGGGGGTCACTGCCACTATTATCGAGACGGCATTGGCTGAAGCCGAGTACGGGGATCCCAATCTGCGCAGAGTGTACGACGGTAGCTGGACGTAAGTGTTTCCTCTTTCTGACACTCGAGATTGATCGAGATATGATGCTTATACTACGATGATACTATAGGGAGTGGGCACAAAGAGTGAAGCCGGAGGATGGGCTGATCAAGAAGGCCACCTGAGACGATATGACTCGACTCAACTCAACTCATTGTATGACTTAGTGATCGCATCTGGGTTGACGGTTCTGTGCTAGAGGCTGCAGATCTCTTCGAGCGATAGAGTTATGACTTTCATAGAATGTACCTAGTAGCACCAGCGATATTCTATAGAAAGACTGATTATATACATTTTGCTACCTAGAAAGGCAGGCAGTTATCCGATGACTCAGCAATGCCGCGACTTCATCGCTTCCCCCTCGTTGTCGCTGCATGACTCTCACTCCCTCGCTATTCATGGTTATTGCACACCCCCAAGATGCTTCAGATGTTCTTTCGCTGTGAGCCAGAATTGTCCTGTGAGTTGCGAATCCCCTCCATTCTCCGTGTTACACCACCTGGTCCGGTCGCTGGATGTTCACCTGAAGCGCTGCCCCCACATTATTCCCACCTCCTCCTCCGCCTCCATCGGGCCAAACCTCCTTCGTGGATCAGCCTCCGCTAACGCCGCTGCGGCTCAGTCGCAGTTGCTAAATCCAGTTCTTCGGTATAGGGCCATCGTGTGGTATTACTAGTATTGATCATTCTTATTCCACTCGCCCCCGGTTGTCGGTCGGTCGCTGCAGAGAGCCATGTCGACCGGGCGCAAGGTCTTCCACTGTGCAGTGGATCAAACCGCGTTGACCACCAATATCAGCGAAATCAAAAAATGGACGACCAATGGAGCCATCACCCTTATTGTTCCACTTTACAGTAAGTGCTTGCTGTTCCTCACCCGGCTTTTGTTATTGACGCTCATGTCTTTTCTTGCGCCTCAGCCTTGGAGCGTCTGCATCAATTGAAAAGAGCCGGATCTCAGATCGCCATCAACGCTCGCGAGGCCGTTCGCTTCCTCGACAAGGTCACCTCCGGAAAGGACAACGTCGCCGCCGAACGCGTCATTCTCCAGGGTCCGATGGAGCAGTACGAGGATTGGTCGGAGGCGGAGAAGTTCTTCCTGCCGGAGTTTGAGGAGGAACCTGAGGCGATTAACGGCATCCCTGCCGACGGGGAGGTGTCATCGGAGAAACGAGACGAAAAGGAAAGACACAAGGAGAAGGAAGGAAATATTCCGAAGAGGACTGGAGCCCCCGATGATTTGTCGCAAATGCTTCTCAACAAGCTGAACTTCAAGAAAGATGCCGATGCCACCTCGATCACCTCGACCGGTACTCACAGCGGCCCTGCGTCTCGTCCCTCGTCCCGAAGCTCGCGAACCAGCCCTGAATGCGCGAACTCGCATGTGGTTGAAAATGGGGACTCGAAGGAACCCAAACAAAAACCGGCAAACGGACATCGCCGCTCGGGGTCCAACGCCGTCATCCCGACAGTCCCTCCAGCGCTACGACCCCTTCTCAGTGCGCTCCTCTGGCGACTACATAGCGGACCCGATGCTACGAATGCCGCGAAGGCCTGCATCCTGGTGACCAACGACCGTGACACTCAGATCTGGGCCCAGAAATTCGGCATCGGCGTGAAGAACATCCACCAGCTACGGACATCCATCCAATACGAGGAACGGGAGTACAAAAACCGATGCAAATATGTCGAGAAGACCCAGGCGACCGAACCCAAGTCCCTCCTTGCCTACGAGGACGAAAGCGACGAAGATGAACTGGTCTTCGTTCCCCGCGGACGTGGCAAAAGTTCCTCCAAAGGTTCTCGTGGAGGCAACAACCGCAAGCCTACTGCACCCAAGACCGTGGCGCCACCGGTCGAGAGTACCATGGAGATCCCCACACAACCTATCGATCCCAATTCGTTCAGTCGGTCTTTGAGCGTGCCCTCGAAGCAGCCGCCGACGGTTGATCTCAGCACCCAGTCGGGTGCTGCACGAGGCATCGCGGGTACCTCCCGGCATCCGAATCACAACCGTCGCGGGGGCACTCGGGGTGGTTCCCGCGGTGGAAGCCGTGGCCGGGGCAAGTTGTGGGTTCCTTGATTGCATGGCGAGGGTTCCGTTGAACTTTTGCATCGACGGAATCGATCTATTTTCCACATATTTCCGATAGACCGCTGTGGTTGTTGCTCGAAGCAGAAAGGGCTTTCGAAAATCGGCCGTTCTGGGACTGCCTGCTGGTCCGTGACTACATGATGCGGCACAGAGTCCTGGGATAGCACGGATACGAAACACGGTAGACGAGTGCCATCGGATCCGGCACGGGGATCGGACCAAATGACCATTCAACTGGGTCGGTGCGTCTCAGTGCGGACAGTAGGTACTGCCTGACTGGGTCATGATTGCTCATGCCTTGCTTTTCCGTTTCTTGGAGGAACGAGCTCTTGTGTTGAATTCCCGTGGCCGGTGGAGGCTCCTAGGCAGGGAGACGGTGGTATTGATCCACTGGATTCTGTGCCTATTGCTTCACTGTCCTCTCTCTTTGCTATAACTATCCAACTGCAGGTACTAAATTGCTGTGGCAGGCTTTCGTTCCATGTTGCAACGTTGCTGGGGATGGATGATCCACGGGGATCATTCATGTATGTTTAGTACGAGTACTGGTTTATTTGATTGAATATCACAGCATGCGAGTTCTCGTGATAGTCTAGAAGTCGAGCACGACTGACCGTAAGCGGCGGGTGATGACATGTGTTGCCCCGCCGATGATCGACTGATTGATGGAGGATCGTGGGGCTCTCCGCATCTCCTCTTTGTCCTCAACATACTACCTTACCACACACTTCATCTTCCATCACCCAGCTACCCCAGTACATACAACGCCAACAAGATAAGATCAAGATAAAACATAAGACACCATGGTCACCACCGCCGTCGACGAAACCCCCCTCTCCGTCTCTCCCGTCGAGCGGCGCAACTCCCTGGAGAAGCATCTCCTGAACCGCCCCGACGCCCAGGACCTGAAGGAGAGACACATCCTGCTGGACACAAACGTAGCGCCGTACGTCCCTTCCAACCCTCCCTATGATCTCTAAAATCTTGTAAGTAACGCGGGAGCAGGTCCCTCCAAGCCGCGAGACAGGAGCTCGCACGACAGCGCACAACCGACAGCCTCAAGAAACACCTCGAGCAGCGTCCTGATCGTGATGCGCTTGTGGAGCGTATGTTATCCTCTTTCATTTCCCTCCGATGCGTTTATATATGTTATATACCGGGAGAACGGTATCGGTGGGTGTAGGCTAAGTTTGATACCTAGGAAACATCCTCCCCGCGAGCACCGCGGCGCCGGCGCTGCAGGCCAACGCCCGCGAGCTTGAGAAGCACATGCGCGCGGACCATCTCGACCAGAAGATCCAGAATCGGCCGTCGCCGGAGGATCTGATTTCGCAGGGGATTCTTAGCGAGGAGGAGGATCCGCGTAACCCGGCTGTTTAGCGAGCGGCAGTGTCGATGGATGAATCGAATGACTAGGAATGGGATTTGTGGCTTTTGTGATTTCTGGCGTTCTGGATTTACGATGATGGTACATGATCAGATGGGACATATGACGAAACAGACGGGACATATGACGAAACAAACTGGACATAAGACAACATAACATACGCTCACGCGCAGGGTAGGTAGGTAGTTGATGCAATGAATCGATTGTCATTTACTCATTTACTCCGGACGCCTTCCTCCCTCTCCCATCTATGTCGATAAAGAGATTAACATGCAAGATCAATACTCGGTCTCAACCACCGACAAATCCGGCCTCCACCCAGCCGGCCGCTCACTTCCGCGCACCAGAATCCCATACGCCGCGCGCTCCACCTTCTCAACACTACTCTGCATGACATCGACCTTCTTCCCCATGTCGCGCAGCATGTTATGTCGGCGCGGCACGCTCAGCGCCTCAAACAGCGACCGCATCTCGCGCAGGTCAACCACAAGGCCCGCCTGACTATCCTGTAGTCGCGGGCCATGCGACAAACTCCCATCCACATGCGCATCTCCCCCAGTCTCCTTATCCTTGTCGGTGTCACCTTTCTGCCCCCCGCCCGACAACGCCGTCACAGCGAACCGCATCATCTCACCAGTCAGATCAAACAGACCCAAAAGGTAGTCCTCCTCGGTAACAAGGATCTCCTCGGGGAGATGGGCAGCGACTTCGGCGCGGGTAATCAGACGCTGGTGCTCGAGGTAGTGGTGGAAGGAGAGGGCCTCGATGAACTCCTGGATGGCGCCGCTGAGCTGGCGCTGGTAGCGCCAGCGGTTGACGCCGGTGACGTCTGGGATGACGGCGCGGAAGAGGTCGGTGATTTGGGCGAAGCGGGAGGAGGTTTCTTTGGCGATGGAGGGCGGGATCGGGGCGTGGATGGTTCGGACTCTGCGTGCGGGTTAGGGGTGTGCTTCGCTTGTGGGTTGTCGGAGGGTTACCGTTGGAGGGAGAAGATACTGCGGCGTGTGTTAGCTGGATACGAGCGAGACCACGGGGGCAGGATTACATCTTCTTGCTGAGGGCGGTGATGTCCCGCGACGTCTTGATGACTCGCTCGCGCCGGTCGTGGTGCTGGTCCAGCTCGTCGCGGAAGGTCGAGAAAATCGACTGGATTTGCGTCGCGGAGTCGGTCGTGGAGGCCATGGCGGACTGTGCGGGGGAGTCGGAGATGCGGAGTTCTCTGCCTTCCCAGGAGCGTTTGGTACCCGCCATGCGGTGGTTACAGAGGAATTGAGAGGGAATTGGAGAGCGGGAGGAAGTTGGTGGTGTTTGCGGTGACAGAAGATGAGTTGCGGCTGGCGGGGCTTAACCTCTTTGGGGTGATGGAGTTATCTGATAAGATGATGTCATTGGCATTCGTGCTATATAGTATGTACTGTCATGGCCTCCTAACATAACAATCCAGGGCAGGTCTACTGTCCAAGATACTTGTACTTCAGGGGAGGCGCATCCGCCTTCAGACCCGTGATCGTGACAGTCTGCTCGTCTCCAGGAACAATGTCCATCGCGCTGTCGCTCACCCGGACCCCGTCTCTCTCCTCAAACACGAGGCATTTCACCGGCTTCTGCGCGCTGATCAGCAAGGTCTGTTGATCATCCGACGTCGATACCGTCTTGACCTCCAGGCCGCGCCCGGACAGATCCAGGTACTTGAACGGCTGAGGCCAGTCCACGTCGCGCGCCACGATCTTGCCGTCAACCCACAGCCGCGCCGCCAGGACGTGCGGCTCCGCATACTCCTGGTGGTCGATGACTCCATCGACAATGATATCCGTCGTGCCGTTGGGGACGATGATCACATCCTCGCGAACGATGCGTTCGCGGATCTCGCGGCCGGTGTCCACAGACAAGAACTTCAGTTCCACCATGCCGCGTGTCTCCTTTTGCAGGTTACTGGCGACCCAGAGCTCGAACTTGCTCTTCTTGGGGGGCTGTGCGTGGGTCACACTCCAGTCATGGTGTTCACGGCGCACACCCACCGCAATGGGGTTGAGCACACGGGCGACCGCGTAGAATGCAGGCTTGGGCCGGAGGAAATAGTCCACGATGGCCCACGAGATGGTTGGCCAGCAGTCGTTCAGTTGCCAAAGCAGAGCACCACCGCAGTGTCTTTCGTCGCCCCACTGGCGACGCCATCCGCGGTATCCAAACATCATGGTCTCTGCTTGGACCACTTGAGTGAGGTAGATGTATGTCTATCTGGGTTAGGGCAGATGGCGAAAAGTCAAGGAGAGTTACATACCTCTAGATCCGTCGCGGTTCTCAGGTTCTCAACAAGGTACGTGGCGATCCTGCGCTCATGGCCGTCGGCCTTGTTGTGGAAGTCCAGAACGTGCGACTGAGGGTACTTGTCTTTCTCGTTTTCGACAAAGTACTCAATGGTGGACATATGGGGGAATGCCTCCATACCGAATTCACTGTTGAACCGACCACCCAGGGTGTCGAAGATCTGGTATTTCTCCTGTGTACCGTGCCAGACTGAGATAAGTTAGCCAGGTCATCAGGCGACAGGGACTGGCTTACCGTTCCACTGGTGCATATCTCCAACCGTGGGATCGGAAGTGATCTTGCCATCACCCCAGGGACTACCGGGATGGTAGAAGGTGCTGGGAGAGTATCTCTGGACCACCTCGGGAAGGATCTTCTCGTAGATATAACGAGCAGGGAAGTCGGATTTCAGCCAGTTTTGCGGATCCTTGTCTTCAAAGTTATAGGTCAGGCCTTGCTGCTCCTGTACCTGGTAATCTTCATTGTTTCCGACATAGACGACAATCGAGGGATGGTGGCGCAGACGGCGGACATTATAGATGGCCTCCTTCTCCACAGATTCGAGCATCTCCGGCCAGGTCGGGTAGTTTCCACAGCCGAACATGAAGTCCTGCCACACCATGACACCCAGTTCATCGCATGCTTGATAGAAACTATCATCTTCGTAGCAGCCTCCTCCCCACACACTGGTCTTGTCAGCAATTTCCCCAGAAACGATACTACGGGAGAACATACCGGATCATCACCTGCCGGCCATGGACCATCAACTCGATCCACTTGCGGTAGCGTTCAGCACTAATGCTTGGAAGGAGGTTATCCGCAGGAATCCAGCAGGAGCCACCACAGAAAATGTCCACGCCGTTGATGCGGAAGAAGAAAGACTTTCCATGCTTGTCAGGTCGCTGCACGACCTCTGCTGTCCGGATACCGATCTTCTTGGAGATCTGGTGGACAGTGGCACCGTCTTGGTCCAAGGTAGCTGAGATCTCATACAGGGTAGGATCTCCGTACCCATTGGGCCACCACAGGGAGGGTTGTTGCACGTCAAACGCCACTTTTGCAACCTGGTCCTGGGGCTCTGCCACGGCACGAGCGACTTCCTGACCATGAAGGCTTAGAATAAAGTTGACCTTGGACGAGGAAATAGCACCTTCGACCTGTGCGAAGGCAGAGATTTGCGCGGCATGATGGTCTACAGCCAAGTCCGTCTCCGTCCAGAGGTCCGCCACTCTCGCGGTGTACACCTCCAGCCGCACATCGCGCCAGATGCCTGCGGTCATTAGGACCGGACCCCAGTCCCAGCCCCAGTGATATTGAGCCTTCCGCACTCCCATGCGGGCGGGGTCACCGTTGAACCCTACCCACTTGTGCTGAGGGTCTTTGGCGCGCAGCTCCCGTGCGCGCAGCATGGCACAGTCAAAATCGATTTCCAATACATGGTCCCCGTCCGCCCCGAGGGCTTTGGTCACATCAATGCGATGAGCTAGGAACATGTTGTTGCTCTCCAGGATGACATTTCCGTTCAGTTTGACTTTGGCGAAAGTATCCAGACCGTCAAACGCGAGAATCACGGACGACCCCGCGGGAACGGCGGGCTTCTGAAAGACGGTGCGGTAGGTCCATGATTTCTCATTCACCCATCTCGCATCCAGCTCGCGAAACCCAACGTAGGGATCCTGTAGCCTGTAAGAGCGAAGCGTGGTAGTTAGTTACTGACTCTAGACCGTGGCGGACTCGGAGGGCGCAAAATTCGGGGGTTGTACTTGTTATTGGCTATCAGATCTTGATGCACCACGGAGGGGACTTGTGCGACCGGCATCCAGGCCTCCGCAGAGTTATCCTCGGCGTCCTTGAAGCTCCATCCCGTCGCCAATGACTGCTGGAAGAAGCTTGCCATGGTGAAGACTTGCGATGAATTCGGGGTTGACAGGGAAATCGATGTATGCCACGAATTCACCGGACCAGTAACTCTACGTTGAGGGTAGAGTCCAGAGGAAGTTTAATCGTCAAACTACCATCGTGGGAGGACATGGCAGGAATTTAGATGTCGCAGTGACGGTCACAACAACGACGATATCCAATGTTACAGCGATAGCTTCACGGAGCTCCCTCCGTCCTCCACGTGGGGGGACCTTCCTGTTTGGGATAAACCCCTTCGGAATGCGGGCCGTTCCCAATACAGTTAGCCTACATGTGACCGTCTTCTTTGGTCTCGCTTTACGCCGGAGTACACCATGGTACACTCCTCCCTCCTCTTCTCAAGTTGTCTAGTCCTCCGATGATCGCTGCAGTCGAGGCCCTCCTGAGCATCTTCCAATCCAGCAATTCGTCCGACCCCATGAAACGCCCCTCGTGCACCGGTGAAACTAGCCTCCGCTGGTTTCCCCGCACTTACTCTCGCTTCGGAGACGGAGATGGCTCCGCCCAGCTGTACACCATTATTATTGGTGGGACCGACGTCCTTTGGCCGCGGTGCCTGCATCCTGGAACGCTTTTCGACGGCTTCCATGGTTTCCAACACGTCGCTAGGCTCTCTACAAATGCCCCGTGGTCGTCCGACGCGACCCTCCAAGCGACCTGACTACAGCCTTCCCTACGCTGGTGGGATGTTTAACCTTTGGCCGACGACCAAATAGTGATGGTGGCCCTCGTATTGGGTTCGGATTGACAGTCGAGGAGCTAAGGTTTGCCTCGTTGGTCTTTGCTTTTGCTTTTCTGGCAATGTCCGGCACAATGGGCCATAGTCTGGGACCTTGGTGGCCGCCGTCCTGATCAACTCCTTGGGAAGTCCATGGAATTGTACTAACAAGGACAAGTGGTCTGAATCCTTCCACTGACTCACCTCCCTGATGGGCCTTCTTCTGGGACCCACGACTGCCGAAAAGAGGGGCCCTTTTGTCACTCCCTCAACCCCTCTACCAGGGTTCTTTGCCACTAATGTCCCTTGTCGCTCCTCTTTCACACTGTCGCCTATGGAGTACACGCACTCTCTTGTCTGCAGCCAGTAGAGATGGTCTGACAGCCTAAATCTCATGCGTGAATAGCCGATGAGCCCCTCATCATGCCACTGTTATTACCCCACGGTATTTGCCAGATTGCACATGGGCAGCCTTTTGCCTCTTGCAAAGCCTGAAAAAACTGATCTAGGCTGAAATGAGAATGTAGGTGAACGTGCGAAAAATGGCTCATCTCTTGGCGGCGGTGCCTCTCTGTCTAATTAACGCTTACTTCTTGTAAGGTGGAACATGGAGAATGATTGACTTGAGGGATCGACATAACTGGACAAAATTTCTTAACCTGTCGGATCCGTCGGGACGATTTGCCTGTCCGTCTTGAGCTCCGTGTTTAGCGAGGGGCTCGGATCATCCCGAATCGTTTGACAACGGAGGACCCAAAGGATCGTATCCTGCCGTATTACTATGCGACGGGCTTCATGTCCAGGAAGACGCCTCCCGCTGATCCAAAACAGCCACCCAAGGGCTCTTTTCCTGTGTACCTGCTGTGATGCCTGCAGTAAAATCCCATACAGCAGAGTCCGCCTCCTCATCATCCCTGATGTAGACTGGGGCATTCTTTCTCATTCATTGGTCATCTCCCCGGTTTTGACGCCGAGTTGTCTCGCGTAGCGACATGGGTACCTGGTGAGATTGGAAGGACAATCGTTCGTCTGGGTCAATCGACCCCTCGACTACGCGGCCGTGGCCTAATCCCATCCCAGACCCTGGTCGATCATGTAGTGCGATTCAACTGCGACACTCGCGTGGTTTGCACGCGCTAGGGGCCAGTCAATATTCGGGCAAAAGGACGCCACCGCATAAAGTTGGCCACTTGCCGACGAGTCCGGCAAACTGTATCGATCGCTAGAACGGAGGCCTCGTTGTTTGCTATCTCGCTTATACTGGCTGAAGGACTGCCTCTCGTCTCCGCTCACGTAGGACGTGGTAACTTGGCTCCAGGCGATGTGACCACTGAAGAAAATGAATAGGTTGATACGGCCTCTGCGGGGACATCTTCTGCAACGAGAAGTAGGACCGTTTTTGCCACCCCCAGGTTCCTGAACCAGGTGATTCAAGTCATTCGATTGCCCCCAGGTTTCCTGCATAGCACAGGTGCATGTGCACAGTGGGTCCTGAAGATAATTCATGCAAGGAGAGAGCACGAAGCCGTGCTGGACGACCACGATGATGCACGTCGTAATCTACTGGCTTCGAGTGCCGACGTCCTACCACCAACCATCGTTGACGCCTCGAATCCGTCCCCTGTCCGTTGCAGACGCAAGACATGCAATGTAGAAGATGGAAGCGGCCTCAGCGCCTCGGATCGTTTGGGGTACATAGACTAATCCTTGTAGACGCATCCCGGATGAATATGAAGAGACCGGCAATGAGCGGAGACGGGATCCCACTGCGTCTGTCGACATGACCCCCGGGAATTGGACGTCGACGGCAGCCTTCCATGAAATTAGGGTCCGACCAGGGGCCATCAGCACCAACATGAGGGAATATGGAGCGGTCAACAGAATCCGGTCAAGCGGGCGTGAGACTAACACATGCCGGCAGGACCGAAGAGGATGTCAGGGCCGACTAACCTTTCGCACCAGTCGGCGCACATGCACCAGGCCTGATTGGCCTGACCCCGGGGGGGATTGGTTGACTGATGCTGGCGTTTGATTACTTTTCGACACTACTGCCTCCAAGAACTAGATATTGCTAGTCTGGAGTCATGAACCCCAGGAATGCGGGGGCACAGCACTCAACGGACCGGCCAGTCTCATCTATCGTCTGGCGACGATCTCTCAGGGCATGCTCGCTCGTTGGGCATGACCTCGGAGCAGGGTGAATCCATTCCCAGGGCATATATGGCTGCTGGGGGGACTAGCCGGGGGTCGTGCTACTTCTGTGGTGCACATCTCCCGGGTGGGCTGGCTTCTAAAACACGAGATTTTCTCCTTCGGTCCATATCCACATCCTTCTGTGTCAAAGGTCCGCATTAGGATTTGGGTTATTTCTTAGGCTGCCCCATCCATCGGATCTGATATTTCTCTTTCTCATCACCCAACTCGCTCGAAGTTCTGCTTTCCTCTCGACGTCTGTCCTGACCGTGGTTCCCTCAAACTGGTGGACTGACGCTACATCGTTGTGCCGCGGCTATTCGCCCCCCCTGCGTTTTTATAATACGTTTAATCTACTGGGGATCCTTTCTGGTTCATTATTACTCCGGGGCATTACCTGTATTACTGCTATTTTTTCCGCCATCGAGACACCCCCCGATCACGGCATTTGTACCTCCCTGGCCATCTGCGACCCTGCGCAAATGGCTGTCTTTTCCTGAACAAATCCTAGAATGTCCTGCAGCTGTTTGCTGTTTCCTCGATTCCACATCTAGGGAAAATCTGTCGGACGCAAACATTTCCTATCTTGTCCCTGGTCATGTTCCATACATTCGAAGGGTTCGAAAATCCGGCGGGCTCGACCGTCTCTCGGGGCCGTAATGAACGCCAGCAGTCAGTCGGTCGGCGAGTCACCACCTTGAGAGCCTGCACTTCTTGCCGACATCGCAAGATCAAGTGCGATGGTGAGAAACCATGTGAAGCATGCAGATGGTACAAGAAGGCAGAACTCTGTCATTACTCGGACCCTCGTCCTTCTCGCCGGTATGTCTTCCATCGCTCTCCCCTGGTCAAGAGTGCAGAGGAATAACACACTCTGTCGAGAATAGACATGTAGAAAAATTGTCCACCACGTTGGACGAATATCGAGGCGTGCTGGAGAAGCTCTTCCCGAACATGTCGCCCGAGGCGCTATTCAACCTACCCCGTGAGAAGTTGCTGGAGATGACCACCACAGGCGCAACAGCCCATGGCCAAGTCCAGGGAGCGCATCCAGCTTCGCCTGCCACCTCCGCCTCGGTAGAGGCTCATGTCTCGCCCATGTCCAACGAGGATACGAATCTCGAGTCTCTTCAAACCATGCCGGATGAGTCCAGTGAGGCCAGGAACTCAGCCAACAGCGAAGCCACCAATGGCATCTCCGATGATGTCAACGGACTGTCGCTGTCGGCACGGCAGCCCTCCTCCTATCTCGGAGTGTCCTCCATCAACGCAGTCCTCAAGGTTATCGTCTGGCTGGACCCGGGCTCAGTAACCTATTTCTCCCGCACTCCTGCCATGGGCGCTCGACGAGGGTCTATCGTGGACCTTTCAGCCCCGGAAGCACAGAACTGGCCGGTCCAGGCCGGGCAGCAGCAACAGCCGGTTACTCCCCCGCAACAGGTACCAGTCACGGACGTGCAGATGCTGGATGCGTACTTTACATATATTCAACCATTCATTCCTATGTTGGACGAACAGTCCTTCCGGGAAACCTACATGTCTGGCCAGCGGAAAGATGATCAATGGCTTGCCTTGTTGAACGTCGTATTTGCCATGGGCAGCATCGCGGCCTGTCCCTCGGATGATACGACCCACCAAACGTACTACCAACGCGCTAAGGGCTATTTGAATCTGGAGTGTCTTGGCTCGTCGCATCTGGAGACGATTCAGGCGTTGGGTCTCCTGGGCGGATATTATCTGCACTACGTCAGCCAGCCCAATTTGGCGTATTCGCTCATGGGCGCAGCTCTCCGCATGGCGGCGGCCCTGGGCCTGCACAAGGAGTTCACCGAAGGCCAGGATGCAAATAACAAGCAGAAAGTGTCGTCCATGGACCTCAAACGCCGCATCTGGTGGTCTTTGTTTTGTCTCGATACTTGGGGTGGCATGACGCTGGGCCGACCCAGCATGGGACGCTTCGGGCCCACCATCACCGTGAAACTGCCCCATCATCGGGAGAATGTATGTGGATCCTCTTTCTGTCACAAAGTACGCACTAACGTGCCTCAGGGGAATGTATTGGACATCCTTCCCCTCTTGGAGAATGTCCGGTTCTGCAAGATTGCGACCCAGATCCAAGAGGTCCTAGCGGTCACTCCTCTCACCAGATATCAGGACATTACCCACTTCGACAACCAGCTCTTGGACTGGTATGAAAACCTTCCATACATCCTCAAAGACCATCAACCATGCTCGGAGTCGATTACGATCGCGCGGACGGTAATGAAGTGGCGATACGCCAATCAACGCATGCTTCTCTACCGCCCAACGCTGCTGAGCTACGCTCTCCGGCGCGTACCATACATCGCCCTCCGCTCCGAAGAGCGAACTGCGATCGAGCGATGCAGAGAGATTGCAGAGGAGGCCATTCAGGACATCTCGTCCACGGCACAGTCCCACCAGATGTCAGGCTGGAACGCCGTGTGGCTGATTTTCCAGGCGGTGATGGTCCCTCTGCTGGGGCTGTACCTTAACGACAGCACCAACAACGACCCGCGCGCAACCGTCGAGTCGTGTCAGGCGCAGGTCGAAACGGCGATGCTCGTGCTGGCGCGACTTCAGCCGTGGAGCCCCACGGCGAGACGCACCCTCGACGCCGTTTCCCGCATCCTCGAGGCCAGTAAACGCGGCCCCGACCCCATGATCAACGACGCCGGCAATATGCCCAATGGCAATCCATGTCCCACCTCGGTGCCTGGGGCGGCACCCAGCATCCTCCTCTCCCAGCATGAGCTTCCTCGCGGAATGAACCTGGACAGCGGGTTCGCAGATTCCATGGCGCCGGCCTTTATGGACGATTCTGCTGGCCAGCATCTGTGGGACTTCCTCAGCTGGAGCGACAACAGCCTGTGGCCTGGAGTGACGGAGCTGGACGGCACCGTGGAGGATATTTTGATGATGCCCGACGACAAGGGCGCGAAATTTGGCAACGGGCCCTCGGCGTTCTTCGGCAACCCGATGGGCGAGCCAACCTACTATGCCAACACGGCGCTGCCGTTTTATTAGTGGGAAGGTGGAGGGCCTGGTCTCTTCTCTCTTTGCCTTGCGCTCTTCTCTTTCTGTCCTCTGTTCGATATTGGTGGAATCCGCCGGATTCATTGTTCACTTCTTTATACATACTTACTACCATCTTTTTATTTTGTACTTCGACAGGTTCTTGTGTATTGAGCGATATACGACTGATGAATATATTTGCCTTGAATATCCATGGATAGAGCTTTTATTATATACGGCGGATGTAGAAAGAAGGCTTGTGTAGAGCAGCTGATGATCAACCCCCTGTCCCTTTCTGTTCATTTTTCTTTTTCTCAGGATCCGACCGCTCCGTCCTATATCTGGTTACTCTTGTCCAATATCTCCATACAAGCGACTCACTTCTTCCGCTCATCCACCTCGCGCGGCGGCGAGCCTTCGTCGGAGGTAGAATCGTCCACGGCGTGTTCCGGAAGTCCATCGCACAGCCGTTGGCATTCCTGGGAGATTCTGGCCGTGTGGGGCATGCTAGACAAGCCATGTTAGCAGGTGATGACGGTGGTGACACAGGTGGCTGCGCTACATACATATGGTAGCCGCACATGGAATTCGCCCGGTGTCGAATGCACTGAGCGATGTGGTCTTCGTCGGTGGGATAGATGGAATTCATGATTGTAGTTGTTATGGTTATTGTCTTTGATTCGTAACGATCCTCGACAGGCACAGTTTATTATATGGTTCTCTCGTAGCATATCGTGGCGACGATCTGCCCACCAGGACAACCATATTCGGACGAGACCCGGACTCAACCCCGGACGGATTCGCTCTCCTGCCAGTAGTCTGCTCGACCGTGGCTGACTGGTGGCACTCAACTCCGGTTCATCTTTGAAACTCCCGGAGCCGAATGGTCCAGCCCGCTCTTCCCCAGGTCTCGGACGGTGGCGATATATATTGTGGTGCTGGATGATTCGTGATGCTATGGTGATGCTTGTTCCGCATTGGTCGCAACCTAATTTAGGTTATGGCCATCATCTGACCTACACTGTAGTCGGTATCTTTTCCCATTGAATAACATAGAGGTCGAGACGAGAATGTCATTATTTGTTGCTGCGATGGATGGGAACACGTGATGAGATGCCAGATGCGATGACTCAGCATCTCCAAATTGATAGACAACAGCACGACAACAAATATCAACATCTACAGCATCCGAAGACCCCGCGTCCATGGCAGCCAACCTGACGAGGAATTGACGCATGGAGTCTTCGCCAGTAGCATATCATCCGTGCATGACATGACCCGTCTCCGCTCCATGCACCAAACCTAAGATCCAGACAAATAAAATGTCTTTCTTTGAAAGACCCTCCGTGGTCTACACCAGCGCCATCGCGCTGCGCGCCCTCCTCCTCATCTACGGCGCCTGGCAAGACGCCCACTCCGCCGTCAAATACACCGACATCGACTACCTGGTCTTCACCGACGCGGCGCGGTACGTCGCGCACGGCGCAACCCCCTACGCCCGCGACACGTACCGCTACACGCCGCTGCTCGCCTGGCTGCTCCTCCCAACCACCTGGAACTTGCCGGGCTGCTTCGCGTTCGGAAAAGCGCTCTTCGCGCTGGCCGACGTGCTGGCCGGCTGCCTGATCGCCAAGTCGCTCGAGTCGGCGTACGGGATGCCGCCCGCGACGGCGCGCAAGTACGCCAGCGTGTGGCTGCTCAACCCGATGGTCGCGAACATCAGCACGCGCGGCAGCTCCGAGGGACTGCTGTGCGTGCTGGTCGTGGCGCTGGTGTGGGCGGCGCTGCGGCGGCGGGTGACCCTCGCGGGCGTGCTGCTGGGGCTGGCGGTGCATTTCAAGATCTACCCGTTTATCTACGGGGTGTCGATGCTGTGCTGGCTGCGTCCCGACGCCCCGAACGAGGAGGGGACAGCCGGCAGGAAGAAGGAAAGTCTACTGGGGCAGGCGATGGCGCAGGTCACGCCGGCCCGCGTGCATCTCACGCTGACCGCGCTGGCGACCTTCTCCGCCCTCAACATCTCCATGTACATGCACTACGGCGTGCCGTTCGTCCAGCACACGTATCTGCACCATCTGACCCGCATCGACCACCGGCACAACTTCTCGCCCTACGGCACGCTGCTGTATCTCTCTGCAGCGGGCGACGCCGCCGGCCGCTTCGAAGCGCTGGCCTTCATCCCGCAGCTGCTGCTGGCTGTCGTGGCGATCCCGCTGGTCCTTGCGCGGAAGAGTCTGCCTGGGGCGATGATGGCGCAGACGTTTGCGTTTGTGACCTTCAATAAGGTCTGCACGAGTCAGGTATGTATCTCGGTTTCTGGGGGTTTGGTGGCGAGGCTGACGAGGGAAGTATTTCCTGTGGTACCTGGTGTTTTTGCCGTTCTATCTGCCGCAGTCGTCCTTGCGGAGTCGGCTTGGTGTGGTGGTTTTGGCGCTGTGGGTTGGCGCGCAGGTATGTCTTCCAATGCTTGTTGGTGTGGTCTGGGTTAACGGTCTGTAGGCCCTCTGGCTCCAGCAAGGGTATAACCTGGAGTTTCTAGGAATATCCACCTTCGTACCAGGTTTGTTCTTGGCTGGACTGGGATTCTTTGCGGTTAATGTGTGGATTCTGGGGATTGTAGTCGCTGATTTGGGGGCTTTGCCTTGTAACTAGACGTCCTACAGTCATATACCTATGACGGTAAATAATATGTTCATTCATTATTCATACGATGTATCGCTCAACAATACACATAACATAGACAGAGATTTCACCAGCCGACCAATATACTCCTACAAATGCGATAGTATCCGGACTATCTTCCCAGCGGTTCGACACTGAGGTTCACTGCTTGCAGGAACTCGCATGATGTAGGCCTTGCTGGCTAATTCGGCTTGGATACGTCAGCGATGATCTGGTACGTTGACGCGTGGATACTAAGTGGTCGGCTGCGGGGATACACCGCGCCGATGATCTGGTGGTTCGGCCCGTATTGCGGATAGATGCCGTCGTTCAATTCCACGAACTGCGCCTGCGGTCTGGTCTCGTGCAGCGTCTCAAGAATGTCTTCGCTCCACAATCCTGTGCATTGGTTGTTGTGCAGCTGGAAGTAGGGGTTCAGCAGAGGACAGGCAGAATCCAGGTCGATGAACCGGATGCGCATAAAGTTAAGTGCCGCATGGAGGCGCAGCGAGTAAACCGCCCCTTGTATCAGCGTTTCAAACGATCGTATGAACGCGAGATTAGTGATCCCGGAGAAATCATCCAGGAACGGGGGGAGACCGGACGGGCTCATCGTGAGCGGTTTCTCGCGACAGCAGGTTTTTACAACAATGTCCAGAGATTTGAGTCGCGATTTGGTCGGCCACGCCGTGTTCATGTAGGACCGTGTGGCATGGAAGAGACTGACGCAGACTTTGCCCGTGAAGGTGAGCGATTCCAGACGCGGGGCTACGTCGCCCAAGAGATGGCAGAGATGAGGCGGCTGCGCGCCGTCACCCAGCCAGCCCAGCTGCAGGTTGTCTTTGTTGTAGAAGCCTTCCACGCTGAGGTTGACATGCACCAGGGAGGGAGGGATCTGGCGTAGGATCTGCGCGACAGTCTCGTAGCCCTCGATCTTGGGTTTGGCATAGGAACAATGCCATTCACGCACGTTGGGAAGGGCGTCGGAGAGGGTAGACCAATGACGGTAGTCGCGCATGATGTTCCAGGCACCGCGCATGACAAAGGTCTGGATATCGGGCAGCTCAGGCAGACGCCGGCCGGAATGTCCGTAGGGGTCGTCGCGGAAATGACGAATCATCGGCGGTTTCTTGCAGTGGCCCCCTTCCAGGGTGAGGATGCGCGCCTCGGGGAAGCAGGTCTTCACATGGAGGAAAATCTCTTCCAAGGTGGCATTGTGACTGGCGTAGTAATACTTGTAGTCGCTCCCGTGATTATGCTCGGAATCATCCCAGGCCATGGTGCCCGTCTGCAACGCCCCTCCATCCGCCATCCCCGCATCCTCCTCGTTGGGGCGCCGAATGGGTACATGGTGGTGGGCGATGATCTTGGTGACGCGTTTTCCCCAGACAGGAATCCAAATTTCGACTTGACGGACATAAGAAGTCAGATGAGGATGCGATTCGAACCATTTAGCACATTCTTCGAGCTGGTCGGTTGTGCCCTTGATTTTGACTGGGTGGGTCGATTAGACTTGATTAAAGGACAGCTCGCAGCAGGACTCACGATAACGATAAATGCGGTCTTGCACTAATGATCGCCAGACCGGTGAAATTAGCGCCAAATTAGAGAGGGCCTTCCGGCGTGGGTGTCTCAACGATTTGTTCCAGTTCCGAGCGGATGACTTTCCGGGACCCGTAGTTGTAAAGGCGGAGGTCCGCTCTCCGAAGAGATGGTCAAGAATGGCTTCATGGATCTCAATGGGGAGGTTCTCGAATCTCAATTCGGGACGAGTGGAGGGAGGGGTGTCTGACGGAAGGAAGGCATCGGTAAGAAGAGACTCCACTGGGACATGGCAAACCGGTTGACTAGACCCAGCGGGAGCGGAGACGGGATCATCGTGCACGGGGAAGTCGGCACTGGTGCTCCGAGGAGACTTGGTATAAGGAAGAGTGGTGGAGAGGGAGGATCGAGCCAGCGAATTGACAGAGACAGGACGTGGAGGAGGAATGGCCGATATCATGAGGGGCGATGAAGCCGTGGACGACAATTCCGGCATGAGGATGAGGAGAGCGAGAGCGGGATCTAGGAGAGAGACGTCAGATTTAAGGCAGAAATTGGACTTGGGAGTCCAACATACGGGAGAATGAGGCAGCTGATGAATCGTCACGATGGAGAAACGCACTGGAGATCAGCGCGAGTCAGAGCGAGCCAGCAGAGTCATGGCGGATCCCGAAGGGGATCGTGGAGGGAGGTGGTTGGATGATATGGATGGAGGTAAAGATGGGTATAAGAAGAGAAAGGACGAGGAGTAGGGGTTAGAACCGAAGAACGAAAGAAGGGAAGATGTAAAGAAGAGACGAGAAGAGAAGAGAGGAGAGGAGAGTGAGGAAGAAAGAGTGAAGAGTGAAGTGAAGAAAGAAATGAAGCAGAAAAAGAAAATTGCGGTGCTCAGGTGATTGTCAGCCCATCATCACCGCCAGCGTTTGGATTACACACGCTCAGTGCACCACATTTGCGCCAGATAGAGAGATATCAAATACTGATTTACTCGGTAATTTCCATGGCCTATTTTTATCCCCCAGAATTCACTGATCATGGCGCCCCTTCCTGGATCCCTGGAACCGATCCATCACGATGGAGCTGATCCACCCGCTAAACTTCAATAGTCGCAACAATCGAGAACTACTCCGTGGATCACAGAAGACTATCGCCGCCGTCGGAATCGGAATCGCAGCTCATCGTCACTGTCGGATTCTCGCTCGTCGCGCCCTCGCTTTTGCCGCACAGACGCCGTGCGAGACACGCTGCGGGACACTTGCGACTGGGATTGCGACTGCGACGGCGCTTGCGATTCCACCCGAGATCCGGACCGAGATAAAGACACTCGCGAGGGCGATCGAGCTCCCCCAGGATCTCGTTCATCGGACGGTTCCTCTCTTGAACTACCACTCCAACGCTGGTCGCTCATCCCCTGTCCCTTTCGCGTCACCTCTTCCAGAGGCACAATCACTGTCTGAATGCGATGGCGTGGACGGTTCGCATCGTCCCGCCGGCGGAACTTTTTGAAATTCTTGCGTCCATTCCATCGCTCGTCCCATCGACTCTCCTCGACGTCGTGATGTCGAGGTTTGATCTCCATCTCCTCCACAATCGCCAGGCCCTTAAGCTTCTCCACCTCTCGCAGCGAACTTTGTAACTCCGCTTCCTCCTCTTCTCGTCGCTGTCGTTCGGCATCCTCTTCTGCTTCCCGATGTTGTCGCGCCGCCTCCAGCACCCCGAGCTTCGGTCGCTTCAGCGGACGCGTCTCATCCTTCGGTCGGGACGGCGCAGAGTCTACGTCTCGGGAAGCCGTCTCAGCGCGTCGTCGCTTCATTGCCGTCGCTCCCGGCAAGAGGCTCGAGACCACATCCTCTTCTTCCTGTTCAAGGGTGGTTGGGGATCTGCGACGGCAGTTCCCGGTGCATCAACTTCCATCGGTGGTGGCGACGCGGCATTCCCTCCATCCTCGGCGGGCTCAAAAGCTTGGGATGGCATTGATGTCCAACTCATCATCAAACGTCTTCATTTTGCTGAACAAGCTGCGCACCCGCGGATCTTTAGCTTTGGCTCGGGATGCTGCGTCATTTCCTGCGACGGCTGCAAATCAGCCACCATCTCCCCATCAGCACTGGGCGCCGGCGTCACCGACTCGGTTAACCGTGATGGTTGTCCCGCATCCGCCTCCTGCGGCGATTCCTCTTCAGGAAGAGAGCGACACAATGGAGACGCATCGCATCCCAAGATCGCATCAAGGAATTCGCTCTGCTCGATCACCCGCTGATTCGTCTCGCGCGCAATCTGTGTGCTCAACTCGATTGACCAATCCTCGTATCGCCCTTTCGCGCGATACCGCACGTAAACTACTCCTCCCGGTCCCTCACGTTGGCTGCCCAGACCTTTGTCCCCCGCCGCGTTTCGCATGAACTGTACAATCTCATCCGCCGTAGTGACCCCGTTTTCGATCTGATAGAGTAACACCTTTCCATGGCCATTGGTGATGGGCTCCCGTAAATTATCACACTGCGCAGCATCTCCAAAGACAAAAGTATATCCTTCAAAGACAGTGATTCGGTCCGGATTCGGGGCGAACGCTTCGGCCGGTCGCTGCACAACTTCCTTTCCCGGTGGTGGGAGATGCTCTCGGGGGTCAGGCCATGCAGCCTCGAAATCCTCCTCGAGTGGGGATAGGGACTCTAGGTTTTCCAGATCACTCGGCGTCGCAGCGTATACCAATGCATCGAGATACGACTCGTGGACGATATGTTTACCATTCACCAGCGCCTGTAGCCCTTTGGCAGTGTTGCGCTTGTTCTGGACAACGTGGGTCGTATGTCCGATGACGTACGGGACAATCGTCTTGATATCCAAGTCTTCGAGGCGGGAGCGGACGCTTGCGAGGGGATCTTTCGCTTTGAGTTCTTTCGATGAGAAGGAGAAGGTTAATACAGTCGGTTCCCATTTGATCCTGTCTCACCCGATCTCAAATTAGCTTCACCATTTAAGGAATATTTCATAGAGGTCGGAGTGAGATATGTGGAATTTCACTCACCTCAGCGCAGACTTGCAATTTCCCAGCTTGATCGTGTGCTCATCCTCCGTCAAGCGCACGCTATCGCCCTTGACAACCTCCCCGTCAACATTTGTTCCGTATTTGGAGCCTTGATCGCTCAAGATGAGCTCGGATTTGGTGTAGATGTGTGACTAGACAGCCAGTCAGCAAGACACCAAAAGGAAGATCCGTCCGTCTTACGCCATCACCTGGTTTCACAGGCGACACTTCAATCACCATGTGTTTGCGCGAAATAGAGTTATGGTTGATTGCATGTTGCGCTACCCATATGTTAGTGATCTGTAGCAATTGGAGAGAGCAGACATCGTACCGCCATGCTGCCGAGTTCGACCAAACAGATACTTCTTCCCCGGTCGAAGCCACACACGCTTTCCTGCAATCGTAAGCAAGAAACACACCAGTGTGCGCCTGGAACAGTTACATACCTCCCAAGAAATTGCCCTCCGAATCGAGAATCCACATGGTGCGTGGCTGGCAGTGCGAGGAAGACATCATCAGCGGGCAACCACGTGAATCAGAGTGACGCGTGGCACGTGACCTGCGTTCATGCTGCCCA